GGGAGATCTACATGAACGATCAGGACTGGGGCTGCCATGTACATATCAAACAATGGATCATAAATATCCTTCGTAAACTAACTTTACTGCCAATGGACGGCCTGCAAGGTGTGTATTTTTTATTCGTTCATTTATTAGTTATTTGGAAACGTGCAGCGTATGACGATTGACCGAATAGGTATATATATCTCTTCTTGCTATTCTCTTCAGCCGCGAGTATCGTCTTGAACCGTCTAGAAAAGGATGGGGACATTAAGAAACAAGAGCTATTCAGAAATTGTGTCCAGGAGCCTGCGACCCAGTTTTCGTATGCCAAAACACTCCCCCCTTCTACATCCACATTGCTTCTGGATCGTGCACAAAATAGACCTGATATTGAGAAAAGCCTGCGACAACTCAAGCGCAATCGGATGAAGGACAGAGATTTCCAAAGCTTTTACATCCAGCAATATGCCAAGCCAAGTCCTCAAGCGCGTGATGACAAGCTGTTCTTGCTAATGGACAAGGCAAAAGAGTTCCTAGAGGGCGATCAGAAAGTGTTACTTGTTCAAGGAGGCTCAGGAGCAGGCAAGTCGACATTCAATCGCACGTTAGAGTCCATTCTATGGAAAGCATATAAAAGGAGGCATGGCCGTATTCCATTGTTCATCAATCTTCCAGCTATCGACAACCCAGAGAAAGATCTGGTCACAAAGCAGCTGCGAGATTATGGCTTTACTGACCCAGAGATTAAGGATATGAAGAAGTCACGATCATTTGTTTTGATCTGTGATGGATACGATGAAAGCTTGCAGACCCGCAACTTGTATGTTACCAACCGACTGAACCAGCCTGGGGAGTGGATAGCCCAAATGGTGATCAGCTGTCGCAGTGAATATCTTGGATTGGACTACCGTGATCGTTTTCAACCTTTGGACCGAAATCAACAAGCAGAGGCGGGACTATTTCAGGAAGCTGTGATTGTACCCTTTTCTGAGGCTCAGATTGACGACTACATCGAGCAATATGTCGCTGCCATGGATCCAATGTGGGCTGCTGAGGATTATCGACGTGCACTCAAAATGGTCCCCAGTCTACATGAGCTTGTGAAAAATCCTTTTTTACTATCGCTGTCGCTGGAAGTACTGCCGCGAATGGTGGATCCAAGTCAAGATATTATCAATTCCGAGATCAGACGCGTCTCGCTGTATGACCAGTTCGTGGAGTTGTGGCTCGAACGGGGCAAGAAGCGATTGGGAGAGACATTAGCGCCAGAAGACAGAAGGATGTTCCGGATATTGACAGATGAAGGATTTGCGCAGAATGGGATCAGATACTTGACAGATCTGGCTATAGCGTTATACAAGTATCAAAATGGCAATCCAGTGGTGGACTACTCTGCGTTCAAGGACAGAGGCACATGGAAAGAGGAGTTCTTTAGCAGAGAAGATTCAAGATACCTTCTACGCGAAGCTTCCCCACTAAGCCGCACAGGTAACCAACATCGATTTATTCACCGATCTATCCTGGAATATAGTTTGGCACGAGCAGTTTATGAGCCACAGCAAACGAAGAATGTTTTTATATACGCTGAGGAGGCACCCAGGCCTCGCCGACGGAGCATTAGCTCAGTGTTTAGCTTTGAAGTCATGGAGATAAATACGGAAGAGCAAGAAGTTGACTCAGCTCAGGCAGATGAAACTTCCCCTTTGGTATGGAGAAGCTTTGTGGACGAGCCATCTATCCTACAGTTTCTGGAGGATCGTGCCCGTCTTGAGCCAGTTTTTAAACAGCAGCTATACAATTATGTGGAGCTCTCGAAAAGTGACGCCAAGTGGCGGATTGCTGCGGCAAATGCAATGACAATTTTGGTCCGAGCAGGGGAGTCGTTCATCGAAGCAGACTTGCGAGGTATTCAGATCGGAGGCGCTGATATCAGTCAAGGTATATTCGAATTTGCTCAGCTTCAACGAGCAGACCTGAGGAAGGCCACTCTCCGTAACTGTTGGCTTCGTAAGGCAGACTTGACTGGAGCAAAGATGGATGCTGCGCAACTTGGTGAATGGCCAGTACTTCGTGAAAAAGGTTGGGCAAAGCAAGGAGCATATTCATTCGATGGGAGCTTATTTACTGCACTAATTGGTGACGGGTCAATCGTCATTTATGACACCTCAACATGGGAGAAGCATCTGACTTTGAATGATATTTATTATGCCTGCGAGTCGAAATTCTCGCCAGACTGTCGACAGATCGCATCCTGGGATGAGCAGGACACGGTTTTAATTTGGGATACAACATCTGGCGAATTAATCCACAGTTTCGCGGGCCATACAGAATACATTAATTGTACCGTGTATTCACCTAGCGGGAGCCACCTCGTCTCGGCCTGTTTTGACGGTTCAGTACGTGTATGGGATACACAAAGTGGCGTGCTTCAACACACATTGGAAGGTCACACTGAGAGTGTGGGGAGCGTGGCGTATTCTCCAGATGGGCTCCAAATTACAACTGGAGACGATGATGGGATGATAGGGCTGTGGGATGCGGCCTCAGGACATCAGATAATGATGCTGAAGAGCCCTGAGACTCAAATTATGCAAATTGTGTATTCACCCGATGGCCAGGAAATAGTCACTCGAACTTACTATACTAAACTCTTGCATGTGTGGGATGTCACATCTGGCCAACAAAAAAGGGAATGGAAGCATGGTGAAACTGTTAGAGGCGTTCAGTATTCACCTAACGGAAGATTTGTCGCCTCGTTTAGTAGCAAGATATATCAATGGAATGCAAAAACAGGGAAGCTTATCCACTGCCTTGAAGGTCACTCCCATTACATTGAGGACCTAAAGTACTCACCAAATGGACAGCAGATAGCCACTTGTAGCCAAGACTGTACTGTGATGCTTTGGGACGCACGTTCAGGACAGCTCATCCATTCCTTTTATGGCCACTCTGATGTCGTAAACTGTGTGGCATATTCACCAAACAACCTCCAACTTGCATCGCTCGGTGCAGATGGAGCAATTCGTCTGTGGGACGCCGAATCGCAGCAATTTAGTCAAGGCCCACATGGCTACGCAAAGCCACTCTTACGCCTTCGGAGTTCACCAAACGGACAACATGTAGCTTCATGCAGTAACGATGGTACAATATGTGTATGGAACATCCAGGATGGACAGTCGGTTCATGTATTACAGAGCCACCAGGGAGATGCAGACGACATCAAATATTCGCCTGATGGCCTGCTACTTGCTTCTTGCCATGGTACTCCGCGCGCCTACATCTGGAATACTCGGACAGGCCAAATTGTCCACGCCTTGGAGTCACAAGTAAGAGAGGGCGATAATATCAGGTCCCTTGATTTCTCGCCTACTGGTCACCAGATTGCCTGTGGCCATGCAAGTGGGAGCGTAACAGTGTGGGATACGCAAACAGGGCAGCTCGTTCATACTATACAAGCCCACGAAGCGACGGTACGGTGTGTGGTATTTTCGCCCAGTGGCCATCAGATTTCTACATGTGATGAGAATGGCATTATTAGGGTATGGACAGCCCAATCAGCAAGTCAGTATGAGTTAGATGATACAGCACCACATAACCCTTATATTATATACACGCCTGACGGTCGCAACATAGCATTTATTCGTAATCTCTTTGAGGTGCAAGTATGCAACACAGAAACAGGTGCGCTTTGTTTCAGAACCCGGCTTGAGGGGACTCCAAGATGGATGGTACTTTCACCATGTGGTCAGCAGATGGCTGCTGGAGGCCATGACGGGCTAGTTAATGTGGTGGATATGGAGTCGGGAGCAATACTGCATGAATTTGAAGGGCACACTGGGAATGTTACTTGCATAGCTTTCTCACCTGACAGTAAATACGTTGCTACAGGCAGCAAAGACATGACAGTGCGAGTGTGGGATCTAGAGTCAGGCCAGTGTTTGATTACTATTCCATCTGTAGGTGGAGAAGCCAGAGTTCTTATGTGGAATGTTTCTGAAGAAGGCTACTCTCTGGTGGTCGGGTCCCAAGATGCTTCTGTTCGGATGACTCGAATCGTTCAAGAGGATGGCCAATATCAATATCGTTTGACGTGGAGCACGAGGCAAACGGCCTTGTATGCGGACAACACATGTATCCAAGGTGTAGTTGGACTGAGTAAGATCAACAGAAAACTCCTGGTGGAGCGCGGGGCTATTGGTGATCAAGCACCTCTTCCGGACATACAAAAGGAGTCAAAGCAGACTGTAGCGACACCATCAATGACTCCCGAGCTTAAAGCGGCCATCAGTCGAATGAAACATCATCAAGGGACATCGGCAGTAACAGAGACTCTGAATGAAGCATCATCGGCAACGTCCTCAGCACCGAATAGGTCGATCAAAGACTACAAATTCGATTATGGGGTCTGTAAGGAATGTAGATATGCACATGTCATTTCATGCAGGCCCCGTGAGCAAGGAGTTCCAGTTGAGGACTTACAGGGGACATACCATCGAACTATTGAAAATGAAAAATAAAGCTAATAATTAGTTTTTGTAGCAGGTACTTCTCAATATTTCTCAATATATTTTTTTTGCAAAACTCAACTCCAGTGCCAGCACAAGTATTTTATACCAGTCCTGAAACACTAAAATATGTATATTCCAACTGAAGGAGCGAAAAATGGTAGATGCGCAGAGTGGAAGCAATTGAAAGATGAACGTCATATTGTGATGATATAGCTCGGTACATGGTTTTTGCTGATTGTTACTGAGTTTTTTTATTTGCTTCCTTGGTACACAGCAGAGCAGCAGCCGCCACTGCTTGCACGGCCCAAATTTCGTTTGCGACTGAACGGATGAGCAGTGCCAGTATGTTTCTGTAATATGTTTCGTCATCAACAGGAATAGAGGCAGCGTTTTCCTTCACGTTATTGGTGGCAACGTTTCTGCTTATTCCTCGAATCAAAAATGTGGAAGTATGCGAGCAAAAAGGAGTGAGTGATGTTGCAAAGCATGAGAGCCAAGCACTCTTTTCCTTGTTAAGAATCTGTACTTGATTTATTTGGCAATGCTATGAACAAAACGCTTTTTTTTACAAAAAAAAAAAATCGTGCTAGACTAAAATCAACAGTCTGAACCTGCTGATTCGGGCCAGGACGCGAGTTTTAGTTGTCGTCCTTGGTTGGCGACTTCTGATCCTTGCCTGCAGCGGCAGCGCGTGATCCCGAGTGCTGTGGCCAAATATAGTCTTGCTGGCTCCTAGTATAACCGTACTTGGCCACGAACTCCGCCACACCCTTTGGTCCTCGAGTGGCATGCGCATATGGGATGGGATCGATCTTGCCTTCGTCGATTACCTTGAGAATAGGGGTGAAGATCTTCCATGCAGCGTCAAGCTCATCATTTCTCACAAAATTGGAATGATCATCGTTCAATGCATCCAAGATCAATGACTCGTATGCATCAGGGATAACAACATCATTGAATCGGCTTGAGTAAGACAGATCCAGGTCAGAGATGATAGTCTTCATACCCAGACCCGGTTCCTTATTCATCATCTTGACGTAAACCGCCTCGCCAGGTTGAACGCGAATTACGATCTCATTGCGTGACAAACCCTTAAAAAGGCTACCAGCAACATCCTTGAATTGGATACGAACTTCGGTCTTCTGCTGATCAAGGGCCTTGCCACATTTGAGAACGAAAGGAACACCGGCCCAGCGCTCATTATTGATATAGATCGTAGCAGCAGCATAGGTAGGGGTCTTGCTGTCATTTGGAACAGCCTCATCATCAAGGTATCCGGGTTCTTTGCCATCCTCCGATGCGGTGTATTGGCCCAACAAGATATCATCCTTTTGAATAGGTGGAATGAATCGCAAAACTTTGACCTATTATTTGGAGATGATGGAATAATTTTAAAACGTTAATAAGCAATTAAAAAATTTAAAATCTGAATCATATCTTTGGAGCCAAGCCGCGGTCCTATCTCATCGCAGCCACATTCCTGTCTCATTTTTCGTCATCATTGGGTCTTTTTTTCCCCTTCCGACCTCTCATACCTTTTCATCACGGACATCCTCGGCATCGAGAGAAACTGGAGGCTCCATCGCTACAAGGGTCAAAATCTGTAGCATGTCTATTGATAAAATTGACGATAGCATGATGTTAGGCTAGTATCATATTTCCCTCAAACATTAAAGTATTTAAAACAATAGCAAAATAAAGTTGTCATTAAAATAAAAAAGATAAGGGCTACTTACGGTTCTGCATCACATCACGAATAACACCAAATCCATCAAAGTAGCCTCCACGGCCCTCAGTACCCATCTTTTCCTTGAAAGTGATTTGGATATTGTCGATGCTATGACGGTTCCAAACTGAGCCAAAAATGACGTTGGCAAAACGCAAGATCATCAAATTCTTAACCATCTCCTTACCGAGATAATGATCAATACGATAGATCTTAAAGCGGAAAAAAAAAAAAAAAAAAAAAAAAAGAATTAAAAATATTAATCTTGATGCAGATCACTCATCATGTTACCAACAAAAAGATATGTTGCAGAAAAGTAAGATGAGAAAAAAAAACACTAACCTCATCCTCAGGGTAAAGTTCGCCAAGCTCCTTGGCAAGTACGCGTGAACTCTCAAGGTCCCTGCCAAAGGGCTTCTCTACAATGAGACGAGTGGTCACATCCTTTTTATAGTTGTTTTTCTTCAAATGCTTCGCAACAGGAATGAAGACTGAAGGCGGCAGAGCCATGTAGAACAACCTCGCAGTAGCGCCAGAGTCCTTCTCAACCTCCTGAAGCCTCTTCTCAAGCTTCTGGAAACCCTCATCAGTATCGTACTGGCCATCTTGGTATGAACACAACTTTAGGAATTTCTGAAGAGTCGCCTTCTCTTCCTCGGATTTGGTCTTGATATGTTTAGTGATATGATCCTCAAACTTGGCCTGATCCATCTTGGTACGTGCATATCCAATAATATGGGTATTGGCGTTCAGATGTTTGTTCTTATAGAGACCAAACAATGCAGGGAAGGTTTTTTTCGTGGCCAGATCACCAGAAGCACCAAGCACTAATATCGAAATACGATGTAAAGAAAAATAAGTGGTTAGCATGGCGTACTGAAAACAAACGTACTCTTTTTATTCAGTAATGACATCGCATGTATTTGCGGGAACGAAGAGTTGACATACAAACGACAGTGTAGAGGTGGTTAGAGCCGCCTTTTGCGCCCTCGCTGGTTGAAGAAGACATGACGAGACTGTGGTTTGTAGTAAATGAGAAGAAAAGGTGAATGCAGGAATGAAGTAAAGAAGCAATGAATTGAATGAATGGAGAGAGAAGAAAGAGAAAAAGGAAAAAAGAAAGAGAAGGGCCTTTTCCTTTTCCAACTTCTCACGCTACAAACGTCAAACGTCAAACGTCTCATACACACGCCATCATCCATCATGCTGACACCAAAGTTCAATAGGATAATAGATAATGATAACAAATCAAAAACGCGCAAAACGCGCCCCCTCTCTTCTCTAGTATTATGCTTCTGATCACCGCCCATGTGCCAATACGAATATCCCACCATGGCTCTCCATATTGTACCCCGACTAGGCAACATTCTTTCTGCGATGAGGCGCAAAAGCTTTTTTATTTATTTTTTTTTTATTTTTTTTTGACTGCCCATATCCAATATTTAGTCACCAATAGGCCTTACTTTTTTTTTTTTTTTTTTTTTTTTTTACATTTTAATGAGTATGAATAATCTAAAAGCTTCAATACAGCAGAGTGTTATGCAACCATATTAGGTGGTAATGAGGCCGCTACAAGGACAAGTATCTCTTCTAATGGTTTCCCTGCGTTTTTAAGATCCTTGGCTACTGCTTGCCAGTACTCTCCATGCCGTGGTTCTGCAGCCTTGCATCGCATCACCAACTCTGCTTTTCTTGCCTCGTCACCGTATTCAACCTCAAATTTGTAGTGCCAGGCCCATGCATCGCCTAGATCTGAATCTGCCTTCTCTGCTCGAAGGAACCACGACCGTGCCTTCTCGACCTGTCGATCGGACCAGAAAAGACGAGCTGCTGTGATAAGGACATGGGCCGAGTTTTCTGACTTCTTCAAGGCGTCCACAATCTTGCCTTTACGCTGTGCTCTTGTCTCAAGCCAAACGGATTCTGACCACAATAAGCCTGAAGTAGGACATTCCTGAAGTGCTTTCGCCATCTGTGCCCTGCCAAAATTAGCATTGTTTCCACGTAATTCGATCCGTACGGACTCCAACCTACGTATTAGTAGAAATATAAAGTGTGTTTATAAGGATTTGTCTTTTTTATTATTATTATTATTATTTTGAAAAAATGACATGCAGCATTTTAACACGTACCATAATTCTGGGGTCTTGGGATTTAATAAGCGTGCCTTGTCTAGCAAGGATCTTGCCTTAGTCAGCATTCCAGCCTTCTCCTCCAGTCTTGATGCCAAGATCCAGAGAGGTATTGATTTCGGACAACTCTTCAAGGCCTTGAGATAATTCTCTCGAGCCTTTTGAATATCACCACGGTCAACCAAGATTTGGCCCCGAATCATCCATAGTTTGTCTGCGTTAGGGTATTTGGTCAGGCCTACGTCCAATAGCTCCAGTGCCTCATCAATCTTACCCAACTGGCGCTTTAGGACAGCAGACTTCATCCACACCTTCTGGGTATCAGCCTTCTCTCGTGCCTTAGATAAGAGAAGTTCTGCACGACCATGCTCACCGTTCTCTGCTTCTAATTTAACTGCTGCCAACCAAATTTGTTCGCTATTGGGATTCGCTTCGAAAGCAGCATCCAAGATAGCACGAGCCGCTTGCACATCGCCCTAAAAGGATATAGTTATTAAAATCTAATTTTTTTTGCCTGCTTACTCATCCAACCAGATTTAAAAAAAAAAAAAAAAAAAAAAAAAAAAACTTACCCCAATCCATTTCTCTTTGGCCCCCATAAGCCACAAGAATTCGGCTTGTGGGCAGAATTTGACAGCACGGACAAGCAATTCTTCCAAAGACTCCCTCGTGCCATGGGCCTTTTCCAACATTGCTGCACGTCGCCAAATAGACTTTTTGGAAGGGAAAGTTCTGAGAGCATGTGCATAAATCGCCCGTGCAGTGCCATATGACTGGCGCTCAATAGCATTTTGTGCATCCTCCATCCAAGTTGATTTCAAATCCGCTTCTTCAATACCCATACCCACAGTGGCGCGGACAATGGCTTGGCAAGTGTTGATAAATCCGTTCTTTTCACACTTTTCTGCTTCTTCAAGCCACTGTTCACGACTCAGTGCTGATTCCATGACCGATAGCTTTTTGATAGCATTTGCTACCAATTTCTCCACATCCTTATTGTTGGCTTCCTGCAAACAGAAAGCTGTAATCCAAATCTCGTGCGATGTTGGGATCTTGGCACGCGCCTGGTTCAAAACCTTCTGTGCATTCTCATATGTCTCCAAACGTGCTAGCGCAATCCACAACTCCACAGAAAGCGGTACTAATTCAACTGCACGCGCAAGCAAAATGCGGGCGTTATTGGGATCGTCCTCAAGTTCCACAGCAGTTTTCCAGAGCCTCACAGAATTGGGGACAAAGTCAAGTGCACGCCGAATAACCGTCTTTTTGGCCTTAACTGTTGTCTCAAGCTGTGCAGCATGAAGCCAAATCTTGACTGAGTGTGGAATCTGTTTAACTGCGTTTGCCAAAATCTTCTTTGCATTATCCGTGTTGTTGAGTCGAGCAGCCTCCAGCCATATATCTTCAGATTTCGGACATTCCGCGCACCCCTTATCTATGATTTGACGTGCATCTACCAATTTCCCAGCATGTTCTTCTAAACGAGCTGCAGCAATCCATCCTGGCGCATGTTTTGGATTAGTGGTGATGACTGACTTTAGCAAATCACGCGCTTTTTTAAGGTCACCAATTTCTGCCTCGCTCCTGATCACAACGCTATTGAGGCCTGTCAAATATCCTTTGGGATCAATCGTTGTCTTTCCAGATGCTGAATCAGCCATACGATCCAATCGCATTCCTAGAACCTGCTTATTAGCCTCTCCGATCTCTCTGAAATTTGTCATTGTTCCTGGGACAGGTGTAGTTAATCCATTTGTCTAGATGATGATAACAATAACAAAAAAAGAAAAAGAGGAGAAAAAAAAAAGGAAGAGGGGTTAAGATATGTTGAAAAATGTAGCCCTAGAGGTATGATAGCGAGTTGGACAATACGGTAAAACATTACCCGTGCATCCAACGTGGTAGCCATTTCTTCCTGTGCTCTTGGAAGGAGTGAATCAGGAGCGGGCGCAAACTTTTCTCTCAACTGTGCCTTTTTACGATTCCTTCCAGAGATATTTCCACCTTCAGGTAAGTTCTCCCATTCTTCTTCAGTAACAGCATTCAGTCCACGCTTCAATTCTGCAAACTGTGCTGTAATCTTTGGGCGTTCTTTGTTAAGCTTTTCTTCCATTTCCTTTTCTCGCGCCTCCCTATTATTACAAGCATCATTATGATTAGTAAAAGAAAGAAAAGGAAAGAAAAGGAAAAATTAAAATGAATGTCTCCACTTTTTTTTTGTGGTAAATTAAGTAGTGAATTCAACAGTTGACTGACCTTCTAGCCTTTCGGCGCTCGTCCAGTTTATCATCAATAGCTTTATAAATTAAATCAGCCTCTTCATCATCAGCTTCATATGGAGCCGTGTCAAACAATCCCGTTTCATTGTCTGGGTCCTGATAGCGATCGTCATCGTCATCCCCAGTATCAGCCCCCTTCCGTTTTGCTTGCTCCTGAAGTTTGAGGATATCCCTGTTTTAATATAAATATAAATATTTATGCAAACATAACATTAGTATCCAAATGAGTTATAGTTAATTGTCGGTGATCTCAAACACGCCTGATCAGTAACCAGGCAATATTCTATATGGCCATCCTAGACTTACGCCTCAGTAGGACCCTCGCGAGCAGGACCAATATCGGACCGAGTGGTGAATCCAGTTGCACTGTTTTATAAAAAAAAAAAAAATAAAAATAAAAAAAAAAAAAAGTGAGTTAGCGAGAGAGTGAGAAAAAAATAATGGAAGCCCATGGAAAAACAATCATTAATTCCTGTTCTTTTCGTTCCTGACATGACTCATTACCCTCGTCCAAGACCAGCAATATAACCTGGGGGCGCTGGCTTCCCCATAAAGTCTTTAGTCGCCCCAAACATGGTCGCTTAATAAAAAGAGAGAGAAGGAGATAGAGGAGGAGAGGAGAGGAATGAAACGTGCAGAAGTAGCAAAAGGTTGAGAAACTCAAAGTTGATCATTTCAGAAATACAGGAGTGATACAATATGTCACATGACTACCCCCAAGCAATTCGCTGCGCCTCTTAATGTTACGTTTTGAGCGTTACAGGCGTAAAGCGTTATTAGCTGCGCCCAATCTTAGGTATCACTCTTTCTCTCCATATAATATCGCTTTGCAACTTCCCTTATTTATTCTTCCCTAAAACTTTTTTCCATAGCAATTGTCATCATGTTGAACCAAGCAATAGGTATGTACAAAGTAAAAAAAACAAAATAAAATATATATCAAGGAAATCGTAAGATGTGGAGCAGATCAGCGAAAGACAGAGCATGTGGCCCAACGAAACAAGGTGGAGCACCGGAGAGGCCGGGTAAGGCTTGCTAGATGTCTGATCGGCACATTGTCGAAAAAATATCGATGATTGCCACTCGCAATGAATGCCAATCAGCTATCAGTTAAAGCTTGTAAGGGATACAGAAGGCTTCAACAATGAGATCGCATCATTTAACAGGCAGTATTGAGTAGCTTTTATCTTAAAGTTCATAGTATTGAAGGGATGGTCCCCATCCCTTTTATTCCCAGTGATAATAGATAAATTATGAATATGCAGCTCACCAAAAGATTGCTTCGATACTCAATGTCCTCATTTTGGCGCCAGTAATTATAGCAGCACAGTATTGCTACATAATATAAGTACATACATGGGATATGTCTTTGATATACAAATATCAGGAGCAAGGATAATAGCCAACGTCGCGAGATGATACTTTATATCGAGAGCGTACACAATTGAGCCTTACTTACCGACTCATCCTTGGCCATTAAGCCTTTTCAAAAGCACTGTCGCACGACTGGCTCTGCCTGTAGCCAGACGCTATCCAGTAACTTCATAGGTAAAGAAATAAAGAAAAGAGGAAAGAAGGATATATATATAAACAAAACAGGTGATGTCTTGCCACGAATGCGCACATTATATAAAGCCATGGCATGAGTATGCTCGTGAAAAACATCCTCTCAAAACTCCATCTGTTTATTGATTGGAATAGAGTTAGTTATAGGCAGCCCCTTCTAAAAAAAGACTGGTTTAGGGTCCGGAAGGGGTAAATCCACATCACTACGTCGTACAGTATAACGACGTTAATACTGTGTAAATATATATATATATATATACATATACTATTGAACTGACAGAGTGCTCTACTGCCAATCTTAATGATTAATTGTGTCATACTCATCAACTAAACAAGTATATAAGTCCTTCGACTCCGACATTATATACAATATGGAACTTGTTGAAGACCAGATCTTTTTTTGTAAATTGAGTAATTTTAACTTTGGATCCAAGCTTATAATCATAAGAGCGGTATCAATGATGAGGTCTTTGATCTGTTCGTCAGTATTGATAATAGCCTGCCTACCTCGGATTGTCAAGCCTCTCTTTAATTTTTTTTTTTTATTTTCATTGAATCAATGCTTGCCTATTGAATCCTTTTGAAGAAAATTGGTCCATTTCTAGATCAGAGATTACGTCCGATCCTGGATATTAACCTAATCCAGTTCAGTGCTGCTACACTCGTTCCATTTGCTCGTATCAGTCAAGCTAGAGTGCAAATAGAGCTATGTACATGTACCATATTTCTGACTAGAAATGGGTAAGGACCACGATCGGAAAAAAAAAGTGTATTGGTTTTTTTTAACCTCCACAAGGTTGCCGAGAGCTTTCTCTTCCCTACTTTACCAAATGACTCAACTACGGGATAGAGAAGGGGCAAGGGGCTACAAGATACATTACATCTTTCAGGGAGCAAATATTCCAGATCTAGATAGGTTTCTATATTATATCTTTCTATTTTCTCTTTTTTTACATCTTTATTTTTGCTTTAGAGACGCGTGTAAAGACTAGAGATATTTTTGATTTTTGATCAAGATTTTTTATTTTTTCCTCTTTTTTGATGGGCTGAGTAGCGTCCATTCAAAATATCTAAAGACAGATCATGATGTATACAAAGTTAAGAGTACACATGTAAGGTATTCATCTAAGAAAAGATCCAAAAGTCCATGGGCTTTTTTTTCTCCATTTGTTTTTTTAAACTACAAGTAAACAACAAATGGTGAGTTGATTTGGGTGGCTGATTTTCCTTACATTCCACATCCAAAAGATCTTTTTTTTTTTTTTTGCTTGATTTATTGGGCGTCCTGTCACGACTCACGAGATCTTTTATTTGCACTACAAGATCTTACCCTGCATAACCGAAACTGTGCATTAAAGATGGCTCTCTTCTCACTAGAGACCTTGACTGTTTGAACAAAGAATAACTTTGGGTTAATTTTAGAGATCCTCAAGAGAAGGAGAAAAAAAGGGGGGAAACCCACCAAACCGTTGTTTAAAGATTTATTTTTGTCTTTTTTAAAGCCCATGGAAGCTGACCACGAGGTGTTACAAAGAGCATATAATTAAGTTTGTGTAATCTTCAGGATTACACAAAAGAACTGGGAATGAGGTATGGGCAGAGGGAGGCTACGGGAAATACTCTTACTATGCCGCCCTGGCGTTTAAAGATCTGGGACCTGTCCCGAAATGTTTTCAAAAAAAAGCTGTTCTTTGTTTACATTCTTCACGTACTCTCCTACTTCTTCATGCCCATATTATATACAAAGGATGCTTCACTTGCTGTGAAGCCTGGGCTACAAATCTATAGTTTTATGCATTCAGTTATTTCGCGTAAAGGCTCATAGACAATACTTCCCCCAACCTCATGCATCTTTCATTCATTGCTCTCTCTCTCTATTGGTTGTACACAAGGTAAGAAGCACAGTAGCTGAATATAGTCTCCCTTGATCAAGCTTTTTTTTTTTTTTTTTTTTTTTCATGTGCAGGATGTCCGAGTTCAGGCAAGACACACCCTTTGTGAGCAAAAGTATAATCACTGGAGGCGAAGTCCACTGTTTATTGTCAGCATTTGAGCTCAGGAAGATGACATGGTCCCACCCAGACCTACATTTATGGATTAAGGACCACTCCACTGAAAAAGGTTTTTATTGTACAAATATATATATTATATTTACTGGGCGCTGGCTATTGCCAAATGCTGTGCTGTGGTGTCGTAACGTTGATCACCGGTGTTTATATTTTTATTAGCAACTGTTGACACTAGAAAGATTACAGGAGCACAAGAAAATGGGCTAGTCGACAAAGAGGAAAGCCCCAGCCTTTGCATTATTATCATTGGTATTGGTCCAAAAACAAAAAAGTATAAATGGAGATGTGGATTAACATGCAGGAACGCTTTCTTGAGCAAAATAACTAAGGCCTTTTTTCTTGTCTTTCCCTCCTTTCCTGTTGTATCTTTCTCTCATTGCCTCTTTCCTTCTCCCTCTCTCTATCTCTATCTCTATCCCTATCTCTATCTCTCTCTACCAATCGACCACTTCCCCCATCCTGATCCTCCCAGAAGAACCCTGATTCCTGTCTATTCCTGTCCATTATCCTACTCGGTCATACACCTTACCTCTTGCATCTAATCCACATTTTTACCGCAACGCGCATATTTCTGCGCCTCATCCCACCGTCCTCCCTCCCTTTTTTTAGCAACACATCACGCATCATTGTTATTACCCCACATAGGCCTTAAGATCTCAATAATTGTCGGCATTATCATCATTCCGAACAACCACTAATAATTTTTCGACTTCGACGTCTTCTCCACTCACCTTCCCCTTCAACTTGGAGCTAAAACAAGCCAATACTTCTTCCTCTCAGTGTCTTCTTGATTCAAGAACAACCCTTTTTTTTTTTTTTTTTATCATTGGTATCTAAAGACAGCGAAGGACTAAAGTTTTATCAGAAGGAGTCATATCACACCTTTACTCATAGGTGAGAATCATGAACTTTATAGCTATCCTTGGCTTTTTTTTTTAACCTTTCCCTCCTTGCACGTTAAATTCTTTTTGAGTTCATTCTGTTGTTTGACAAAGGGGTAACGGAAGCGACCGTTACAAAGATGAACGATCAAAGAAAATAACAACAGTAACAAAGAGCACAACGGAGGAATACAAAATCAAAACAGATGAATGACTTTGACCACGGATGACATCCGTCTCCCGTCAGCATAAACATTATGAACAAACAACGAATAAGACATATTGTGAATTGTGGTGCATGTGTATATGAATGTTGTGGGTGAAATGTGGATGTTTTTCTTTTTTTTCCCATCCCATCTTCCCATTAAAAACCCGTGTCCCACTCGTCCATTCATTCCACAACATACCGCCCTGCTCTTTTTTTTTTTTTTTTTTTTTTTTTTTTCCCTCTTCACTTCTCCCATCCCACATCATTGCCACAACCTTTTCCTGTGTGTTGCGATCTGGCTCTTTGTTGAAAACCAAGAGTGGCGAGGACAGACAATGGGTGGCAGTTCCGCCTTGCTCCCTGTTTGTGTCTTTAAAGACTCATCCTGTGTTGTCATTGGTTGGTGAATGTGGCATCAAACAACCGCAAAGATGTTGCCAAAGCGCGTTCTTTTCCTCCCAACTGTGTGAATTGCATCTACTTTGTGCCGTGTCATCTTTTTTGTGCCTGTCTTTGTGTCCTTGTATCTATCATCTTTTCTTCCTCCCTTTTTTTTTTATTTCTTCTCCACAATCCATCTCATTCCTCCGCTTGGCGTAGCACTTCTTTCTCATATTGAACTCAACCCTGTTTGTCATAGTGCGTGGACGTTTGTTCTCACTACCTCACAACAACAGGTAAAAAACATATTAATACATCTTTTTCCCATGTTTCATTGGTCAACCTTTTTCATTTGGCACAGCTTACGGCAAGGATGATTGGCGAAGATCTAATACCTCATCATACGCGTATTGGAATCAAAACGCGAAAACTAGATGAAAGGTATTCCTCTCTCCTCTCCTGGTGCGCGCATAAATGATGTATTTGAACAACAGTTTTGAGCATATTATTCAGCGAATTACTCCTATTTTTGCGCGTGCAAGAAACTATTGGTCTGCTTCTCGTTTCGTGTTGAATGGATGAATGAAAAATCAGCCCTTTCCCAATGTGTCACCCCCTTACTCCTTTACACTACATTTCACCTGAAAAAAAAAAAAAAAAAAAAAAAAAAAAAGATTGTGCGTGTATGTGTATAAGTGCTAGAGAATGGAAGTGAGGGAGATCCTGGCTGAATGTGTCAGCAATTGTTACTCATTGTTGTAAATAAGCTCTTTCTCCCTTTCTCATCGTCTCATCCTTTTTTTTTTTTTTTTTTTTTTTTTTTTCTTCTCATCCTCACATTCTATTCTTGACTTTTTTCTTTCATTCATTCTTTCTGCAAAACAACTTTTTTCTTTTTTTTATTTTATTTTTCTATTTTACATCAAGTAGTACCACCATCACGCACAACGCCACTTATCTTTACTTTTTCTTTGTCACACCAATTGATTCTTAAACAGGTCCAAATGTCAAGTACCAGGAACAGGAACCATTTGCATGCAACCATGCCATTAGCGCGTGTTCATTGTGTTCGCGTACGACAGATGATGGGACGCAAACATCAGCTGTGGCGGCGAGGGCATTACTCTTCATCTCATGAACACTTCTCCACTTCAGACAACCAGGATATGAACCACCAAGCAAAGATAAACATGGATGAAGCTTCTTTTTCCTCCTCTTCTTGGATGTCAACATCCTCATCGATGACTCGCCACATCGACTCTAGCAGAAGTGGCTTTTGTTCAGTCGCAACCAAGGGATCACTCCATAGGCGCCGTCGAAATAACTTTGGCTCTTCTGGACAATACGACAAAGATGACATTGATTGTTCACAGGTCATAACAGCATCACCAATGGGGACTGCCTCATCAGGTTCAATCAACGATTATACTTATAGTTCTTACCAGCAATATGGTGAAGATACTTTCAGCGGCAATGGCAATATTATGTCTCCCATTCTACCTGTGGCTATATCACCGATCGATGTAGACAGCAATATTGTCTCGTCATTCACACCACTCTGCAGCACATATGAAATGATGGAAGATACTCGTTACAGTCTATCATCACGATTATTTTCGCACACGGGCGCAAGAACTCATAGTAGCAGTGGTGCAGGCTCTGGTGCAGGCGGAGGAAGCGATGGCTCGGGGTCTGCTCCTGCAGACATGAACCCAGGAGAAGGAGATGCGGGAAATGGAGACCAGCCAAGTGATTATACTTTCCGGCGTCGAAATGCTATTGTGGAAGGCTCAGAGGATGCACCAAAGGCAGAAGATTTCACCAGCTCTTCACCCAAATGATGAGTTTCACCATCCTTTCATCGGCTTTTTATCGGCTTTTTATCGGCTTTTTTTTTTTTTTTTTTTTTTTTTGATCTTCCCCAGGTTTTATTTTTATTTTATACAAATACGTCCCTCTATTAATGTAGTATCGCTTGGTGTTTTTTCAATGATTACCCCTTCCTATCAGCCTCATTTAATTAATAACGACCCCTTCCTACCTCATAACTGCGTTTTCTACCGATACTGTTTTTTGTATTAGCAAGAAATTGTATCGCGGAAGTTTAATCATGATTTGACTTAAGCTCAAGCTCATGAGGCTCTCGATCTATTGCCGATCATTTTCTTGTGGTATCATCGAATTACTTGGTCCGCTCCCAGATGACAGTATGAGGAAAAAAAAAGTCTTCCCCTTTTCCAACATTCAATATCCTGCATATACCCCCTCCTTTCCCCTGCCCACTCCCATTTCCTCTTCCAACTCTACTTTTTTTTCTATTTCCTTCACTTCTTCTTCTTTCTCTTCCTCTTCTCCTTTTTTTTTTTTTTTTTTTATATTTACTTTTATGCGACATTTGCTGTACTTACAAAACCTTTCCTTTTGCTGCTTTCTTTTTCTTTAATTTTTTTTTCTTCGCGTGTTCTTTTATTTTTGCTATCGCTTTGTTTGTTTGTTTGTTTTTTTTTTTTTTTTTTTTTTTGCTTTGCCGATGATTCGTGATGTTCCCTGTTACTTCTCTATTTCTCAAGTACATACATGTGTTGTTTATCCTTTCTTTCTTTTTTTTGTTGTGTTAGTTTCTTTCTTCACGTTTTCGTAAGCTCTAATAAACCAAAGTTGTTACTAATTTTTTTTTTATTTTTTATTTATTTTTATTTTTTAATTCATCTACAAATGGAAGTTTACCATTGATGCTCTATGCTGTGTACAATAATACGTTTAATAAAACGAGCCACAAGACCGAAACGAGACCACGGTCGGCTCTTGCCTTGTTTGGCTGGTAGAAAGAAAACAGTAAACTATAATTTTACACAGAAACAGGAGCAGTTGTTGCATATTTCACAGAACGCTTATTGTATGAGGTTAAGGAAAATTAAAATTCATGTATTTATGGACGTATATCTTATAGCTCTTCTGAACATGCAGTTCCCTAGAAAACACTTACCATGGATACACTCTATCAATGTTACTCGTACACAGACTTGTAGTTATACATTGATATGCTCTGGTGAATCTGATGAATATGATAAAAACTTTAAAGCAAATGATTAAATCCTTGTCATCAAAAGAAAAAAGTTTCCTTTATTTATCAGAGGATGGATTCAGTATCGCTTTTTGCTTCAATAGCTCCAGTACTTTTGCGTTAAAGCAGGATATCCGTTGGCTCTCAGGTCCCGGCATCAATGAAGAAGATAGGAGGGACGTTATTAATTGTGTTTATTGCTCGGAGTGAAAGCTATTCAATCGCTCCCTCTTCTTGCTGGGTAGTGCCTTGTTGATGATCTTGTACAGCACCTTGTGGATGGAGGGAGAGCGAGAGCGGGAGAGAGAGGGGTGGTTTCGCGTTGTTTGTGTGAATTTGATAGTCAACATCAATCTACAAAACATATAAATGCAAGATATGAAAACAACATTCATCCTCCCTTCACATAAGAGACTCACCCCCACCTCTAATGTCAAGGTCTTTTGCTGAGCTCCCATTTCATTGAAGAGAAGAAAAAAAAAAAATGTCGATCTTAATAAGCATATTGGTGGCGTTTAAGAGGAGTAATAATAATAATAATGAATACTATTCACGAAAAATTGGGTTACGAAGATTTGCAAAAAAAAATTCTCGTCCCTAACATTCCTTGATCGCCCAACATGCATGAACCGTCAAATATTTTCAATAAAAAAAAACTCCGCGATGCAAGATGGCATGGGCAAACAACGAGGAAGCATATCAATTGCTTGATCAGTGTCCTCCTCTTATTCGTTCACATCCATTATTGGCGTTTGCTTGTTTGTCTATTAAGCTTTCTGTCTGGCCGTTCAACACAAAGAAACCCATGCATGATTGATGCCAAGCCCGAAAACAGCAATGTAGCACATGTCATGCATGAAAGATAGGGCCCTTGGCACCATGGCTATTGCTATGTTCAACTTATACGGACCCCGAAAACTTGAAAAGATATATAAATTCATCCTTCTTCCTCCCCTCATTACCGCTCACACTCTCTCAATACGTTCTTTCGCCGTCTGGTGCAGTATCCTTATAAGCAATGAAGTTATGCCAACCGGACATAGTGACATCACCATGACAGGGGGGATAGCCTGGTCGAGTTCCATCTCGTTCATTTTCCATTCTTGAGTAAAACCCTGTTAATATGTCAGGAAGGTAAAACAAGACTGTAGTGACCCTTTATAACTTGATCGTATTAGCAAGACCTGTTGCAGAAAATTTCAGCTTTCGTTTTATTTTGAAAGGTTCAACCTCACAGAGGATCGTAGGCTTCAAGCACATCCGAGTATATCAGCGGCTGTATGCTCCATGGCAAATCCATATCTTGCTAACCCCGAGGCGAGTGATGATAGACTTTTGAATATAATCATTGAAGTTGCGGTCAATGTTGATCGGTGGACGGTGGTTATCGTGGTAGACTCTCGATATAAGTTTGTCCTTTAAATAAAAATATCTGATCTTGTTATCAACAAGGGCGCACGTTCTGTTAAAGATTTATTTGCTATATACTGAAGTGCCTAAAAGTAGAACACTGCTTATTTACATGAACAAAAAAGGGGCGCAAAAAAAAAAAAAAAAAAAAAAAAGTTCCCTCATGTCCCTTAGAGGCTCTTGTTGAAGCGATCAGCAACGGTCTTCCAGTTGATAACCTCCCAAATGGCCTTAAGGTAATCAGGACGCACGTTCTTGTACTGAAGGTAATAAGCATGCTCCCAAACATCAATACCTAACAAAGGAATGAGGCCAGTGGTAGCTTTGAGGGGGTCCTGGTTGGCAGTTGTAGCAATCTCGAGTCGTTTGAACTCCTTGTTATAGCCCTACATGTTGCAGAAACCGGAGTTGGGCGGCACCAGATTAGTAGCTGGTTTGTTTGTGTGTAGAAACTAACACTAATGTAAAAACCAAATTCGAGATGTAACATACCAACCAACCCCAGCCAGATCCCTGGACAGCAGCGGTCTGGGCGTTGAACTTCTGAATGAAATTGTCAAGAGAGCCCCAGGTCTTCTCGATCTCTTTAAGAAGCTCACCGGTGGGCTTCTCTCCGCCACCGCTCGACTTGGGGGCCAAGTTCTCCCAGAAGAGAGTATGGTTGAGATGGCCTGAAGGAACAACCCACCAAAATCGGTATCAATGAGCATTTAGTAAGGTTAATTAAATTATATAAGATAAAATCCGGTTATATTCACGTGCGTTTCCCGCCTTACCACCACCATTGAACTTGATAGCAGACTGGATGGCGATCTCATCGTTGACATCATTGGCCTGATAGGCCGATCCGAGCTTCTCCTCAGCAGCGTTCAAAGCATTGATATAAGCTACATGATGGGGATAGGAAAAAAAGAGCGTGAGAAAATAATGATAATAATAACATCAGGGTAGTATTCTCGCATTATACATACTTTGGTGGTGCTTAGAGTGGTGGATCTTCATAATTTCACCGCTAATATGGGGCTCCAAAGCCTATTACACGTCGATGAAAAGAGTATAAAAACTTTTTTTTAACAAAAAAAAGGTTTTTGGTTCACGAAACGCGAAAAGGACGCGTATTGAAGAGGGTAGAGGAAGGCAGGACTAGATCATATACCTCATAAGCATAAGGAAGAGCTATTTTCGTAAGCAATAAGCGATTATTTAATAGGCGCGAGAACATTCAGGTTAGTCTTTAGTGACCCTTCTTTGGATATTCATAAACGCGCCTGCTTGGGCTGCGCAAAAACTAAATGTACATTTTTTTACTCGATGAACAACCAATGGGCATGCAAACAAGAAAATGACATACCAGGCAGAGTGTGCTTATAACGAAGGCCAGCAAAAGCGGAGGGCTTGCTGATAGAGGCAAATGAGCGCGGAATGGAACGAAGCATGGTCGGTAAGATCTGTCGAAGTGGAGTGAAGTGCTGTTTGTCAACAGAATTGTGAATCAGTTTATAAACCAAATGTGTGAGTAGAGCACAAACTTGGCCCTATTATTACGTCATTAAAAATAGTCACGCAAAAGTCCTCAAGAATATGATTCACCACAAATTCAGCCTGGATAACCATTGCTTTCAGTATGGGGTACATTTCTCAGCTCTGGCACTGGGGCTTGCATATAATATCCTTCCGTTATTCCAGAGTAACTACGTTTCAAAAACAATGGCTGGCTTGACACCCTAAACTCTTTTCATAGGCCTGCAGTCATAATATAGCACGTAAACATTGTATATATCGTGGCGTTTTTTTTTTTTTTAAAGTCAGTTATTTCAACTCTGCTATATTTTTCTTCAGGCCTTTCTGGGAAATGATCCTGCTACTTGTGATGCATTCACGGATGGCCTTAAAGAAGCTATTATTGAAGGGAAAAGCAATGCCTGCATCCATGATTCCACGGAACATAAATAAAAGGGTAGACCGCAGATGACATTGCATATGTTGTACCCCGCCATTAATGGTGAACTATGTCTGGTAAATGCTGCAATATAAGCGACGAATCTCCACTTGTCCGATAAACTTTTCAAAGGATGGGCACTTCTTGGAGATATAATATTCGTTAACTCCAACAACCACATAGTCAAGTGAGCGCACTTAGAAAGAAGTATCAAGCCAGAGAGAGCGACAACAATAAAATAAATTAATAATAATAAATAAGAGTACCTTCTATTCACCTTTTGTACAAAGTGGGATTGGAATGATCCATGCAATGAGGAAAGTCTTGGGCTTGACCCAAACACCGAGCTACTCCTACAATACCTTCTTGGGGCTTTTTCTCTGTTGGCCAATGCATTCAGGAACGTTTCACCTGACATGGCTGAGATTGTTTTTCCCACCATTAATGCTAAAGTGAAGTCTAACCAGTAGAAGATGATTGTGCAGTTCAAAAGAATGATCCTGCACAATGGGTATCCCAATAGAGCAAAGGTTATGGCTATTCACTTTTTTCAACGAGGTAAACTTGCTCCTCAATATAAAGGTCCTTTCACTGTTGTTCGGCGTACTACTGGTGGCGCATATATTCTTAAGGATGGCGCTGGCGAACTTCTTGGCCACTACTATAGACTGCCTTCTCAAGCCTGTCTTGGGCGATCTTGACGATGCCGATATTCACGAATTAGAGTTAGTTGCTAACCACCATACCACTGAGTCTAGTGGAGGGATGTAAAATGGAAAGGTTTTCCGCCTGAAGCCAAACCTTGGGAACCTAGAGGCCATTTCATTGAGAAAAAGTGTATAAACGACTATGGGAAGAGTCGCAACCTCTCCGTCGATGCAAGACCTCAATCACAGTCTTGTCGGAAACTGCAGGTTATCCGAGGTCAGCAAACGGGCAGCGCCAAAAGCACGGAAGGTTAGATGCACGCAGCAATGCTTGCAGCGTTGGTGGGTAGAGCAACATGCAGAAGCGATGTGAGAAGGGTCATACTCGTGTACGCCACCACTCATAGCCATAAGACCTATAGCACCATGATATACTCGTAAAAGAGCTTATTTTTATTTTATAATATTTTTCTCCATACCTGTCATGAAATCACTAGAGGGTTATTTTTTCCCTGAAAATTACGTGAGGGTTCGTTTTTTTCTCAACCGTGGAAAAGGGGATTATGGCTTTATCGGCTCTGCTTTCAGCCTTTCCCTGGGGAAGGATTGTGATTATAATTACCTTAATCCCTTTATCTAAATAGCTAATTTACATCAGTATTCTTTTCTGATCATCAAAATAATGACCCTCATTCTTGCCTCGTTACATTTCAAGCCCATTATTAATTTATATCAGGTTTGATTCCCTAGTAACCGCTGTAGAGACATTGAAGACCACTTTCTAATCCGGTCCCCACTATATCCCTCGATTTGCTTCGAGTAGCCATATTACCATGAATCGTGCTCTTGACTGAAAAAAAGCAGAGTAGCATAATTCAAGGATCAAAGATTCAAGCGACACGACTGTGTCCCTTTTTTTGAAAAGTGTCAAACGTACAGCCACAAATATTTACGTAATAAGAGACGACTGGTGGCAAAAGCATGTAACGGTTGGATTGACAGTGGCTGAAATGAAATACTGTATATCAGTATAAAGGGAACAGATCCGCCCTTTCCTTTCTCTCTTTTTTGTCTTATTTACTTTCCAGCTTTTTCGCTTTCATTGCCTTTTTTCCTTTCTTCCCTAAACACTCCATACTCTTGTTACTCCTCCTTCCTTAGTCATATCACGAGTTCATCTCATCAATTAGCCCACTGGTTTTTCTCCTTCCTCACCAGCTAATTCACTTTTTTGTCTAATAATCACACCAATGACAGACGAAATTTCACTTGTTTGCATTCTCGATGGAGCGTCAACTACATTCGAAGTGGACATCAATCCCCGAAGAACTATCAACTATCTCAAAAAGGCGATCAAGAAAGAAAAAGAAAATGCTCTTCAAGGCATTGATGCCAACGAACTCAATCTTTATCATGTCTCTGTTCCTGATGAGGGGACTACAGTCAATATCGCCAATGTTGAATCAAAAGAGTCACTCACCAGAGGATCAATCAAGCTTTCCAACTTATTTGGTACGTCACCTTTGCCTGAGGAGACTATCCATATCTTTGTTCAGCAGCTATTGGAAGGTAAGGGATTAGCTGTTTGTTCTCAAAGCTTTGTGTGTGACATCATTGATCAGGAAGCAATTCTCGAAATATCATTGATCTTTCTGATTTTTATCTTTCTAATTTTTTTTTTTTTTTTTTTTTTTTTTTTTAATCACAGCTGTCATCTGGACGAAGACCTCAAGTATCCTTGCATGGGTTAGGCAATATGAACGACCCATCGGCACTAAACAAGCTCCGGTATGTTGTCTATTGTGTTTATATTTTGCGTGTACATCGCTATAAGTTATGAGTAGACGGAAGATTTTGTGCTGATTCCTTATTATTCTTATTATTCTTATTATAGCTTGTTACATCTTTTGGTTCAGAATTCCCACTTCGCCGCCGAGAGGAAACCCTTCACGTATTATGGGGTGGAAATCCTTGTAGAAAGGGCGTCTTTGGGCGATTTAAAAACCGCAGCAATGACGACAAGAGCCTACATCCAATCCCATTTCTTGCCTGTGGGCCAGGTACAGGCAAAAGCAGGTTCCTCCAATTTCTTGGAGGAGTACTACGTGAAATGGCCAACTCTTGCGGTGACCAGAGCGTCGAAAGCGCCTTCTCCAATATGGTCTCAATCAATATTACCTATGGCAGTGACACTGCTGCCAGTCAGTTCGATGTCAAGACTGGAGGCGAAGCATCTATCGCCGTTAGATTACTCTACGAATATTTTATCAATACCAAAGACTCCGGTATCAAACCCAAAGTCGATTTTGACTCTTTTCTGCAAAAGGGAGGCGTTGAGCAACTCGATTTGTACGCCGTCATACAGGTTATTCAATCTGATATCATCAGCCGCGGTACATCCACCAACGATTTCTCTGTGCTGGTCATCGGCATCGACGAAGTGGATCAATTATACAAAGTTTGCCCAAACACTCTTCAAGAAGCTGTACGCGCTATTGGAGCACTGAGCTGTAGCATGGCAAAGCCTTTTTGTATCCCTATTATGGCAGGTATAATCCTAGAACCCGTCATAAGCATGGCCATGGGATCATATATTATCCTACCCCTACCTCTTCCTCTTCTTACTGACGCCGACGTGATCGAAATTGGCCTTAAGCTACCCTGACTATAGACGGTAAGGTTCTGCATCTGACTGAAGACTACCTAAAGAATGATATACTGTTCCGCCGTAGTATTGCAGACATCGGTGGGGTGCCAAAGGCTGTGGAGCTTTTCTATCACCTCTTTGTGGATCGCTTAAAGAGTATCAAAGAAGTGTCTGACCAGGCTGAAGACCTTTTGGAGTGTCTGCGCAATGTCAATATCGTGGCCATTATGCAGGGCCTGGCAGATCGTTTAAGCAAACTCTATCCTTTTCAGGGCTACGTGGAGCTCATGACACCTGTACTTGCAAAGGCTATTTTTGATATCCCAGTCGTAATGTATTGTATTATTGGAGATGGCACAACCATTACCTATGAAAACCTCATGACAACCGGTGTAATACATCTGGAACAAGCTAAGGAGCGTGACATGTATCATGTACGTGTCCCATATTTGTGGCTAGTTATATTGGTTGACGCTTCCAAGAAATGTCAATCCAAGTCGCCTTTGAAGTACTGCACCGCTTTTATCGATTCAGAGCAAGGTGTCTCCTGGGCAGGCTGGGAACGCTTCAATATGAAGTTCTTGGCTCTACGTCTATGCCTTTTCTCTTACCTCGGAAAACAGACTGTGACTCTGGAGGAACTTTTTGAAGGTGGCTGAATTTGACCCCGAGTTTCCAGAGTTTGAAGTTGAAATTCCAGACCACCGCAGTGTTACAGTGCATCAATTGCTCGAAACGTTCCCTGATCACGAGGCTGCGAAGGATGTGGACGGCATGGAGCATACTAACTTTCTTCGAGAGTTTCACAAGGTATTTGTTAATGGCAAGGGTGCCCCAGCTGATGGCTTTACGCAACTGCGTTTACAGGACAGAGGAGGTAGAGGAGATACTGTGCCTTTGTGTTTGTTTTGTCAAATGAAGTGGACCGAAGGAGAGGATTCAAAGGAGCATAGCGTTATCGACCAAACAACGATTGACGAGGAAATTACCAAGATTGCCAAAGTGAACGAAGTTCTTAAGGAACGATGTCAATCCTTGGAATGTGCCTTTGGTATCTTTTCAAATCGATGTGAATCTTCCTCCAAAGTGGAGCTTCACTCCCATACATTCATGGTACACAAAGGAAACTTCCGGGAATACTATGGGTACACGTTTGCAGGTCGTGCACACTTCTCAGGTTATAATTTTTTTCTGTAATCGTTCTATATATTTTATATGTTTCAATAATACCATTATCATGTTATACAGCGTCTTCCAGACCTGAACACCATATCAAGCATGTTCCTGGAGTTGGGAAGAAAATCTGTGAAGAAATCGTGAGCGAGCGAAAGAAACGACGATTTGAGAACGAAGAAGATTTTAAGAAAAGGGTGAGAATGTTTCCAAAAAAGGAGCAAGCGTCGCTTTTATTCTAACCAATCAATCACCAGCGAACCGACTTTGCAAACTGAGAGATGGATCCATGAAATCTGGCATTTGTCGCTGTGAGCAAGGAGATCAAAGTATTAGTCAAACTAGAAGTGAATCAACGGTTTTCGAGAACAAGCAGGTCCTTGTTAATTTTTGAAATCGCTTATGTAAAATACAATAAATGCAATAGAAACTCTAAACGTCATATATATGTATCGTAAACAACATCAAGTATGAAAGATGAAAATAAGTATATTTCCTAGGAAAGACGTATACGTTTATTAATTTGAGAATTTGAGAATGAATAGCCTCTGCTTGAATATCCGCTCGAGCCGCTTATATTTGTTTTATGCCTCCTCCCGCTGCGTATAAAATACATCAGATCAGAATGTCGCGCCATAACTATCGGATCGGATCATAAAGAAAAAGAGGAAAAAAAAAAAAAAAAAAAAAAAAGCGAAAAACGTGTTTATATTTTTATTTCTTAGTAAACCAGAATCCAAGAGCAATGGCGGTCAGCACTGCGAGACCAGCTCCAGTGTACAACCCCAAGTTCCCAGCACCACCAACATTCTTCTCTGCAGCCGATCGACGGCGTCGTCGTTTCTTTTTGTCTGTCGATGAGGATGGTGCTGAGGACAAAGAGGATGAACTGGTAGAGGTACGAGTGGAAGTACGAGTTGTAGACGAGGAAGTATAGAATGAGGTTCCTACATACCCGAACGTGCGCTTAATCTCGGTCCAGTAGTAGTTGCTCCAATTCTGGCGGGTAATGTCCTGCTCTCCAATAGGGACGCCCTCCTGCTTGAACTTGATCACTGTCGAGTCGGTATTCTGCGAAATGTCCAAGGTAACAGTGGAATAATGGCCTAGAGGAAATAAAAGAAGAAGTAAAATAACATAGTACATTGGAGATGAGCCCAAGGTCTCGGATAGAGACAGTCAGAGTTATGACTATATTGCTGAAAATAGATCACTCACCTGCAGGCCAGGAGCCCAAACGCCAGTTCTGGACAATTTTCTTGTCTTGGACCAGTTCTTTGATCTCGCCTGTAACATTACCGTCAAAAAAGCTGAACTTTGCTCCGACCTTGGGCTCAATGGTTGACTTGTTACTACGTGTCCATGCCTGAACCTTGGCTTGATTTAAGAGCACATCATAAACATCCCGTGCAGATGCTTGCATTTCAATCGACTCTTCCAGAGTAGTAGTATTAACGGCGGCAGCGCCACTGAAGGTAGTGCTGATATTATTGGCTTTGACAGTAGAGGGAATAGGGGTAGATGTACCTGACGATGACACAGGAGTAGAGGGCTTTGAAAAATCACTGTCAACCTGAACATCCTTGCCATGGACTATACACATGAAAGCAAATTAAAGAAAAAAGAAAAATGGCCTCAGTCATTATCAAAGTCCAATCGAAAAACATAAATAAAAGAATTAATAATAATTGAAAAAAAAAAAAAAAAAAAAAAAAAAAGAGGGACTGTAACATACCACGAATGAGATCTCCTGCAAACTTCTCAAGCTTATTGCGGAGAAGAGGAGCCAGATCCTTGCGGATCAAATCTCTGATAGGTTGTTTGGCATTACTATCAGCATCAATAGTAACATCGAACTACAAAAATATAGAGTATATATACTAGTTAAGAATCTTCCTAACGAGCTGGGGATGAATATTGACAAATTGCCCCAAACGTCTACTTACGACATAGTCTTCAATATCGGTGTCATGAGCGACTTCAGGGATCTCAATCCTGCCATTGACATCGGTTCCATCAGCAGTCTTGCCTAGAAGCGTAAAAAAAAAATTAATTAGTGCCAACCAATCAAAGAGGAAATACGATTAGAGTGCGACGTTTTAAAAAATAAACAGGATCGAGATTGTCTGTTCAATTTGGTGGCGAGAGTTGCTTACATCCCCCTCTTCCCAATTCAAACTTCTATCAAGCAGTTCTTATTTATTTTATTTTATTTTTTATTTTTTACCTTCAAAAGTGATAGTAATAGCAACGTCAAAGATAGTGATGATCTTGCCCTTGCGCTGATTTACATCCACATCTCCTGTCACATTTGTCACAGCGAGGGTCTTGACTGTTGAACCATTCGCCTCTGCCGAAACGTTACTTAGCTCATTCTCAAAGTAAGTTCTGGCCCAGTTGATACAGTTTTTGTCAACCCAGTGCCTATAAAGTAATATAGATAAGCATTTGTTTCTTGTGTTCCTTCTGTCAAATATATTCCATGTAAAATAAAAAAGTTTAAAAAGTACGAGGAATAATAATGAGCTGCAAGGAAATGGAACATGCTTTACCAGTTGTTGACGTTCTTCATGTCCTTACTCATGGTGGAGAGATGTGTATTATATGGATAAAGAATAAAAACCTTTGGGGAGAGAGAGAAAGAGAGAGGGATAGCGAGTGTGAAATATTCAAGTCGATGGCAATTCGAATGAATGAAAGAGTCCGATGGAAAAGAAAAAAAGAAGAGTGGAAAAGAATGGAAAAGTGAGGATCATTGTCTTTGTGTTCCCCTGATCAGAAACATGGAAAAAAAGACGTCACTTTTTTTAAATTTAGCCTTTAATTCTTTTTCATTCTTTCTAACAGTTCCTGCCAAACGCAAACCCCCTATTCCTACGCCACACAAGAATCCTAGTTAGAAGATGAAGACGGCACCGCCATCAACGCCAAGTTCTCCAATGACGTCTCTTGATCAACATAGTACACCAGCTTTGCATCAAACCCATTCTGCTGTAGATATCGCACACGACCAATGTCAAGTAATCGCTTGCATTGTTGGCCTAGGCGAGCTCGTGCCTGGAAATCCATTGTGGGAATATGGGTACTATCATTAAAACATGAAGAGTAGTATTAGATAAAAGAAAAAGAAGCAGCATCCAGTAAGAATATGAATGGGCTAAACAGCATCATGTTGATCCATTGAAGAAGGAAAAAACAAAAAAAACAAAATAAAATAAAATAAAATTTGGCATTCACATACCTGAGTTTATCCAATGCAGAGTCAGCTTCGATACGGTGGTCGTCGTCATCACCAGTGATATCATTAGGGCTATTAGCATTGTTTTCATCACTGCTATCAGGCTTACTATTACTCGTTTTCTCGGTCTTGGTCTGGTTCACACAAACAGCCCAGCTGCTCATACGCGTCAAATAGACAAACTCTTCAGGATTAATGTCAATCTCTTCCAAGAATTCCTGATTGGGATACATGTAATGATGGCACAATTGATGACAACAAAGCGCTATAAGAATGCCCTTGACAGGTGAAGGGAGACTTGAGCGACCACGTTCGCTGGCAAAGAAAAAGAAATAAAGATACTTATTAATATCATATCGAGTAATTGTATCCATCACATCCTCGTTTTTCAACCCTTTGGCAGATACTCACGTCGCTTGGAAGTTGGTAAGACATTTGAGCGTCAAATCTGTTGCGCCTCCGCACAAGTGTTTCGATATAGCTACAACCGGTTTCTTTTGCACATATTGTGGTTCCTTTGATCCTCCTTCATCTTTGGACTTCTCTTCAACAGGTGGTGTCCTCTGTGTCGCTGTGACATCTATCCTCAATTCAGGCACTTCTGCCAAAACCAGATCTTTGATATCCATAGTGTGCCTCTTCACTAATGACTTGATCTCCTCCTGACCTAGCAGAATGCTGTCAAACTTATTCCTAGAGGGAGTCCGATCTACAAGGACAAAAGTTGCTGTTCCATGATCATCCACCGCAATTTTGAGGTAATTTGATAGCTCTCCACGACCTGCGCCAAACTCGACATAGCATGTGGTTGGATCATCCAACATATGAAGTCGTTCCATATTCCCAAGAAGGGATGCTTGTTGACGAGCATGCTTGATATTCTTAATCATCTTTCTAGTTACATCGCAGCAGTTTGGACAAGCAATCTGAGGTGTTCGTTGAGTGTTTTTTTTTTTTTTTTAAACAATTTACTCGATATCCGTTTTTTGTGTTGGCTTGGAACTTACTTGCGCTCATCTAAGGCAGGATGGTCCAAAATCACTGTCTGGATTTCTGGAACATATTTCGTGTACATATCCTGGATTTTTTTAACTAAGGCCACAAATTGATCACTAGAAAGTGTTGAGAGGATGTCGCTGTTTGTTTGAATTGCCTTTGCTCCTGAGTTTGAGGGTTGAGCAGCCCCTTGGCTATCCCCAATGTCTGATGATCCTTTGGGCGCTGGTAAGGTGAGATTAATATCCTTTGAGTATTGGGCTGGTTCATCCTTTGGGCGTGCATTGCATTTATACAAATGAGCCTTTAGATCGTCCGCCCAAGCAGTGCTGGAAAGTAGTCAATAGTTTTAATGTTATGAATGGCTAATTTTGATAAAAAACCCGATCCAAAGGGACAAGTAACCAGGCAAAGCCATCTCTTTCAATTGAACACTTACTGACTGGGATCGAATGGACATGGAATACGTTTTCGGGCCGTTTGTTGAAAGCCTTCGCCTTCCGTTTTGGCTCCATTCTCGTTGGCATTGGATGTTGATGTGGGATCAGCCGTAGTTTCGTACATCGAATGCTCTCCACAAAACTTATTGCCAAGTTTCGTGGTGAGGCTACAATACTTGCCCTTGCTCAGTAACAAGAAATGACATTGCCTCGGACGTGATGGGACTGGGGGAGGGGGCCCTATAAGAACATAGGCGATAGGAAGGAAAGAGGTAATCATTGCCTTGGCGTCAGTCCTTCATAGGTGATTCCTTTTTGCCCTGGATTAATAATAGTCCAATGTCCACAATTCATCCGCTACTGACCCTTGGTCTTCTGACGTTTGTTGCGAGGTCTGTGGTTGAGAACAGGTGGCTCGAGAGTTCCTGCTAACGCCTTTGCCACCGGATCAGTCCCATTCTCATGAGGTCGTTTCGTGTCCTTGTTGTCGCTCATTGCAATTGATGTCAAGATGTTAAATAAATCTTTTTGCGGTGTGTTTTGATAAATTCGCCCAATAATCAAGAAATAGTGACTGTTGACCATTTGATTTGCCACCAAGGCCTAATTGATCAATACAACATTCTTCGCCCTCGAAATAAGCAACCGATTCTTCACCAGTTTCATAAAACAGCATTCAGAAAGTCATCCAATTGTGGGATTTTGGCTCCTTTTCTCATTCATACTCTATTTTCCTCTTCTAATGGATCCATCAGGACTACCTCGAACATCTGGTTCCACCCAAACGTCATTCCCTAATGCTTACAGCCAGAACACAAACAACAGTGGTACGAGCGACAGTGGGGGCTACTATGTTCCGCCTTCGTCCGAGCTAACATCCTCAGATCATGATAACGCATTGGGAGTCATCGAAGCAGCATTCAAACAAACAGACTGTATGCTGGATCAGCGAGATATGAAAGCGTTTGGTAAGTTTACAAATCTAATATCTCTTTCCCACTCCATCTGCACTACTGGAGTGAGGCTTTCATTTACCAATAGGTATTTTTCATTCCTCTACTATATCTATCAGGAGATAATTCAGAGAGCATCTTTCAGGAACTCAACAATATCAGGAAGAAACAGTTGGCATTGGCTGCGAAACATATCAGTATTGAGACAGTTGCAGACGATGACAGGTCATTAGCACCTGATGGGAAACTTTTAGATGCGGCCGAGAAGGACGAAATTGATCCATTCCAATTCGCGAGGAAAGGAAAAGAACTGCAGGATCTCATGGCCAGTGTATGTTTTACATTCCAGATCGTTTCCCTTTCATGCCTCATGTCTTTTTTTTTTTTTTTTTTTTTTTTTTTTTTTGTTGGTAATAAAAGACAGGAAAAACTGATGATTGTTCTCGATTCGATCTCTTTGTATTTTGCTCTTTCTTTTTATCTTCATATGTTATGTTAGCTGGAAGATCTAGGTCGATCCATGTATGTTGAACATGTTGCTTGTTTGGACAAAAAAAAAAGTTATGTTGTAAAGGGTTTTTTTAAAAAAAAAAAAAAAAAAAAACTGATTTCATTCATCCTATGCTCTTATGGCAACTTTAGGTCTGATTTCCATGAACTTTCGAATTCGACCAAGAAACAGCCAACATTTGTTTCATATCCTTCATCAGCTCCAAGAAAATAGTATTTGTCCATTGTATAAATAGTACATTTATTTCCTTCATTTAATATATACCCATTTCTCTTTGGAAATAAATCATTACTTTTTATTAACCGTAGATGCGGTTGCGGTCCCTCTTGTGAAGTAATAAGTCCTTGACCTCCCCATAAGTTCGATGCAAGCTTGCATATCGCCTTTGTATATTTGAGCAAAGTATAACAGAAAAAAATTTTCTATTGATTCATTGCGATTTTGATGCGTCAGAGAACCAGCCTTCAGTCTTGACTCTTTCTAATTTACGCTGCACAAGTTCTTTGAGAGTCCATTCCCGTGGGTGGTCGCGCTCATAAAGAAAGTATGCACCAACTCCACAGACAAGCGAGAATACCACATCGCCTCTCCTAAATGCCAAACAGGAATATGATAGGTAGCATCAGTAAGCAAGCTCTTTATAAAGTAAAATAAAAGTAAATAATAATAATAATAACAATAACAATAATAACAAATAAATAAATAAAAGGAATAAGCATGTTACTTCGGTCAGGAATGTAAAAGTAGCAGGTAAGATTCTTACTTGGAAATGAGATATGTGTATTTGACGGGCATGATCGATTTAAAGAATGAGAGACAAATGCGACGAATGTTGATCACATCTAAACTAAATCGCCACCAAAAGGAAAATTGAAATATCCAGTCATAGAGTTGTATATCTCGCTACCAGTATACCGTCTATTTTTGAACAACTTATCAAGATGCATTAAATTTCTTACAAAATGATGAAAGCTTACAAATTTTTGAAGGCGCTCCTAACGCCTATGAACTCGTTGGCTTGAACTTGTTGGGCCTCGTTTGTGTAGTCATATGGGACAGGCACACACGCACGATGTTCTCGGATTCGACCATGTCACGATCACAATATATCTGACAGCTTCGTATGCAGCTTTCTGAGCTTTTCTCAAGTCCCAAGTCTCTCCGAGATACCATTTGTTGAGATAAAAAGACCGAAGTCTTTCCCCCTCTCCATCCCTGTACAGGTACTCCAAGTACGAATTGATCCCTGAAAGCGTCATGGGCGGCAGCGCTGACTCGATCAGATCGATAGGCCTTTCTCTCTTCAAGCAAGTGACAGTACTTGATATAAGGCCCGTACAAGAACGATCGACGGATGGTGGTGAAGCGGCGGACTTGGGGCTCCCCTAGGTTCAGAGCTATTCCAACCATTGTCTTTACCTCTCCAGGATCCATCCCAACGACAAACGGTGTCGGGCCGGAACTTGAGGACGTTTCATCGAAAACAACCTTGACACTCCTTAGCATCTTGGAGCCTCGTTTCCAGTTAATGCTAGAGGCATGCGCTCTTTCCGTATCCGAAGTGTCAGACTCATCGTCCGAGGAGATTGGTCCAGAGTCAGGAGCCCTTGGGGGCACGGAAGTATGTGGTGCTCCACCTCGCGCACGTTTCGCGGCCGCAGACGGGACGGCGCTGAGCTTTCGCTTGGCACTAGTACATAAGTGAGCCTTTGATGATGAGCTTTCAGCTTCCTGCTCCTCAAGTTGCAAAAGAGCGCCTTCCATGTCATGAATGAATGCCTTGTCCAGGTCGAACTCGTCGTCACCCTCACCAAAAGATCGCCATTTTCATCATCGGGTGGGGGTCTGAATGAAGACGCTCGAGCTTTTGGACGCTCCTTAGTGGTGTCATATGATAACAGGTTGAGCACGAGTCCATTGGTGCAGATGGTCCCCTTCAACTTGAACCGATCCGATAATGTATCCATTTGCAGCCCCATCTTGCCATGATATCCGTTTATGCGCCGACGGGTTCGAACAGGGCAGAGCAAGCTATTGATCAACAACCCCTTACACCTCAGAACCAGCCGGACAGCTTCAGCAACGGTCGCGTCATTTGCTAATTCTAATGCATGGAGGGCCTTACAACGCGTGTCCTCGTGGCCGTGGAAGATGTGCAACAAATCCTCCTCAGATAGGTAGATGAATGTAGGCATGTGTTTACTTTTTGGAAAGTCTGCAAACTTTCCTGTTTGGCTATTTTTCTCGAAAAAGTAGTCAATCGGGTTTTTGTTTCCTGGCCGCTGTCCAGTCTCAGAGAGAACTGTCTGAGATACATCCAATTAAAAAAAAAAAAAAAAAAAAAAAAATCAAACCTGGCTTTGGTACTTTGGCTTTACCACAATAAATGATGCTGTGTATTTGTCAAACGATCGAATTACAATAATGGTCATAAGAAGGGATAGCAGAAACAGCATGGATACGTCTATCGAGACTTTGGAAGTTTGTTGACATTGAGCATTGAATATTCCGCCAAATCCCCTCTTAATCTCACTCATGCGCGCTGGGTATGGCTCGTGCTCACACAAATTATCTACACTCACTTGACTTGCCAGTAAAAATTAGCAAGAATGGTCTCAAAAGCCCTTTTAGTGAAAAGCAATATCAACTACCATACCAAAGGTTTGGAGCGGGCATTTGTATTCGTGTTCATTGACGACCAGGGCCACTTGAGCTTGCTTGCGACATCTAGTGTCATGTTATACATTTCAATGGCTCAAAGATCCATTTCCATCCTTGGGTATAAGTAATTTAGAATATGTATTGCCAGCAAAACTGATTTCTATTTGAAAAAGAGACTGTACTCAAAATGAACAAGAACACTCGACTTAAAATGTTTCTAACAAACAATGTTTATTGCTAACTATTTAACATGTTACCGCGTCGGAACTGTGCACTACTCGAAGGAAGGGTAGCTTCTGAACCAAAGGAGCTTTTTTGTTGTTGTTTTTTTTTTTTTTTTTTTTTTTAGAAGGAAGTCTTGATATTAGTGAATTATTAAGTTGTTTGCTGGTTGCCTTTAGTTGTCTGTGTAATTCGTTGTGTGAGCGAAGCCATGAGTTGTCTGTCTAGTATCATATATTGCTCCAGATTATGTGTGATAAATAGCATACATCTTTTGTCGCCTGTTTTGCTGCCGTAGTCCAAGGTTTTTATTTCAAAAGCATGGCATCAATTTTTTTTTTCACAATTGCTCAAACTGAATTTGCTGTCCAAAAAAGGTAGTGTTGTAAGTGTTGTATTCAATTTAGTGTTAATGAAAGTTAAGCGGGCGGGATTCTCATTTGACAGGATTTGGTATTGTTTTTATGGTTTACTTGGTCGTCAAATGAGAATCCCCCGACTAAAAATGGTAATAACGTGGCTGGTTTCTTCACATTGTCCGACAATGCAATGATGCAAAACGAATGGAATGGAATGGGGTTCATGAAAGAAAAAAAGTGAATTAGCTGAACTATAAAAAGACAGCATAGTTTTCTCTTCTTTCTTTTTTCCTTTGGTTAAGACTCAATATCCATCACTCTCTCTTCCTTCCTCTCTATTCTACTCTACTCTACTCTACTCTACTCTACTCTACTCCTTTCTCTTTCCAATTATCCTCCTCTGAGGAGTATTCACAACCAACAGCAACACAAAACTCATATAATGACTGAATTCTCTTCTCTCGTATCAAACTTTGCTCACAAAAGTAATGAAAAGAGTCGAAACAACAACAACAACAACAACAACAACAACAACAACAACAACAACAAGAATGATAGGGGCAAGAGGCGTGCTGAAGAACCCAAAGGCAAACAAGTGAAGGATCAGGATGTGGGAGGAGAAGAAGAAGACCTTAGTAACACCAGCCGAGATGATAGTGATGATATTCAGTCAGAAAGCCCTGATACCTCGGGCGTGAATGCATCCTCTCCATCAGTGAGACAACTCAGAAAGAGTCTTCGACTTCACAATATTTCCACCTCTTCAGCTTCAGCTTCGACTTCAGCTTCGACTACTAATCCAGAAAGAGCACAACCACTTATCACTCGAACCATTAGTGCTAACAGTATCAAAGCGAGACCACATTACAAACGAACGATCGCCGAAAATGAAACGACTGCTGGATCTGTATGTAGTTTCGATTGTTTTTTTCTTTTTTTAGTAAAAGAAAAAAAAAAAAAAAAAAAACCTGCCTAAAGAGGAAAAAAAAAATGTATACATGTATAGTAGACTGACGATCGTTTTTTTTTTTTTTTTTTTTTTCTTTATTTTTTTAATGACAGCCGGCCAAGGTCAAGAAACGAAACCCTGGTTATTCTGCACCTTCAGTATATGCACATCTGTCATATGTCCCAGATATTATCGATTACGACCTGGATGTCCTATTCGTAGGCATCAATCCAGGAGTTAAAAGCAGTGAACGAAGCCGTCATTTTGCAGGCCCAACAAACCACTTTTGGCCATGTCTATCTGAGAGTGGTAAGATTCAAAAAAAAAAAAAAAAAAAAAAAAAAAAGATTGACTTTCGATCATGGAATACATAAAATGGTGGCGGCTCTTATTTTTTTTTTTACAAATATATTTTGGGCTGCGCCGCTTTTTATTATTCTCCTTTGTTCATCTAAATGTTACACAAAAAAAAAGTCCCATTTGACGCGTGCTAATATCTTAATAATAATAATTAATAGGACTCCTTCCTCCTGGCGTCACTATGAGACCTGAAGACGATCGTTCTTTACCCATCATTGCCAACATGGGCTTGACCAACCTAGTGGATCGTCCCTCTCGTATGGGGAATGAGCTTTCCGAAACTGAATGTCGTGCGGCTGCACCGACCCTGACAGCCAAGATCAAGAAGTATCGACCTCGGTTTGTCTGTTTTATTAGTAAACAAGCCTGGGATATGTATGCTGGTGTCGGTCTAGGCCTTCAAACGGCCTGGGTAAGCTGGTATGATGAACCAGAAGACCAAATGCTCCTTGGCATGGACCATGGCCATAACCATGGTAATAGCAATGGTAGTAGAAGGAGTCATTCAGTCCAGGACAACCTGGATTCTCAAGGATATCGTCTAGCACCATTCTTTGAAAGAGGTCCAAGCCTCGATAAGATAAAACGTGAATTAGAAGCACAAGGAGTACCTTTCCAACTCAAGCGAGAGTTGTCAGAGACCAAGGACGATGGGATCAAGTCGGAGCCATCTGAGGACAAGAAGACCAATGAATTGATGCATGTCAAAAAGGAACCACGGGATGAGGACAAGATAAAAACCGAGATTAAAGAAGAGCCTGAACTTTCGACTATGAAGATGGAAATCGATACAAAGGACGGGAGTGAGCACGTGGAACTGAAGGCTGATCACGCTCATGTCAGAAGCGAGGGCAAAGGCAAAGGCAAAGGCAAAAGCAAAAGCGAAAGTGAAAGCAGAGAAGAAATGGGGCGGTCACGATTAGATGCTAGTGGGTCTCTGGACTCTAGATCAACTATGAATAGGGGTGCAGTTCGAGGTAGTCGTATGTTTGTGATACCGAGCACGAGTGGGCGCGTGACACACTACAAGAAAGAAGACAAGCTAGCGTATTTCAAGCAGCTGGCTGAATTAGTTCGTCAAGACCGACGAATGCGTGGTGTAAAAGACCCATGGGACAAGTAACGTGCAAGATATAATACGGACTGGAGTTTCTTTATCTGGACTCTTTTTTTTTTTTTTTTTTTTTTTTTTTTTTTTGCAAGGTGTAAATAGATTCGACTTTTACATCAAGCATTCTAATAAACATAATATGTATCGTAAATAAAAATAAATTTAGTTAAAATAAATTGCCAATATACATATATTTTATTCTACAAATTTTTTTTCTAGTTTTTTTGATCCTTTTTCTTTTTTCTTTTGTTCTTTCTTTCTTGAATCCTCTGGATAGGATAGAATGATGGTATTTATCATTGCAACGTAAAATGCTCAAGTGAAGGGCAGTATACAAATTCATGACGTTGGTTTTTGTTTTTGTTTCTGTTTTTGATCCTTTTCTCAGTGTTTGAAGAATGAACAGAGTCGACTTTCTTCCTCTCTTGTTGTTGGATATGGAGTCTTTGGTAGGCCACGTTTTCTTTCATGATTCAACAAATTGTCACCTTCACCTAGAAAAGAAAATATATAAATATATAAATATATAAATATATAAATGAATATTAGCAATGTAACCACAGATCACTCAATCGGGGCCACGTTGTTCAATCAATGACGACAATGAGAGGAGTTAAAAAAAAGGGGGAGGAAAAGAGAAAAGGATGAAAAGGATGGATCGAGTCCCCCTGAACCACAATTTTGGACAAATAAAAGGTTTCTCATTTTCAGTCTAAGTTTTTATTTTATTTTATTTATTTTTTACCTGATAAGAATCGGACACTTGAATTCCGCTGTCGATTTTGATCCCAGCTGAGATTAGGTGATTGAGCGGATTCATTTTCGCTATGGTCCCCATTAAATGTAATTGTTGACTCGCCATCGTTCGAGAAGCTGCTATGACTTCTTTTACAGGATGATGGTAAAGTGATGGAGAACATTGGACGTCTCTGAGCCTTGGTGGATCGAGCGCTAGATTGCATCCCATCACCTGTGTTTTTCTTTTTTGATACAAGGGCGCTACCACTGTTGCTGAGAAATGCTATGGAGCTAATTGGATCTTTAAGATCTTGCTGGTGCATCATCAACTTTTTTTTTTTTTTTTTTTTTTTTTTTTAATATATTGATATATTTATATACATTTATATTTTTTGTTTGTTTGTTTGTAAGTAAATCATTGCTGCTTGGTTAGAATAAATTAAAAAAAAAAAAAAAAAAAAAAAAAAAAAAAGATATGATATTGAGCAAAGAGATTAAATCTATACCTGTTCTGAGGCAATGGTCATTTTGTTTGATATCCAAAGTGTTTGATTGTCTGATTCAAATGAGAAAAAAAAGCTGTTGTTGCTGTTATGTTGTTTAATGAGATTATGAGAGTATAAGTGTACAAGAGTACGAGAGTATGCGAGAGAATAAAGGGAAAAGGAAGAAAAGAAAAGAGAGAGAAAAAAAGAGAAGGTCAAAGAGTCCTTTATACTTTTTTTTAAGGAACAACTTGGACAAGTCCAGAATACGCTAGTAATGAAGGTTTGAAAGGAAAATTAAACCATGGGTGGCGAGAAAAGAACTACAATAGACTTGTCTAAAACAAGTCTAGTAACATTTAAAAAAATGAATCTGATATTTTAAAAAAAGAGGTTGAGGATGAAGATGAAACTTTGGAGAGACAGGATCATGTTCTCTATGATCCGATTTAATCTTCTAAAGATGGATACATTACGCTCAAAAAGAACAAAGTGATGTATACCTTATACCAGTTTTATCTCCTACATAGCATGTCTTGGTGTCTTGGTGTCTTGGTATCTTGGGGGCAGGTTTTTTGAAGTTGTAGACTGCTGATCATAGTTGTTGGCGATAAAGGATTTTACCTCATTAACAAAAAGATGAAAACAAAGCGCGTATGGGAACTTGATTCTATCCAAGGGTTTACAAAGCAATTAAGGACGCGTGGCGAATGGGACATGTAGTGCGAAGTATCAGTGTGTGGGGAGAGTGTGGCGTTCGATGCAATGTAACAATGTGCTGTGGCTTGACCCTCGGCCCTCTTTCCAAATCGGGACAGAATTCTTCACACGCACGACACGATCGAATCCTTCTTTTGGGGTTTTGTGGGGAATAATTACACGCATAAATATATACATGTCAATACAAATCATATTAGATGTATTGATCAATTATATAATAATATATAGTCGTCAGTGGCTTTTTTTTCATACTCATCAAGATCCAACCAAGGTCGGACTCCCTTGGCGATAAACGATAAACGATAAACGACAAACGGTATACATTTCCGTTTTTCAAGGGCAGCTGAGATGAAGAGGTTGAGAGTCAATAAAATCAATGTGTCAATGTGTTTGTGTATGCAGGAAATGATTACCGTACACACAAAAATAATATCCCTCTGCAAAAGCGGACTTGTCTGACTCGAAAAGAATGGAAGAAAGGAAGGAATTCCTCCATTCCCTTTTTCCTCTCTTCTCTCTTTCTCTTTTCTCTTTTTCTCTTTCTCTCTTTCACACTTATTCATTCATTCATTCAACCTTCCCACAACTTACCTCCTTTTCCCCTAAAACCTCCATTCATTGTCTCTTTCTCTCCCCTCTTCTATAAAACAACCACTCCATCCACAATGATCTCTACTATTTCAAAACCTGTCACCCGTCTGGCACGTCCTCTCTCCACACTCCTTACCTCTTCTCCTGTCCAAGTTCGTCGCCAACTCACCATTAATGCTGCTGCTGCCTCCGTTGTTGCTGCTCAGCGTCTCAGGTAAAGCATTAACTTTTCCTACGATCACATACGAAGGAAATAAAAAAAAAAAAAAAAAAAAAAAAAAAAACTCTACAAGGCTTTTTATTTTTTAATTCTTTCATTATCGATTCCGATCCACGGACTTGTATGGGAGAAAAGGAACAATGTCAAAGGAAAACCAATTGACCGGACTGACTGATGTCTGATGTCTGGTATTCGATTTTATAGTCCTTACCGTTCACAGGTCAGGTTTTATGGTAAGCTTTGCTTTTTTCTTATGCTGTTTGTAATATGAAAAAAGTGTGAGTGCATGATGACGAAGATACAGCGAATATTATTGATTTACACTATAATCATCAATCGATACTTTTTTCCACTAGCCGATTATGTTGTCAAGGTCCCCCATATGGCCGATTCCATCTCTGAGGGTTCTTTGAAGCAATGGAACAAGAGTACGTGAGCTTTATTTTTAATTTTCATTTTTCGGCTTTCCCTGAAATGGACACGTAATTGCAGTTGCCGCGATCAAGTCCGAAATGAACTTTGTAAAAGTAACAAGACAACTGATCTCGACTTTATTTTTTTAAATCAATTCGCACAATCATTAGAGGTCGGCGACTTTGTTGCTTTGGATGAGGAAGTTGCAAGCATTGAAACTGACAAGGTAAAAAAAAAATAAATAAACAAAAAGATTCAAATGGAGCAACAGATCTCAACATTGGGAAGGGGGAATAATGCACAAAACGGCAATTCATGATGGGTTAGAGCCCATCTTACTCCGCAAGAATGGAGCGCGATACAAAAAAAAAAGCAAATTCATGTTACAGGATAAAGACGTTAATTGCAACAAGAAGCCTTGTCTCCTTGGGAAAAGGCTATGCAAGGCAGAAGACAGGATTCAATTCTGGAAGAATGTTCATGTACACAGTGTCATAAAAAAAGGAAAAAAAAGACTTGGCTGTGTTTCAGATCACAATTGTAATGTTGAGCCATGTCAAAAGATTTTTTTTTGGCATATTCAATCTTGTCAAGCCTCGTCTGTGTTTTCTCCTGAGCCTACTGTCTTTTTTTTTTTTTTTTTTTTTTTGAACAAACGCGTATTGGACACATTTTTAACTTTTTATTTTATTTTATTTTACAATATTGCTTTTGTCTATTGCTCTAGGTTGATGTTGCTGTCAACTCTCCCAAATCTGGCACTATTGTCGAGTTGTATGCCAAGGAGGAGGACACCGTGGCTGTCGGCGCTGATCTTTTCAAGCTTGAGCTTGGAGATTCCCCATCTGGAGGTACTTACCTGGTCTTTTTTGTTTTAAAAACTTTAATCTTTTAACATATTATAATGACTCTTTACAACACAAAAGTTCATTAACATCGTGATCGTGTTTTGATCTTTATAGGTGCTGGTCCCGCCAAGGAGGAAAAGAAGGCAGAAAAGAAGGCAGAGCCAAAGGATGAGCCAAAGAAGGAAGAGCCAAAGAAGGAAGAACCCAAGAAGGAGGAAAAGAAGCCTGAGCCAAAGAAGGAGGCCCCAGCTGCTCCAAAGCCCGCCCCTGCCGCCTCAAAATCCAGCCCTGAGCCTTCGTCTGCACCCGTCGCTTTCAGCCGCGAGGAACGCACTGTAAAGATGAACCGCATGCGTCAGACCATCGCCAAGCGCCTGAAGCAATCTCAAGAGAACGCTGCCTCTCTCACTACTTTCAACGAGGTCGATATGTCCAACTTGATGAAGCTCCGTGCCAACTATAAGGATGCTGTTTTGAAGAAGCACAACGTCAAGCTCGGATTCATGTCAGCCTTCGTCAAGGCCTCATGCTATGCCTTGAAGGAATTGCCCGCCGTGAACGCCAGGATTGAGGGCGACAACATTGTCTATAATGACTATGTTGATGTCTCCGTAGCCGTTGCTACCCCCAAGGGTCTTGTAACTCCCGTTATTCGCAACGCAGAGAGCCTTTCATTCGTCGAGGTGGAGAAGAGTATTGCTCAGTATGGTGCCAAGGCACGTGATGGACAGCTTGCCATTGAAGATCTCAGCGGCGGCACCTTCACCATTTCGAACGGAGGTGTCTTTGGCTCCATGATGGGTACACCCATCATCAATATGCCTCAGAGCGCCATTTTGGGCATGCACGCCATCAAAGAAAGGCCCGTTGCTGTTGATGGCAAGGTCGAGATCCGCCCTATGATGTACATTGCCCTCACTTATGACCACCGTATTATTGATGGACGTGAGGCCACTACTTTCTTGGTCAAGGTCAAGGAGATCATTGAGGACCCTGTTCGCTTGTTGTTGGATGTTTAAAAAGAACAAGAATTTTATTATTATTACCTTTTTTTTTTTCCAACTCATAGAAACAACAAATTTTACCAGACAAAAAAGAAAGAAAGAAAGAAAGAAAAAAAAAAATCATAATGTTCATTCAACACATATTTCAACTTTATCTCTCTTTTTTTCGTATTTGAATCAGTTTATTATTATTATTATTATTGCAGAAACAAGGAACAGCGAAGAACAACATTTTCCCTCCTTGTCCGTGGATTTATGAAGTGTTGGTATTATACTCCAGGCATTTGGTGATGCTTGTATGCAGGAGGCTGAGTAATATTAAAACGTCAGTATATGGCATGATACTTTGATGGAGTCAAGGTGGAAAGAGATGGTTTTATTATGGATAGCATTACAGCCTCCCGAGGATGATAGTTAGAGAACTAAGATGCTGCTAAGCGTAAAAAAAAAAGACCCAAACGTTAAACAATGAAGAGATCTTGCAGGAGGGTAAAAGGCAAGTACTCATCGCTGCAGGCGCTTCAGTGTCAAATACGTTTAAGCAAAAAAAAAAAAAAAAAAAAAAAAAAAAAAACCCTTCGTCATTGTAACAGTACAATATTAGTAACCTACTGTAATAATAATAATAATAATAATAATATAGTAATAAAAAGCATCTCGAAACGCAATGTTGCTCTGTTCTGAGTTTTATTATCCTTGGAATTCCAACTAAGAATGATGTGCTTGATATAGTTTTTTTTTTTTTTTTTTTTTTACTTGTAAAATTCAAAATCAGTGTCCGTCTTCTTGACATTACTCTTATAACCCTTCTCTAGATCCTTGGCCAAAATAACATAACGGTTCTTACGCACAGCAAGCATACCAGCCTCCTGGCAAATTGCTGCAATTTCTGCTCCTGACAATTTGTCTGGTCGCGACACGACTACAGAAGTAAAAATAATAATAATAATAATGTACATATTAATAAAAAAAAAAAAAAAAAAAAAAAAAAAGAAAGAAAATAATGCTTCATACTTTCATAAACACGATGTGGCCAAAAAAAAAAAAAAAAAAAAAAAAAAAAAGGAACACTATAACTTACAGTCTTCCAGATCTACTTCGTCTGACAGGTTCATCTTGGCAGTGACGGTGGCAAAAATTAATCGCTTCTGACGGCGATCTGGTGTGGGGAACTCAATCTTACGATCCAATCGACCAGGACGCAGGATAGCGGGATCAAGTGTATCGGCACGGTTGGTAGCCATAATGACCTTGACATTCGATCCTTGATCGAAACCATCCATTTGGTTCAACAACTCTAACAGTACACGCTGGACTTCACGATCGGCTCCTGTCTGTGCATCGAAACGCTTAGTTGCAATAGCATCCACCTCATCAATGAAAATGATTGCAGGAGAGTTCTCTCGAGCCATCCTGAATGCATCTCTGACCATCCTCGGACCTTCGCCCAGGTACTTTTGCACAAATTCTGATCCAACCATACGGAAGAATGATGCTGAGGTATGGTGAGCAACTGCCTTGACCAACATAGTTTTACCTGTTCCGGGAGGGCCATAGAGTAAGACGCCTCGTGGAGGATCGATACCGATCTGACGATAGAGATCGAAATGTGTGAGAGGTAATTCCACAGCTTCTCTAATCTCCTGCTTCTGCATATCCAGTCCTCCCACATCTGCGTAGGTCACATCGGGTTTCTCATCCTGTCCCAACATCTCGACACTCGAGTCTGCATTGGGTGGCAAGACATCGACCAGGGCATTGGAGTGGCGATGAAGAGCGACTGAGCAAGATGGTTTGAGCAATTCACGATCGATCGTGCTCAGGATACGGACAACGTGTTGAGCGCCTGTGGTGGAGGAGACAATACCCGTGTGCTGATCAATCGGTTCCAAGAACTGCCCGATGACTAAGGGGACAGACTGGATCCTCTTCACTTCCTCCTGTGCACGGATCAACTCTCGCTTTAAATTCTTTTGCTCATCCTTGATGTATTCCTCCTGTAACTGTAAAAACTCAAGGTGACGCTGAAGGTTCTTGTAGCGGGTGTAGAGATCGTTTGAAGCCAAGTGAGCAAGGGGTCCTTGCTCAGGCTGGTCAATGCTGCTACTAGCCTCCTAATGAGAAAAAAAAAAAAAAGATAGAGCAAAAAGTAAAACATGTCAGTTCCTCGTCTACAATGAAACCTGGAAGAAGGCGAATTCGTCAAGGTAAAAAATGTGTAACACATCGCACCTTTTGCTTCAAGGTTGCCTCTGCAGTGACGGCGGGTTTAATTCCAAGTTCCTCCATGTGGAAAGTGTATATGTGAGGGATTGGGAGGGAAAAATAGGTGTTTTCGGGAAGAGTAATGAGTGGGAGATAAAAATTGAAAATGCTTTTCGAATTTACAAAAGAGAAAAAGACATTTCACTTTGCATTCTAATGAACTTGACACGCGTCGCCTAACCTTTTTTTAGTGACATGAGTAGCTGAATATACGCCACCTTACTAGTCACAAGGTGACGTAATAGAGCTAGGATTGTGCCATGCTCTGATCCCTAACACACAGAGAAAAAAATAAAAAATTTGAAGGGAAGGGTATATGATCAGGGACATTGTTCGTCTGTATCATCCCCTCTTTCCATTCTCATTCACACAGCCATGTCTGCCTTTAAGCTGCCCCCTGTGTCCGACTCACAGAACGGATGGGGCCCTGTTGGTCTTAGTTCCCAGTTCCGTGACATTCCATATGCTCCATACTCCAAGGCTGACAAACTTGGCCGCATTGCCGACTGGTCTGCCGCCGAGGGCACCCAGGGCAAGGACGGCCGTGGGGCTGGTGGCGATCAACGTGGAGGTCGCTCAGGTTTCCGCAACTTTAGAGGTATCAGTACAACTTGTCACTCTACACATACATTTATTTTTTTTTTATTTTTTTTTTTTCTTTCCATCACCTTTAGATCAATCAAATCAAACCAGCATTTCCAACTCGAATTTGATCCAAAATCTGATTTATTAATTTAAAAATATTTATTACAATTATTATCAACAGATAACTATGTCCCATTCGGAAGCAATGCCGCCAATGCCTTCAACTACCAGCACACCGAGGATGAGGCATCTTTCTCGGTTGTAGACAATCGCTCAACTGCCCAAAAGAAAACAACTGGCTTCAAATCCTCCTCTGGCCAACGTGGAGGCCGTGGTGGATTCCGCCAGCAAGGCCAGCAGCGCACCCAGTTCCAACGTTTGGGTGCGAACCGTGGAGGCTTCGGAGGCGCCCGTCAGCAGCAGGGTGGGCAGCGTGGTGGTCGTCGCGGCTACAGCAACTGGAGGGACTTTGACCGTAACCAACGTGTCCGAGATGCCTCTGTCAAGGTTGGCTCTGACTGGTCTATGCTCGAGGAGATTGAGTTCTCTCGTCTCAATAAACTTCAGTTTGAGGTCGAAGAGCCTGAAGATATGTATGTATCTGCACTTGACTACAGATTTCGTTTCTCTCTCTCTTTCTTTCTTTCTTTCTCTGGAGCAGCAAAGCATCGAAGAATAGCCTAATGGATAACCTAATGCACAACACCTACTCATTTACTCTGAACCTGCATCAATTGCAACTAGTGCGCTCTACGGTGCTGTTGGAACCTACGACAAGGCTTATGATCGCGTCAACACCAAGCAGGAAAAGATTCTTCAACAAGTGGATCGTGAGCGCGACAATGTTACCACCTCAGAGGATCCTATTCTCAGCAACTTGGCATCTGAGCCTCTTGCCGAAGGAGAGCAGCGTGTTTTCGCTACCGATACCATTATTGGCGTTTTGATGACTGCACCTCGTTCAGTTTATCCATGGGATATTGTCATCACAAAAACCGACAATAAGGTTATTTTTGATACTCGTGAAGGCAGTCAACTCGACTATGTCTCTGTAAATGAGAACTCAACTGACCCACCCATGGACACTGGTGACAAGGATAACATCAACTCACCCAGCGCTCTTTCCTTGGAGGCCACCTATATCAACACCAATTTTGCAGCACAGGTTGCTAGCTCAGAGCAGGTTGTCGAATTGGAAAATGCCAATCCATTCTATAACCCTGATGAAGAGAATGTTCCTTTGGTTGGATACCGCTACCGCAAGTTTGACCTTTCGACGACCGAGGAGGAGAATATCACGCTTCTTGTTCGTACTGAGGTAGACGCGGTCGTCAAGTCACCCCAGGGTGAAGACACATATATCACTGTCAAGGCATTGAACGAATTTGACTCACGTGCTCAAGGTGCAGGTGGAGCAATGGAGTGGAGACAAAAATTGGACTCTCAACGTGGTGCTGTTGTTGCAACAGAGATGAAGAACAACAGCTGCAAGCTTTCTCGTTGGATTGTTCAGACCATGCTTGCCGGTGCTGATCACTTGAAGTTGGGGTGAGTAAACCTAGGGTTGTTATTTATTTTATAGTTGTTATTATTGTCATCATCAAGTGTTGTTGATACTTAACAACAGACCGATGTAATAGACTGACGAGATTTGCTATAATATGTTCTATGTAGATTTGTTTCCCGTACAAACCCCAAGGACGCTTCTCGTCATGCCATTCTTGGAACTCAGATTTGTCGTCCAAAGGAATTTGCAACACAAATGAGTCTTCAGATCACGAACGGATGGGGTATTGTCAAGACTGTTGTTGACCTTGCTCTGAAATTGCCAGATGGCAAGTATGTGTTGGTCAAGGACCCTAACAAGCCCGTCATTCGTCTTTACTCCGTTCCCAAGAGTAGTTTTGAGGAAGCTGAGGAAGAGACTGAAGGAGCTGAGCCTGAAGCTGCTTAAATTTAAGTTGAGATATCGATATTGGTGAAGAGAAGTTTTTTTTTTATTTTTTTTTTTTTTTATTTTTAATTTTCTAGTTCAGAAGTTAGACATGGGGAGCTATTAAAAAAGAAAAGGAATCATATTTGTTTTTAGCATTTCAAAAAAAAAAAAAAAAAAAAAAAAAAAAAAAACGCGAACAACTTTGGAAAGACATGCTTTATGTTACAATTGAAAGAAAATTTTGTCAAAATGAGTTTTCCTGATTTTTATTTTGAACCTGACAAACAGCTCATATGCGACATACATAAAGATCTCATCAATCAAGATGGAAGTTTACACTTTTGTTAATGAGATCAATGTGGATAACCACTGAGGATTTTGGGCAACACTTCCTGAGGAAAAACGGCAAGCAAAAGAATTGAAGACAGTGCTTCTCTTCATAACCATTTCAAAATTTTATGTCCCTGACCTAATCTCCTTTCAAGCGAGTGCACCCCCAGAAGAAGTTTGGACATGCCAAGATATGACTATGTTTGCTTCTCCACTAGATATCTCAGTCAAATGCTTGCCTTCATTCAAACTTTTCCGTCTTTGCAAAGAACTCAGTTAATACAAAAAGCTTTATTGGGTGTTCCTTTATTATGTACATCAAGGCGAGCTGTAACATATATATCAGGACCCTTGGACACGACAAAGTTTATACTCGTACGCACTATTGATTATCAGGAGACCCCACAAAGGTCGAGTTAGCAAATGCATAGTTATACGCACAAGAAAAGCGAATATCCTTAAACATCATTGGAGAAACGAGCTTACAGAAATACTTTGTGTCAGAGCGTCATGTCTCCTGAACAATTAGTAACAGACGCCTCCAACATAGCATCGGCTATACCACTCTGAATTGTCGCTGCCAACATCGCAATACCATATGCCTAAGAAATTCTGCACCATCGTGCCAATGTTTCTGCCGGGATTTCGTGTCGATGGGGTGCCGCAGAGAGATGAAGTGGGTAGGTCAATGCACTGACACCAGTTTGCTTCCACCACCATGCTTGACATGACAGCGGCAAGCAGGACAACAGCAGTGAATTTCATTGTAGCAGTGTCAAAAACACAACTGAGGCAATAAGGAAAACAAGGGATGTGGAGATGAGAAGTGGGTGTATGAGTATAAGGGTGTTCTTCTGGGAATGATCGTGCCAGGAAATTTACTGAGAGGAGGAGCATCTTTATCGCCAATTTCATTTGGTCATGATACCTTATATTTTTAATCTAAAAACGATGATTGAATTGTTCTGGTGGCATTTCACTACGTGACGGACTTGCAACAATACTCGCAACAAGCGAGCCAATTGGCTGCCAATACACTCGAAAGTATTCAAAAAATATAAGGTATCATGACCAAATGAAACGGGCTATATATAAAGAAATAAATAATAGTCGCCTTGTGTGGTCTACCGTCTACAATCTAGTGTGAGTGAGGTAAAGGAAAAGGAAGATCCTTTTGGTGAACTTCAGTCTCTTGATAAGGGATAAGACCAAGATCAGTCGCGTAGTCGCATGCAATTGCTCGTTTAGTACTAAAAAGGAAGGGGTGCATGTGTTAAAAGGATGGGTATAGAACTGGAGGAGCACAGCAAAAAAAAAAAAAAAAAAAAAAAAGTGGAGGGATGGGAGAAATAGTCCCAGGGATATCGGAAAGGAATGTGAAAAGTTCGTGCTCGTTCGGAAAGAAAGTCGAAAAGGAGAGGAACAGACGCAACCTCATCCAATCAATTAATAAATTAATTATTGTGAGGTTAGCAAAACATTAACGATACAATGTTGGTCTGTGCTTTCATAGTTCTGAAATTAGTTCGAAAAAAAAAAAAAAAAAAAAAAAAAAAAGGCAACATCGCCTGGCCGGCCGCTACAAGTCAGTTATAACATGCACTTCCTTCAGTAAGCCTGGTTCTCAAATCCCCGATTGAGCCAAGGAGGAAAGATATGCGAGTCCTATATTCGAGGTCGCAAGAATTCGAAAGGAGTTGGTAACCATACCAAAGAGGATCACCCGATGAAGTTTCAATACACATGGTTAATGAAATGGAAGGGCCTTGCTTCTATTTAAAGAAGGGTCCGAATCAACATCCTAGCACACTCATTCATTGCCTGTGGACGCTTCAGAACATTCAGTCATCAATGATACAAGAGAGCTCGAAATCTCGAAGCAGGCTAAGATTGAAAGCGAAGGGCTAATATCTTTGGCTCCTCTAATTGCAGCATGCTGCCAAGTGGATGGCTCCTGATCCATATTATTTAACTTGGGCAAATAAAGAAGCCAAAGACATAGGCTTTATGATGGATTAAACAAAATAAAATAAAATAAAATAAAAAGAAAGTTTGCGGATTCCCCCTGCGAGTATTAAAGTTCTAGTATCCGACTAAACAATGGTCTATCCTCGCAAAAAAAAAAAAAAAAAAAAAAAAAAAATCCACGCCATGAAGCACAGTGAAATGGCATTTTTTAAAGGTTCACTACAAGGAAAAGCCTTTCGTGTTATCTATCATCTTCAACGGATCCAGTGACACTTATTCGTGAGGATTCGGCCAATTCGGGATGAATATTGCTCAAGTCTTTCTGACACCTTCGTCAGAAAGAAATATCCATGCTCTTCACACAAGTAGCTCAATGAAAACCACGGTCGTTAGGGTTCTTGGGTAGCACTTACTATTATTACTACTATTGTTCCCGATGGCTCTATTGAAGGCGATGAGGTTGCTGTTGTAGATACGGTTGTTATTGTTACTACTGTAGCTGCTATAGTTGCAGTAGCTGTGATAAATACCGTCGCTATTGTCGTTGTAGTTGGTGGAGCAACTCTGTCTTCTACTGCATCTGCAGCTGAAGACGCCTTCGAGCTTCAGGCGCACGTTCATCTTGCGGATTGTGACATATCAGTCATATGTAAGTAGTAAAGTAGTAATTTCACTTATCAGAGATTGTCCTTTACCCTACTTAAATCAATAGGAGCTGATCAATAAAGGGATGAACGTTTCTCATCCACTTTCCTATCCATATGATTCATATTGATCAATGAATTAACCTCTCATCCTAAGCAAAAAAAAAAAAAAATTCACACGCATATACAAATCAACAATCGCAAAGCTTTATTTCTTTCCTTTGCGGTTGTTATTTCTACTGGGAGTAAGACGCAGATTATACGTATCTAAAAAAATGGCCACTAAGACATCGGAGAGACATAAAATGCACCGTTCTCGCTGATATCAATATTGAATATGTTATTAAGCTTTCCTGAGCAGCTTTTTGATTGAAACACTTACACAGAATAGCTATTCTTCTTTCGCGCACATAAAATAATAATAATAAAAAAACCAATATAAAAAGGACCCTTATTTTTTCTTTTCTCCCTTCACACAATTTGTTATCCAATACCTTCATTATCGCCTCATTACCCATTCTTAATCCCCGATTATAAAAACTATTTAACTATTTACTATAACTTATAAAAATATAGCCACTACACGACTAGGGCGAAGGCTCCTAAATATCTCTTATCAAGGTAATGGTGCATCTATCGTTATTTTATTGAGGAAAGTGCTTCATTCCTCTTTTTTTTGGGCGAAAGCATTGGTGACCAGTATCAGTAGCAACATCAAGTTCCTATCCATACTGTATTTGCTTCGATGCAATGCTCAATACGTTACACGCCGGAAAGGAAAGATATAGTTGTTGACATATATTCGCAACACGAAAACTCAGACTTCCTTGTTTGAGTTTCTTCCTCTCCCTGCCTGGAATGCAGTTATTGTGTAGTTGTTAACCATTACATTTTCTTTTTGGTATATAGTTAAAATGGGGATAAGAACCAACGCATCAATCGAATTAAAAGCACAGAACCAGGGATTGGCTACTTCTTGAGCTTGCCAACTCCAACGAAACTCAGCGCAAAATATTTCGCTCTCGATTATCACAGCTTATTCCCGATGCCAGGGACAAATGCATCGTTGGCGATTGGCACTATTGGAAGACTTTCTATTCCAATGACCACGAATGGACTCTGGCATTCACAAACAATAAATTATCGATCCAATGTACTAGACGTTGAAGGAAGGGTATGTCCAATCGATGTTTAAAAAATCTCAACAGATTTGACGGAGGCTCAACTGGATACCCTTCGGGTCCATTATTTTAGAGACAGTGGTAGGCCTGCTACTTCGTAAGAGCAGTGTCCAGTTGTGGTCTCTAAACGTGAATTTTTAATTGAAAATTCCTATTAACGCCGCATTGCTCGTCAATAGAACGAAAGAAGCAAGAGCTTAATGCGAATAGACGGGTCACCAGGTCGTCCAACAATGGTCAGTGCTCCTATTCCATTCGAACATATCGAATTCGAATGGGTTTGAATGCATTCGAATCGAAAACGAATCATGGTAAGCTCGAATCGATTCGAATGACGCCTTAAGTTACAGATCTCTGGATATTTCGAGTCGTTCGATTACTTCGAGTATCGAATTTAGATATCCATTCGAAAACGAATCGAATTCGAATGGTTCGAATAGAAGCACTGACAAGGGTCCGGACCTTGAAAAGGATACGCCAACCAACGATTCTGGCTTTGAACAGGAAATGTCTCATGAATTAACAAGTCCTGACGATATCTCGACATCCAGTTCGGTGCCGCCCGCATCTTCCACTTCGAGTTTATCTTCTGGATCAACGTCTTCGACTTCGAGCGGTTCCAGTCTTTCGCCTATTGGGATACTACATTTACGAGCTTTCTTCAAAGAAATTTATTATCGTTACCTTGGCCCAAGACGGCTCACAGATTCTGGAACAGATGTGGGCGAGGCTATGTTTCCATACATTATGGATATGGTTAGAGAGTCCTTGCTACATTCCTTCATCATCGCAGGCAATCCAGACCCTGCACCATTTCTTTCTGCTGAAGATCAGACTTACAGTCGAGAATACATCCAGACATCAGACAATAATCATATCGAAGCCGCCCTCCTCGAGGATTGGATGCAAAACGAGTTATCACAGTATCTTCTGTCTCCATCAGACTTAGGCACATTGCTACGGAATGGGGAAAGTAATCTCCAAACCCCGCACAAATAAGCGACAGCATTGACCGTGATACTTTCGATAATTTCCGGCTCTCAACTTATCCGGCCATTTTAAAAATATGGAGAGTTTATAACAGAAATCAATTCAAACTTCCAGCGAGTCTTGATACGTCAAAGAGCTCTGGGAATTTACTTATGAGATTCTCACCGAAGACGAGTTCAACCATGGCGAAAAATCCTCCACAGCATCAAGCATCCGTAACAGTGCTCCTATTCGAACCATACGAATTTGATTCGTTTTCGAATGGATATCTAAATTCGATACTCGAAGTAATCGAACGACTCGAAATATCCAGAGATCTGTAACTTAAGGCGTCATTCGATCATTCGAGCTTACCATGATTCGTTTTCGATTCGAATGCACGTATAATCTGCGTCTTACTCCCAGTAGAAATAACAACCGCAAAGGAAAGAAATAAAGCTTTGCGATTGTTGATTTGTATATGCGTGTGAATTTTTTTTTTTTTTTTTGCTATAGGATGAGAGGTTAATTCATTGATCAATATGAATCATATGGATAGGAAAGTGGATGAAAAACGTTCATCCCTTTATTGATCAGCTCCTACTGATTTTAAGTAAGATAAAGGACAACTTCTGATTGATAACTGATAATTGATAAGTGATCTAATCCTCATGACAACCGACGTTTTGCTCTACTGGTTAAAAAAGGAAGTCTTTTAGTTCTTTAATTTTTTTTTTTTTTTTTTTTGAGTGGAATTTTAGAGCCGACAAAATCCCAATGGGAGAACATCAAGTCGAGCACCCCGAGGCCAGTAAACAGTATTTTTTTTTAATATAACAATTGAATAGCTGAGACTAAAAGAATTATATCTTTGCGAGACCACACAAAGGAAATGTCCAAATCAGATCCATTCAGCCAGAGTCGTATTCACTTCGCTGATTCACCAGCTGGGCTTTCTTCAAAAATCAAGCGAGCTGTCATGGCACATTATGGTTTTGCCAACAGTGGTAAACGAGAAATTTCTAGTCGACCATGCCATCAGGCACTATATGTCATTGGAATAAAATCATCTATGTAGAGGCCACTCTTCTATGACAATGGTGTATGCATACTTTTTAATGGTATTAGCTTCGCATGTGATATGCATACGCCAGCCACAGGCAGCCAAGCTCGCCTCTTGGCTAGAGATAGGAACCGAGGATTTTATCATAAATGCAACAAATAAATAAATAAAACTGGAAACAGGGGTAACACAAGAATTGTGAATAGTAGTTGGCTGATAATGTCTCTCGTCTCATAGGAAGATAATATATAGACAACCTCGAGGCCCATGAAGACGGGCTATACTGCCAGGTCACACTCAGAGTGCAGGAACGTAGGCGGGCACTCATCGCGTAAGCATCTGCCTTGTGCAATGACGCCAAAGAGTTGTCTATTTGACAAGGAACGGGACCAGAGAATCCAAAATGTTTTTTAGGTTTTCTAAACAGGTTTCATATTTCTGGAGGGAAAGGGGGGGAGGGGTAAAATGGAAAAGAAGGTTTGTGCAAAATCTGGTTGCATTGGCTACGTGGTCTGTGCGCGGCGCCAGCGAGCCTGCTTATGAATGTTACATTAATGATTTAAAATTGGTTTGCTTATGTTGGATAGGGTAATAGGGTATGACAAATTTTCTGGGTGGCTTAATGGGTGTGGCTTTGGCTGGCTTCTGCTCTCGTCTCGCTTACACTTTTGGTTTGTAAAATTCATTATTCATTTCGTCTTAAAAAGAAAGGATCACACCACTAAAGACCCTAAAACTCTAAAATAGCCCTCTCTTCTTTACTACCGGAAAAAAAAACACGTTGGGGTGAAAAAGAGTGATAATCTCATTGTATAAATAGTAGGCGATCTTCCTCTTTATTTTTTTGTTCCTCATCTTTCTCAACACATTTTCTCTTATTCACACAGTTTGAATCTCACATTTTCTTTACTCCACTCCAATTTCTTCTCACCTCTCTTTTATACATCTCTCCAAACATCAAACAATGTCCGCCCCTCAGAATACCAACCTTGCTGAGACTCACGCTGAGTTGACCAAGAATGATAGCCAAGTACATGGCTTGGCTGCCTCCCACTACTCCAAGGCTGCCTCTGCCGATCGCATTAACACTGCCAAGGCTGCTCTTGAGGCCAATGGATTCAAGGTTCACGTCGTCAACACTCGTTATGATGCCTTTGAGGCCCTCAAGACCTTGATCCCAGCTGTAAGCGAAAAAAAAAAAAAAAAAAAAAAAATCAATTTCAAGCCACAACGTTAGAAGAAAGGGGTTAGCACCAATTTCATTTTGTCTTGCATTATTTTTCTAATGTAATGCTTCCTATTTTTTATTTTGATTCATCTAATAGGGCACCTCAATCAACAATGCTCACTCTACCACCTTGGAAGAGGTAAAAAAAAGATGAAAAAAACTTGAACAGGATGCCATCCTTTACTTATTATTATTATTCCCTATGGAAGTTGAACTACGATCATGATTTTAAACTTTCACACGCTTTCTCATCTTTTAATAGATTGGTTTCATCACATACATCAAGGGCCAAACCCCCTGGAAGAATGTCCATGGTGAGATCTTGGCTGAGAAGGACCCCGCAAAGCAGGCAGAGCTTCGTCGCACCCTTGGTTCAACCGTTGATTATTACTTGACCTCAGTTGCTGCGATCACAGAGGATGGTCATCTGGCTCATGGTGATTTGTCAGGATCGAAGGTTGGAGGAGTTGCATTCGGCGCTGGTAACGTCATTGTGGTCGCTGGCTCCAACAAGATTGTGAAGGATGAAAGCGAGGCGTGGAAGCGTCAGGAGGAATATGCGTTGCCTTTGGAGAGTGCACGTGTGAGAATCGCTTATGGACTTCCTGCTTCTGCGATCACTCACTATGAAGTCATCCGCAAGGCCAACCCCTTCAATGCTAACCGCATTCAAATCATCATTGTCAACGAGGCTCTCGGATACTAAGATCTTTTCCTCCTTTTTTTTTCTAAAAAGAAAGAAAATGTATAACAAAAAATAAACGAATGAAGGAAGACTCGTTTTTGAGAAAATTAAAGATTAATAAACCATAAAAGAATATATACTATAGCGAATGTTGATTGAACAATAATAGTCTATTCCTGTTTAATGGTGATAGAGGCAGTGCAGATGACCATGAAGGGGGAGTTAAGAGCAATGGCGTGTTCTGCCCAGGATATGAGGGCAATAGACAATTGATGAGATCTACACATGTAGATTTCTTTTTTCCTTGTGTTCAATAAATCGTCATCGTCATTTGTTCAAACGATTGGCTAATTGAAATCGGAAATTTAATTTTTTTTTTTTTTTTTTTTTTTTTTTTTTTCAATGCAAAGACAATCTTGGAAGAAAAGCTTTCATGACAATATACTACGCCGATTAAGGGAGGTGGGTATTTTTATGCGTATATAAATATGAGTGTATGTATATATATGTAATTTTCTGTTATTTTTTTCTTTTACAATTTCTGCAGCTCAGCACACTCCTTGCGTGCTTCGAACAATTCATTCGAATTGACTTTCAAGTGGCAGGCCAAATCATCTGCATTCGAAACATGGTAACCCAACTCGGAGAGTAAACCTCTTTGGATGTCATAGACCATCCCAATGACTTCGATGGACTGTCCACGTTCCCATGCGGCTCTAATGATGGGCGATTTAGCAACAGTGAGGACTGAGTTCCTGCAGTTGATCTCGACCAAGGCACGACAGCGATCCTCTTGGTCCCTAATCTTCTCTAGATTGAGGAGGTGTTGATGTTTGACTTCCTTAATATTGGCAAGCCAATGATCGATCAATCCATAGGACTGGTCACCAAGTGCAGCAGCGACGCCACCGCAGCCATAATGACCACAGACGACCACGTGCTCAACCTTCAGGACATCGACAGCGTACTGCAATACAGAGAGACAGTTGAGATCTGTGCTAACAACGACATTGGCGATGTTACGGTGAGTGAAGACTTCACCAGGCGCTAAATAGATTGGGATTATAGCAGGAGTGGAAAATGATAGTAATTCAGTTGAGTGCAAGATAAGGTTAGTTGTGCCGATCAAGTCCTGGGATGCATAACTTTGATACACAGATACGCAAAATTCTTATCCCCAAAAAAAAAAAAAAAATTACCGAGTTGAAGCAATTCATTCTCAGGGACACGGGAATCAGAACATCCGATCCAAAAGACCTTGGGTTGTTGGCCTTTTGAACCTTTTTCAAAGAAATCAGGCTGGCGCTCTCGGATGGCTTTGGACCATTTGCGATTGTTCTTCAACAGACGAGCCAAACCATGTTCATGACCGATTGATGGGCTAGGACCTAATGTAACTGGTGACCTTGGACAGCAAGCATCATCATCACTATCATCATCCTCTTCCATGTGGTGATGAGTATGTTCTGGACTACCATATTTATGAAGCAAGGCGCTAGATTGATGGTGATGACTATGATTGTGCTGGTGTTTCTTTTCAGGAACCTCTGCTGGAAATGTTGGCGATAGGGCTTCGACATGACCGGCGACATCAGGAACCTCAGCAACTACAATAGAGCGAGGGAATCCGTTGGGGATAGCGGCCGGTGATGATGACATGACTTGACACTAGCAATCGGTGAAAGGAAGCTAAAAAATAAGAGTTCCAAAATTAGGAGACAAAGAGAGGGAAAGGAGAGAATGAAAGAGAAAGGAGGAAAAAAAAAAAAAAAGAAATGTGAACTGAGCCAAGGCTTCCTCTACATATTTGTACAAATATAAGACGTCCATAAGAGCTTTGAGAAGCGTGATTGTTTATATTACCTGAGGGGTAGGCTTACACAAATCTGGAACGGATGCTTTACACCTTTGTTTGATTGGATAAAAATGATAGGCTATAGAATAACGAAAAGATGAAGGAGTAAAATTAAGAGATAAAGAAATGAAAAGAAAAAAGAAAAGAAAAGAAGGTCAACGGTTGATTTATATAACAAATTTGAGCTATTTTATTCTCGTAGATTACGTGGTTATCATTGCAAAAAAGAACAAGGTTCACCACCAATTGTTGGATCTCAATGCCTTCGAAGCCGAATGCTCAATTAGACTTTATCCGGTCTGGACTAGACGTCGGCAATGATAAAAAAAAAAAAAAAAAAACTCCGCACATGCATGGAATCATGTATAAAGTAATCAATGAATAATGTAGCGTGTATCTCTTTGCATTTTTAAATAAATATATTAGATAAACCTTGCAATACTGTACGGTCGTTAAACTTTTTTGTTACCTAATGCATTAGTTGCAGGATTAGCATTGTGCATTGATTGTTTTATGTAGGTCAAGCAGAAAGTATTTTATCAGGGAAAATCTCGGACACTACGCAGCAGAATATCTATTTTGATCTATGAAGTGGCACACCGTACATGTAGCTAATGACAAGGTTTTTTTTTACCTGTGAAATTCATAGAATACAAGACAGAGTTTCCGTTCAATTAAACTCAAGCCTCAGGAACTTTAACATGATTATCATCGAACAAAATTTGACCGCGATTACAACCAGGTACATCCTTTGGATGCCCTGAAACATCAAAAGGAAAAATGGTGACCACATGGCATGGGTACAACCACTTTGCAAGTTGTCGCTCAGTTGATTTAGACGTCAGCAAAAGGGTGTCCTGAGTTTTTGTGTCCAAATTATTTTGCTTTTAAGAAACAGTGTGGCACTTCATCAATTAGGAGCGAAATCTCTCTTACTTTGAGAAGAGTATTTAAAGACTTTGGTGAAAAATATTTTGCGGATAGATAGTAACAGTAGAAAAAGTAAGTGAGAATAAGATGTGGGTCCACACACCACACCCATGGATTCTTTATTCATTTCTGGTAGAGGGGCTTGTACCAGATAACTACATATCTATCTATAAGACAGCATGGGTTCTCATGTCAAAGATTTGTCGCGTCTTAGTGTGACGCTTTATTGCCACTAGTTTCTACTGCTAGTTTTATTTTTTTATCGTACTATTTCAGTTGAAATTTCTCTAGTGTGTTTTTTTTAAGATCTTCCTTGTTTTTTAGTCGGACCATTATTAAATTGCATATTGAAATATGCAACATTTGGATAATGGCGTGGTGTCTTTTGCCATTAGCAAATTATACACATATCGTGCGCCAAAAGTTTGGCCTACGGAATCACGTGGTTATGTTTAATTCCACACATGGAGTACAGCACAATCTTGGCCCTATTACATTACTGAAAACAGTCACGCAAATGGTCCTCGACGCCTGCACTCCGAACTAGACTAGTGTGTTTGCTGACACGCAGATATTGTCTACACTATGTAAAACTATGTGAGCTACATATGCTCAATGTGAATTCTCTTGCTACCTCTAGGCTCCTCTCCTTGCTCGGTCGGCGCCTGTCGCTTGATCGCTCTCTTTTCTCCGCTGTCCATGGAAATATTCTTATTTTTGTTTGGCACAAGGTAGGATGGTCGTTCTTGATAAAGTAGATGGCCTTGGACAATGTTGGCTATGTTATGCCCTGCCATGATGTCTCTGTGCATAAATGCCTTGCAGCTGCTGCAATACAGTCGACGGATCTCAACCTGACCAACAAATTCTTGACAGATAGGACATTTTTTTGAGGTGTAGTATTCGTTTACGCCAACAACGATGTACCCAAAAGATCGGGCCTAATGAGGTAGGAGAGCAAGATAAGTTACAATGTGACAACAACGGCAATATAAAGCAATGACCAACAGTTTTCCCATGGCTAGCTTGGCCGGCCACTGTTTCAACTACTACTTGAAACAGTATAGCCACCGGCCAAGTTTATTTTGTAATATTGAGCGAGTCCTTACCTTATTCACAAATACGATTGGAATGATTCGTGTAACGAAGACAGCCTGGTATTAGACGAAAACTTGCCAAGACCCACTCCGATCACCACCTTATCTCCTTCATTTACCTTCGCTCCAATTGACCCGCCAACTATCTTGAGCAGACTGTTGGCAATCTTCTTGTATTCTTCAACCCGAGCCCTTTTCGCATCCCACCTATGTTTCTTGATGACATTGTTGCTGCTATAGAAGGAATCTAGGCCTTTCTCCACGTCTCTAAGCTTCTCAATGTAGTTTTTTATGCTTGCATCATTTCCACGAAGAGACGGTAGGCTACTCTCAATGTCACTAATGGACTGTGAACCGTAGACCGCTGCTGCCTTCCGCTGCTCCATCCAATGTCGGTATTTGAGAGTGGGCTGGTACGCTGCCTTCTGCTTGACGGCCAAGTTGTAAAATCTGGATGTCTGGGTCGCCGTGTTGGTGAGCTCACTACTTGGTAACAACGCGCTTGCTCCGACGATGAAAGACTGCCCTAAATCTAGACCTAAAATATTGATTTCTTCTGGCTTGCAGCCCAAAGGTCGGTGATATCTTGCTTAGTACTCACTACATTCCTTATCTCGGTCACGAAATAGTCTGTGCCGCCAAGAGTGGAATTGATCCTAAAAGGTAATCTTTCCTCGGGAAGTCGCCGATATTTTACCGCATTGAGTTCGTTCAATTTGAATGCTAGCAATTAGAGACGAAACCCATCAGTTCGAATTGACCCTCGTAAAATATAACCGCGCTTGTCGTAAGTCTGAGGCCCGGGCACGAAGTCATCCTCTCGAATGTATCGAATGTGCTCTCTCATCATGCTGAGTGGCATTATGGAAGTTGTAGCCTTAAATCCTTTGTATTTCTTACGCTCTTCCTCTTCAAAGCCACCAATGTCAGTTAGCAGACTTGTAATGAGATACCCAGGGTCCCTGCCCGAGAGCCACACTCTAAGGTCGGCTTTCGAGGGTGTGCAAGTGAAGTCACCTCTGGCATAACTTGAAGTTCAGCTTTGAGTTCATTGTCTTGCCAAAAGATCTCAATCAGTTCTAACTCTGAGAGATTTATAAAGCCATCTTCAAAAGCGGACAACGGAGCAAGTTTTCGACTGTTATTGCAGCTTTTGTTCAGGCGAACAAAGTTCTCTACTGCGGATATGCTAGGGTCGATACTGCTTGCTGTGTCTACAAGTAGCAGACCCTTGTTCTTGAGAGCTTCGATCTGTTATAAAAGGAATGAAGATATTAGAATATCATTCGCCGTTATCTTACTCAATGATAAAACTTGAGTGGGGATGATAGCACTCATTAGAGCTAGGCGCGCATACCTTTTCACAAAGTGCTTGTGCGCCCTCCTTATAATTCCTCCTTAACTCAACCTTGAGTTGCGTGGCAGTTGATCTCAGGACAACTGAGCCTGGATAGCGCATTCTTGTATTGATCGAGCCAGCATCTGCCATAGCTGGCAAAAAGTCCTTGGCCTTATGGATGAAGTTGAGCACATGAGGATCCTTTACGTTGCCAGTTGGGGGCCTCTTGTTATAGATACACATGAGAAGTGATAGCAGGAAGGTCGTGTTGGCATCATTCGTTTCGTTCTCATCATTCTCTACATTATCCTTCTTCTCAGCTCCATTGGGGCCTTCATTGCCGGCCACACTCTTGCTAAATATACGTGGGCAGATAAGATCGAGCAGTTTTCTGTCTGTGTTGCTGACATCGGTAGCTGAAAGCTGCTCAATGTACTGGCCAATAGCTCTCTCAAGTGCGCTTGGTCTTCGAAGCATGGCGAACGACTTCTTGGAGACAGGCTTTAATCTTGGATCTCAATTGGGGCTTATCAGTCAATATTCTATTCAGGTTGCCGTTGACCGCCCCAATGTCAAGAGTCCTAGTTGGGTGTTCATACTGCATAGCCCTAACCAAGTCTGTTTTATCCATTCCGTCCACCGCTTTTTGTGGCTTTTTCGACTTTTCCTTCTCTTTCTTTTTCTTCTGCTTGCTAGAAGCAAGGGCATTCGTATTGGGATTGTCTTTGTATTTTTTCTGTTTGTATTGCTTCATGATCTCCGGAGGGACATGCTCGAGCTTTCGGGAGCGAGTTTTGAATGAACATCGCTCTCGGTACTTGCATTTTCTCCCTGAAGAGTGAGAAGGAGGCCATTGGACAGGAGCTCGGTCAACAGAGCGAAAGATATTGAATGTATCCGAGTGATTGTTCGACTGGGATGAACTATCGACGGAACCAATGTCCATGTGAAGGCTGTAAAGGCGGGTTAGTTCGATGAAAATGTAGGGAAAAGGGATAAAAAGTAAGGCTAATGTCAGTGCATTACCTCTTATCTATTCTCCTATTCATTTTTAATTGCTCGCGGATTGACGCCAGTCTCTGTAGCAGGCTTTCATGAGTCACGGGAACGTGTATGGAAGTCTGAAATGCAACAGGAAGAGATTTTCTCTGTTACAGATCCACGAAAACCCTTATAGAGTCTTCAAAATATCCGTCAGCTACCTCCTTTCCCCTCACCTCATTGTGTCTCAAGTATTCCTGGATCATGTTCCTGGGATCTTTTTTTTTTAAAAAAAAAAAAAAAAAAAAAAAAAAAAGAAAGAGAGAGTTTGATGTGAAATTCAGTCTTTTAGAAGCGTGCAATCCTGTGGTATACCATTGCCTTCTCCAACCTGCTCCTTGACAATTCTGTAGTTGGTGACACTTCCAAGCCGGGAAATGTTGCTTGTGTAGTCGTTCTTGCTCACGATACACAGTACCGTCAATTGGGATCGTGTAATGTTTAGGGTGGTGAGTACGTCTGCAAGCTTGTACACTAAAATGTGATCTCTTGAGATAGGGCGCCAAACCGTTGAGATATTCTTGTATGCGAGCATGTCACTGTCTCGGGAGACAACTACATCCTCGAGCTGGCAATCAGTCGCATGTATTTCGCGAATGATTCTCGTGCTTCTTTTGACCAATGAAAGGCCATATCCAACGCCTTTATTACGGCAACGAACTGTTCCTTTCGGACTCGACTCTTGCTTTGCACGCGTTGGTATAGTTCATCGAGCCCTTGTTGGGCGTCCATCAATGCCTTGGCTCGTACTTCCTCTCGATATATATGAGTATGTTTTTTTTCCTCACAGGCGTCACCGTCAAGATACAGGATAAGGTTTTCTGGTGTTCCATACTTCCCCAGCTCTCTTTCCATGATCTTGTGGGCTGTATCGAGGGAATGATTGGAATATGCGTTTTGAATTATGGGATGTAAGGTTCCTAGGACATCGAACCTTATGTAGGCGTTGCAATTGAAGGGATTGAAAGGATTAGAGGTGGCGCAGATTAACGAATGGTAGTGGAGAGTTGCCTCGTAGCCTGTCTTTAGAAGAAAAGACCAGAGGCCCTCGATTCCCATTGCTAAGAAGTGATATCAATATGGATATGGGAATATCGATGGAGCTGTTAGAGAGAAAGAGGTGTTGAAAAAAAATCGTGTGAATTTTTGCATGGTGTTTCACGTGGCATCTTTCCAAAAAAAAAAAAAAAAAAAAATTGACTGGTGTGAACGGGCATGGTGTTTTTTAACATAAAAATTGGCAAATACACTAGCGAGTCAGTGAAGCATCACACAAGGAACCGTCGGCGGCACTTGATGGTATTATCATTGTCAATATGAATATATATAGATATATATATATGCCTAGCGCGCTGCCGCACCGAAGCAAAACTTACCAGTGCTTGCTGCGTGTTCTTCTCTGCTCTGTTTGAAATCTTGATCATAACCTAGGCATGGACCTCTTGACGATAAAATACATCTTACCATACTCGCTAAATTTTAATCCACATCAGTCGGTAGCCCCCTATCCCATTCCTAAGGAGATACCCGACCCTTTTACTACGGCTTTCACATTCAACGCGTTCCGTGAATTTTGGAGCCAAGAAAGACTTGCGTACCAATGGGCAGAGTGTTCGGAAAAGAACTCTCGATTCATTCTTGCCCACAAAGAGAATCTGGATAAACCACTTCCTACGCACAGTAAGGCATATCCTGGCCGCGGTCGTCCACGTGAATTCGATTGGACAATCAAGTACGTCTGTTGGCGCCAAGGTCCGAAAGAAGAGTTGACCATTCACCGGGAATCAGTTGGTAATAAATGTCCGGTCTATATCAGGATTAAAAAACCTGTTGAGCAAGACTGGGTCATGGTGGAGTATTATAGACATCACAACCATGGAACTTCAACAAAGTCTAGGGTCGCTCTTCCTCTGAGCCCTAACGAGCGTAACTGGATGAAGTCAATGGTCTCCAGCAGCCATGACTGGAAATATATCAAGAATGAACTGAGGCCAAGTGAAGAAGCTCTTCAGGCGGTAATGGTCGTCCAAGCATGTATTAAATATTTTTGCATTTACTTAGGCAATGACTAATATCCCATGACTTACAGGTTGAGGCAGAGACGAAAAGTGTCCCTCCAAGCTTCCTTATCACTTACAACGATGCACGCGCAACGATTTATCGTAAACAGATAAAGGAATTTACAAGAGGTGATAGCGTTGTTACCAGTGTTGAGGGATGGATGAAGGAGATTCAAGCAAACGGGGGTAAAGGATAGTTTGCTAATGAAATTGATGTCAACGACCCTCAAAGCTATTTGATTGCCTGGTGTACGAAGTTCCAATTGGAGGTAAGGATTGCTCAGATCCGATATGATCCAACTGGCGTTAACGTTACTTATCGTCCTCGTTTCTGTCTTCAACAGGTCGCAAAGGACAATAGCTTGATAGCCTGCATGGACTCCACACGGAGAGTCGCTATGTCTCTGAGAGAAGATAAGGATAAAAAGGGCAATAAGGGAAAGGGCAAAAAGGATAGCAGTTCTTCAGCCTGCCTGTTTACGATCCTTGTCAAGGATCGAGTTTTGAGAAAGGCGTTCCAGTTGCCCATATGCTATGCAGCTCAGAGTCATCGTATGTTTGAGCATAGTCTAGTAACGATGTGAAGAAATTGTTTATCAAACTGAGACCATTGTATTATGTTCAACAACAGGTTCCTCATAGAGAGATGGTTATCATGGCTCAGAACCGAGTGCGGTTTCAAGATGTCAAAGTTCATGGTAGACTGTTCTGTGACACAGAGTAAGGCCATTCAAGAGGTATTCCCTTCCGCATCAGTTTACTTCTGCCACTTTCATGTGCAGAAGTTATGGAAAGACCGCATGAGGGATGTGTTCAAGGTAAGATATATCATGTTAATGCTCAACCAAGATACCTTTGGCGATAATAACATTTTAACGCGACTCCATACTCTTTAGGAGCGATAGGTTTGCTTAAAGAAATGCGCATTGCAAGGTCTGACGAAAAAGTTAATGACATCTGGAAAGGTATCAAGGACCAATTTTATGATCCGAGCAATGACAAAACAAGCCTCTTCTTTAACTATATAGAAAAGAACTGGATCGCGAAAGAGAAGAGACCAAGATGGGTGCTTTTCCTGAGAGAGGTAAGATAAAGCACCAGTAAACGGCGGTATTAAATGACTTCTTCGACGAATTTCAATATCCGACATCCTAATACACCTAATAGGACTACCAACACGTAAATACACACAACCTTCTGGAGTCTTGGTTCAACGCTTTGAAGACACATGCGCTGGAAGGGAAGCGCGGTTTACGAATTGATTTCCTCATATATAAATTGCAGGGACCCATTGACCAGGACTTCAGGACACAGTATTTCAAGGTCAAAAATTGAATACGACTCGCAACGCTTTCACAGTACGGCCAAGAAAGACTGGCGAGAGCAATGGCAGTAAGTCCCGTGGAGGCAAGGGCCATGGTATGCGAGAAGTTAGTCGAGAAAGAGGTATGTGTTGAAAATCGATAATATCAAAAGTTTGATTGTATATGGATAGGTTCTAATCTCTTTCGCTCTACAAAGTTCGCGGTAAAGTCGTCCGAAGAATCTGGAGTAGAGTATTCCGTTGCCGCGGATGTAGAGAGGGGCCTCCTTCAGTCATGTTCATGCCCCGACTATGTCCGACAGAAGATCCCTTGCAAACACATGTATTTAGTGTCAAGGATTTACGACGGCTTCGATGTTCAATATGCCGCTGCTCCTTCGCACATTGAACATTAGAACAGGCACTTAGAGTTCGACTTAGGGCCTCCTCTCGAGAGCTTTATCTCACCAGTTTTACTGCGTGAGCTGGATATGATGAGAACAAAAGAGAGGGAAGAAAAGAAGAGAAAAAGAGAAGAAGTCACCACCCAAGCGTTTGAAGAGTGTGAAGAAGAGCTTATGGTCCTGTGGAAGGAGCTGGGCCGTATAGTATATAATAGGATATGCGAGACTCAATAGCAGAACTGAGGAATGTAATCCGTACAATGACAGCGAGGGGTGTTCAAGCACCTGAACAAATTGACTATAAAAAGTAACAAATCAGCTGATCTCTTTGTTTTTGGGCCATTGTGCTACACCCCACACATGCAATGACGTAGATATGGCCGGTGAATTTGAGTTTGATTCCGCCCACTGATAGAAAGTTCTCTCCTCTTCTATTGTATTGCATCTTGCCTCGCCAAACAACACGCTTCAACTTTCACCTTAATCATCCTCATTTCACCATGGCTACTGTTCAGGACCTATTTGCTCAAGGCAGCCACGCCTTTGCGGACGAGGACTACGAAGAAGCCCTCAACTTTTACACAAAGGCCATTGAGATCAATGCATCTCATGTCGAGATTTTCTTAAAAAGGTACTTATTTTTATTGTAACTTATTTCAAGGCAAAATTCATACTAAAAAACGTACCTTGAACCATTCACACGCTAACCTACATAGGTCGACTACCTATCAAAAGCTGGGTAAGGACAAAGAGGCTTACGAAGATGCACTTAAGGCATTGGAGTTAATCAAGGAAAGGCCTTCAGTCGATGTCTCTGTTGAGGCAAAAGCTCAGCTTCGAAAGGGGTAGGTGTCAACGCCAGCAATAGCCTTCAAGTAACTCTTTACGACTTTGTTGTATCTATGCAAATACGTCGGTGTTAACTTTCATGATTTCTTTTTGTTTTGCTTTGTTTTGTTTTCTTTACCACAGAGTTGCAGCTTATCATATCCAGGACTATCAAACTGCAAAGGCAGCTTTGGAAGCATGCCACGCTCTCAGCCCTGAGCAGAGAACGTTGGCAAGCTGGATGCGTAAGGTTGACCAGGAGCTTGCCAAACAGCCTAAAACTATCCCAGCCCCAACTCCTACCTCTGCGTCTGCTGCCACCTCGACTGCGGCAGCTGCCCCTGCACCTACCCCCGCTCCCGCCCCTGTTCCCGCTCCAGCAGTGACCCCCGCTGTTCACCGTGTCAGGTAAAGTTTTATAAATAAAGCTGACTTTTTTGCAGACGCGTTTTGTGTTCTGAGCATAGTGATTATTAACACCTTGCTCAAAGATAAACTGACAAGTTGAATGAAATTACCACACTTTTATTTTAATAGACATGAGTGGTACCAAAATGATACCTATGTTACTATCAGTGTTTTCATCAAGAATGTCAAGAAAGAGTCTGTTGACATCAATATCACTGAGAATGCTGTAAGGAACTTGTTTTTTTTTTTTTTTTTTTTTTTTTTAATTCTCTCATCTTGACTCAAAACTAACCATTAGCTTTGTTTCTTATTTGATGCTAGTTGTCGGTTTCTGTCAAGATGCCTACTGGCTCGGATTATTCTCTGGAGCTTGATCCATTGAGCCACGCTATTGTGCCCTCAGAGAGTAAATATGAGGTGCTGTCGACCAAGATTGAGATCCAGCTCAAGAAGGCGAGCTTTGGTATCAAGTGGGGAGCTCTTGAGGGAGATGATGTGAATGCAGGTTCAATGGCCAGTACCACAGCATCCGCTGTGCCAGCTTATCCTTCCTCATCCAAAAAGTCAAAGAACTGGGATGCTTTGGAGAAAGAGGCTGCCAAGGAGGAGGAAAAGGCTGATGGTGATAAGGCTTTGAACCAGCTCTTTGCTCAGATTTACAAGGATGCAGATGATAACACAAAGCGCGCCATGATGAAGAGCTTCACTGAAAGTAATGGAACCTGCTTGTCAACCAACTGGGACGAGGTCAGCAAGGGAACTGTTGAGACTCGTCCCCCTGAGGGCATGATCGCCAAAAAGGTAACTTAAAAAAAAAGAAAAGGCATTTTTTTCTTCAACGTTTCTTACAGCGCAGTATCTTATTTTCGTTTTATTTTATTATCTTTTTCGGACTCTTAGTATGCGGCGTAAAGCGCTTTTCAATAGTAACAATCCGAGAGATTGCGTTTGGTTTTTTTTTACCAATTGCAAATATACAAATACAAATCATTTAAGCTAGGCTAGTCTGAGAGATATATTTTTCTCAGGTCAATATAATAAATTTTTTTTTCTTTTTTTTTTCTGTGAAAGGAATCCAAGTCGGTATGAATGAGAAATAGAATGCTTCTTTTTTTCCTTCTTTTATCGATTAGTGGCTATCCGTAAAGGATTCGACAGCCACTGTGATGTGAGAATCCGTTGGCATGGGGATAGCGTGTTTGTCGCTGAAAGCACCATTGTGATTACTCATGTAATGACTCTGCATATGGTTGGCACCTCCATTGCCATGTGCGCCGCATGTGCCGCCACCGCCACCGCCACCAGGCTTGTCACTTCTGCTTTGGCTTTTAGCGCGAGAGGTGACCCAGTGAATGGTACAGGCATTCAAAGTGACGTCTAAAGTACAAGAAAGCAAACAGAAGACAGAGTCCTCATAGCCTTGGAAGTAGACCAATGTGAAGACATTAGCAGAGCTTAAGACCAATGCAATGACAGAGCCAAGCAAAGTACGACGAGCCACTTGACGAAGTTTGCCTTTACTGGGTCCTTGAAGGACTGAGGTAGTGCTGATCAGAGGACGAACAAAGAGCAAGGTCAACCAAGAAGAGATGAAGATATCATAAAGAATCAAGGTGATGGACGCAATGGGTTTCAGACCGATATAGCAGTATTCTTCCTCGTTCAAGACTGCTACTCGGTTGAGGATCATCAATGCCAAAATTATGGAATATGGAGTCAAAAGTAGGATGTTGACACGATAGAGCTATATTTGGGAGGTGAAGAGGAAGAGAGAGCAGCAGGAGAGTAAAAATATAATAATTAATATCAGTAACAATTTAACTACCCCTCGAGGAGGAGGAGGAGGAAACCAAAAAAAAAAAGGGAAAAGGAGAATGGGGAGAGGAAAAAGGAGTTGTTGTTACTCACCATTGTGTCTCTCCGCGTAGTTGCAACGGAACTGACGACATAGACTTTTTCAATCAAGAAAAGGTAAATAATGATCTTGGACATGGCATATAGAGACAGACAGACAAAGATGGAGATTGTACATGAGATAATGTTGCCTCTGTTGGTAGATGTCAAGATTGCAGCAATGGTTGTGAATCCCCAAGAGACGATGTATAGGGAGATGACGAGGCCGCGTGCGTAGTTGATGTTGGCCATCGATGTACTCGAGGTCTTTCGACCGAAGAGGACAGACATTAGAGAAATGGATAGTAGCGACACCATCAAGGAAATGATGGCTAATAAAGTATAAAGTTTCCATTGGAGGGAAGTTGGATGATTTTTTTTAAGACGTTACGTGTGACAGGTGGAAGTAGAAGTAAGGTTAATTGTTAACCGAAAGAGGAAAGATGTATAAAAGATAATTAGAATCGACTATGGCTCTGAAAGAATAGGACATGTGTCGTTGATGGCGATTATATTTTTTTTTCTTTTTTTTTTTCTAAAAAAAAAAAAAAAAAAAAAAGGTGACTCACTTGGAGGATCTTGCACTTGTGGCATTGTGATGGATGTTTGATTAATAGCAAGGAAATTATGAAGTTGTAAGAAGCAAAAAGAAAAAAGAAAGAAAGAAAGAAAGAAGCGGCGCGACAAAAAGCAGAGGTTTGCTAGAGCGCTGAGCAACTTCTCCTTGATAGAAATGAACGAAAGAGTAGGCAATTGTGCTCGGAAGTGTTGGTCGAGATGATATTACTGTTGATTGCTTTAAAAACAAAAAATGGCGTCGATCAAATATGAAAAGAGGGAGAGAAAGAAAAGAAAAGAAAAAGAAAAGAAAAAAGAAAAAAAAGCTAGAAGCAGATGAATTGTTTATATTTCTAGGTGTGGCAATGGGCTTTGTCGCGCTCGAAATTAATGTGATGTGGCTCTGCTATATGCATAAAATGATTAGGAAGTTTCTTACGAGGAACCACCATGTGCTAATGTGTCCCTCGGGATGGATTTATGTAATGTTGTTAATGTTGGACGACAGGGAAGGTGAAAGAAAAAGCGCGCGTTAAGAGAACATCAAAGGAAAAAATACAAAGAGGCGCTTTCAAATCCACAATTTGACTGCCCTTTTATATTTATCCAGCCAAGGACCTGGGGGGGTTTTTTTTTGTCCTGGGTACGGGAGCCAACAATGCAAGGCATCTCGTGCAGTTAAGCTTCTTTTTTTCCCAAAGGCGGCATAAGCCTATTAGGGACCATGCGAAGGACAAATGATATTACAGGAAACGGTAATTGTGTGGTGGGACAGTGCGGAAAGGGGTATTGTGAATGCATGAACAGATGTGTTGACCGTGCAACGCTACTCACCCCAAAACTTCGAAGACTCTCCTGTTCTTGAGGAAAAAATAAGGAGGTCGCAAAAGCGCTCATTTCCAAAGGATTATATGATTATATGATGATGTTGCTCTTACATTATCATATTCTTTCAACCGTGCCAAGTTTACATGTGTATTTCTAACACCAACCCAATGCCGTTTATTTTTTTATTTTTTTATTTTTTTTTTTTCAGGGGAGATTAAACTTGGCATCAAAACAGGGAGATGTATATCTAGAATGGACTTCAAGGCATTACCTTTATGATGCCTATTTTTCACCGTTGGTAAGGCAGAAAAAAAAAAAAGGAGGAAGGGGGAGAGATTGAGGAGGTATTCGGCCTCCATGATCTGTGCTCATAAAAAAATGAAGCGCCAGTTCTTATTGGCCAATTATTTATCACGGAGAACGAGACAATTGATAAGCTACATGTTGATGCAGTGGAGCCGTTTTCTAATACTCAAAGGGTGCAAAACAGGCATTGAGAATGCATCCATCTCTAGCCGTTAGCATATTAATAATTCAAACGGACATCTCGCAATAAAGACATGCATTGATCCTTTTTTTTTCTGGCTGACAGAGCACTTCACACACACAAGCACCTCACCCCTTGTCGTTGCCATTTGTTTTGTTTTTGACCAATCTCTCTTCTTTTGATCCCTTGCTCCCTTCGTTCAATATCGTAATATCAACCATATACCACTATTCTCTACTTCCCTTTTTATAAATAACAACGTCCATGCACGTTTAGTGTATTACCGTTGGATTTAACGGTTTTTCCTCACTCCACTTGCCCTTTTTTTTTAAAAGCCATGAAACCACGTTATTATAGAACATGCTTTATAATATTGTCTGGCATAAAAGGAGTAAAAGACCATGAAGAGAAAGGAGGTGTTTGTGTTGTGAGCTCTTTAGCACGTTCATCGTTCACATTCCCCTTATTAGTATTTAACCCTTCTACATTGTCGCATGGCATGTAACAATTGTAAGTAGGCGTGGAAAGCGACAAAAAAAAAAAAAAAAAAAAAAAAATGCAATATTTTCGTTGAGCATTCGGCATAATAGCCGTAACTTGGTGGACCTGGTGACACGATCTACATGTCCATTTTTCATGTCGTTATCAATCCAGACCATCCAAGGAGGACAACAATTGTAGCCCTCGTGGCTAAATTCAAAAAAAAAAAAAAAAAAAAAAAAAAAGTCTTGCTCCTTCTCTTTTGCTACAATGCCCCTACTACTCCTTGTTGAACTATCTTTAGTTTCTTTGGTATCTTAGAACTGAGGTACGCAATTGTGTGAATGGAGCTGTAATTACAAAAACTGTTTTAGTATCCTATATGAAAAAAATACTAAAGAAGAGCAGGGGAGCTGTATTGTTATTTTATTTTTTTAATAACCTATTGTGCAATTGGATTGTAGAGGGGGAAGGTAAAAAAAGGCATAAGGGGAGAGGACCTAAACTAACATCCCTATTGACGCACTTTATCCTCTGATATTAGAGGGCATTTTCACCCTTGTAGTACCACTACCTCTTCACCCACATCTGCACAATCACTACGACTATCGAGGTGGCTTCCTTTCCTGTTATAGTTGAACCGCCAGCTACACATCCTCCCCCTGCCATACCTCCATTACACGCGTCTACCAGAAGTGCGCAAGCTACTCAAAAGAAGTTCGCCGACTCGACTGCCCATCTGGATGCTACTTTTGATGAGATCGGGACTAATCATGCTTAGCGCCAACAAACCCAAAGGTATACTTCTGTCGAGCGACTTGCATACCAACAGAGGCATCCGCAGGCTCTACAGGTGGCGCTACATATATAGACAGTCCCTCCTTCTTACACAATTCCGTTGCGCAATGAGCCTTCGGAGGAGACATGCACGACCATTGGCCCAGTCTGCAAGGGTGACAAGGATATGCAAATCAATTTTTGACAATACCTCTTCATCGTCCTCTCTTTGGACGAGTCTATGATCAAGCTTGGCCCCATGGCCTTCCAGTACCGTTGACATGCAGAGTCTTATATACCGATATCCATTTGGAGAGACCCATGTTCAATTACGAGTTTTTTTACCTAACAGAATATTTGTATTTGACTAAAGTCTAACCAAAAAAGGAATCGGCACAAGGCACAAGACAGATCTTAGGTGGTGGCAGCTTCTACCATATACAGTTCGGTCTCACTTTTTTGACATGCATGTCAAAAAAAGTGGATTTTATATATTTTCCGTAACGCTTATTTTAAAAAATAAAATGAGTCAGAGAGGGAAGCTTGCATCTAAACGTGCAAGCCAAATTTTGTTGCAACGATATTTTGCTTCTCCTCTCAGCAAACTCGGCCTTCTACTATGCTCTGGCGATCATGTGATATTTTTACATGTAATTTCGGACGATACAAAAATATGGGCCTACCTGTGATGGGTGTTCTGTAATGCATTTTTAGAAGGAATATGATAAGCCAATAGAATCACCTCGTTTTTTTTTTTTAAAAAAAATAGGCGTTACATAAAAATCCACTTTTTTGACATGCATGTACAACAACAAGGATCTTATGCATCACTGGAGCACATAGTCAAAGATATCGATCGTGCATTTGATGCCGAATGGAGCTCCAACAGTCCTTATCCTACCAAGGCATTGCACTGTTTGATCTAATCAACAATTAGGGTTCTCTGTCCTTACAGTATGACCGATCTCTTGCGATGTGATCCACAGGTTCGTTGGCTCCCATGAGCACTTCAAGCTAGGGAGTTGATTTGAATATCGTACCGTAAGGAAATCAGCACTTGCAAAGAGGATTGAAGCGTAAGACCGAGCCATGAACGGACACCGTACACTGAATCAAGAAGTGAATGAAGTGATGGATATGGCTCTTGTAACAGCTGAGGAATTTTTTGCTTGCAGGTCAGCAATGGATGTGCATTGCAACAGGCGCTGTTCAGGACTTTGTTCCAGACCCTGTTAGAATAGTGCCAGTTGACAATCATGGAAAGGATGAGAGTGATTCCTTTTCTGTAACAGTATGCTTTTGACGTCAAATGCAGTTACTGTACCAGTAGCCACACGTACCCGGAGGATCTACCAAGGAAAGGTAACTATAAAGCAATCCACTTGGTGGACGGAACATCAAGTACAGTACATTCTAGACTAGATCGTTTATAGGACACATTGTTTTACATCTGAAATAACAGACATCAAAGGACATTTTATAAATACGTTCAGAACGCAGTGTTAGAGTGAAGTGCAACTGTCAGACTTGTCTGCCTATAGCCCAAAAAAAAAAAAAAAAAAAAAAAAAAACTTGATTAAGATTGAACCCAATCAGATCTGATTAATGTGATGGCTCTCAGGTTTTTTGTGCCCCAGCGGAAAAAAGAAGCTTGAGAACATGTTAACATTGGGATGTAGGATTAATGTTGTCACACGCCACAATACACCATTTGAAAAAATTAGAGTAAACAAAATGAATGCATGTTGCCATTGCTTTGATATTTTGACATGACATGTATTACATGTCACAAAGTAAAACAGTAACGTGCTTCATTTATTTGTGCCATTTGCTAGGAAAGATAAAAATATCCTTTATTGTTGTAAGCATTTTTGCCTTTTAAGAAAAAGTAAAAAAAAGTGGTTTACTAAATCGCTAGGCTCGCTTGACTAAGCCAATAGGCCCTTGGTATAATATGGTTAACTAGTACAACAGTTTAGGTTCGATCATTTTATATGACTACATCAAGTCTTCCTGGATTTCAGTGCTAATGTAAAGTTTAGAAAGTAAAATGTAAAAAGAGGGGAAGACCAAGTCCGAAAATTGTGCAGTTTCTCTTTTACTCTAATTGTTGTAACCTTCTCTTAGGAAAATCAAAGAGCAAAGAAGTGAGAGCACATGCGAACACTCTTACTCATTATATACTTTAGCCCAACGAAGGATACCCAGATTAGAGTCAAAAGCCATTATCACGTTATCTGTTTGTAAAAGGATGAAAGGATGGAAGAACAAAAGAATAGAAGAAAGAGAGGGTCGTTGGTCTTGAACAATTGGTTTCCTGTGACTTTCTACAGATTCCGGGAGCCGACAGTGTGAGTTATTGTATGGTTTTGAGGTCAAATAAGTTCAAAATAATAATAAAAAAAACTTGCTCTTAATAGGATTAGAGTCGGGTCCATTCATTATTACTGTAGCTGCTACTTGTAGCTAATGCATGTTTGTGCACGAAAAAGAAATGTGTTTGCCTCAGCCATTGCTCTCATTCCCTCATGGCCTGACTCTCACGCACGAACAAATGGCGCTAAGCTTCCCAATACTCACCCACCTCTTTGCTTTCTAATCTTCTCTCTTTCTTTTCTACTTTTTCTTCTTTCTTGTTGCATTCTACACCTCCCTCCTTCCTTTCGCACATTTGTCCTTGTCTTTGACGCCCTGACTTTACTGTCGAGGGTAAAAGAAATAGACATTCCTGTCCTTGAATCTTCCCTTTTTCGCTGACAGATACTCAATCACCCCGAACCCGCCTCATCTTCTTCAGCACCCATTATTCACATATACACACTCTCTCTATTCCCTTTTCTCTTACCACTTCCGATATCTCAGCAACGATCCCAACCTTCTTTCAAGAAAAAGAAAAAAAAAAATTCTTCTCCCTCCCCTCCCCATCTCATCCTTTTTTATTTTACTTTATTTTTTTCATTTCTTTCTATTCCAATATCTTGTATCTTTCGTCTCATAAGCGACTCCATTCAGGAACCGTTTGACGCTTTCTCTCTTGCCTCCAGACCCTATCCAATAGAATTCCTTCGTAATCATTTTTCGTTGGATTGCAATAATAAATATTTGTGTTCGATAACAAATAGCATCAATACAATAACAACAACAATAATTTTAAAGAAAGAAATACAACCATTCCAGCATGCGACTGTCAGTGAAGAAAACTACTTCCTTGTTGGTATTATGTACTGCCGTACTTCTCGCCACTTCACCCTCGGTTACGATTGCTCAAGTCACAATCACCACCCCTGGAGGAGGAACGCAGCCAACAACGACCGATAGACCAACGCCCACTACAACAACACAACCCTCGGTGCCTTCGAGAACTTCGACTCCTGCCCAGCCTCCCCCTTCTGTACCAACCCAATCACAAGTGCCTACAACAACCAATCCTATCCGGTCGACCACACCACCAGTATCGCCACCCTCAGCCACGACCCCGAGCACACCGCCTTCGGACCAAACATCATGTATGAGCAGCGATAGCTGTCCCGTCAACCACATTTGTGCGTTGCAGAACGCTACATCAACCACGGGCTACTGCCAGGTGATGTCTCAAGGATTAAGTGTCTGTGTCGCCAACCCTGCAACACCATGTGAGAGCCATAAGGATTGTAACAATCCTGAATACTCGTACTGTGGGCTCGAGGAAACGACTAAAAAAAGGGTTTGTTCGGGTCTGGGTCGCCCAGGAACTGCTTCGGAATGTAAGAGATCCGCAGGAGGTGGGAACACTACGAAAGGTGACGATGGTGACAAGCTATCCAACACTCTCAAATATGCGGGTATTGGTGTTGGATCCGTGGCTCTCTTGGCCATTATGTTTGCATTGGTGAGGTGGCGTCGGAACAAGAGTCGGTCCAAGGCCCCCAACTTCAGCGAGCTGGATTATGGTATGTCACGCCGACGTTCTGAGCCAAGATCAAGCTTGGGTGCAGCAGCAGCTGGGGCTGCTGCCAGTGGAGGGGAACAACCCTATCCATTCTCGAATAGACCGAATGCGCGTACTGCAACAGCTACGGCGGGGCAGGATGGATTTTATGATGATCAATATTACGATGACAGTTACGCAAATATGCATCCGATGGCAGGCATGGCAGGTGGTGCGGTGAAGGGCCAACAAGATCACTACTATGATCAGTCATACGATCCCAACTATGACCAAGCATATGCTCAGCATGGTGGTTACGGTCAACAGAGTTATGATCAGCAGGGTTATGATCAACAGGGTTATGGTCAACAAGGATATGACCAGCAATATGATCAACAGTATTATCAGAATGGTGGATATGACCAGCAAGGTAACTACGGAGGATATTATGACTCGAATGGATATGATGCCTATGCCAAGGATGAAACGTATGGTAACACAGCCCCCGTAAGCAGCAATGCGGGTACCACACCTGCAGTGCCTGCCCAAGCAGTGACACGTAATGGGTCTCGTCAAGGGGCAGCAACACAGGCTACGGGTGATTATTCGGTGGATCGATATGCTGTGGAGCCTTCAGAGCTGGACTTTGGTGGCCATAATAATGGAGCAGCACAACAGCAGGGTGGATATGGTCGCAAGTACTAAGCATCATACATATAATATATAAAAAAAACCCGGCGTTTTTCCCCTCTTTCTCTCTTCTTTTTTTTCTGTTTATGAAGTATTTAATGAATTCGCATATTGTTTTTCTTTTAATAAAAAGTAAAATAAAAAAAGACATAATGAATAATAACCGATGCAAGCAGCGTAGCAGATACAAGGTATAAAAATTGGAATAGGACCATCTTTTTATTTGTTTATTGTTGTTATCATGGGGATGTAGACGTTGCTGAGAGACCAACTGTTGATGCTGCCACCGAGTTGGTTGGATGGGCTCGGATAGCAGCGCGTTGAATAGCCCAGTCAAGGATTCTGGTAGGTGCTGCCCAACCAACAAAGGAGTATGCAGAGCTACCTCGTCCAACAGCTTGAGAGACTGCAGGTCTGATTGCAACCACTGCATTGAAGACCGCTTCACATAATGCGTCAGATGTTGAGGGCTGTTTAGTTCTGAACCATGCCTCTTTTAGTAGCTCGATAGCGAGTTTAAATGAGGATGATAAAGGTGATGATGATAATGACGAAATTCTTTTAAAATATTCTTCTTGCTGTTGTCGTGCATCGGTCTTATGGTTACTGCTGCTGCTGCTGGTATCATCCGGTACACCTGGTTTCAATGAAACGATGTTGATCCCTTGAAAGTCCACTTCGCGCCTTAATGAGTCAACTATCGATCCGATGGCATGATGACTGGCACAAACAGCAGATTGATATGGCAATCCAAGATTTCCAGTAATTGCGGAAGTAATAAATATTAACCGAGGATTACGAAATTTGTCTGAAGAGCCAGAAAGCATTGTTGTATGCTTCAGCTGTAGCGAGTTAACACAAAGAAAATTAATAATGAAAATAATAACAATAGCAAAAAAAAAAAAAAAAAAAAAAAAAAAAAAAGGACGCCCTCAACGAAAGCGACAAAAACTCTCTCATCTTACCAAAGGTAAAAATTGTTGACTGATCAAGATAGTACCAGTGACATTGACATCTAAACAATGGCGCCACACCTTAATATCCAGGGTCTCAATAGGGCCTTGAAGGGACAGATGTGGGTAAATAATCACAGCCGATAACCGGAAAAGAGGCTCACTGTTAGTAGTGATGGATGAACTCTGTACAATTTTTTGCTGCGCATACTCATGGCTTTGTTCCGTATTGGTAGACATAGGAATATCGGCAATAGATGGTGGTGAGGATGTTTCATCTTCTTCAAGAAGCATGAAGGAGGATGAAGTAGAGAGCACAGGTGAAGACATCTCTGCAGCCGTCGTCAATTTGGGCGATGATCCAGGTGATGCACGTCGCCTTGTCGTTGCAGTTGTTGCAGTTGTTGCAGTCGACGCCAATTTAGGCGATGATTCGGGAGATACAGGCCCCATTCGTCTTCCAAGTAAGACTGAATTTCGGTCTTGTAAAAAGAAAGAAACACTATGCACAAAGTTTTCGATATCAGTGACTCCATAAGGGTTCTGAACCACTATAGGATGAATGTCAGATCGATCCCAGCTAAGAACTTTATCTGCCCATGCTTGGTCAGGAACACCCACAAAGACGATGAATCCACGTGCCTCTAGCTCCAGAGCCATTTCGATACTCTCGATTGTGTCCACATTGGTCAGGACTAAACAATAATAAATTAAAAAAGGCAATTATCAGACTGTCGAAAATAAAAACAACAACAATAGCAATAAGTGAGCAATGGAAGAGTGACTAATAAGTGATTTTTTTACCAATGACTTCACGCTTCGATCCATCCGACCCACGTATAACTCTTGTTCTTTTTAGTTGCTGAAGATAAATCTCTCCAGCCTTATAAGCAATGGATCCGCCAACTGCGACAGCGCTAAGAAGGGTTACAGCAAGAACCGTCTTCCTTGGGTTTTTTCGACTCCAGCTCAAGAGTTGAGACAGGGTTGAAGGTGGGGGAGGCGGTGGTTGTAAAGGAAGAGGAGGAAGAGGACGAGTGGATTCTTTGAGGCCAGGTATAGAAGCGATCATGGGCTTTGAATAGGCAACAATAGTTACACCCAAGTCCCCGAGTGCTTTGCCGATGGAGGCCAAAACCCGCAGAGGGACATTACGAAGATCTTCAAGCGATGGTAATGGAGGTGCTAGCGGCGGCACTGGCGGTGAGGACTGTTTGACAGGCTCTGGGCGGGAGAATGTCGAGTTGGATTGACCCATGGCGTGTTATTTATAAAATAAAAGAGAAAAAAAAGAAAAAGTGAACATGAAGAATGGTGGTGTGTCAAAAAAAAAAAAAGAAAAAAGAAAACGTATTACGCAACGACACACGGGGACAACTTTAATGCACTCAAACAGTGCCACGATGTTTTACTTCAACCCTGAAGTGATTGGTTTTAAAGGATGCGTCCAATTGTCAATAGCCATGGCATTGACGGATAAAGGGCATTATAATTCGTTCGATGGATAGTTGGATGGAGAATGGAGCATCTTTAAACTCTTAAACTTCCCCTTCTTCAGAAAGTGAACCAAACATTAGCATTGAACAAAAGCCGTAATAAACTAGATATGCTCCTCTCCAACTTAAATTGCCTTTTAGATCGCCCGATATATATATAATTCTCATGCAGACACACCGACTTTTTTGAATAAAGAAATGGAGGCTGTGCTCTGCCATCGTGTGAAAAATAAATAAATAAAAAAATAATATTTTAAACACACAAAGACTTGCGACAATATGGAACAATTGTCAAGCACGGGGCAACCCAAGAGTCATCTTTACTGCGAGCTAAATAAAAAAAGAAAGTGCGGGTTAGATGTCAATGTTGAGATGATGTTGCTCTAAGTATAAAGAGTGATAGAAAGTAGACCAGGAAGGTCATCTCGAGCCGAGTCCAAATATTTTAAAAATAAAATAGCACACTAAGGGGCCTTGTATTCGGACCCACATGGTTGTTTGTGGCACTCTTTAATGGCCGGGGGGAAGTAGAGCGCTCTCAAATGACAATGTCCCTTTTAGGGACTGTTTGGACTCGACCGGTCCAAAAGGAAAATAGTCTGCCATTTTGCATTCAAAGAACATTCGCTACTTGCCATTTGCTCTCTGTAATAATGCATGCAACTTTATTTACCGATCAACCAACTTTTTCCTTTCTTTCTTTTCTTTCCTCCTTCCTTCTTTTTCAACATCCCTGATTCTTCCAATTCATATCCACTCCATTCCTTCAATCTATTCCCGCATTCGCCTCTTCTTGGCACTCTTGCCTTGACATTTTCTGATTACTTACTCTTGACCTTTTTTTTTTTTTTCCTCTTCTATTTTTATTCTCGTGTATCAGCTCTATACACTCACCCCAACTTTCCAAGATTCGCGCTCAACCAATATCAAACCTCAGTCCGGCCATGGTGCCGTTGACTATTACCATCCCTGCCTCAAAGGCAAATGGTAATTCCATGCCCATAACCATACTCAATAATGTTGATGCCTCAGATACGACTGATTCCGACCATAAAGCTCGTGCCTCTGAACCAAAACATGTAAACAATGATCAGAATAACCTAATCGAGGAAAAGAGTTGGCAGTCCAATAAGGAAAACAGCAATAGCAGCAGTAGTAACAGCAGCACCAGCAAGAGCAACAGCAATAGCGACTCCCTTCAATGCCTTGACGTTGATGATGAATCCATTCAGCACTATACCTTTCACAATTCACATGACTTTACAGTCAAGCCCCTTATCACAGAATCAGAATCTCCTTCGCCCATCCTCCCAACCTGGTTACCAGCCCAACAGAATCCAGACTACCTTGCTCCTTATCATCCATCACTGCACAAAAACATCCATAACTGGTCTCAGGCTCTACTTACTCAGGTTCACCAAAAAAAGGCCCTCGCAGCAGCGAAAGCAGCCGTTGATACCAATCTTTCTGATCAACAGGCTAGCAGTGCCTCTTTCAACGTTTCTCTATCCCACTTCCCTCTTCCTCCTTCTTCTACCCCTGAATCATCAGCTACACCTACGACTCAGAGTTCTGCTAATAATAACAGCACTGCGCCATCGTCATTTAAGGGAATTACGATCTTACCATCTAATATAGAGGATGCAGGTGCTGTCAGCATCAATAAGCATTTTCTATTTCAAACTCACCATCGAGAGCCGCAGCAGGCAAAACAACAAAATCAACAAAATCAACAACAACAGCAACAACAGCAACAACAACAACAGCAGCAGCAGCAACAGCAGCAACAGCAGCAACAGCAACAGCATCATCATCGTCGTCATAGCAATAAACAAAAAAGACAAAAACAGAACAAGGACGATCAGGAACAGAAACAACATCAAAAAAAGCCTCAGCCTCGGCAACGTAACACAAACATCCGCAGGTCTGTCACACGGCCATTTAAGAGTGTAGCTCGCCTCTTTCGACGAATTGCTCGTCTTATAAAAGGAGATGGAGAGGGAAGGCCAAGAAGACATTCTTGTTTATCATCATCCTCACTTTCATCCCTACCTACACCTACCACTTCTCCTACCACAGCCACTCCTACTACAACCACTCCTACCACAACTACTGAAGAGAAACCAATTGAACAAGTCAACTCCTCTTCGGATCCTAGTCCACAGTCGCTATCCTTACCAGAAGAGGACCAAAAAGCCCTCAATAATATCACTCAAGTTCATCAATCAGAAATAGAACAAGAACCAAAGATGATGAAAATAATTGACAAGATCGTTCACCACGTTCAGCATCATCATCATCAACACCATCATCAAGAGCCGACCCCTACAACTCCTGCTGATGCAAATGGAAATGCCGCTAGCACTGCCACCCCTAGCACCCCTATTAAGGAAATTGAAGCCGTCAAGGCTGTTGTCACTACAGCTGTGGCAACAGCTACAACATCCGTCCAAAGAAGGATAGACCGACATCGAGGACCACGGATGCATCCTAAACTACTAGAGCTGTACGAAATCACAGACCATGTGTTGGGTGAAGGCACCTTTGCAGTTGTGAAGGAAATTAAGTTCAGAAGCACTGGTAAATCATATGCACTCAAAACTATCCTCAAGAAAAATGTGAAAGGTAAATTTTAAAAAAAAGTGTGGCGCAATGGAGATTTCATAAGCAATATTATTTATTTTTATCTTTAGGAATATTGCGACAGAGGAAGGAGCGTCTATAAATTTTGCACTAAAACAAACTTTTAACTTTTTTCTTTATTTTATTTTATTAAACAGGCAAAGGCTCAATGCTGAATACCGAAATCGCAATCCTTTCCAAAGTCGATCATCCCAATTGTGTTTCACTTTTAGAGATGTTTGAGACTGAGGATGCAGTATACCTTGTGACAGATCTAGCGGAGGGTGGAGAGCTTTTTGAACAGCTCTTGCAAAAGGGTTATTACACAGAAGCAGATGCTGCCAGATTAGTTCAAGAGATCTTGTTGGGAGTTGAGTATCTACACGGCATGGGGATTGTCCATCGAGACCTCAAGCCCGAAAACCTGTTGTTTTCTGACAAGTCTGAAAATGCGCGATTGATGATCACAGATTTCGGACTGAGTAAGATCTTGACAGATGGGGATGATGTGTTGATGACTGCTTGTGGAACTCCTGGATATGTGGCGCCCGAAGTGTTGGAACAGATTGGACATGGCAAGCCTGTGGACATGTGGAGTGTTGGTATCATTGCTTATACCCTGCTCTGTGGATACACACCGTTCTGGGGAGAAGGTAAAAAAAAAAAAAAAGTGTAATTCTATTTTCATTTATGCTGATGGAGACAAAAAATATTAATTTTTTTTTTTTTTTTTTTTTTTTTCACTTGTGTAGATCAATCAGAATTGTTTGAAAACATTATTGCGGGAGAATACAGCTATGAGGAAGAATACTGGAAAGATATTTCGCCACTCGCAAAAAACTTTATTGATTCACTTTTGGTTCGACCTGCAGAACGACGATCAACTGCCACACAAGCACTGGCCCATCCATGGTTCCGTGCCATGCTCGATCATGATCTGTCTGTACCTTCCTCACCAACAGAGAGTGTCAATCTGTTGCCGAGCGTTAGCAAGAACTTTAATGCAAGAGGAGTGTTCAAGAAGGCTGTCAAGGCTGTGGGGCTTTTGAAGAAGATCCACGGAGCTCAATATCAGAATTTTGTTCAAGCCCGAAGACAACAAGAATTAACAACAGCGGCAGCGATAGCGACAGCAGAAGGAAGTTCGAGTCATGGAAATGCTTCTCCAACAGCTGAAGTACAACAGACTCGGATACAAGAACAAAAATTGAAGCCTGAGGAAGTCATTGTTACTGCAGGAGTCAATGGACCAAACCCGAATGCTAATAATCATGGATTGAGTTTTCATGATGTAGTGGGCGTTGCTGTGTTGGCTAAACATGGTGTGCATGTGGATGTTGCCATTTCAGATGGTCCGGCAAGTCATATCAGAGATAGTGATGATAGCGAAAGGTGTCTTCAATATGCGAGCACTGCTTTGGAAGAGTTGGCTGTGAAAGGTGGATAGTCTTTTCTCTCTTTTTTTTTTTTTTTTTTTTTTTTTTTTTTTGATCCAAAATGTGTATATATGTAGTCATCTTTTTTTTTTTTTTTTTTTTTTTAACCCATTAAATTTAGCATATTCATCTCTCTCGTATAAAAAGAAATGCATTTTATTTTATTTTCTTATCACTCATAAATGCGTCTGAACATTAAAAGAAAAGAATATTTACATTGGCGATTGTGGGTAAAGCAGAAATCATCATCTCCCTAGAATACATACTTGAAGAAATAAATTTACAAAAAAAAAAAAGAAAAGGACCCATTCTTGTTGTTTTGGTTCCTTGTTAGGGGTTTTTCACCTACGGCTGCGCCGACGCCCAGATCCAGCTGTTGCCTCATAAGGTGGACACTCACCCTGGTCGCCCAAATCATAATCAAACTCATCACCGCTGAACGCCAATCCCAAATTGTCTCGGGATAACATCCCCGGGCTATCTATTCCTGCACTCACCAGCAATGCTTCTTCATCCTCCTCCATCAAATCACCTTCTTCTGGTACGACCACCACAATCGGGACCGACAGTCGGATTGTACGCGAATAAACCTTTTCTGCTTTGATTTTGATCACAATCTCATACGATACTTCCAAAAGAGGAGCATTCAAGATGGAATAGCCTGCACTGTGTGGGATTGGAACTAGGATCGTCTTTTGGATCTCACGATCAACTGCCAGACTACAATTGACTAGTGTTTTAGATTTCACCATCTTTTCACGCAGATGTTGGACAATCGGCAACGGTGCTTGCTGCTGCTGGTGTTGTTGTTGCTGTTGCTGTTGCTGCTGTGCAGAGGATGTCAGCGTAGAATGGCTTGATGGTGTAGGTGACGTCATACCAGAGCGGTTCTCAGAGCTATAAACAATGGTTCCTGAGCTGATAGGGGTCCCATTGCTATCACCGCTATTGGAATGACTTGATTCCCATTGACTTGAAATCGATCTCGCCATCTGTGCACTATTGTCCTGTCCCTCACATGCATCGTCTCCTTCTGCTGGGAAGGTTGAACTGTTGGGCGATGCAGGAGGTGAAGGCATAGAGTTTTCTGGATACTGGCTTCGACTACCAGCTCTCCTCCGTCCCAATCGTCGTCTTCCACTGCCCACATTCCCCCCTTCTTCCTCTCCTCCTCCTTCAGGAATATTTCCATTATTGTTCGCAATCGGAGACACAATCTCTTCTGAAGGCTCAATGGGATCTGATTGTGTGAATGCTGAATCCAAGAGGTAACCCTGTCCTGCAATACCCATCGCACGGACCTTTGAAAGGCCAGAACCATAATGTAGGCACTTACAGAGCGTGGTCTCGACACTAACTTGCTTCGCATCTGAATGGTTCACAATATGAATCACGAGCGGGATTATCCTTCCGGGACGATACCCTTGTTTAGGAACCCATGCCCGGGCTTCCATAAACCCTGTGGACCAGACCCAATGTCCAACGTTTGCCCTCACAGCCTCTGTCCCAAATGGGATACTGTACAGAGGCATGTTCATAGGATCGTTCATGGGAATTAGTTTGATGGCCTGAGTTGCAGAAAAAAAGGTAGGTTCGACTAACAATGCTTTGGAATTGCAAGGATCAGGACTTGGAAGGATTTGTTTCATAACCGCTTGAAGTTGGTAGTTGACACTACCAACGGGATCAGAGAATGAGCCCGGTAGGGACATGACTGAGTTGGCAGGGATTCGGATTGAGAAAGGGATCACATAATTGCCAGGTTGCATCAACACTGCTTTAGGCTCTACTGGTTCTGCTGGAGGAGAAGCCGTTGTTACTGATGATGTAGTAGTTGTTGATGTGGTAGTAGTAGTTGTAGTTATTGATGAAGACGATGTCGATGGTGCAGTGGCATAGTCCGTTTGATCATTTTGAGAAGAGTGTCTTCTATCCATATTGACTAAAATTAAAGACAATACAAAAAGTCAGCGTCTGCTTGGCTTTAAATCTTACAAACACACACACACAAAAAGTGATTACCATCGTCTGAGCTATGGGCAGAGTTAGCAATAGATACTGCTGCTACTGTATCGTCAATTTGCTCCGATGTCCTCCTTTCTGAGCTACTATCGACAGTTACTGTGATAGCTTGCTCTGATGAGGTATCGGTCCTGGAAGAATCAGTTGAGGGTCGCTCGCCTCCGGTTGAGCCTACAGCGTTCTCATAATCTGGGGGGTCGTAAGATGGTGCTGCTGGCAAAGAAGGATCGTCTTCCATCATGGCATCGTGGTCATGAAATGTAGTACTAACGTTGACCATGCTCATACTGAATCCACTCCTTCCAAGGATCCCACCAGTATTACTAGTACCACTACCGCCACTACCCCCACCACCATTGACGCTGAATCCAGCTAGCGTTGTGTCCACATTTGCAGAGAAACTCGTTCTCCTGCCACGGGAATTGGCAAGTGAAGGTGATACAGAACGGTGGAGAGACAGTGTTGAAACCGTTTGCGCTGCAGCGCCGGATGCGTAGTATGGTGAAGGATTTGACAAAGTCCTTGACATGAGCCTACTTCTGCATTCAATGGCGCCAGGTCCTCCTTGTGCTGCTAATGTAGCAGTCACAGCTGCAGCAAGAGTATTCTGGATAGGCATGGCTGGGAAGCGAGCCCTGTCCTGTGAAGTACCACCCATCATGCTGCTTCTGCGTGCACGTCCCCTATGGGAATGACCATCCTGAGAAGCAGAAGCAGTACCACTATTAGCTGTTCCTGTTGTGGGTGCGGGCGTCGTATGGCGACGGGTAGTATTTGTTCTCTGGTTTGTGATTGATGCTGTTGCCACAGTCTTGCACTCCTCCAATATCGTGACCGTTTTCATCGAGCCCAGGCGTGTCCCATCCAATGCTGTCACAGTTCCTGTCAAGAGGACTTCAATCGAGTGTACTGGTGTGGCTTTGGGCAGCTCCAAGTGGATCTGTCCTCGAATGGACTCGCCAGGCGCCATTACTGGCGGTGAGAGAACAAGGTTCCCAGTAGAATCCTGTAATGATATGCGCAGTTGTGGTGTTCGAGAAGTCTTATACTTGGGAGGTGGCGGGTGGCTTGTACTGCGCGTGCGCTGCCTCCTGGAAGAAAAGCCCTCAGCTATTGTTGCTGATGAACCATTGTTGTTATTATACATTGAAGATCCACTGTTGTTACTGTTATTGGAGTAATTCCCAGTCGAAGAGACATTGATAGAGGAAGAACTGGCTGCTGGGTTAATGTGGACTGTAGAATTGGAGGAGCGGAAAAACGAGCTTTGTTGATAGAACCCGGAGCCATGTGCTGGGGGTGGAGAGGATCCGAAGAGAGAGGATGAAGCTACTGTGTTGGCAACAGAGGCAGCTGTAAGTGAGAGACGTCGCGTGAAAATGCCGCTGGTTCGTATCCTTGTTGGTGCCGACGGGGCCATGGATGGGGAGGCCGAGCGAAGGTGGATGTCTTGTAGTTGCCCAGTGGCAGGGTAGACTACTCGAGAAGCAGCCATGCTGCTGTTGAAGGAATAAAATAAAGGAAAATAAGACGACTGTCGATGAATAAAAAAGAAAAAAAAAAAAAAAAAAAAAAAAAAACTTTATTATCCGTGTCAAGAGAGTAAGGCAAAGTCGAGGAAGAAGGTATGGTATACACAGACTTCAATGGGAGCTGCAGCAAGTATTTGAGCTGGCCAGATGGTAAATAGTTTTATTGAACAATAAAAGCTCAAGGAAGTGAAGCAACGTACAAGTTGAGGGATCATAAAGGGATAAGAAAAAAGGAAAGAGAGAGAGATAGACCAGAAAGCCAAAGGAAAAGCAAAAAAAAAAAAAAAAAAAAAAAAAAAAAAGGGGCAGAGTCATTGTCCACGATGCCTTGTTCTGTTATTTGTGCGGGTGTCTGGATTTGTGTTGGTGATGTCGTGCATGCATGTGGGCATTGACCCTGTTTGGAAGAGCCAAAAAAAGAGCAGACTTACATTAGCCTGACACAACACCGTTCTGTATGTATTGAGTGAATATCTTGCACAAGACACGTCTTGAGGTTGACAAACATGAAGATGATATAGAAGGATTGCGACATGAACTTTCAGCTTCCTTTGAAGTCCCTATAGTGTAAGCCATGTGCTTCACGGATACACATGCTTGATACATATGGAGGAGCTCATCAGGCAGATCATGGATTACGGAAAAAAAGAAGACAATACACTTGCTCTTTTTGTAGGTCCTATTTCCTTGGCTTTTTGCTTTAAGTACAGCTGCACGTGTAAGGCTAACCTTGTGTTCAGAGGAAAACAAACATACTGAATAGACCATCGGCTCAAAGTGGGACAGAAAAGCAATAAAAATATACATCGGGGAGTTTTCCTCTTCTGCATCAATGTTGTAAAGATTGACTACTGTAAAAAAAAAAAAGTTTGACAAAGGGGACAAAGGGGGTAAAGAAAAAGAAAAAAAAAAAATAGGAGAAGCCCATAGTAAAGTTTTGCAAGTCAATAAATAGAGATAGGAGGTCAGGATGTCATTTTTCAGGCACAGGCACAAACATCACATTTCTAACGGGGATAGGTCACACGGACACACAAACACGACTTTATTAGTCAATTATACAAGGGGTGCAGTAGAATCTGTTCCCTCGCATCTAAATAACCTAATAACATGGAAACACATAGGAGAGCTTGTTTGCAAATAAAAAAAGCTTTTATACTCTTAGCCTTGAGTCTTGATGAGGGTTGCTTTGATGTTGAGGCTGCGCCCAATCATAGGTCAGCATCTAGAGCAATGTCCCATAGAACATATTCTCAAATTTATTTCGCTGGCTATAGCCATAGGAGATCCCGTGCTCGTCGAGAAGCGATGTCCTAATAAGTAAAGCCTTATCAATAAGCACAGTAATTGGCTAAGCACGTCATACGAATAAGGATAAAAAAGAAAGAAAGAAGAAAGCTTTACATGGACTCTTTTGCTTTCTCTGGTTCTGTTGATTCGATTTCAACCTCGTATGCAGTCCCATGTGGATACTATCAAGAGCAGAGGATTTTGAGTATTGGAATTGACTGACCGATCGTGAGGATGCTAACCAAATAATCAGGCTGTTGAGGCCGTGTTTTTATCATTACCGTTGTTCGATCCACTTCGACCAAGTATTCCCGCCATTGGAACTTGTGGCGTATGTTCTTAAAGCGACCCATATGTGAGTATCCATCTGGGCATGGCACCCGTTCAACGATTTTTTGAAGTAAGCGATGACTATTGGGAAGAATAGGTTATGATCAGAGAGGGGCCATTCACGGTAACTGATGTTTTGCGAAGATAAACTAAAAGGGGCCAGCGAGTGTACTTACGATTTTGCCGCCTCTGGGATCAGATTGGGATTATCTATGATCTGTCTCGCGATAGCGATATCAATTGGTTCTTCTTCCTAGCAATCAAACAAAATAAAAGTAAATAACGCGCAAAGGGGATGGAATAGCCCCTCAACTCCGCAACACCATGGTTGCTATAATGCTGCAGTCTTTTTCAATTGCTTGCCTCTTCGACAGTTGCAATGCCGTTTACAAGAACTGCATTTCCTTTCAGAGCAACAACTGCAACAGGGACCTTGTCGGACTTTTGAATAATTCTGATACGAAAGACAAGTCGGCTCTTGATCCTACAGGAAGAGGAATTAAGCTATTAGAATTTCATCTTTCCCATGACCAGTATGCCAAAGTAATATATTGCTCGTTAAAGACATACAGTTCTTTGTGAACTCCATCAAAGAAGACATTGTTCTGGTCCTCTGAAGCTATAGGACTACCAAGTGTCTTTTCTAACATACAAGTGGCATCTTCTGAGGGCAATCTGATTTTGATCTCAATTTCCATGATGATTCAACAAAAATGAGGAAGAAAAATAGCCTTGGGTCCCTGAAATCCCTTGTCCCAAAAAACTACAGCAGTCACTGAGCCAATGCCAGTGTTGGCAAGTCGTGATGAATGAATTATATATTTATCTGGTCGACCTCAGGCATATTCAAGATAATCAAGGACCATCCCAACTCAATTACCGAACTGTTGGTCAAAGCAAGGCCTCTATGTAAAGATTCGGTCACTAACATTTTTTCCGCCATTACGCTTTGGTCGTGTACATGACCAAAAAAAAAAGGTTAAAAGATGACATCCCATGCAGAACACACATCTTGCTCCTTGTTCTCGTGTAATGTCATGATCAATCACAATTGTCATCTTTCAATTCAACAAATAAGCTCAAACAAACAACAACAACAATACCAATAGCAACAGCAGCAACAGTAACAGGAACAAAAACCAGAAACCAACACTCAACCGATCGCTAGAGCCAACAAACATTTATTATTATCTTTTTTTTTTTTTATAAATACTCTCTTCTCCACACTTCGTTGCTTCTCTTTTCTCCTCCTCCCGCCCTTTTAATCCTCTTTTCCGTTTTCGTACTTTACTCTCTCTCCTGACATCATCACTTCCTGCATGAGATACGGTTCTTTACACCCAGCTCTCCTCTCTCATTTTTTTCTCCACTCCTTGTACAACCAATCAATTTAAATAAGCTCTTACTCTTCAATGGCCGGTCGAAAACCACCAACGGATGGATTGACCACAAGGCATGTCATTTACCTTGTCGTCATGCACATGATTGGTGCAATGATTCTAGATGGCGGCATTAATTTTGGACTTGCCACTGCAATGTACAAGAATGGTAGCAAAGCTGTCAAACTCTGGCCTTTGCCACAGACCTTGGCAGGGGATGCTGCTGTTACCATCATTATCCAACAAGCTCTTACTTGGATTTTAGACAGACGTGCTGTCGGTGGAGACCTCAAGAAAGGTTTGGTGGCGCCTTTGAAGATGCCCAAGAACGCTCATCCGATCATCCGTTGGTTTGTGGGTCTGGAACATATTAGTGCTGATGTGCCCAAGAACACTCTGGCTAACAAAGTCGCTCATTTATTTCGTTTCCATGGCCCCCGCATTGCCGTCTTGATCCTGGCAACATTTATTTTGTATTGGCCTATTACGATCGGCATCCTGTCAGGTCTGAAGATCCATGGTGTGGGCAAGGATTACAGCGGCCTAGGGGGTGACTTTAACCTTTGGCCACTTCCAGAGATCTTCAAGGGTGTATACGGCTTCGCAGTAGGCTTGACAACGCCCTTTGTCAGCTACATTGCACTCATCTATGAAGGAGAGACAGTGACTGAGGAGACAAACTCAGATCTGACAGAACTGTCAACGAGCGCAGGGAAGGACATTGAACTACAAGAGACGGCCGCTTCGAATGGTGTATAAATATTGCTCTCAGATTTTATAAATAGTCCCTTTTCACTGTATTAAGTATAATTTAAAAAGAAGGCGGCATTTCGAGAAGTGTTTAATGAGTTCTCATTTGGCTTGTATAAATTTATTGTTAATTTACAGAAGAAGCAAACAGCCCGAGATGAAAGTAGAATTCAGTTCAACGCATTGCCCTTGTCATGTCATGTCATGTCATGTCTTCTCTCTCTTATGAACACAAAACAAGCTTGTGGATAAGCTCGGCGGACAAACTATCGACGGGGGTTTCTGTAGTAAAATGTAGATGATCTTGCGTGATGTTCTTAAAGGGTACTGTGATTTCAAATGTTGATAAACGATCGATCATGCCGTGTCCTCCCACTTGAGCATTGATATTGTCAATCATGCCATCCACAAGCTTGTTCCAATACAAAATTCGATGATTGGTCTTCCAGCCCGCAATGTCTCTTTGGTCGGCTGCTGTGTTATCTGTCCAAGCAGGCAGACCCATCCAGATGACCTTAAGACTGCTCATCTTGTCCTGTGGGGCACCAGCTTTAACTGCTTGTCTCATTTTTCGGAGTTCGACCAGGCCATCCAAAATGGCCTTGATTCGTTCTATAAACTGCGCTGTAGTCCAATGCCCAGCAAATGAACCAAATCCAACAACGACTGTGTCCATTTCATTCAGTACAGCTAGGTCAGGCACATTCACCTTGTCATCCTCTTGTCCATTAGCACTATATCGGATCCGAGCCAAGGTTTCATTAAGCGAAGGATCAAAGTCACTCCTTGCGACAATGTTGCCGATTTTCAACACGTGGCTCTTGCGGTCTTGGATAGGAGCATCCAGCTTGCCAGATCGTCCTTGGAGCCTCTGCATTAGTCCACTGAATAAGACCCTGACATGAGAATCACCAACGAAATAGATGGATCGTTTCAATTGCAAACATTTAGCTGCTTCTTCCTTCTCTGCCTTGACTTCTTCGCTGTCTGACTCGTCCACAGGCTCAAATGCTGTCTGAGCAGGATAGAATCGGCATCGTGGTCGGGCAGGGATCCATTCATATGGGTGACTCACAGCCTGCCATAGCGATTCAATTGGCAATCTGGCACTGTAGATTCCGTACTGTCGTGATTGTGTGCTTGGGGTATTTGAGCAAATATCCTGTGTCCCTCCCAAACCTTCTGCTTCATCAATGGCCACCCAAGCAACGCAATGTGAACAAACATTAAATTGATAGAATCGCTGACTCTGTCGAGTTTCTTCTGCAATCAAGTCCGTATTCAAGTATTCTGGTGTCCATTGGCTCGACATGTTCTCGTTCAATGCGTCATATCCTTGGTAGGTATGCAAAATCTTTTGGACCCAGAATCGTCCAGGTCGACTAATAAGATATGGAATTGCATATGTGCAACCTCCTAGAGGCTGCTGTTGCAACAGCGAGATCCGCTCAGGTCCAATAAGGACGATACGGAAGGTATCTGGGCCCAAATATCTGGATGTATATAAATTTGTGGTGGGGTCCTTTGCTAAAACTGTGTTGGGCTTAGGTTGGCACGCCTCGGTCTCAAGTAAAGTGTCCCCGATTCTCGCCTGTAATCGTTGAATTCGAAAGTATCCTCCAGGGTAACACTGAGCGGATGTAGGTTGCTCCTTCTCATCCTCCCTGGCCTCGTCCTCTTCCTGGATTATAGTAGTGCTCCCAGGGACAGTGCAATGTTGTACACTCCATCCTGGGATGGTCTTGAGTGATCGACACTCTGTCCATTGTCTGATAGGGCTCTTTGTAAAATCCGGTTGTGTAGCTGAATTGAAGGGTCGGTCCAGCAACATGCAGGCACGGTCCGTTTCTGCAGGATCGAGCGGATAATCTCGGGTGATGGTGTTAAGTGGTGACTGAGCGGTCTCAGCACTATAACTACTTGACCAACCGAAATAGTAAAACAGCCGAGCAGATCCAAGAACGCCGATAACGGCTATGATGCCGTACTTGAGTCGTTTCTGATGACTTGTTTTTGTTGCGACTATTTCCGACATGGAGAGGGGAGGGAAGCTGCTTCTGTGAATGGAGATGACAAGAGTGATGAAGTGAAGCGGGAGACAGCTGTGGACCACTCAAGAAGCCTGTAGCAGTAAAGCTAATTTTAATGGTGCACTCGCCCGACGCAGCCCATGCGTTCAATACGTCTTCCTTATTGTGCTGCCTGTGTTATCGTAAAACTAATCCATGTTGCTGGTCAGAATGAATGACCAAAAACCAAATAATGAGACTTGAGCACATTGCATTGATTGAACATCAGACCTGAGGCAAAGCATGGATTGGTACCTCTATTTTCTCTACCTTTGCTTCAGGTTTCTCTCGACATCCGTGTTGTCTTGCCAATAAGAACTCTTGATTCTATCATCTGTCTTTCACCAGCACTCTTTGCTTCTCTGCTTCTCTGCTTCCCTGCATCAACCCTTTCCACGTTAGTCACTGCCTTTTGTGTCCTTCAACAAAAGTCCCTCTCCTTGAACACTGAACGCCTCCTCTGCAGGATCTCACATGTCTCACACCAATTTCTTCTAACTCTCTAATCTTAGGATTTGTATCACTCGAATTGTATCTTTGAAGGATCTTTATAACCATGAAATGTGTGCATGGGTCCCAATGGGAATAAGGATGTTGATGCGACTCCCTACGCCGGAGTTCTGTCGGTAAAGGTCCGTTTAAACCGCGATTCCCATGTGGTGTGCCCTGTGCCCTAGATCTTCCTTGGCTGAGAGTTGGAAGCTCGTCAAAGCTCTCTTGTAGTCCGCGTGCTTGTCACATCTGCAGAGGTGAAGTACAACGCGATTCCCTACACCGGCGTTCTGTCGATGAAGGCCCGTTTAAACTACGACTTCCACATAGTGTGCTGTCTTTCCTTGAGCTTCCCTGACTGAGAACTGGGAGATCATTAAAGTCTGATGGCCCTCTTGTGGTCCGTGTGCTTGTTAGCGCTCATTTTTGTGGCTCCACCTAATATGTATAGACTTTGCGCCGAAGCATCCGTTTCTTTTCAAAATTCAACCTGGTCCAACCATAGCTTTTCGCATTCTCACTTTGTGCTCATTCGGAGCTATTTACTGGCAATTAGATTTGATTTGGGGCAATACAATCTCAGGAAAGCTTCATAGACATTAAGCAGTGCATACCTGCATACTCCTGATCAAGCCTTGAAACTGGGCTTGAAGATCGACTACCTCTGTCGGCAGGTGACACAAAGACAATTCCTGCATAAGGAACACATATGATATGCTATTGACTGGCCGAGCCTGGATGGTTGTGTAGTCGCAGCCTGTTTTGTAGGAGATGTGGCTGGTCGTCACACTTCTCACGCATAGTGTACATGTACAAGTTCCCCACTTACTACCGGTATAGCCGCTGAGTAAGTCAAACTATGCTAGCCATGATTCCCTTACCCACTGCGGCTCTGAAAGGTTGCTGGCGACAAATGGATGAGGACGTTTTGGTGTAGAGGAAGTGCATGTTGTGGTTAGCGGCCGTTTATTTAAGTTTTTACTACAGTTAGCCTTTTTTTTATTAAATGAAGATCTCTGGATTATAATAAAGATCATCCGTTCTCGTTACCTATTGTAATCCTGGCATATTTCAGTGCATTAAGAGAATTTGATTGATATGATCAATCAATATAGCCTCGAGAATGCCACTGAAAGGACTATGCTATTGAACATTACCATACAATGGCTGTCTTTGTGGCAATCGTACCGGTCCGCATCACTCATCGACTCGTCATCAGGAGGAGAGACACTGTGAGGGTGGCGACCTTGCAACGTGCAAAGTCGCAATCCATTCACATACTGCAGAATTGTAATAGGTAGTTCAGGCATATCAAACAATGGCCTCTCCTTGATCCCACTCTACTCAGCGTGGTCTGGCAAGGAAAGTCATAGTGTAGGGCCTATCGTTAATGTGGAAGATTAGGCATCAGCTACGGAACCTTTAAATAAATAATGACATCAGCAAGTTGGATTTTTACCTGACGGCAGCGCTATCCCTGATACTCGCCTCAAATAGCACACACTCAACTGCTCTACTCGATGACTACAGCACCCAGAAACGACTTTTGTAAAGACAGTTGAAGCGCTCTGTACGTCTCTGCTGTATAGTCTTTTTTCTGAGTTTCTCTTTTCTCCCTTGGTTACTAGTCTTCGCCCTTTCTCACCTTTCCTCCTCGGCCTTTATTTGCATGCTCCTTAGCATGATGCTTACTTGTATAAAACGCTAGTAGAGACAAAAGCCTAAAGCGGTGAAATTAGTAGGGTTTGAAACCAGGATCTGTAGTAGAAATGGAGTAACGATACTTTAAATATACTATCTATTCCCGAGTCTTGCAGAGTATCATCTACAGGTTTCTGAAAAAAGTACCATATGATTGTTCGGTACCAGTGGGGGATCGGCTTTTCTTTGGAGGAGGAGGAGGAGGAGGAGGAGGAAAAGCAAACAATGCTGGAATCAGAAATTCTCGGAATATATTTAAATGATATTAGACTCAATTATGGTGAGAATCAATTGCTAGATGCAACCATGGAGATCAAGGAACAGACAGAGTGCTTTTTTGACTTGGTGTATCAAGAAAGTTTTTTTATTTTTTTATTTTTTTATTTTTTCTATATTTTCATTGTTCGCTTCCTTTTAGTTCCTCAAGCAACTGGTCGACAGAATGCAAGGCACGCTGATATGCTTGGTAAAACATATACCAGAAAGCACATGTACTGATAAAAATCAGCAACTGATAATCCGTCGCAAGTAGCGGAGTACTGTTGCGTTTGATCAATGATCCACAAAAGCTTGATTGATTGGATATGCTTGTAACAAAAGTATTTGAATTATTGACAACACGACACGATACAGCACACGAAAAAAAAAGGGTATAAATAAAAGCCGTTCTTCTATCTCCACTCATCTTACGCTCTCATTAAAACTATGATCCTCCCATTATATATGCAATACTACTAGCAACATCCCTGCATATCATCGACGTCTCATTATCAACACGCGGATCGATGGCCCCTGGCCTTTCCTGCCTGAAAAAAGGATATGACTCCGTTGTCAGATATGGATCTACTAGGCCTCTCGGCTCGAATGTATATCTTGTTGATGTGCTTGGCATCTTCTTTACTCTTATTCATAATACGTAATACGTATTCACCTCATACCTTGGATACCACACATCTTATTCTCGAAAAATAAAAAATAAAAAAAGCTTGAATGCCCTCAAGATCTGGTTCTCTATTGGACGGCCCATTCGCCATTCCATGGCTCTATTAGGATCTCTTTGTTGTCACAGGTAATGAATCTGTCTCCCAGCGTGGTCATCGGAAGAATAGGCTATGTATACATTATGCGCTGGTTCCTTCTTAGTGGACCCTGTTTAGTTCGAGCGGAAAGGCGAGAATTTGAGTTAGAGGGATCATATGTTATGGATAAGTGGTTGGTTGGGCGCTTAAATCCTTGAAACAACTGTTAGCTGTTTATAGTCTCTTAACTTACTTCATTCTCTCTTACGGACATTATTTGTCAGAATCAACTATTGCTGTTCAAGTTTAATTAGCTCAGTAATGGGACCAAGCTACGAGCATGTACACGATGCCAAGAATCGCCAAGAGCACCTGGCAACGCAACCAGGGTGATGCTTACTAGGAGCATCAATCGGGAGTTCCGCAGATTGGCAGTCCAACAAGCAACCAGTGAAGGAAATAATTAGAGGGGCATCAGCGAGCGACTTATAAACCGCCATGTCCAGGATAAAATGAGATATCCGCTTGTTAGCCATTCTCAAGGTTTAACTGGGGAGCTGAGGAGTGGTAAGTCATTTACGGCATGTTCACATACTCTCAGATATTCATAAAATTATGTGCATTCATGTGGGGGGCAAATCATTCGAATAGAAATTACCGTAGAGTGGTGGCAATTTTATTACCAATGCATCACTTATCATGTCACTTTTGGTGTAAATGGATAGTGTATGTTCGTGTTTAATGGAAGCAAGGGAGAGTATGAGTACATTACCAACGGCAGTGTATGCCTCCACCACGTCCCTCATGGTGTAAGGAAGAGAACAAGAATTGCTTTACGAAACGGAAGAACCCTTGCCATCGCTAATTTCGCCATCGACTAAGTTTGGAAGTCAATAGATTGTATTGTGATAGAGGCGTACTCATCTACCAACTGCGTTAATAGAGCGAAAGTGATGCCCCCACCCCTGCCGCTCTCTATCCAAAAATGAGCACTGCATATACTCATCTTTTCGAGCATGTCTCAAGAATTATCGGCCACTTAATAAAGATAGTCCTGCTACTTGAAGATGTACAGTATGTGTTTGTATATGTCTATATGTTTATGTGCCATGTATTGGTGCTCTAGATGGCTTGATCTCACCAATAATACTTTTTTTTGCTTAGAGTGGTCGTGGGCTGCATTCTAGATACAGTGTCTCCAAATGCGCAGGAGTACTTCGAACATGCGCATCAAGGTCTGTTTGTTCACCCAGTATCATTGAAGGGTTTGACGGGCGCCCATCCGCTTCGATCATCCGGGAGTATAAAGGCTGCCTGGTTAAGCATGGAAAGGCTCTTTTTTTTCTGCCATTCTCGCCGTAGAAAATGGCTTTTTTTCTAAGTCCAGACTAGGATATTGATTTGATTGAGAACGAACGAGGAATGAGAAAAAAGAATGGTATATTTCGCGTAAAAAGAGTCATCATGCTCTAATTAATCAATTAATTACCTTTAATTAAGATAGTGTGCTTAGAGATGGAAACGAGAATTGTGGAGTAGATTCAAATGTTAGAATAATAAAATGTTAGAATAATAGATGGCAATGCAGATGATGGAAACAAGAGATGATTGGTAAAAATGAGGCTAGTGATTTGGGTGTGTGTGTAGGACCGATTAAAAAGCGCCATCCCGTTTGTCTAAAGGGTAAGTGGATAGTGATGGCTTCGTTCATAAAGGATGAACGATTGTAAAGAATACTCAATAGATATGGTATTTTCATTACAAGACAAAATTCCTTTCACTTGATTGACATTCGACTCTTTTCTTCATGCTTGAACCTCGGCGGTCCTCCTGCATATGCGGTATTGATGTGAGTTTTTATGACACACTGTCCCGCATGTTTTAAATATTTAGGTGTTGCTTTAACATTCTGACCATTGTTGATAACGAGCTTCTGAATCTTAAGCTTGACGTGTATGTCGCCTGGGACCATGAAACAGAGGAATGTGATATTGTCACTTTTCTCCGAAGTTTGGTCGGTTTCTCTTCAAGCAGGTTCCAGTAATATTATCGGCCATCCAATTATCAAGTCCCAGAAAATAATACTGGCCAGGATCAAAGATGAGCGCCATCAGCAGATAGCTAATGCAAGAAGCCTGTCCTATGAGGATTTCATGGAGTTGTGCGAGTTGCCTGAGCTCACACATGCAGATAAGTATGCAGTGTCTAAATATCGCTTGATGAAAGCCTACAATATAGCCACACCTGACATTATGACGCCTGAGTGGGTCAAGGATTATGATAATGAGAAAGAGAAAAGCGTTTACAAGAACCTGTGCTCTCTATACACCACTAATAGCACCACTTTGGAAGATAGACTAGAGGCTGTCCGACAAAGGGAGGAGGCTAGACTAGGATTATGCCCAAAAACCAAAGTGCATCACAATCTTGAAGGCTCGCGATATGTCAAATTGCGATATGCAGCGGATATCATGACATCATGTGGATTCACAGATGTATTCGCCAGTAATACTGTGCAAGCACAGACTCTCAAAGAAGGAATCAGAAGGATATGGGAAGGCGTTTTGAAGGAAATGGATAACACTTGCATAGCACTGGATAGAAAGAAACCAACGCACAATAATTGGATATTCAAACACCAACTAGGGTATCTAAACAATATTTTACATGATGTGCTTGGTGTTAAGATTGTGGGAGTCAACAAACGCTGTGCGAAATATCATCTGGTGCACTACTCAAAGGTTGCTTCACTACGGCAGATGTCCTTTGATATTTAAAAAAATTGTGTTTAAATCACGGCAAAATGTCTATCCGGTGGGTAGACTTGCAAATGCATTCTATAAAAGAAAAAAAAATATTGGTCTCCTAACTAGTTTTTGAGTAAAACCTCTTTATTTGCAAATTGAGGAAAATCTGTAACAAATTTGTTCTGGAAACAGACGAAGGGATACAGCCCACATAAATAGGATATCAATTTTATATAGAGAAAATGAATGAATAAATACTCGGAAATGTGCTGCGATCCACATTCAATTCTCACTGATCTAACAATTTCCGGTTATTATTTTCCAATAATAATAATAATTGGTTTTGTACGTTACTACAGCCTTTAGATGACGATGACGATGACGATGGTGGTATGCTGGATGATGATATTGCTGTCGTTGCATTATATACCGTTGCATTGTTTCGTTGCATTGCTTGCTGGCTGTTGATGATTGATGGAGCTTGATGGATTTGTTTCTGATATCCCTTCCTCTTCTTCTTCCGTCTATTATATATAGTCCGTCCCATTAAAAAACGAGACATTCCATCTATTGTAAAAAGAAGAAATGTATTAGAACACAGAAATAAATAAATTAACCAAGAAAAAAAAGTACTATCAAGCCAATACTTACAATTTTTTTAAGACGAAGGCCTTTCTGGACCTAGTCATGTTTGTAGTAGATTGTGTCCTACTGTTGTTGCCGGCTTGTCTCTCCCCCTCCTCCTGGACCCAGCAAAGGTCCTTTCGGTGGTCTTGATCCCTCTACTCCTCCTCCTCCTTCATCTGAAAATTTCCTTTTTCTGATTCCTCCACTGCCACTTCCACCACTACCTCCCTCTCCTCCTCCTCCTTCCCCCGGGCTTAACAAAGGTTCCTTCGATGGTCTCGAACCCTCAACTTCCCCTCCTCCATCATCCGAGAATTTTCTTTTTGTGGTTCTGCCACTACCACTACCACTACCACTACCTCCTACCCCTGGACTCAACAAAAGCCCTTTCGGTGGTCTTGATCCCTCTACTCCTCCTCCTCCTCCTTCATCTGAAAATTTCCTTTTTGTGGTTCTGCTGCTACCACCACCACTGCCACCACTGCCACCACTACCTCCACCGCCGCCACTACCGCTAGAAGCTTGGCCTTGAGTTCCTCCGTCCGGCGGCATATATTTTGCAGGTCGTTTTTGCTCTCTTATCTGCGACTCACAGACCCTTGCGATGTTCTCAGCACCAACAGCATCTCGATCAAAGTATGCTTTACAATTTCGACAGTACTTGGATCGAAAAGGAACATTCTCCAATATACTGTCACAGTGAGGCCGTGGACACTTGGCAGATGTGTAGTATTCATGACAACCTGCAATGGGGTAGTCTAGAGATTTTGCCTGTTCGAGCCAGATTTAATACTCGTTAAAAAAGAGACTCAAAAATTGAATGTCATTGATCAAGGGATTTTTTTTTTACCTTTTCAACAAGCTTCTTCATCAATATCCCATGCTTCGATACTTGTCCTCGGTTTGTCTTGAATGATCCTAGTCCAATACAGATCACCACATTCGTATTGGCATCTCTTCTTCTTCCATTGCTTCCGCCCGCAAGCTTCAGAATTGCCTTGATCACATAATCAACGCATCCGTTCTGTGCTTTTCTATTATCCCAGCTATTCCGAACAAACCACCCGTCATTATAGAAATCGACAAGCGCCCTATATATAGTCTCCCTATTGTCGTCACTGGTCCCAGATCCACTGCTACTACTGGCCTCAACTCCACTGCTACTACCGGTCCCTGCTCCACTGCTACTACTGGCCCCAACCCCACTACCAGAGAAACTACCTCCAGTACTTGATGGAGCTTGATTTAGCGGCAAGCTCATATAAGCGAAATACTGTGTTAAAGTAGGCCTTGAGAATGACGGAATATTGCTTTCAATCTCTGTAATTCCTCTTCTAAGCTTTCGCCTCTCTAGCTCGCCCTGAAACTTCTTGGATGGTTTGTAAAGGTACGCTCTAGAAATCCGGAGGATCTCACGTTCGTTAGGTTTCCTTGGATCCAACTTTGCAATTGTCATCGAGTACCTCTCGCCTGGATCGATCCCAATGATAATGGTACTTTCGGGGGGAGGGCATGCTGCCTGGGTGTCATATTTAACTTCTACATTCTCGAGGAGACGGGATCTCTGCTTCCAGTTGATCTCACGCCGGGGACTGGGACTCACCGGGGACAGTGGATTTGTGCTCGATGTACCTTTGTTGCGATTAGCAGTCATTTACATGGGTTTTTACTATAGCTAAGATTTTTACCCTTTTTATTTAACGAAGATCCCCGGATCATAATAAACACATCTTTCTTTCGTTCTCGTTACTTATTATGATCCTGGCATATTTCAACCTTCTTCAGCTGCTTCTTCTCCCTCTTCGCCATCTAAGAATGGTTCATCAACTTCCAGCAAGTCAATATCGCTGATACCCAGCAAGATATCGTCATCTTCATTTCCGTCGTCGTCTCCATCATCACCACCATCACCTGCACCATGGCCTGAAGACGAGGATCCCTGCTGAGCACTTGAAGAAGCCTGGACTGCTTGAGATCTTTGAGTATCCGAAGGTTGGGCAGCTTGCGAACCTCTACCTCTTTTTTGCTTCGATGTGTCAAAGGCAAGAAGTGTTAGGGCAAGGCCGTTTGTAAAGAACGATGTCCGTAGTTTCCTTCTAGGGCCATCATCAGATTGCAGTCCAACGTCCTTGTATCCTTTCAAGGAAAACAGCTCCTGCAACAATATCCCCTTGTAGTTAAGGATCTTGTCCTCTGCAGCCCCCTTGGTACTCATGTTTAGTTCCAACAATTGGACTATTTCCTCTCGAACTGTTGGATTAGACCATAATATATCCAGGAGACAGACTTCCGTTAAGCAGAGAGACCGAGGCAAGAAAGCAGACGTAGGGAAATCCAGATATTTTTTGGCAGTTGCATTTTGCTCAAAAAAGAATTGGATGGAACTTCTTCCATCGCCTGGAATATCTATGTCAAACTAGACATTATATTGAAGAAATGATTAGGAACATTTCTATAAACATATTATAAGATAACCTCAAAATATTATAATATTATATTTACCTGCGCATTCCGATAGTGAGACCTTAGCGCTGCTTGAACAGGGACCATGACCATCCGAGACGACCTGCTGATCACCAAATCGGGATAGATCTGGTTTAAAGGACCAAGCCCTGTGTTTGCATAGAAGTTTTCGTATGCTTTGAGCTGGGACGGCTTGGCTACGTTCCCTTCGCCTTTTTTCTTCACTTCCCTGCTATACCTAGATAATGGACTCATCACTCCGTGATACAACAACGCAGCAAGGCCGTAAATAAAGTCCCTGCTATCAAGAACTTCATCTAGGAGTTGTGGGAGATCAGCTGGATTGGATGGCCCAGTGGTAAGCAGGTTATCGATCCACAAGGCGCAGGCCCAGAAAGCTCGAATCCGTGCCTCATTCAACATTTTAATAAATGATTGAATGAGCCCTTGAATTGTTGCAGCAAGTTGCTCGGGATTGAGATTGGGATCGGAAGTAGAGTCCAGCTTGGCAACTACACATGTCTTCAACGTGCCCAGAGTTAATGCAACAGTGGGGTGGGCCCTCTTCAACCGTCGGTCCTCGGCAGTAGCCTCCTTCACTTTCCTGGTCTTATCAGTCTTTCTGATATACTTGGCCTTCCCTTTGTTCTTCTTTTTTTTCTTCTTTTCCTCCTTAACCTCCTCTTTGTCATCCTCTTTTTTTTCCTTTTCCTTTTTTTGGGGGACTTTCTTTGACGGCTGGAGCTGACGGGACGGTCGTGTTGTTTGCAGTTGGTCAGGTCATATTTCTTAGGGGAAAGTTCCTTTTTCTGGGTAGGGAAAACAGGCCGATAGCGATTCGGCTTTGCGCGTTTAGGGATATAGAATCTAATTAGGAACAACAATGTCAAGGGTTAGATGACTTTTTTTTTTTTTTTTTTTTTTTTTTTGTATATGCTTTGGAAAATGTTCATTTGAAGGAGCTTACCTGGGTTGAGGTTGATTATTTTTATTCTGGTACCTAGCAGATATCGCAGTCCTCATTCTATCATGGTAATGAAGGAATCTTTCAGCGGTTGGTTGCTGTGAAGCCTGGGTTTGGATCCTACCAAAGAAAACATTAATTGAATGGTCAAACTGGCCTTCTGCAGGAGTTCGACGGCTACGGGCATGGACCTCACGAACATATGATACCGTCAACTTTTCGGCATCAGTGTCAGTGAGCGCAGAGATAATCTCAGCATTTGTAGCAAGACCAAAGGTTGGGATATTTGGGGTGTAATCGTTATCGGATATAACGCCATAGACCAGGAGTTGACTGTCCCTTGAAAACCCAAGGGCTTGCAGGACCTCTTGTTTCTCATAGAGTGCAAACATGTGATGGCGACGAGGGATTGGACGAAGAACTCTTTTTATAGAAGGATAGATGAGAAGGTCAGAGTCCCCAGACACAGCGATACTGGTTGGTGTACATTTGGCGGCAATACACACATCAGCCTCATTTCTACAATGGCAAATCACAAAGTTATTGTATCGACCGAATGGCGCCGCGAGCTCCCTCTTCTCGTTATGACTGAATGTGAAGAGCTGTCGAAGATTCTTTTTAATGGCAATCATATGGCTTCGAGATTCCCATTTGCCTTCATTGGACTTGGTTTCCATGTTGGCTATGAGCGTATCGAGTTTTGCATCCGCTGCTGTACGCTTAGCATCTCGGTCCCTATAGGCGCGCGTTTTTTCTTCGCAGCGAGGCCCATCAATGTGTATCGTCACTGTGGCAAGAGGACCAAAGATTTTTCGAATGATACTAGCCATAGCATGGCCGCAGGCAGTGAAAGAACTCTGCCGGCTGAATCTCCTTAGGATGATATTATGTATATCGCTGTGGAAAGTGCCAAGCAGATCCAGCTCAAAAGATGAATGGGGTTCAGCAGCAAGCTCATGTACATCAATCTCCTTTGGTGGCAGGTCTCTCCTTGAAAGGTATGAATAGAGTCCTTTAATACCCATCTAGAGAAAGTATAGTGTAAAACAGTGCAAGCAATGTTGGTTTAAGCGGCTAAAGATTGAAGCTGAAGTTGTTAGAGTAGAGATAGTTTACCTTTAAGAAAGCAAAAAGTTATGATCTGTGAGGGGATGAGGGTGTAAGAGTACGGGTGAGAGTGCGAAAGCAATGTCGTTGTAAAATGAGAGAGAGAGAGGGAAAAAGAGAAGGAGGCAGGACGTGTTTATAGGTGTATGAAAGAGAACGAAACAAAAGGCTGATGAATTTGGAACAACTCGAAACAATAAGATTCTCAGCGACAAGTTTTAACTTTTTGGATTTCGAGTATTGTTTACAGCTCTTCTCCAATCATCTACATTTACCAAATCAAGCCTTCGCCATGACAATCAACAAGAAATAAAAAAAACAGACTTCCTTACGTTCCCCCTCGGTATGTGTATCTGTCTGAACACGTCCTAACTGACATCCTCTCGACAATCCTTCCAAGGCTGCAGTGTTTGAATGTGTACAGGGAACAAAAGAGGTCTAGATACAGGCTCTCTTTGTGACATTGAAGGAGATCGCATGTTTCATGGCTATCGAGACAAGGTACCCCTACAGGCACAAGACAAAGGTATAACTCGGTTCAAACTCAAAGGAACGGTTTTGCCAATGGCCTTGTTCTGAATCCACTTGCCTATGACACAGTCCAGACGAAGAGACAGCAGCAGTCTGACGTAGATGAAGAAGATCTCAGCCAGGAATTGAAACTTTCTCAAGGATTCCTTAACACGGCGTGTTTTAAAGGCAGCCGGTGAAGACCTGACAGATAAAGACTACGCAAACATAAACTGGAAGAGGAGCCCCAAACTTCTTGAAAACGTTGGACTCATATTCCATGAGCTAGGGCGATGCTCATCTGCAAATACCACAACTACCGTCTAATGCGATCCTGGTATTGTTAATGCCCTTACGTTTTCTTCGCTAGACCGTCACAACCCTGACCTGCGTCAAACGGTGAAGGTGAGAAGTAGGCTCGTCAACAGCCTGTGTGCCTTATATGCGTTGCACCAATGCTCACTGACAGGTTGAGTCCAAATTCGAGATACCAAAATAGCCTTCTTTGAATCCATGGGGAGGAAAGACACCAAGCCGGCAACAACAATAGGATATGATCAGTTGCATATTTCACAGTACACGTGTTACATGAAAATTTATAATACAGACATACTAACAGCTCTATGCCCCATAGTGTGGTGCCCGAGACAAACTTGCAGTTTTATTTTGATACAAATTTGGATAAATGCCCCATGGATGTGATGTGTGAATCCACATCCTATTCTCACTTCTGCTCCCTGGTTACTATTTGTCTGTCTAAAATTTTTCATGAGCTACTACAAACATGACTAGGTCGGGAAAGGCCTTCGTCTTGAAAAAGTTGTAAGTATTAGCTTGACAGTGCTTTCTTGACTAATCTCTTTATTTCTATGCTTGGTCTAGATGGTGTTTCTTTATGGAGAGGACTATTTAGACAACATATAGACCCCACATATCTTAATCATAATAAATTGGCTTGGTGGCATTGTTGTAAAAAATATCTTTGCTCAAGGGACAGAAAGATAGACACAATCAGGAAAAGGCAGGACAAAGAGTGTCAACAAGATTGACAAGAGAAAATAGAGTCAAATAACCTTGACTACAAACAGCGCCATAGAATGTCAAAAGAAAAGATGGGAGCTTTATAGGTGAGCTCACAAACTGAGTTACCGGAAGACAAATGCTTGTTGTGAAAAGGGGGAAAAGATAAATGGCAAGATGAACTGCAGGTGAAGAATAAGACATGTGGGGAAAACTGAAGACTTTATTAAGAAGGAAGTTTCTTTGGCTTTTATACTCGGTAGCTTCTAGGTGAGGCGGACCCGCCTATGACTACAAAGGGCTTTTGCGCAAAGATTCCTTAAGCTGGTTCGACAGATTAGTGGATACAAAATAAACTGAAATTAACTTTAATGACCAGTCACACCACTTGCAAACAAGCGAGTCAATTGGCTGCCAATACATTTAAGAGTATTCAAAAAATATAAGGGATCGCGACCAAATGGAACGGGCTATACTATATTTACGGTCTCCACAGGACTATAAGTCCCTCTTTGCACTCTTCGAGCGTTTGGGCGATAGCTTCTTCTCTCTCTTCAGCTCTTATCACATTCAGCTCGCACAGCAGACCTGGCAAGATAAAGCTCTTAAGAGGAGGTGAAAAATATTCTGTAAATAGATAGTAAGCAGCAGAAAAGTAGGTGAGAATAAGATGTAGGTTCATTTTCTGGTAAAGGAACCAGTCAACTATGTGGCATATCTATAAGATGACAAAGGCTCATTCCAAAAACCTCATGTCAACGATTTCTTGTGTCTATGTGTGGTGCGTTATTGCCACTAATTTCTACTGCTAATCTTAGCGCATTAGTGTTTTTTACTCGGTATTTTTCTAACTAGGCCATCATAAAATTGCATACTGTACTGTGGATCAGTGTATGCAACAGAGCGTGCGATGAGTATCGCAGCCCCCACGGCGCTGCAACTTCCAACGGTAATAATACCAGACTCCCTCTACTCTAGACTCACCTTCGCTTATTTCCTTCGAAATAAAAAGCTAGAACCATGTAATCTGTAGGATACACGTTGCCGCTTGTAGATAAAATAAAGACCCCATGCAAATAACCTCATCCAATTTATCAAGCAAAAAATTCAAGAAGCAAAAGAGGTCTCGCCGAGACTCGAACTCGGATTGCAAGATTCAGAGTCTTGATTGCTAACCAATTACAACACGAAACCATATCAAGCTGATTTTTGTCGTAAATGACGCCTATTCATTTACCTAAATATGTATTTCCTTTCAATTTATTTATTTCCTATCATCCTATTTTCTACCATTTTTAAATAGTATTTAAGTAGCTTTTTCCTTCACTGCAAAAACGGCATCTCTCTTCTTATTATCGATGCCCTTTTGCAGGTGAGTTTATCTTCATTATTCTCATTATGAATTCTCAGAAAATTAGCAGTTATTAAAGATCTCTCTTCTTATTATCGAAAAAAAAAAAAAAAAAAAAAAAAAGGAAATACATATTTAGGTAAATGAATAGGCGTCATCCACGGCGGTCAGGGTTTATGAAATCATGGATACAGCGGCTCTTGTCGTTGTGCAGTAATAGCTGTATATTGACTATAGTTTCTGGAGCATTTTGTTCATAGAATGTAGATAATAAATCCCATGGCCCTGAGGGTCCTTGTTATCAAAAAAAAAAAAAAAAAAAAAAAAAAAAGATGGAAATAATGAACGTAAATAGCAGATTTACGACAGATTTCCAAGATATTTAAATATATTTATATCCTTTTATGATTCACAGCCACAGTCGCTTATATAAGCCACATGAGACTGGTATTTGCTATAAATGTTTTTTTTTTTTTTTTTTTTCATTTAAAAGGTAGTTTGAGTTGTTTGGTTCCATATGTCCTTGTTCCATTTCCTTACTTCCTTACCATGCGTCAATTAGCACATCATGAACAAAAACTTCTCAAGAAGGTCGACTTTATGCAATGGAAGTCGACTGAGAATATCAGGGAGATAAAAGTCATGCGTAAATACCATCTTCAGAAACGTGAGGACTACACAAAGTAAGCAAGAGTACCTAAAAAGAAGTACTTGGTTACTTGGGACAGGATGGAGACGAAGTATAATGCAGGGCAAACGAAGTTTTTACTTTAAATTGTAAAGAACCAATTCATGGAAAGCACCACGGGAGGTCAAAGGCGACAATTATAAGGCTTTATGAGCCACAGAATATGTTATATCATTTTGAAGCCAGCTCTTTTGAGCCAGGACTGACCAAAGCTTCGCTAATGAGAACCAACAAAAGGATGTTGACGAGATCAAAGGTTTTATAGGGAAATGAAATGAAAAGTAATCCCCCGCCAGAGTGCTTTTTTTTTTTTTTTTTTTTTTTTTTTACTTTATTTTCTATCACTTTGAACTGGTTAGATAGGTGACTATTTGGATGAAGCAAGGAGGTCGTTGTGTCAAAAATCTGAAGCAAACTTATAAGATTATCATATTTCCTAACAAATAAATATTTTTTGGCAATATCTTCTTTTGTTTTCCATCTAGGTACAATAAACTTGCAGGAAGCATTAAATCATTAGCCAATAAGATCTCTCTTTTGCCACCACAGGACCCTTTTCGCCGTAAACAGGAAGAGGCACTTCTGGAAAAGCTTTACAGTATGGGATTGATCACAGCACAGAAACAGTTTTCTCAAGTGGATAAGATCACAGTATCATGTTTCTGTCGTCGTCGGTTACCCATTGTGATGTGTCGGCTTAAAATGGCAGAGACCGTTAAGGAAGCTGTGACCTTTGTGGAGCAGGGACATATCCGGGTTGGTCCGGAAACGGTGACTGATCCAGCTTACTTGGTGACACGTAACATGGAAGACTTTGTCACCTGGGTTGATACTTCCAAGATCAAGAGAAAGATCATGAAATACAACGATAAGGTATACGAAAAAAAAAAAAGAAAAAAAAAAAAAAAAGAAAAAAAAAAAGCTACAGAAACAGTGCTAACTTGTTTTTTTTTTTATTTGTATCATTTTTTTATTATAGCTGGACGACTTCGATCTTTTATAAAAAAAAAAAAAAAAAAAAAAAAAAAAATTGCTTGTTTCCTTGTACGATATGCATCTTCATTGCCGTAGTAAAACTACTTAAAAAATCAAAAGGCACTTTAATAAATCAATATAAAAAAAATAAAATATTTTACAATATCAAACATGTCATGTTGTACTTGTGCGCTATTCTCTACACTTCAAAGAAAAGGCCACGTCTACAATACATGGATATTTAAAAGCCTTACTTCACTATCCTAATTTCTTGACACATTACCTCACCTATCTCTGAACCTTTACTTTCATTTACTATCTCATTTCTTGAAACTATGCCTGCCACATGCTCCCTCCTATCACACGTTCGTCGTCTGCACCTTCATCTTCCATACGTCCGTCGCCTGTTAAACGCTCTCGCTCTATTTATAGAGTTTCAAGCCATTCAACAACCGTTTCTCAGTTGGAATGATCCACATCAGGGGTACCACGTATCATCCGAGCACGGCGAACCAAACGGGCTGTAGAGACTGAAAAAGAGCCACAAGGCCAACAGATAACGGAGGATGAAGAGAAGCTGTATGATAGGGTTTAAAACTTCATCGACGAGTGCGTCCTGCTTGGCTTTCTCGAATAGGAGGGGAAAGAAGGGGAAAGAAAGAGCCAGAGAAAAGAAGAGTTAAGATCGCAATTGAACTTGGATTCAGCGTTTGCTTGGACACAGGTTGCTCTTCTCAGTAAAGGTGTATCTATCCTACTTCAGAATAATTATACAGAAGGGAGTCGTTTAAGCCAAACTTACACCGTCAGGTTACTGCCGAGCATTACACGAAAAAAAAAAAAAAAAAAAAAAAAAAAAAAACATGGACCTGAAATAGATAGATTTCAATGATGGCCCCCTTCGAACATCGTCCATAGCCTCTGCTTCAATAATGGATTACTTCAGCCATCGATACATATGCATGGTTAAATTGATTGGACACTAAAAGTCGTAGAATATGAGCGTTGAAATGCTTGATTTCATTTCTGTTTTTTCTTTAGGTGTGGTGTTGATATATGATATAGCCCGTTTCATTTGGTCATGATACCTTATATTTTTTGAATACTTTCGAGTGTATTGGCAGCCAATTGGCTCGCTTGTTGCGAGTATTGTTGCAAGTCCGTCACGTAGTGAAATGCCACCAGAACAATTCAATCATCGTTTTTAGATTAAAAATATAAGGTATCATGACCAAATGAAATTGGCGAAATATTTGATGAATTTTTTTTTTTCTAAATTATTCGCTCCAAAAAAAAAAAGGAAAAAGAAACACGAGCGAGTGGCGTCAAGGCAAGACTTTGATACTTCTTTGGGCTTAATCACTTAGTTTAGCCCGGACTGTAAACCGGGCTAATTTGCCCATTTAGCTTCCATCAACTCATGGGCAGATCAGATCCAAGTTCTCTGTGCTTTCTACCAGCAGAAAACAACCGTCTATTGCATGCCAAGGAAGAAAAAACAATCAGTAAAAATTAATCAGTGAAAATCAATCAGCAAAAAAATCAATAAAACCCATATATATATATATCAAGCAATATCATCACGATGAACTATGTCCGCCATTTCCTTGTCTCCATTCCTTTATTTTTCATTTTTCATTCCTTCTTCCCAGCCTAAAGAAAAACAAACACCTTTCCGGCTCCTTTTCGCTAGAGGTGTTACCGAATCTCCATACTGGGCTAAAAATGGTTGTCATTTGAGATTTTAAAAAATCGCTTGATTGCATGCTCAAGTCTTTGTCTCTAACAGCAATAGTAGCAAGGCAACCTGCTAGGTGGTGTTCATAGGTATCCCACAGGTACGCGTTGTTACCAGTCCCCTAGCATCAGTCCTACCACGATTATAATACTACTGTAGGCGAGTCCTCTTAAAGAGGGTATGGGAAATTATTATGATTAAATGAGCTCAACAAAATCCATTGACAAGCGGACCATTTTGGCCCACTTCTTGAGGGTGGACTGTACTCAAGTCGAAAATTAGTGAATGGATGAGGCTGAAATAATCAACTTAATGGTGTTCATATAATAAAGAGTATCCGGATAGAATACCTTTTATACGTACTGGTACCCTTCAATCATGTTTTTGTTCTTGAAAATTAAGCCGCAGCCTCCTGCTTCCCTATATCCAACTATACATCGGTCAAGGTCATAGGCTCATCAATTTTAATAAAAACCTCAACATACCTAGAATGAACACATCATTGTTGGTGTTCTGTGCGAGCGGGAGAGAAATGAGAGTCGAATTGCTTGATAGCGTTTCTTTTCCAGAACATAAAATGCTTGAGGAGGAGGAGGGAGGTAGAAGTTGGAAGGAAGAAACGCAGAAAGATCCAGGTTCAAGTTAATTTACCACCCCCACCACTGTTTGAGCTACTCTCAATGCCAGAGAATAGCGCTTATATCAGTCTACTTACTGAACTAGCACAAGACTCGCCGCTTATAAGTCTCTTCAAACAAGCAGGGACCATTGATCGTTCTTGGATGAATATTAATTGTGAGGAGTTTCTGACATGGATTGCCATCACAATACACATTGGCCTCTACAAAATTACTCTCAACCAATACTGGAACAATGAAGCATTTCAGCCGGCTCATGAGATCTCAAAATACATGCCGCTCATTCGCTAGGAACAGATCAAAAGCTTCCCTCCATATTTCCGATCCGAGGAAAGAGACCCAGCTCTTCATCGATAAACTATAGGATAGTGGATACATCAATTTTCAATTCGCATATCATAAGCCAAATAGCTGGATCTTTTCTCTCACAGAGAATTCCGAGAACAGCTCGTTCACCACACTGTTAGACCAGAACGCTTTGGAGTCATTAAAAAAGATTCACAGCCGAAAACCACCAAAAACTTTAAGCTTCCTGACACCAATGTCCCTCACAGAGTACAATGACAAGAGAAATGCTCAACTTGCGCCCTCTACGAATATACTCGACTTCAGGGTTCGCTCACTACCCAGCTTTTGGAAAAGCCCCTCAATCGAGAGTCGCTGTTGATCTGGTAGGCGATGGATATATGGATAAGGGCAATGATAAGAACATTTTCCGCATAATGTAGCAGTCATGCAAGCGCCCACAGCCAGAAAATTGGTTATTTGGTTATTTGATGTTACGCCAGGATGTTTGTGTTGTGTTGACACAAAACACAGCACAAGAGCAAACAAAGTCCACTTTAAAGTAAAAATGTAGGGGCAAAACTTCTTACGGAAAAAACGAAGCATATAATGCATAATCACTCATTTCTCTCCTTTTGTGGAGTCCAGACTTCATTTTTGTTCTTTTACGCTATGCCACATGCCTCCCAAGTTGACGTTTTGTTTTTGGTGATCATTAAAAATAAAACTGCATTTCAAGTAGTCGATCACTTTGGACATTTCTATGTACTTTATCTTTTTAGTTCCTTTAGTTAATGCATGCAACTGGTATCTATATCCTTTTGCGTTTTAAAAACTTTTTTTTTATTAAGTGAAAAATATTTACTTTTTTTTTTTTTTTTTTTACTATCCCAAGGACGTTGAGGACTAATTTTGAAATTGACCTTGTTCCTTTATGGAGACATGGGGTATATGTACATGAAACCCCATTTTCTGGAATTGCCTTTTTAAGGAGGGCAGTTCTGGGCGATGACGCCGTTGGCTAAGGAAAAAAAAAAAAAAAAAAAAAAAAAAAACATAAGAATAAGCTCATTATAGGAACAAGAAAGAAAAAGAAAAAAGACGGATAAAAATGTCATACCAGCCTGGCAGAAGAGGACGTGGCCGTTGCCGTTGGTGGCCGAGACTTGGAGAATGACAGGGATCTTTTTTTTTTTTTTTTTTTTTTTTTTGAAATAGAATGAATAAGCGCGTTATTATTTCTTTCTGGTAGAAGAGGATAACAAGTTTCAAAAACTTCGGTAACTTACACCAGCAGGAGCAGTGGGCTTGACCAAGACGCAGGCAGTGATTGAGGTCATGGTGATTGGGATTGGGCAAGGGACACCTTGACTGCCAAGGAGAGTGCAGAGATCATGGGCATCCGTGTAGACGATACGGTTAAGGTATTTGCCAACGATATTGAGCTTGGCACCCTGGGTAACAGGGGCGCTCAGAATACCAGTACCACTGGCGCAGACGTTCTGTCCGATGCAGAGAGGGTAAGGCGCCAAAGTGAAGTTGGTGACGAGCAGATCCGTGGCACCAGTTGCGCAGTTGTATGGAGTTGGCATCTGAGCGCTCGACAATGCGAGGCAGGCAAGGGCAACGATGGCAGCGAAGAACTTCATGATAGATAGAATCCTTGAAGCAGTGAAGAGTCGAGAAGAGGCAGAGAGAAGAGGCGGTGTGTGGTCCTGAGGATGAAGAGGAGGATAAAATGGTTCCTCCTGGATGCTTTTATACCTTTTTTTTTTTTTTTTTTTTTTTTTGGGGGAGGGGGATTACAGTTGTGGAGCTTGAGTACAAAGTTCTATGGTCAGTGGACATGGCAGGAAGGGCGCTAGTTACGAGAAGGCTGGCCTCGGCCCACATCGTAGACGCCTTCTAGGTTTCTACTAGAGGTTTTTAAAAAAAAATACAGGTGTTCAATAACCCCAGAAATACTGCATTTTTGGCTTCTGCTTCCTATTGGCGCAAGTTCACCATTACGCTCATGAGCCAAGGGGAATGTGAGGTCGACAATCTGTCAGTTAAGCCAATGTTGTTGTGGAGGAAGAAGATTTAGCAAATGTCGAGTATGACGAGGGCGTTTTTTTTTTGTTTTTTTGTGGGGAGGAGAAGGGGCAGAGAGAGGCGGCAATCGGGGCGCATTTGTATATTTGAGCCCAAGGTCATAAGACGCGATGGAATCGGAAAAGAGGGGTCCCTGCGAATGCGGACAACGGAAAGAAGAAGCAGCCAAACAAACATGTGCTTATTTGCCTAGTATGTCTTGTTTGCACAGGACGTGTGCGCCTTGGACATTCTTCTCTCCTTGTCTCTCTCTTCCTTTGCCCGCCATTGTTTCTCTTTGTTTGTTTTGTGAGTCGATGCAGGAGGATAGGATGTGTGGGCGAAGATATAAAACAATCGTCAACTAATGCAAAAATATAAATAAAAGAAGATAGAATAAATAAGCAGGAGAAGTAATGTTGATTGGTAAGCTTTCATCCATCCTTTTCCTTCAGTTGTTCCTCCAACATGTTTTGGTTTCTTTTATTGCATTCATCCAGCAAAATGTTACTTGTCTACATTTCATTGTAAATAAGCTGACTGAAAAAAATAACCATTATACGCACAACAACAAACATAAAAAAAAGCAAGGGTTCTTCAGCATGCATATGAAGCAGCAGCAGCGATGCCGTTCGCGCTTCATCCATAATCAAGGCCCTTTGTTTATTACATAATTGATGTTCATGCAAAATGCAGATTGACGTACATGCGACCAAAGAGACGCGTCAAAAATTGGGCGAAATTTATCACGTGTTGGCTATTAAGGTCATCAGCGGCTGATCGCTTTCCTGAAAGCAAAGAGCACGTAACAGAGCCTTCCTTTCATTTAGGAAGTGCACTGCGGAGCATAGTTGATGCTGTTTGCCTCAGGATTATCCACCTGAGATGAAATGCTATCGTTTGTTATGTTTGACCATTTTTTAACTATTTATTTTTATTTCTATTTTTCAAAGTCAAGCAGAGTGTTTTTTTTTTTTTTTTTTTTTTTTTTATAATTTATTGGTTCAATTGCTGGTCCAGAATTCGGTGGCTGCGAAGATATTTTAGCTTCCCAATTTGGAGTATTATCAACTGTCAACTGTCCCGATGTGATAACCATTCTCTTGCCTGTTTTTCATTCCAACACTCATTAATTACATTGCTTTTTGTTAGCCTGGCCTCAAGGGTAACAAGCCCATAACCGACCTTCAGCCAGAAACGCCGGTCAATGGAGAAAAACACAATAGCAAAGACAAAGTTGAGAATAAAGCCGATAAATAAAGTGATAAAGATAGAGGAGAATATTAAGATCCAATTAGAGTCAAGTCAAAAAACTAGACAGACTGTTGCAGACACTTGCTATATCACCAAAATCTACTACAGAGTTGCGCGTAAGATTGGAAGAGCCTCATAGTCAACTCCGTGGAAACTGTGCTGCTATAGAAATCTCCAAAGGCTCCAAACGAACCCGTGTTAAAGCGAGCTGTCTTATAGGCTGGCTCGACAAGGTCATCTTAGGGTAGTAATGTGCCTGATCACATTTCCAGAAAATAGTGGCGGGTAGATCTTGCTTAATACATACTATTGGTGGATAGTGTCCATCTTGTTTAATCAATAATTAACCAAGATTAAAATGAGACCTCATCACTTGTGATTCGCAATAAGCACCTGGCCAAATATGACACGACTCAATTGGTTCTTCTCGCTTAAATAATGAACTTGGCGGCCTAGTTTTTGAAGGAAGGGGTGATAGACAAGTAGAAAGGCTTCCAAGCCGCCATCGGGGAAATATATGATTTGCAGGAGTGGTATATATCATTTCCATGCAACCAGGCCCTTTCCTTTCCGAGGTTGTATTTTTATAATGGTCCGAATGGTCCGTGCAACGAGGCGAATTGTGTGCAGATGGCGATGATCACTTCGTATCGACATTGGCAATTTAAAATTATTCCACGAGGAACTTTCTTTGCAGGCTCACAAATGTCAAAAAAAAAAAAAAAAAAAAAAATTGCGCTACAAATGTGGTAGCGATTAAATCAGAGATTGTCACCATATTTGGATGTTTGGGTCAGAGATTGATTATTGTATCCTTCCTGGTGCCCAGTGATATTTATACATGTATACTTGGATGTGAATACAGAAAAAATTTTATACAATTATGCATGAATCTCTTTTTTTGAATCTTCAGGTGACACAGATTTTATCCGACAGAAGCAATTAAAGTTTTATGCACCAGTTGGAGTTTGTGTAGAGAATTGCTAAAAGTCCCGAACTTGCCCTGAGCTGTCTCAAGTCAGAGAGACAAGACAATACCCACACTCAGGACGTTAATCTTCAGTCGGTGTAGAAGAATTGGTCTATATACAATTTGAGCTATTCATCTTCGATCCAACACGACAAAAAAAAAAAAAAAAAAAAAAAAAAGAAACGCTGTCAACGTTGATTGTACTCAAAACATTTTGCAAACGGAAAAAGAATGTCGGTCAGCGATGGAGTGGAAGGCCGTGCTTTTCCTTGCTCCATACATCATTCTCTCCGACCCGCAAGAGAGCCTCATGCCGGCTGTGTCGTAGACTTCGCCCTACAACCCATGTGCATGTGCCATGTGTATATTTTAAACTTTCTTAAACTTCTTTAAATTAAACCGCATTTTGGTTTTTTTCTAAAAATTTTTTTTTATCTCACAAAAATTAATTTCATATTATCTTTAAGACATTTCAATTCTTCCATTCCATAACTTTTATTCATCTCATTCTCATTCACCATGGCAGGGAAAATCATCTCGATTCCCTCAATCGCCGCCATCCTCATTCCACTACTTGTACTTGTTTGCACAGTGTTCGGTGCTGGTTTACTAAATGTTGCGCCGGCTCCATATCTGCAGATCGCCTTGTCATTAGGCTATCTAGAGCGACTTGGCCCTTGGTCCTTGGCATCCATCTTTCCAAACCTATATCTATTCGCTTGTATTACTATCGGAACAGGCATTGCATACGCGGGCATGCTTCAAGGGGATGAATGGGACAACTCATTGATGGTTACCCCATTCTTGATTGGTATGGGTGCTGCCCTTGTGGGTTTGATCCCTCTCTGGGTTCACCTTGCCTGGCAACAGCGGTTCTTGCAATCTAAAAGATTTCAAAACGGCCCATCTGCCTTACTCGCGACTTTGGTGGCACCAGCCGTCTGGGTGGCTATCTTTACCATCGTGTATGCTGTCAGTCCTATCGGATCATATGGTTCCATCGCATACACTCAGTTTCAGTTGGAACCAGTAGTCCAATGGTCATCAGTAGCAGGCATTGCTGGTATCGAGTTCTTGGTGGTAAGTCTTTTTTTTTTTTTTTTTTTTTTTTTTCCCTTAAAATAATAGTTGTTTATGAAATATAAAATCTAATAGCCTTTCTACTTGTTTCTGCTATATAATACTGCTAACGACAACACCAATCCTGATACCAAAAGGTTTGGTCAGCAGTCATTATTCAACGTTCCTGGACCAGATATGTGCGATATGATGTCAGCAGAGAAGAAGACTTCAAAACATGGAACCCTATCGGATCAGAAACGCGTCCCAGCCATCGTCGAAGCCTGTTGCGCCGCATTGCCTTCTCTCCAACGCCTACATTCCTAATTGTGACACTGTTTATTTACACCTTTGGATCAATGCGCTTCTGGAATGGCACAGGGTCTTTCTACATGAAGCCTCTACGAGACACTATTCAGCCCACTGTTAAGGCTAGCTGTGTGATCGGTTCTTCTGAAACAAACGATATGGCTCTTTACTTGAACCAGACTGTCGATCTGGCAAGGAATGGATCTGAGATCGTGATGTGGAGTGAGGGTGCGGTCAAGATCAACAACGAGCAGGAAAAGTTGCAATTCTGGGATAAAGCTAGAAACATTTCAACCACCTATGGTATCTATCTGGGCGTCACTTATGCTGAGTATGTGGATAGCGCTCTGGTTCAGAACAAGAACATGTTTACAGTCTTTGATCCCAGAGGCCAAGTTGTGATTGAGTACCAAAAGGCTCATCCTGTAACCATGGTTGAGACAACGGTCATTGCTGGACCCAATGTCCTCCCCACATTTGATTCTGAGAAGTACGGTCGCTTCGGAGCCGCTATCTGCTTTGACTTGGATTTCCAGAATTTTATCGCCCAGGCTGGCGATAAAGAGGTCGATATTCTGCTTCAGCCAAGCTGGACATGGGGTAAGTGGACAAGTTGCCAAAAAAAAAAAAAAAAAAAAAAAAAGAAATATCATCTAATCATCTTTATAAACAATTATTCATAGCATCCATTGGTCGCCTGGAAGCCTCGATTCAGTCATACAGAGCGGTAGAACAGGGATTCACTGTTTTCCGATGTGGTTCCTGGGCACCATCTACTGTCTGGGATCCTTATCATCAGATTTTTGGATACAAATATCTTTTGGGCTCTGGTACCTTTACTACCGACATTCCTCTCCGTAAACATGTACCAACAATCTATAATGCTGTTGGGAACCTCTGGGCATATATCTGCTGCGTGTTTTCAATCATTGCTCTCATCTTGGTGATTGTGCCCAAGAGGTTTGTGGATAGTTGGATGCATGCGGTCGAGAGACGTCTTTCAAAGAACAATTCTGGCTCTGAGGCTAGTGATGGATCGCAAAGCGAGCCTGCACAGGCTTCAAGTGTGTAACGGGAAATAAACCATATAGAAAGAAAGAGGAGGAAATAATACCATTATTCACTTTTCAGTTACCATTGTATTAAATCAATAAAATCCATGCCGTTATGCCTTTATTACAAAATGCAGTAATGTGTTATATAGTATTATTATTATTATTATTATTTTGTTGAGCGCCCTGAAGCACCAGTTAGTCCATTACCTTCCTTGCTCTGAACTATCTTCACATCCGAACGAATATCCGCTTTTCTTCTTTGAAACGAATAAATAGCGGCAGGCATGCGCCGAGGAAGGTTATCAAACCTGCGAATGCCTGAGCCCATATGTAGGATCCGTTTGATGCTGCAATCAGCGCTGAGGCTAATGGGGTTCCAAACAAGTTACCTAATTCGAACCAAACAAACAAGCGAGCAAAGAGTATAGGCTTTAGTAGCTGATCAAAAAAAAAAAAAAAAAAAAAAAATATTCTTACCAAAAAAGTTGCCTGAATAGAGCAAACCGACGGATGCTGCCAAGGCCTCCACACCAATGACATTGGCTGCGACAACAGGAAAGAGACTGTTAAATCCTCCAGCATTTATTCCATAAAAGATCATGAAGACGGTGACCATGGTTAAGTTCTTGGCAGTCATCCAGAACATGTAGCAAGCAAGGCCACTAAGAGCTGAAGTGAGGATCAAGATATTCAGAGGACCAAAAACATCTGCTACAAATCCTGTAGCAACTCTAGAGAATGCATTCACGCCCGCAAATGCTCCCACTAAATTGGCTCCTACAGTCGGATCCAGGCCGATGTCGGTAACGAATTCCGGCATTAGGAAAATAGGAGTCAGATAGCCGAATGTTACAAACATACCCTACAATGGTAAAGAGGAAGGAGATAAGTCTCTAAGGAATAAGGTGATTGACTATCAATAAGAATAGCTCTTCCATATTCTCATACCATGAGAAACATGAGAGTGAACCCCATGTGCTTGAACATGGATACGTCAAACAAAGGGCCACCTCGTTTCTTTGGTGGGACCCTTGTACGAATACAAGGCAGGACAGAGCAGACAATGGTGATGGCCGCGATGCCCACGATCCGTAATGCCCATTGATGTCCTAGTCGACTGATCAAGTATCGATTCAATGGCGCTAATGTTGCTCCTCCCACGCCTGATCCTGCAACAGTAATGCCGGATGCAAGGCCTCTCCTCTTTTCAAACCACTGCACTGGGATCGCGACGGAAGTGAACAAGGCCATTCCTGCGCCCAATCCATACATAAATCCCTACAATACGAAACAATACATGGTTAATAAAAAAATGAAGCGTGGAGTTACAAATTTGAACGTCATTCTTTCTAGCACCTACCTGAGTCAGATAGAGCTGCCAAAGTGAGGTTGCGAAGCTTGCCAGGATCATGCCACTACCGCTGATGAGAATGCCTGCAACAATGATTTTCTTTAGTCCAAACTGAGCAACCATATATCCCTGAAATGGAGTAGTCAGAAAGACACTGGCACTTCCAATTCCTCCAGACCAAGAGATCTGAGATAATGTAGCCCCATTAAAAATGTTATGCTCGACATAGTACTGTTGATAGACACCCCAGGAAAAGTTGAATCCCCAGCAACTGCGTGCATATCCCACCATTAGAAGAGAGAAAAAAAAAAAAAAAAAAAAAAAAAAAGGATCATTCGTTGAGCAGTTAGAAAATATGAGAGCAGAGGAGCAGTGGTTCGATTCCACATCTTTAAGATTGGTCCCCCCATGAAAGGAAAAAAAAAAGGCCTGTGCAGATCGATAAAGATCCTCCTGCATGCAATTCATTTTTTAGCATTTTCTTGTCCAAATCAGGCATGCTTACCAGAATTGAATCATAAATGCTCCTAATACAACGAACCATCCAAACCCACCATCTGGAAATGTCATGGGCGCAGCCTTCAAGTTTAGGGTAGCTTCAGTACTGGAGGGGTCCATCGCTGTCTCTACATCTGAAAGTTTTTCGTTACATGCTATTTCAGCATCTTTGGAGGCATAGTTCTCGAACATGGACTCGGATTTGGATTCTGACTCAGTTTTGGCTTCGAGTTGGTTCTGATCTGTACGTCGCACAAGATCGACAGAGCTCTGTTCATTGATTTTCCCTGATTTGGCATCTTCAGGGCTCGTTGCTTCTAATGGAGGAGCAGAAACTGGGACTGGGCTCGACAGATCATTTGTTTTAAGGATAGGAGTGATGGGTGATGGTAATGATGATGGTGATGATAATGATGATGGTGATAATAATGAAGGTGAATCTTGAATGGAAGTAGGAGCAGTGATAATATTAACTGCATCTTTATCTGAATGGGATGCCATTTCCTTGTAATGAAACTATTTAGAGTTGTGGAATGTTTAATTGTTTAATCAAAGTACATGAATTATATGTCAAGGAAATGGCTTCTTAGGGGTATTAGGTATTATTATCGTTATTATTATTTTTCCACCTAATGTTTCTGAAGTGATCAAAAAACTGCGTGGGAGAACAAAGGGTAACAGAAGGATGAGAGAAGAGGAGGAAGAGTGGAGAGAAAGAGGAGAACAGAAAGAAAGAAGGAAAGAGACATGGAAGGAAAGAGATATGGGATAGGCTGCTCTTATTAACTTTTTTTTTTGTCACCATTGGAGCATGCGAGATAGCTGCGATGTGAGCAAGAGCAGAGGGGTGATTGGAGGATTGAGTATATACTCAGCGTCGAGTCATTTAGCAAAAAAAAAAAAAAAAAAAAAAAAAAAAGCCATGCTTGCGATAAGAAATTATTCACAAAGAAAAAGGGGACCTGTCTCTTGATTCTCCCCCTGAGTGGTTATATTTGTCTTTTATCTCTCAACTACACAAGCTGCTTATCTTGTAAAGGTTAGTGCCAAGTCTATTGTACACAAGGAACGTGGGTATCGGAAAAATATGTTTGTATGGGATTAATGTCCACCGGCATATCACCAACGCGCCGTACTTTCCAGGGAACAAAAACAAAAAAAATTATTGTCACTTTTGAATAATTGTTTTCAGCCCGGAAAGGAACTCGTCATGTCATCCTGGCTCATTCCTCTTACTCTATCAAGTCTGCAAAAGTAAATCTTCGGAACTTTTTTTCGTTTTTCGATTTACTTTTAAGATAGGTAACCTTCCTCTTTATAGATAATAGCCTTGAACACGTCTTTATCATTTCACGATATTCTACGATTGTGCTTCGCGTATAAGCGCGTCCTCGACCATAGTTTTGATACACTTCACAGTCTCATCGCCCATCTGATAATAGTCGAAATTCTTGCTCGGATTGAACATCTCCATATGGGCTTCGATTTCATCTTGGCCAGAACACATACGGGGAGAGAATTTGGATTGCATATCGCTCGGGATAGAGGCCAACTCCACAAATGTCCTAGATGTTGTTTTCCAATTATTTGCAGAGCTAGCTGGGATTTGCACCTGCGTATAGAAGCAGTGGAACCCAATGGGTAATTTGAGAACATCTGCCACTCTACCAGAACAATGAAGAAAGGAAAAAAAAAAGTATTAGCCAGTGAAGAATGAAAAGTGTATATTTCACTTATATATTATCTCATAACATACCTCCGTGTGAGCTGCGTGCTATTCCAGAGGATGCCCACGAATTGTAAATGTGAGGTAATATATTCCATGCCCTTATTCACATGACTATTAACAGTAACAGCCGCCCCTGTGGCTAACACGGCGGCACCGACGCCTAGTGCGACTGATCCCCAGCTCCACTTTGATCCAGATGATGAGGAGGATGAACTGGTCGTTATTACTCTTTTTTCATTTTGAGATGATTTGACCGATGTACTCGACCATAATGACCCAACACTGAATCCATTTGAAGCTGAACCTGGTTCCTGTTCACCCTTTTGCTTTATCCCCTTCTTTGTTTGAGTATCTGATATTGTAGCCGGATTCAATGCGTTCCATGTAGTAGCCGCTGGTATGTATGCTGACATGAGATTATAGGCCCCTATAGCCTTTTGTGCCATCCCTGTTGCTCTCTCATATGCTGCATGAGTAAAGACAGTGTGATTCAATCCGAAATAGGGTGTATCGAACGCTAATATGCCAATGACAGGTGACTTTTGAAGTTGTTCTTCAAGGAGGATTGCAGCATCAGCAGCTGCAAACATTTTAGGAAATAAAATATAAAAAAATTGTTCTTAGCTTAGTTTTCCTTTCTGTTTAGACAGTTTGGAGAAATAAAAACTATTGGTTTTTTTTTTTTTTTTTTTTTTACCTACTAATCCACCCATCGAATGGCCAACAAAGCATACATAGACGGGGGGTATCTTTTCGTTCTGTGTCTTGGTTTCGATCTGTTCTCCTTGATTCGTTTGCTGTTTTTGTGGCCCATATGCACGAATGTTGAATACTTCTCTGGCTTCGACTTGTTGTCGAGTCCATTCTGCAAATGTCTTTACGGCTACCTGCATTAACAGATTTGTACAAATATGTGAATAAAGAATAAATCGACTGGAACATGTTAGACTACGCTTTTTTTTTTTTTTTTTTTTTTTTTGAGCTGAGAGAGTGTGTGTGTGTTACCGAAAAGTCTCCTCGAGTATCGTACTGAGGATAGATAATGGATTCAACATCGAGGTTTATTTTTGCATTGGTGAAGATGGTCATGATCCTTGTTGGGAAATCCAGAAAAGTGTGGAGGTCATGGCCCTTGAATCCATGCACGAACAAGAGCAAGATGGTTGCTTTGGGAGGCGGTAACATTGTGTCGATTAGAGGGAAAGATGAATGGGTTGATAAACAGGAAAAAAGGAAAGCAGTTGTGTATGGTATGTGTTTGTATGAAGGGGTATAGTTCGGCGAAGCAGGGCTTCCTTTTTTGCACACAATGGCAACGGATGTTGTGAGGTGACTGTGCATATTGTACACAAAAAAGCTGGTTCAATTCTTTTTTTGAATGTCTTCTTCATTCATTCAGATCTTTGCCCCTCAATGGGAGTGCTTGGGCTCTATAGTTACTTTGAATGCAGATCGCTTGGCATTCGCAAGAGCTGGGTCTCACCTGATGAACCATCGATCTCTGAACAGCAACAACAGGGGCAACAGAAAACGGAGCAAAGGCGATATTTTATTCTTGATGGAAATGCATACATCCATCACCTCTACTGTGGTCAATTCGAATGGATCTGGGGTGGTCAATACAGCTCCTTTGTCAGCCTCTTGATCGCCCATATCTCTGCTCTAACTGCCTGTGGCTTCCGTCTTCAGTTCCTTTTCGATGGTCCACTTCCACTTCAAAAACTTCAAACACGTTTAAACAGAGACACCGAAAAGATTCACAAAATGAGTAGAGTGATGAACGATCTGGAGCATTACCATGCCTCGGGACTCTATAATAGAGGAGTTGGTGGAAATGAAAGCAACGATACTCTCCTATCGAGCCATGGATTAGCAGCTGCTCACTCTTTAGCAGGAATTGGGTTAGCATCAGCATCGGCACCTGGAACATCTGGAGCAAGAACAGGAAGCAGATCTAGTTCAAACTTTTTAATCCCACCACTGGTGATGGAGGTCACTTTACAGACATTGAGGTCCTTAGACGTTGACCTACTGGTATGTGAAGGAGAGGCAGATGGTCTCGTTGCGCAATTGGCTATGGAAAAATCCATGGATGAGGGTGTCGAGGAAGCATACGCTGTTAGCAAAGACTCTGGTAAATATATGTGCGTGAAAATAGCAATTGACGAGGAAATCGATCATTATGGCTAATGCTCCTTTACTATCTCTTTGTCAGACTATTTCATCTACAACACTGGATCTTCTACAAAGGGCGGATATATCCCACTTGATACCTTTTACACCTCCAAAAATCCAGAGACATCTGCTATCACGATCACAGCAACAGTCTATTCTCAGTCAGTAATCGCCAATCATCTTGGGATCCGCCCCGAATTCCTTCCATTATTTGCATCACTTACAGGAAATGATTACCTAAGGCCCGATGTCTTTGAAGGTCAAATTGCTAAATCATTGGCTTCTGCAACGGGTCAAAAGCTCTCAACCGCATCCAACACCAATCACGCTCGGATCAAGGCTACAGCAGGGTTCTTGAAACAATACGGAGCAGGCTTTGATGGTACAAAAGGTAGTCCTATTCCTGCCATTCCTAGGGCTGATAATGATTTCGTGTTCTCCAAAGAACAAACTGACAAAGTCATGGAGAGAATATTGGAAGATCGGATACACCTTTATCCGGCAGAAACCTCTGAGCGGCGACACGAACTGAGATCGTTGCTCAAGGAATCTATACAGCAATATGTACCAATCATCCAGAGTAATACCGGAACATTATTTTCACCGTTATCATCGAGCTTTGCTTCTACTCCATCAAGCGAAGTTATGTTTCATAAAATTAAGGATGCCTTTCGGACAGGTCAATTTTCATTCAAACTCATGGATGTGGTCTGTAATAAGATGTTTTGGTGTACACCCTTCCTAGAGGATGTGAATCGTGAGAGTGCTTGGTTAGTTTCCAGGGAGATGAGGCGGTGGGTCTATGGGATTTTAGCGTGCAGCCTCTTCAGCAAACTAGGGAGTGACCATGATGACAAAGATGAAAAAGGGTCTTTATTAGATGTAGTCGAATATGTGAGACGTGGAGACCACCTGTCCGCTGAGATAGTCACTGGAGTATCTAGCTTGGAACTGGATGAAATGTTGAGAACTGCACAGGCGAAGGAAGCGATCAGGAAAACTAAACCAAGCATCTATGCCATGGATGTCAACACCTCTTCTGCTGCCTCTGCTACTGATGACCTTCATAGTGTTTACCAAGGGAAAGCTGAAACAATGAGCATCGACATCCCTTTTAATGAATTCGATAACGACATGAACAGTCAGAATTCGATATCCAAGAATGAGTTAGATCAGGCTAGCAGGACTAGCCTTTTTCTCGGAATCTTGGGTGCAGATACTGACAATATCCGCTCACTTCCAAAACCCTTCATGGCTCTGGCAGCGACCCTACGGTACCTCATTAACGCATTGGCACATTCCAAAACAAGGTCAACCAGCATCCCTATCGCCAATTTTGAGGTGATTGCTATTGTTGCCTCAGTTTTGTTTCTCAGAGAGAAATATTATCCAGAAACAATACCATCTGAATTTTCAGCACCTAGCGAACATCAGGACACTAATATACTCACAACGAACTCGAAAATGTTAACAACGGCGATAACTCCCAAGTCCGCGCCCAGTAGTTCGTCGTTTGGTTTTGATGAAACACCGCCACTGACTAAACGATCCCTTTATCTGTCGACGCAATATCAACATACCCTTGGGACAGTGTCCTTACTAGCGAATTCATTACAGCTTGAAGACATGATTCCACCGCTTGCGACACTTTTTGATGGGCTATTGTTCCAACAAACATTGGCTCTTGCTCGAGGCGGCACCTTACTGGAACAGCGAATGATTTACCAAGAATCGATTGATCTGTACCATAGGATTCTGGCTGCAGTTGAGGAGGGCTTTATTGACACGGGCGAAATTGACGTGGTAGTTGTTTTTCGAGCTCCAGCTGGTAGTAGGAAAAACCAACAGCAGCAGCAACAGCAACAGCAGCAGAGACGCGTATCTCTTGGGATATTCGGACCAGAGGTTAAGCCTGTCAATCAACTACCGTCTGCCACACCTTTGGCGTCTGGGTCATCTTCAGCAAGTTCCTGGTCTATAAAGACTACAAAATCTTCAGCAATCCAAAAAAAATCATCTGGATCGTCGAAAAGACGAATAGGAAACGGTAGTGGCGGCCGCAATGGTGGCAACAATAATACCCGGGGAAGTGGCGGTAGTAGCGGCAGTAGTGGAGGAAATATGTTTAATGTTCTTGCCCTTGGTTGTGAATTCTGATTACGGCAGTATGAGGCATCACTATCAACAACATTCATCATCGTTTTCGTTTTAATTGCCATCATCATTATTATCATTATCATTGTTACTAGATAAAGATACTTTAGAACATACTTGTTTTCTCACAGAGTCTGTTTGTGTAAAAAGGAATTTTTTTATTTTCTTCTTTTTACAAAGTAACCTGCGCACCAAGCATATCGTCCTCTTTGAACGCAAGTGCTTGGTCCCAGTAATGCTGCACACCAAACCGTGCCAATGTCTCCTTCAATTGTGCGTCTGTCCTGCATTTAAAAAATCTGAATGTTTTGAATTGTCGCTCCCTCAGTTGTCCTTCCCAAACCAATAGACACTTGTTGTCAATCGTCGCTCCATTCTCGGACGCTGCAGTCACTTCGCTTCCATCTAACCGTGTGTTATCTGTCCAGTCGATTCTCCGCAACATTAACTTCTTGTATTGGTTGATTGCCTTTCCCCCTCCTTCTACCACTACAATCGTAAAAGTAGGGTACATGAGCACAATCCCTGTCAATCCTAATTGCTCTGCATTCTTATCCACTTTAAACTTTTTCTGTGGATGAGAAAGGTCGTTAATCCTACAAGAGCGCATACGCACAGAAAAAAAGAATGAAAAAATTAGCAGCTTCTCTAAAAACCGAAGTGCAAAAAAAAAAAAAACATAGATAAAAATAAAAAACATACTTATATAGACTGACGTGGATCCCCTTGGCCAAATCTTCTTCCTTCTTTTTCGCTTCTTTGGCTTTCTTTTCCTCATGAGTCAATTTCCGCTCTGCATTCATATCCAAGTGGCCTTGCAATCTAGCGGCCACTTGTTGTCTGACCTTCATTTCTACCTCTGTTGGATTCAAAACCGCTTCCTGCCCCAAGACACGCATCATGTTGGCTAGTTTAACCTTTGGTGCATCTGGTGGCAGTAATCCCAACCTGATCTTATCCTGTTTCTCCTTCAGTAATTCCCGTCGCTTCTGCCTTCTCAATTTTTTGCGCTCCTTAGTTGTCAACATCAGCGGTCGTGGTTTTGCACTAGCTGCATGTGCGGCTTCATTTGGAGGTTCAATAGGAACGGGATGTTGGATATAATGGGTGATCAAAGAATCTTCCGTTTCAATCTTGCAAAGTCCCTGTGCGTAGTCATCGTAGGTTTTGTTAGGTAAAAATGCAGCATCCCACCATTCGACTCCTTTCAATGGTTCATGCTAATAGTGTGACATTTATTAACGAAGCAATATTAGTTAATTTCCTTGTATCAAAGGTCGTTTATGACAAATTTGGTGTAGTATATGTTATAAAGGATCAGTTTGTCTTACTTTGACGAATCCATCCTTGACCTGCAAGTCCTCTTCTTGCACATTAGCCTGTCCACTCTGTTCAATGTCCTTCTTCAGTTGCTCCACACGCTGTTCTGCTCGGACCTGGTTCGCAATGCTTTTAAATTTGCCCTTGGGTGCAAATCTAAGTGGCCTTGATTTGCGTTCCCGAGGCGCTGCTGATAAGTTAGGGTCGAAATATGGATTCTTTTCAGGGTCCACAAAATCTTCTGGTACATCTAAAAGCTTGAGCTCTTTCTTGGGTTCTACTTTTTGATTAATCTAAATAGGAACAAAAGAGGAAGATAACCGATATATTTGTAAGTAGCATGGCCATGCAGCGAAAATGGTATATATATATATATATGTAATACTAATGAAAATCAAATTTGACTGAGACGTTCATGAATCCAACGGTCATAAAAAATAAAATATTTTTTAAAAAAAGTGCTTAAATGTACATACTTTTGCAGTGGCGAACGATGGCCCCTTCATACCCTTTCCTGATGTAACTGAATTGATAATCAAATTTCCTGCTTCATCCCGCGAGATCATAGAACTGAGATCTACTCCTAATCCTCCTCTGGCTCTTGGCTCATTAGTTGTTTGTGCCGGCGCTGCAGCTGGTGTAGTTCTTGTTGTCGTAGGCGTAATGGCAGGTGTTGTAGGCCGTTGAGTACTAAGGGTCTGTTGAACCTTCGCCCTAATAGCTTCAGTTCTCTGACGAATCAATTCTGCAGCAGATATTCCTGCTCCAGGTCTTGCTGTCGATACTGCTGCCGATGCTTGGGGTTGCTGTGATCCTTGAGCCTGCTGTTGCTGTGCCTGTTGACTTTGTTGTGCTCTCAAAGCTAATGCAGCAGCCTGAGCCTTCGCCATGGCTTGGGCCAACTCGGCTTTGATCTATTAATTCATATTAATAAAATAGATAGTACAAAGTCAACATAAAGGAACCAACATTCTTTTTTTTTTTTTTTTGATTGGGTTGATCTCGCTCAAGAGCAACGTGTAATGTTTAAAACAACTTGCCTGTTCCGGTGTCTTGGCCATAATACTTGTCTCTCTTTCGCTCAATGATCTATGCTTCACTGAATACCCCCGTCTTATAGGATTGTCGTCGAATGGTACAGAAATGCTAAAAAAAAAAAACGTAAATTAAATGCCGCGGCTGTTGTCACCTGATACTATATCACGTGGGAAGCCCATTTTTATGTGCCTACAATCAAAATAAAAAGTCGCGTAGAGCAAGTGATCAAACTCTCGCAAAAAAAAAAAAAAAAAAAAAAAAAAAAAAAAAGAATCGTATAGTATGGATAACATGTAACAGAGCTCAATGTACATGTACTTCATTAGGACTAAAATAGCTTTAATGAAGTATAATATTCTATATGTCAGGAAGAAAAAAGCTGTGCTAAATGATCATAAATATAGGAAGTTTATTAGTCAATCCCCGCCACTGGGCTCCTTCGGGCGTAACTGGCTCATTATTCAGCTATGGACTCTCAAATTTTAACATGTTTTTTTTTTTTGTTTTTTTGTTTAGCGTAGATGCCAGTTTAACGCGCTTATTGGGAAAAAGAGGAGCGGAAAAGCTATCAAAGGGTACAAGAATTCGTAGCGACGATGATTTTTGACTCTTTGATGTCGGACCTTCTTGTCTTATTGAAGCAGAATGCAGTAAGAGTTAGATTGTTCGCTCGCATATAGGCAGCACAAATTAGGAATAATCCATTATGAGCTTTGTACGAGAGGAACCGTTCATCCGGATAATTGGTATTCAGGCCTGGCAGAGCGGGCAATGGCTCGAATCTGTTATCAGTTGGATTAGAGCTGAATGCTTCCAAGTCAGAATCCGTGCAAGGATACGACAATTAGCGCAATTTCAAATTTTAGTTGGATATGAAAAGAGTATCGGCTCTTGAGATATGCCGCGCAGGTTAAGAATTAACATGCAAGACGGAAGGGTCTTGACGTGGTGCTCGAAAATAAGAGATAAAGTCATTAGACTACAATGACTTTTATGCAATGGTGTAATTAAGAGGCAAAGCACCACCAGATTTGTTCACTTCTCTGATGCATGACAGTCAAAGTATAACCTTTCGTAAGCAAATCAAATCGATCAGGGGTGGTCCGAGGAAAAACCCCACCGCTTGTCCCATCTCAATTGGAGTATTGTTAACGCCACTATCCCATTATGCACTTCACAGGCTAATTGCAGTTTTGAAGGAAGGGCTTTTCCATGCCTTTATACTGAATGAAGACGGAAACATGCATAGCGCATGAATTAACAGAACAACATATCTCTTTCATTTGCCTGTTTTGTTTATTTTATTCGATCTGTTATATATATCCTGTGTTCTTTTTATTGGACATCGGGAAGAAGTAGGGACCAATAAGTTCGTAACTTGTCAACCAAAGGACCAAACGATCAACCTGCTTGATTTCATTTAAACTTCTAGAAGAAATAAAAACAAGGGTTTGTATCACATGTGGTACAAAAGAAAGACTGTACCACAGTTTACCCAACCTGGGCATTTTGCCTTATCCTCCCAGTCTTGTGGGAAGCATTCGTCTGACTGGCATACTCGTCATAATCATTCATTCCCTTTGATGCTGTAAGCGATACCTTTTTGTCGGCATTCAAACCCAATTTCGCCCTTTTCCACTTTGTCTGTTCTGCTGACACCTTTGTTTTGACACAAGTGAAAATAGTGAGCTTGGACCCTCTCTGTTACACACACAACTGCTACGTCAGTTCGCGCGGGATGTCTCTATCCCACATCTCAACCACACAGAATAACAGACTCCCGAGCTATTTTTTTTGTTATTTTTTTTTTATTTTATTTTATTTTTATTTTATTTTATTTTTTTTTTTGGTTCATGTCATATAAGCTATATCCCTACCTGGTTATCGCTCTCTCTTTCTCCCTTACTGTTTCTACATCTGTCTCTGTCTCTTTACCCCCCTGTCATCTCCCATTGAAAGGAAGGATCGAGAAGAAATCAGAATCAATGACATACACATTCTTCGGACATTATTAGCACTGTGCTTGGACCAACGAGGAGGTCTTTGAAGGCAGGAGCGCTCAAGATGTACGATGCGGCGGAGTTTGCAGATACCTGGAGTGAGCTGGGGTGGAGCGAAAGTCTAAGATATAAAAAAAGTAAAAAACGATGTCAGAGCCATCTGACATTCACTAGGCTAGTGCTCTCCTACTAAAAGAGATACAGGAGAAGGGAAATGGATATCAACAAGAAAATAGACATGTTTTGACAGGGCGGGTGTAGAAAAAAAAAGGGACAATTGCAGATTGTTTCTCCTTCGAAGTTCTATCTTTGCGGATTGTTGCTTGCCCCCTTTTTAGACCAAATACCATTTTGTGATTTTTGAATGTCCGCGAGGAAGAAACGCAACAGACGACGTGCTTGTGCATAGTCTTCCCTTTTCCCAAATGTCCTCCACTCTCTGAAGTATTGCATGGGCTCAACGTTAAGCTCTCAAGGAGATTCTGAACGCGGTATAAAAACTCGCCATTAACCCTCTTTCAACCTCACCGTTTCGGTTTATTTTTTGTCTTTTTTCGATTACTCGTCTATCCTACTTTGTCATTTCCTTTCTTTTTCTTTGCGTTCACTCTTATACTTTTCTCTTTCTCTTATTCTTTTCTTTCATCCCCCTTCTCTTCTTCTTTCTCATTCCTTGAGTACCGGGACAGTCAAGGCACAGAAACGTGATAACTATTGACTGTAGAATTTCCTCGACTTGAATCTACCGCACTTTTACACCCCTTCATCCATACATAAAAGACAGACGCACACAACACACATTATGAACAAGAAAGAGCTGTGCACCGGGCTTTGGGGCCAATTTGTCAAAGACACAAAGGTGTTTGCAAATCAGATCTTTGGCAAAATTTTGAACAAACCTCCAGGTACACAATCTTGCCCTGCGTCTCAGCATTCATGCAACCCTTGTGGTACAATAATCTAATTGGTACTAATGTGATCTCCCTTTTTGTTCATTCAGCAGGACCATCTACCCAAAGTGCATACGAACACCAACGTCAATACGATTCACAGTATCACCATCAGCACCCCTATTCTAACGTCTCCTACACTAGCACTCTCTCCCTTGTCAACATCACCACAGCATCTCATATCTCACTCGAATCATCAGCCACGTATCATCACAATCCCATCCAAGAAATGACTCTCCAATATGAATCTCTGTGGGAGGTGCAGCTTGCTCTCGGAGAGATCCCCAGTATATTTGATGCAGGAAACATCTTGCAGCCATACCAGTCATCACAGTACACACCGTTCCCATCCCGACCTCCAACAGAGCCTATTCAATACCCGCATCAATATCAACAGCAACGACCCTGCCAAGACTACAGCCTCCCAGACTTGGCCACTTCAATCTCCTCTTCATTTTCACCATCACCCATGAGCTTCGAAGCAAAAACCAAGCATCAGTTCCACTCACCTGGAGGGTCTGGAAATGCAGGGCATCTTTGGTTCCGACCCATTGCAGCCCAAGCACATTCATACACGTCTTCTCATTTTTTTTCCACATCTGTTGATGAGGCAGTGTTGGAATATACATTCCCTATCCGCGATTCTTCTATCTGTATTTCTCAATCCAACAGTGATATTAATGAGCCAGATGATGATGTCTATGATGATGATGATGGCGATGACGACGATGCTATGATTAATATGCCGAGCAAGGTCAGCGAGCTCCGCCATGACCGTAAAGATAGTGGTGTTTTCATACAAGATGGCGATGAGGGAATCATTCTCCAACGTTCACCGAAAACAACTGCCACTACTACCGCTACCATCACTGCTGCCACTGTTACTGCTACAACGGCTTTTAGTTCCGAAAAGAAAGTAATTTACACTCCTGACCACGCGTCTGAGGATGAGAACGAGTATGTATACCTGCCTGTAAAAGGGCATTGCCTAGAGTTGCGATCCCGAATCATGGGTGACGATATCTTGCACTCCGACGCGGGATTACTTGCGCTGTCTCTTCCATCTCTGATGGCAACTGTATCTACGCTTTCAATACAGGCATAAAAATACTCCTACTTCCCGTTACATTGTCACACAATACACATCTACATTCATGAACACATCACTTGCACACCCATACAAACATACATCCCCCCTTTTTTTTTTTTTTTTTTTTTTTTTCTTGAAACCTTCCTACATGTACCAATGTATTTCTATGATAGGGTGTCCAACACCAACCCAACCAAGCTTGCTAGCATTTATCTTATAGACTAAACCATATAATCCCCCCTCACTGGAGCTTGTCATGCTCTACGACCATGTTTCGTGCTGGCCACGAGGCTTGGTTTGATTCACGCCTAAATAGTAATTACAATAAAAAAGCACGAGAAGAAAGGGCTGCTATGATAGAAACGATACAATCCCCCATGAGATATTGATAGAAAGGTTCTACATTAGACAAAACACAAAAAAAACTTTGTTCTTAGATAATCTCAACATCCATGGATTTATTGTAGTTTATCGATTGGTTGAAAAACGAATATGCTTTTGCTTGGTTTATATATTTTTTAATAGTATAAATATATATATATATATGAATAGTAAATCGCGATACGTTGCTTGGGAGATAATGAAACCATAATGGGTTTAAGATAAGAAAAAAAAAAATCCTGGCAAGTCGTTTAGTGGCGCGCACACTTGCAGTGTCAGACAAGGGCTCTCGTCGAAACATTTTTTATGCATTTGCGGGGATGTCAACGCACTTTATCAGGGTTTAGAAAAAAAATAAAATAAGGATTATGCTTTTTATTAATACAACTCAAAAGCTTTGTTATGATCAACTAGAGTTACTGCGGGAGGGAAGAAAGGAACGAGACTGCTTGTCACGAGTTTTTCTAACGATCTGGGCTTTGTAGATGATGGAGATGAAGATAAATTCATGCACATTATCGGTGGTGTTTATTGACACATGTTATACCAGGAACTCGTTGTCAGACTTTTTTCTCGAACAGGGGAACGCTTTTATGCACTTCTTCTTTCTAACCCCATTCCATGGTGCAGTAGTACATCCAATGTTCATGTAAATTCACTCAGATACACATTATTTATCCCCAATCTTGTTTTATTGTTTTATTGTTTTATTGTTTTATTGTTTTGTTTGTTTATTTACTCTTTCATAATCCATTTGCCGTGCACGCGCTTCTTGAATGTCAAAATTGTTCTTCCCATCTCGATGGTTGATAATCTAATCCGGGGTACGTCCTATATTTGAACTTGACACCCATTCAGCAATCTGTCAATTTACACAAAGAAGATAAGGGATGTAACAGAAAAAAAGGGTGGACGAGTCCATTTAATATCGGATCTCTTGATGTTGCCATTTCTTCCTTCGGGCCGTGTCTGCTTTCTTCTGTTCTTATGCTTTGTAGATGAAAGTAGAGATAGATTTTTTCACCTTTGAAAAAAAAAAAAAAAAGATAAAGGAGTCTTCAGACAGATTGATTCTAAAGCCATGCTACGCAGAGAGCTCGCGTGGCTGAACCCTCCTTGGATACAATAAAACCTTAGTTTATTTTGCACATTTCAATGCATCTAATGTGTTGCCTTAACGAGTAACTCTGAGCCATCGGAAAAAAAAAATGGCAACATTGATAGCACAAAGAGAGAGCCTACACTGCACGATAAACACCAAAGAAAATGATCTCTCCGATACACATATTTCCATTTAGACCATCATGCTGATATGAACACACGCCATCAATTGCCATCCCCATTCAATATTGCTTTTTTGCAGAGGAAAAGCCCTGATAGACTACCCCATTGGCAGAGAAGATAGACAGACCCTATACAAAGGACATTGTCTTCCTATATTCGATTGTTATTATTATTACCATTATAGGTGTTGTTTTTATTTCCTCACCTATCCTCTCCCTTGACAACACGATTAGTATTTCCTTTCTTTCTTTCTTCTCATTTCCTTCTACTCCTGTATCCATTTGTCTATTGCTGCCCCAAACTGGTTTCCTTTTGTTATCCTTTTTTTTTTTTTAGTGATCCGGCTGCCATTTCTTCTTATTTCTTTTTCTTCCTGTTGCTTGAAGCGATGCCATCTCCTGCGCCCACTCCTTCACATCCCCAATCGCTCCTCCTCTTGCAACACCTTCAACGACAGCAACAACAGCAACAACTTCATTCAAACCAGCATCATGGCCAAGCTCTTGATGATTCTCCCTTGTATCACTCGCATCAAGCCTTCGCCCAATCTCTCTCATTCACTGGACTGGGTTTGCAAGACCAATTGCTCTTACCTGCGCAAAAGCTTAAGGTAAACACAGTAACTGGAAACACGCGATCTTGATTCTGTTTAATATATTCATCTTTTAATAGTTCGATCGTTCATGAAACACTGCCCTATTTTCTATTCTAGTTATTCCAATTACAACAGCAACAGCAGCCTCAATTCTGCTTCCAGCAACAACCTCCATGGTTAGCAAATATGACTCTCTCCTCAAATTCCTCACTTTCACCTGTTTTAACAGCAAGTACCCCAAGATCAGGGTCACCTTTGCCTGTTTCTAGTCCACAGTCTGAACATTCCGATATAAATGTCCCATCAATGACGCCTTCCGCAGACTATTGCCGACGGCGGACCTCGGCCACATTCCGATCATCCCTTTCTATGCTGGCAATACCCTCGTTTGAGACCTTTGAATTCGGTCCTGACGATTTTTTGAAGCAACAGAACGATGACAGCGACGTTGAGGATGAGGAGCCCCAGCGGCAACATCAGGCAGACGAGCGTAATGGGGAGTATAGGTACAAATGTGTCCATTTCGGCAATGTATATGCTCTCGTACATGATCTTCACAGATTGAATGCTTGCTTGCTTTTAGTGTCATTCGATAAAAGGATTTTTCCTCTTGTGAATACGTGTATATTTATTTTTATATATCTCTTCGGTGCAAACGTTATAGAAGCACCAATGCATTGTCCCCCACATTCATGGATACTGGTAATAGTGAACAAGCTAATGAAATAGATAGCATTGGTGGCACGGATGACGCGGATGACTCGACGGGACAAGTTGGCGTATTCCAAGAAGATAGTAAGTAAAGAAGAGCTATCGCTGTAATATATAGTTTAGATTGATATATATATAAACAATGACAAAAGTTGAGCAATAGGGTTGTTGATCTGCAACTGTCTGCAAAGACCGAGGACTTCTAGCCTATTACATTTCTGAAATAATTGGATGGCGTTTGTTTTTTTTTTTTTTTTTTTTTTTTTTGTCTGTGCCCCCATTCGTTGTCTTCACATGCTTTCTTTTGTGGATGTTCATTTTATTTTATTTTTTATATTCTAATTCCACTGTAAGGGCCAATAGGGGAGACTTCGGGTGGAGAAGGAGCCTCAGAGGCAAATCTCGGAAATTTATTTCCTTACGCCCCAGATGTATGGCACAGTAGCTCGCAACAGACACCAGTGAAGGCCGAGCAAAGTGGTGAACCAGACGAAGAGGAGCAACAACTAGAAAATCGTCAAGCTCGGACACGAAAGCAGGATAGCAATGATAAAGACAACGAAAACAACACTAAAAGTAACCAAAAGACTAAACATGGTCATGGTCCAATAGCACAGAGTGGTAAAAGCTTCGTTGGCACGATACCACTTGACCTTCGTTTGGACCTTGAGGGCCTACAATCGCTCTCGGCCCTCTCCTTGATATCGCCTCAATCAGCTAAATCTAAACTTCAAGCTTCGTCTTTGATGGAGCAGTGTCTGTCTGATCCGATCTCTGTTTCTGCTCAGACAGATTCCTTAAACAGGGACCAGAGCATTGAGGAAGAAACAGTTGATGCAAATAATAATGGCAATGGTGGTAACGAGAGCTGTGGCAGTGGCGATAGTGGCTTTTTGAAAAGGGAAGAAGATAGTACGATGGCATCAAACAGCATCAACTCAAGGTAATGAATAGCATTTCTTTTTTATTTATTTATTTATTTTTACAATCTTTTTTCGGACAAGAGTCAAGACAGGCCAAAAAGAAAGTTTTGTCTGAATGTGACATGACGAACTCTATTTGTCACACTGTGTTGCTTGCAGATAATGCAGAAAGAGACAGTTTCCTGATGATGATACCATTCATCGACAGCGGACACATTTTCAGTTCTGATTCTAACTGAATTGTCTATTTTATTTATTTTCTTATTTTCTTATTTTCTTATCCGTTTTGAACTTTTTCCTGCAGACAAACCAATGCTTCTATGTCCTCTCCCGCCTTATCACCCGCTGTGATCCATCCCTTACTTGACCCCTTTTCCAAGCAGACTCTTTCTTCTTCTTCTTCTTCTTCTTCCACCTCTTTTTTGATTTCTGATCCAATTGTCCCAACTTTCTCTGCAGACAAGGTTGAACAAACTGTAACAGCCACTCGACCCACTTCTGTTTCTCCCTCCTTATCTCAAACGACCTCTTCCTTTTCTTTTTCCTCCTCCATCTCCAACTCCTCCCTTACTGTGGGGCAGGCATCAGCGTCTATCACTTCCAAATCTTCTCCTGCTCCTTCGTCCATGACGACCCCCACGACCTCCACTACTACTGCCCTTGCCCCAAGTGCCGCACATCTCCAATTACTTCTTCAACAGCACCACGCTTTACAACGCAAGGAGCAAGAAGCTAAAGAACGTCTCGAGCGAGAAAAACAGCAATTGAAGCAACAGGAACAGAATACAGCAATGGCACCCACATCTTCCACTGTTCCCGCTGCTTCTAGTCTGAAAGCTGATGCTCAGTCTGTAGCCGCTTACATGGCCGCTTACATGAGGCTAGTGAGCACCAGAAGTATAGATCAGGTCAATTCTGCAAATGAAGCAGCTGGCCAATTGACAGTCGATCCAGTACAAACGTCATTCGATACAACATTTTCTTCAATAGTCGCCACTACATCTGCAGACAAGACGACAGCATCGCCTGCCACTATTGCACCTTCTTCCACCGTACTGTATCCCTCTCCGCCTCCCTCCGTAGTCTCATCTTTTACACAAAAGTCATCATCAACCAAACCATTTAAACCTCACGGCAAAAAGCTTTCTTCTGACGCAGCAGTAGCTGCCGAATCCTCAGTAGACACGGCGACTGCCACTTTTGATCCACTCTCCACTACAGGATCAAAATCTCAGCTACATCATCGACAGGAATGCTACAATTGTGGGGTGACCAAGACTCCGCTCTGGAGAAGGACTCAAGATAGGAAACACTCTCTTTGTAATGCTTGCGGACTTTATTTTAAGCAATATAAAACCAATCGGCCGATTGCTGGACGCACCTCAACAGAATCGGTGGTCGTACAACAGCAGCCACAGCAACAATTGCTTGCAGGACAACAGACAAAACGACGAAAGATTAACGATGCAGCTGATACAACAATTTCTGTCAAGAGTGAGCCAACAGATTTATCACAACAACAACAACAACAACAACAAAAGCAGAGACTTCCGGAGCAAAGAGCAACAAATACAAGCCATTTGAAGCCATTGCTTCCTCATCCTTCATCCTCCCGTCATGTTACACAGATCGGGCGCTCACAAACAATAGACTCACATTCCTTTGACCGGCATGGTACCATCGCTATCCATGATGAATCAAAATTGGCTAGTGAAAGTGAGGCAGATGACGAAGGCGGCGGCGAAATGGATCAGGATGAAATAGACGAGGATGATATGGTAGAGGCGCATCGAAGTAACATTAAAGAAGATGTGGAAATGGCTGATGAGCGTTCAACGCGCGAGATGTCTGATTCGGATAATGACAACTCTGATGATTCGGATTGCAGTGATCGTAATCAAGAAGAGATCGAAGATTATGCTTCAAAGTCTTTTACTACAGATAAACCCACACCTCCTCGACCTGCTGTACAGTCAAAGCCCGGAAGTGTCAACAGCAAAGCTACCGCCAACGCAAACATCGAATGCGCTAACTGTGGACAGACTCAAACTCCACTCTGGCGTAAGGATGCTAAAGGGCAGTCAATTTGCAACGCTTGCGGTCTTTATGCTCGACTCCACCAACGCGATCGCCCTGTGACCATGCGAAAGACAAAGATTGCAAGGCGCAAGCGTGACTGGAAGGCGAGTCAGGAAAAGGCTGCTGCCACTACTGCTGCTGCCACCGCCGCCTCTTCGGCTGCAGAAACAAACAGCAGGGAAAGCTCTCAAGTATCTGAAGGCGAGAGCAGTAGTGGCAACAAGAAGCGCAAAGAGCAGGAACTGGATGAAAGGCATGTAGAGGTGCGAGCAATGAATATCCCTATGAGCTTGGAGCATGAATCGGATGAGTCAAGTCTTTGCCTACTGGAGCAGACGCCTGAAGATAATGTAAGTGGTGATGAGATATGTGGTTGGACAAGCGATACGGATAAACAAACAGACGAATTAACTAATCTACATTTTCAACATATCAACCGCCTTTTAGCACTTACCCACTCCGTCATCGAACGCTTCTCTGTCACCTATTATGTCAGCGCCACCAATGCCTACAATGAACCTAGGAAGTGGCTCGCTCTCCCCTTCCTTGACGGCGTCGCCTCCTACACCAGCATTATCTTCTTCCCACTTCTTGAATAACTCCACCACCACTCCTACATCAGCCTTTCCTACCAGTTTGAGCCCACTTTTGATTCAACAGTATCAGCAACATCTTCAGAATCAAGCGGCGCTTAATGCCGCAGCAGCAGCAGCCGCTACAGTATCATCCACAACCACATCTGCATCAGAAACTCTTCCCTTACTTAGTAATACTAATTGGCTTTCGCAATTGTATCCACAATATCCTACGACGCCATTCCTCCCTAGTTCGACTCTTGCACGAGACCCCATGACTCTAGCAGCACTACAACAACAGCAGCAAAATCAACTTCAAAATAAAGTATCCTCTCCACTCTCAACTATCGGCTTGAACAGCGGCATTCCTGCTTTTTCTTCAACAAGGCCGTGTCCAATAATTACTAATGTCCATGTTCTTCAAAACCTTCAGCGACAACAAGAACAGCAGCAGAAGCTCAGACAACAACAGCAACAGCAGCAACAGCTACTTCTTCAACGACAACAACAACAGCAGCAACAGCAACAACAACAGCAACAGAGCCAACAAAACCAGAAGAAGAGTCAAGGTCCATTGATATTGGATAGCACACGCTTCACTCGTCTGATGAACCAGATGAGTAAGCCCCAACTATCCATGTTTTTGACGATTCTTGAGGAACGTTGTGGAGCTCTGCGTCATCGACTCTCGGGTGAAGATGACCAGGTTGGACGTGTAGACACCAACGAGATGATGATGATGATCAATAATCCGCAATTCACGTCAATGGAAGGTGGATTATCAAGTAGTACTAACAATGCTTCCGAGACCACAGCATCGTCGTTATTAGCAACAATGAATGATTTGGGGCAAGATCATGATCAAGATGGTTCTCAATCCGATTTTATGATGTAGCCAGTAACCGTATCAGGAAAAAAAAAAAAAAAAAAAAAAAGTACTCCCCTCTCCACTCCACTTTTATTCATATTGTAATACATAGACAAAAACCCCCTTCCACTTTTTAATACCTTGTATCAAATAAAACTAAAAATTCGTTTATTTCTTACATAAATGTATATGCTTTTTTGAGCGGCAGGGTATAGTACAAGGATGAAGTGTAGAGTGGGATATCGTGCGAAACTTTTTTGTTCTTCTAACACGTCTATAGGGTCATAATTAAAAATGAAGGCTTATGCAACCTCAAAAATTGAAGAATAAAACCCACCACGTTCATACACTGGATTTAGAGACAGATGTTGGAATGGAGTGGATTGCTTATCGTGATAATATCCTTCCACATACCCATCGGCCCGTCGCATTGATACATAGTAGAATCCAGCAATTGTCAATCCGCTTGTCCGCTCACTCACATTTACAAAGCATTTTTCTTGAAAAAAAGATATAAAATAAAAAACGGTTTGTCAATAATCAATCACTGGTATTTCTGACATTCACAGATATATATTTCTTTTTTTCTTCTTCTTTCCTTTCATAGAATTACCTTTCCATCGCATCAAAATGTATTTCTGGTCAATATGTCCACGGAATTTCCCTGACTTGGCTCCTTTTGCAATATGTTTTTCATCCATGCCTTGAAAGGCTTCTAATCGCTTCCAGTGATCCAGATCTGTTTTTGTCCCGGCTGCCCATTTCTTTGTCCAAAGTGTATAGTTCTCAAAATCAATGACCTATTTCCCCAAATAATAAAATAATATTAAAAAGAGTATCTGTTAAGACAAAGGGCTTTTTTCAGCGATACTAAAACTATACGATATACTATATGTAAACCATTCTGGATAGCATCTAATACCTCTCCTTCCCAGGAAGTAACGACACTCGAAGTGGACATGGGCACATCCATGGCCTCCATAAGTCCATAAACCACCCCTGCATTGTAGTCCACTGCACTGATTGACTGTATTTGTATATCGCACATGAAAAAAAAAGAAGATTAATTTACTTCAGCAAGTGTTACTGAAGGAATTTATAAATAAAAAAAACTTTACCACTTTCACATCCCACTCTTCAAACTGCCGAGATCGTTGTCCGTTAAGTGTGCTCATCTGAGTTTTCAAATTCTGAGTCCCTTTGAATTTTTGTCCTGCTCGTAAGAAGCAGCATGGTCTTCTTAAATAATTCGATCTGGGTACTTTGTAAAGACTAACTGAATCAGGCTTATCCTCAGCTGCAGCCTCAAAAGCTTCATCATCAATTCCATAGACTTTTGGCATAAATACTGTTGTTGCGAATGAAGGCAACGATGTGATATGAGAAGATGAGATTGGACGACGACGATAGCGTCTAGATCCTCGATCGTTGACATCATTACTCCTGCCATCGCTAGTGTGTTTATCGGCTGTCAATACCGACGCTGGTGCCGATGTCAATGCCGATGTTGCTATCGTGGCTACAGAAAAATGCGTTGAGGAGCATGGTGATGTAGAAAAAATATGTCCTCGGCCCTCATGGGCATCATCTGTTCGTCGCTTCTGGGTTTTTTCCTGATTGTCTCCGGCAATGGCAGTATCCGTTTCCATAGCTGATGGCCCTACAGTTGCTATTGTGGACTCTGGACCGTCGTCGCCATTTGTAGGTTTGTGTGCCAAAAGCGAATGCGCTTGCTCTGGGATAAGAGAGATCATTCCAGAAGAGGAAGCCGAGGAAACTGAGGAGGATGTAGGAGGCGATAAATTAGGGGCCGTGAGAGGATAAGGTAGCGTGATTTGATTTTGCGCGTTACTATTACTATTACTACTATTGCTATTGTTGTTACTGTTGCTGGCTACATTGGCTGGGCTATAATTCCTGTGAGTGGCAGGCAGACCATAATCGGTGGTCATAGTAGAATCATGGAGAGGATGACGAGAGTGCTGAAAACGACCCCCAGGATCAACACCCCAGAGCGGTGAAGCATTATGTGGGAGAGTATAGCTGTGAGAGGTCCTTGCTATATGCGAAGCTCGGCTGTAACTAATTACTGATTGAAGGTGTAAATGATCAAGTCCAGTAGCAAGGGGGTTTGCATGTCTTTCTCTTTCCATTCTATGATCACTATTATTACTACCACTTTCACCATTTCTGAAAGTGCTGCTATTGTTGATATTGCTGCTATTGTTGATATTGCTGCTATTGTTGATATTGCTGCTATTGTTGATAGGGGTGGCGGGCCCACCACGAACCACGCTATCGTCTTGACTGATATCCATCTCTCCATGGTAGCTGTTCAGATGAATATCATCATTCCTAAAATTAGACTGCTGTGGCGAGAGATTCCAGTTTTGGGAGCTGGTCTGGCCCTGCAAGGGTGTTCTGGTGGTCCTGTAACTAGTGTATTCTAATGGCGCTCTATCCCCGGATTGTGAAGGAGAATCAGGTGAGATGGCTCGGGTCCATAAGGTTGTAGGCTCTGGAGAGAACATGACCCGTGCCGCAGTGGTAGTGGCTGTAGGCAGTTCTCTATTGAGTTGGGTGGTTCTATCAGACGATACCACAGCGGTGGCATGGTCTGCAGGATGCGTATTGGAGCCAGTATGGTGCTCAGAAACAGGGGCGGTGCGTCTGTTGCTGAAGTCCGTATCCTCACCTGCCGAAGATGTTGATGATGAAATTCCAGATAAGAAAATAATAGGTGTGGAACCTGGACTTGATTCCAAGATCTCCTGGACTCTACTCAAGTCAAGATATATGCTCCGCCTCCGTCTTGTAGCAGCAGCGGCAGTAGGCCCCTCTGACATGTCTGTATCGTTATCCCGTTCCTCGTCATCATCATCATCCGCATCACCTTCGACGCCTTCACTATAGTCGCCTCCAAGGTGCCAATGTGCTGTCAAATCCCACCGCCCTGCAAGTGGCATTTCATAGTCTGAGTGGTCTGCTGATTCCATTCCTCCCCTGTATACATCCCGTTGGAGGTCCAGATCTGACAAACTTGAATAATCTGATGAAGAAGCATCCATATCTGATATCTCACGAGCTCCCGAGTCAAGTATAGAGAGTACACGGTATTGTTGATGTTGGTGGGGGAACCGTCTGTTCGACAGTTGTAAAGCTGGCATAGCGGTCTCGCTGTTAGAGTTGCTGTCTGGGTCTTCTTGCTCCCTCAGACTTGACATACCGTGTGGAAGGGGATTGAATTAAATATGGTAATGGCAGCAAAGTCGAAGAGAAGGTTGAGATAAAGATATTAAGAATCTGGCTCTATTTATGACCGCGGGAAATGAAGTGTATCGAGACTCAAGAAAAAGGCGAGTGAGAGTATGACTGAGCGTGGGCGCTTTTCAGGTTATGACTTGGGCGAAGAGAAAGAAAAAGCTTGTATCTCCAGACAAATTTCTTTGAGTAGAACAAGATGTCCACGGGCGGTCACGCTGTTGCCCCTCGTGACGTGCATAGCATCCAAAGATCATGTCGCTCCTCATTCTCATTTTCTGTCTCAACAGAGACAATGGAATGGATGATGTCCCTGCATACGAACTTGTGTTCCTGAATGAACTCCACGACAGGCTAAAACTACTCAACCCATGGTACACTACCAGTGCTGGCCTCTTCAGGGTCCTTGGCCGGTAAAATCGATATTTGTAAACCCATTTAAGGCTTTTATTCCACTCCTTCATCCCCAAGTCATGTTCTAACCTTTATCATTCTTCCTCTCTAAAATGTTGATTAGTTTATCCACATATGATTTAGATAATCAAGTCGTTATAGTTGAGTCTTGCTTCCATCATCAGCATACTCCACTGAGAACAACTGAAGCAGCAATGATAACAACGACAGTAGAGGCCAATGGAAACAGACCGAAAACGCCCTTCGGACTCGGATCAAGCACTGAGGACCCAGTTCAGCCAATCAAAAGTTGCACGATTGACCTGACCTTAGGTGACGAAGAAGAAGGGAAAGAGGGAGGTGACGGAAGCGAAGATTCAGAGTCAACGGCGGTAAATAATAGTGGATACATCGATCTGACGTGTACCACAGATGACGAATCTTGTAATGGGGATGAGAACGACAGTAACAGCGATGCACTGACGTCATTTATTGCCGTGTCTCAAGTATGTGAGAACAAAGAGAAGGGGGCCGGGAAGCGGAAGCTACTGTCATCATCTGTATTTCCTTCGTTAACAGGATCACCGCCTCAGCCAAGAAGACGCTGCTCTGAACAACAGAAAATGAGAGCACCTAAGGTTGCTCTTTGGGTCAGCACAGAGTTGTTATCACCAGGGCAATGGCGATTTGAGCCGGGAGTGATCTTTCAATTTATTGGAGAGATTGAGTACAGGTCAGGGCATTGGGTCTTGGTTGCAAGGGCCTGTCGTAATATGGAAGGGCTAGATTTGTACACCTACAGAGAGTCTATCCTCTTGACTAGGAAGCTCATGCAACGAATGGCGCGTAGAGGAAGTGACTCTGATCATGAGTATCAATGCAGATATGCAGCTCATCATTAGAATTTTGTATTATCATTGATTATGAAATAAAGATCCATTCTTTAATAAAATAAAAATAAAATAAAGCAAAAAAAAAAAAAAAAAAAAAAAAAAAAAAAAAAAAAGCCTTGGAGTTCTGTGTATACTGAATGCTTCAAGTCTAATAAAATAAAATATCGTCCGTTATTAGAACAGCATTGACCGTAACCAAACAAAAAAAAAAAAAAAGATTGTTTAGACGAAAAGAGTATGAGATTTTCTTGAAATGATACCATGCTTAACAAAGAAGTAAATGTAGAAGTGTGTAAAGCAAACAAAGAAACCAGCTTTTTTCACTTTTTTCTGTGGCATAACGCAGGGTCCACTAAATGATTCCTTAGTAACAAAAATGAAGCTTGATCTTGATACAAAGAACATCAATACATTCTGCTCCGAAACCGCATTCTTACAAAATGGCACTTAAAAGGCCCGTCCCAAAAAAAAAAAAAAAAAAAAAAGAAAAGAAAAGGTAGTCGTGAATATATAATACATAATGGAGCATTGCTTTTGCACTTTTCCTTACCCGTTCTGTCTTATTGATCCCACCATACACAAAATGGATAACTGCTGTTTCCCGGATTTTCTCGATTTCAGTGAAATGGCATGCCCCAAACGCGAGTTCACCATCCCCGAAGATATCGAATTTGACCAATTTCTTAATGCTAGCTTACCATGCTCAAGCCTGCCAAACAGCCTTTCCTCATCCCGTTGCGCTTCAGTTGACTTTGATACTTCTCCGGAACCTTCAGTAGAATCGACCTCGTTTAGAACAAGTGTGGATTTAGGATTTGAACAAACTACGGAGAGAACCCCACCTTCTGTGCCAGGGGGGGATGTCCTTGCAGGTACAACTGCCATGACTGCATTCGATAGCCTGTTACAAAGTACTCTGTTCATAGAAGGAGGATACCAAATGGGTAGTACAGTCATAAAAGACAGTGGGGCTCTAGAACATCCTGTTACAAGCGCGTCAATTCCAGGCACGGATTTTGCCCCAAGTCAACTTCAATATTCCAATAATGCTCCAATTCCTGTATTAACCTCTGATTGTAAACATGGGCAACAATTTTTACTCTCTACTATGAAATCGTCCAAGTTCATACAAGACCACGAGGCGCCCGCTAATCTTGCTCATGTCTCGCTTTCCAGCGTTCTGGATAACAGTGGCCCATTCGCAGCTACCAGTTTGCCCTGTGTTACAGCACCTTGTCATTGGCTTGGAGCAGCGCCACTTCTCGCGCCGTCGTCGGACATACTTGCATTCTCTGATTGTATCGAGCAGCAGGCGTTATCGACCACACAGCTTCCCCTTCTGCTTCCACCACTACTTATGCCTTCACTTGTGACATCATCATCACCATTATCACCATCATCACCATCATCACAGGACATCCTCAGCGGACGAGCGCAGTCTATCTTTATCAATCCGTTCGAACCGTACACCTTGAGTGATAAAACTCTGCTGGACGACCTTAAGGCCAACGCCCCATATACTGAGAACCAGATGAATCCAGAGACAACAGCTATTGCAATGGCCAACAGTACTCTAAAACATCTGTCGACCCAAAATGACGCTTTCAGCTATAATAGTGGTATACAAGGACTATTCACAGACTTTTCCTATTCAAACATTCCTGCTAAGCATAATGGCCTCGAATCCGAACTAAGGTTTGTTCAAGAGTTCTTAACACCACCCCTTACCATGACCTCGTGGACGAGTTCAGATGAACCTGCTGCACAAGCTTTGGTGATACCAGAAACTGAGGCATCGGTACTAATGTTATATAGGCCAAATGAATTGAACCAAAATGGCCCATGTAATATTGGTCATGTTGGGTATATGTCACCACAAAGGATTAATAAGAATAGGACGAGCCTTAAGACGCGTAGTAATATTAATAGTAGGAAGCCATTTTCAATGAAAAAGATCACTGATTGCGCACATTACCGACCACGAAACGCTTTCTTCATGTTCCGCGGATTTGTATCTCGCCTGCAGCAATACAGCGGTCTCCATTACAATCTTCATAGACAGCAAAAGAAAGGCAACCATGATGATGATAGTCATAGCAATAACAAGAATGGTAGTGATGTCGCGCTAATGTCGTCCCCATGCTCGCCCTTGGCTTCGTCATCGCCCCCGACCTTTTCACTGCCACCGCAATCATTATCACCATCGTCCCCATCCTTGCCATTGCCAGCGCCTCCTCTTCAGTCTTTAGCTTCCGCAATACTCGATCCAGGAGAGAATATTCTCCCTCCTACAGCAGATACTTCATCAGACTTTAAAGAGACAGAGAGTGTTGGATGTGGTATGACTCAAACAAAGGTGTCCATCAGTTGTGGTAAGATTTGGTCCAGTGAATGCTTTGAGGCCTGTGGTCCGGGAGGATGTCCCAACTGCCGTATGCGATCCCTGTTCGGCCAAGCATCCTCATTTTTGAAGTTACGGCAAGCCGAAATAGAGCGACAGATCGAGTTTTCAGAGTCTATCACCACTGCTACTTTGCTTGAGAAAAACATCCCATTATTATCACCATCATCATTACCATCTACTACAAAGATGATGAACACGTCTATATCAGATAACGATAGTGAAAGCCAAAAGAATACGTATGTAGCGTTAACAGCGGGTCATTTAGCAATTATGTCGCTCGAGAACTCTTTCAATTGGGAAGAGTTTACACAATTGTACTACGAGAGTGATCTATTCAAATGGCATCGCAACCATTATTTGGGCACGAATGGAGTGTTAGATCTTGAGGCAATGAAACATGTTTGGATGGAGAATGAGCTGGCATATGAAAAAGCCTTTGTAGAAGGCGCCAGAAAACGAATTTTACAAGAAGGTGGATCCAAAAAATTAGGTCAAAGGATCCGCAGGACAAAATTAAAGTAACTATTTTTATGCAAATAGTAAATGTGATTGAAAAACGAAGCTAATCTAGACTATGAGGTGCTTGTTTTCTCTCTCACTCTCTCTACATGCGGTTATTGGGAACTTGCATGACACGTGTACGAAACCAAGCATTATTCATCACCCCCCGATAGTTCCAAATCGCATGCTCCGGCTGCGTATTTCCACTCGAGTCATCTATGTTCAGCATTCATAGTGTTAGTTGCTTTTTTTTTTCTAAGCCTATTAAAATCAAGTTTTTCACTTACATGCACGTGCAATGATCTCGGTAGAGTGGGGAATCTTAGACACAGTCTTCTCCCAGATGGCCCAAGTCCAGTACATACCGCTGTGTACTTCAGGGTTTTGTACCAGTTTGCTCGCTGGTTCCCATGTCTTGCCACTATCTACAGACACCTCAACTCTGTATATACTTCTTCCGCCGCCTGTAAACAATATTTATTTTAGACTTTTTTTTTTTTTTTTTTTTTTTTTTTTTAAAAAAAAAAGAAGTAAAGACAAATAGAACAACCTTACCAGATATGGCATAACCCTTGATGGTTACTGCTTCTGTGGAAGGAATAACTTCATTCTCTGTTGGAGTACATATCACACATTGAACATTCATTTCTGTGAGAGAGGCAGCCGTGTCCCAAGATTCTTCTACATTCGTATGGTCGATCTGTCGAATAACCGAATGAAGATAAATAATAATAAAAAGTTAATGACAGTTATTAATATGATATTAGTCAAATTTAGCATGGCATCTCGATCGTACTGTTGGATCAAGAATCTTGTAATCGCGTCTCTATTATATTTTCAATAGAAAAAGAAAAGTAAAAATTCAAAATTAAATCTTTGTTTTTTTTTTTACATTCGAAATAATTTTGTTTTGTGTTACAGCTCATATTTACTTGAAAGAATGAGGTTGATTCTTGAGGCTGAATAACTATTTTTTGCAAGTATTTGACAGATCGCGCTCCAATATACCCAGGGACGATTACTCTAATAGGAAATCCATGTTCCCGCGTTAATGGTTTGCCATTCATCTACACGAGAAGATAGCCAGATGATCAGTAGTATGATAGATATATGTGTTAGGTAGACTCAGTGAGCGACAGAAAACAAGAGTTCACATGTAAAAGATACCTCATATGCTAATATAACATCTCCCATCGGATCCCTAAATGTAGCATTATGGCGTTGTGGTGTGTGCAGAAGGAAGATTAGAGTTGTGCTCGCACAGATATCAATTTTTTTTTTTTTTTTTTTTTGCGTCATCTTCGAATGGATTACTTACATTGCTTTTCTAAGTGGGATTGAGCTGCCGTAGCAAACATCCTCGTGAACATGGTCATTTGCTTCAAAGCAGACATGGTAGTCGCGAATCATTTTGTTATGATGTTCTGCAGATATTCCCGCAACATCATTCAAAATGTCACATAGTTGTGCACCAGACCAGATAGCCTAATTGACGTGATTTTTCGATCGAAATTTTTGTCCACATCAATCTCAAAAGAAATGACGCCTTTGCGCAGTTGAGTAGATCTTCTTTAATATATGGATCTTACAGTAGAGACGGCTGCTGATTTCCAGATAACTCCTTTAACCTCTTTGACAGCTGCAAGTCCATCACGTCGATTACCCGCACACTGTAACGTTGCTGTGACTGTAACCTTTGGCCACCGAGTCATGATGTCATTCATTGAAAGAGACTGCCAATTGATACCTTGATGTCGTTCCCCATCCTGTAAACCGATATAGACCCTATGTTGAATCTGTGAAATATCTGGGATAGGCCCATGATTGCGTTTGAAAAAAATTTCTGTAGGTGTGATCTCCCCAGCGTTAATAAGAGCTGGTAAAGAAGGCTCTGCATTGAATGGCTTGTCACAGTGGACTAGTAAATTGGATTGATCCCATGTAGGCTCATGTGAATAGTCAAGCTGATCTTCAGGTATTCGGATCTTTTCTGGAGGCACCACGGTATGATCACTACGGCTTTCATGACACTGATACGATGGTGGGTGCATCAAGATAGATGACTAGATAACACACTTTATTGATAGTCGTTGTTTTAGGTGCTTGTGAGAAAGCAATGGCCAGGTAGTTTGGAATGAAATGGTTAAGTGAATGAGCCTTGGAAACTTTCGCACAGTGCTACGCCCATTTCCATGAGGCTATGTCACGTGCATTTCCAAAAATATGTGGTTTGACCAAGCCACTTCACGTTAAAAATCAGGTGATGACGAAATTTTTTGTTCTTCTCTTCAAATCCTGACCCGTGACACCCGCCCCACTGACACGCCGACAGAACACACCCCAACACAAAAAAGAAGTAAGTGACAACATGCCATGGACAGCTCCATCTCTCTCATGCAGCTTCTCTTGTCTCTTGCAAAAGATGTCCTTTGATGGACATTTGGGCTCGTTGAAGCCTGAAGCTCAGACAGGGCTAAATTGGAAGGTTGACATCAGCATCGTCAATGTCATCATCCTGATGAGCTTGCTCATGGATGAGTACAGTTCAATGTTGACTAAATAAAAGTGTGCGAGAGAAAATGAGCTGCGCATGAAGCAGAAAAAAAAACTATAAAAAGCTCTTAGACGCGACTTGCCTATCTTGGCAATCTAACATTGATTTGGGATATCCTTCACCAAATGGATGTTGTTGTCTTTCACCGACCATAGTATAACCGCTATGACATCGTCATCCGATATTCCTGTCCAGGAGTTGTTAAACAATCTGGTAAGTGGCACAAAGTGAAGAGCCTAATTTTACACCTACAATCCTGTGGGAGAGATAAGCGGAGGCACCTTGTAGAAAAAAAAAATTGACGTGATAAACATATGTCAATAATATTCTGGGTGGGGTGCCTCTTATCCTTGGGCCACTGATAGACAAAGACGATCAAAAGCGAAGGTATCGAGAAGATTGACATTGAAGAGACCCTATCTGCTGTCATTGCTCAACAAACTGCTGCCCAGGTAGCTCAGGCTCAGGCTCAAGCCCAGGCTCGAGCCGAGGAAGCTCAAGCTCAACTTCAAGCTCAGGCACAGGCACAGGTGTCCATGGAAACACGAGTCAATCAAGCCCAGGAAGAGCATAATCAACAGCAAATCAACCAGAAAGAGCTTGATCGCATTGCATTGGAGCATCAACAAGCGCAACAACAGCTAGAAAAGACATCTGGCCAACGAGAGGACTCACAGGAAGCTTTGGCACAAAACAAGCCTGATCAACCAGCCATCTCAGGAGAGAGCACCGCTACCATTATTCACGTCAATGCTCTAGATGGTGATAACGGCAGTACTTTAGCTACGGTCCCTATAACTACATCAAGGTGTGAAAAACTGAGTTCTGGATGAAGAGGAAAACGAGAAAGCGTTTATGATTAACAAAAAACTAATTTTTAAATCCAACAGTCCTGCACCGTCTGTAGCAAAGCCCGCAGCGGGAACCCCAGAGTGGCACAAGCTGCGTCGTGACAATCACAAAGAGGTAGAACGCCGACGTCGCGAGACGATCAATGCCGGTATCAATGACTTGGCTGCATGCATCCCCAATCCAGACAAGAACAAGGGCGCAATCTTGCGCCAAGCTGCTAAATACATCCATTCGATACAGGAAATCCATCAGAAGCTCCTCGCAGAAAAAGAAGCCCTAGCAAACATCGGTTTTGAATATGATCGTGCGCTGTTGGAGAAGAACATGGCACAGAATGAACTTCAGAGATTGATTACAGAGCATGACCAACTTAAGCGCGATTATGAGGCTCTGAAGAAGGAGTTCGAGACCAAAGAAAATGAGTCCAAGAAGAGACAGAGATCAGAATAGAGTGCCGCGGAATATGCGTTATTTGACTTTAGTAGGAGCAAAAAAAAATCCCTTCCTCGTTGGATATACACTAAATACATTCATAGTCTAGGCTTAAATGACACAGAAAAAAAACGACTGTACTCATCTCCATCAATGCGATATTCCGCAGTAATTACTTTTCAACTTGACTAGACAGAGTAAAATCGTTTCTGTAGCACGATGTAGGAGGGCAAATGGAATGTTCTTCACCTTGAATGGGGCGTTGTAATATAAATTTTGGATAGCTGCCACCAATTATGAGCTTGGCATTGCACAAATGAGAACAAGTTCCTGAAAAAGTTTTGCCACAGCCTTTTCATAAGAGAAATAAAAACGAGTACTCAATAAAATAGTAAAAACAGTCGTACTTCTGTACTTCTGGCCTATGTGGTTCCAGGGACGCTAGCCTAGTCTACAAAAGCTTCGCCTCATCTTGTCTTTTCTCTTTTTTTATTTTTATTTTTTTATTCACTCATCATTCCAACAATCCCAGCATCACATTCAATCCTTCTTCTGTTTTACAGCACTGGTAGCGGTTTGAAATCATTCGAAAACGCCGATGTTACCCTACTCGAGGGTTTAGAACATTTTGGCTGTGAATATCTCTTATTCAGCTTTTTAAACCAACTACATTAATCCCCCACGCACTGTTCTGAAAAGTACACAATGTTCTCTTTACCACGATCGCCCATCCTCAGATTGCTCATTCTTCTTTTTGCTGCACTCATTGTGTTTGCATTAATTCTGCGCAAAAAGGACCTGTCGCAACAAAACTATTTTGATTGGAGACAACAGTGGCAACAACAGCAAAATCAAGAAGCGCAAAGACAACAGCAGCGTATACCACTTCCAGCAGAGGGTTCAAAGGAGCGTGTACCATTGAGCACATTCCAGGTATGCATTTAAGAAAGGCTAGCATGATCAGCGATGTTGTCCTTCCCCCTTTTTTTTTTTTTTTTTGCAAAATATCAGAAATGATTGTGTTCCCAGGCATTAATTTATTTGTGATATCAATCGTAGGTCCCAGAAAGTCTGCACTTGACACACGATGTAGCAATTCCTCATCCTATTCCACCATGGACTACAGCTGATACAGAGATGCTGGGAACTACGCTTGGATTCACACTCAAGACTGAAATGCTGAAGCCAGAATACCTACCGGGGGAAGACCTGAATGGCAAACCTGAACGTATCAACTTTCCTGAATTGAGTCGTACAGAGCGTCTCTACAAAGCACTCTGGAACCACATCTACCCTCTTTATCAATCTTTGCCAGGAGGGAATGACCGTGAAAAGGATAAACAGCTAATTGCTATGGCGAAGACAAGACCCGAGATTGACTTCTTTTTGAAACTGGAAAAGAGACTCTATCCATGGGTCCAATATGGTCGAGTGTCGTCTTTCTCACTTCATAGGACATACAAGGGCAGAGGGATTGTGTACTGTGCAGGCAATGGGCAGTTCGAGTTTGTGGTTACATCTATTCAGGCGATTAGAAGCAGGCTCAAATCAACCCTACCTATCCAAGTCTTTTATATAGGAGATGGCGATTTATCAGAAGAACGCCGGAAATATCTAAGGGAAATGACATCCGATATAGAAGTGTTGGATGTGACACAGTTCTTAGATAATGATTATATGCAGCTCGCGGGATGGTCCATCAAACCTTTTGCGATGCTGGCTTCAAGCTTTGAAGAAGTCATGTTTGTCGATGCAGACGCCTACTTTTTGCAGGTATGAAGTAAACACGAGGAACGATTTTTTTATCCATGTCACGATCATAACAAAATAATAATAATAATAATAATAATTAATGTGATGGCTGATTGTGTAACAATAGGATCCTGCGGTTCTCTATAATGATCCAGGCTATCAGGCGACAGGTGCACTGTTCTTTTATGATAGGACACTCTTCCCTGATTGGCGTGACGGACCCAACTTTATCAAATCCATGCTCCCAATCATGTCCTCATTCCCACCAAAATCTCGTATGCTGAACCTTCTCTCAGCTCATGAGCAGGAGTCTGGCGTTGTATTGATCAACAAAAGGAAACGATTCACAGGATTGCTTGCCATTTGCAAAATGAATGGCAAATGGGAGCGTGATCTATACACATACAGGGTTTTCCATGGTGATAAAGGTAAAAAAAAAAAAAAACTATGCCAGATTTATTTCCGCTATTTCAGTATGACTAGTTTGACTATTTTTTTCAGCTCGTTCATGAAAAACTGACCTCCCTTTTTTGGTTCACTCCTAACTTTGTGCTCGAGCAGAAAGCTTTTGGATTGGCATGGAAATGGTTCAGGAGCCTTATACATTCATGCGCACCTATGGTAGTGCCATTGGAGAGCTTCGACCTGACAATGACAAATCCGTCTGTGGAGCACAACTGCACTTGGACCACTTGGGCCGACCGTTATGGTGGAATGGTGGATTGTACAGAAATAAGAATGCAAACGTGAACAGGAATCTGGATTTTGGATACTGGATGAGTGGTGGAGGACATCAGAAGCACAGAGAATATTTCACACGAGACAAAGAGACCATGATCAAGGTTTTAATAGAGGAGGGTCTTAGTTCGAGTGACCAGCTGAAGCTAGAGCCCAGGGATGGGGATTGGGACTTTCAAGAAAGTTGCTTGGCAGGTGCGCCGGTGCAGAAGCTCACAGAAAGAGAAAAGACTTTGGCAAATGGCTACATCCAAATTGATAACATTGCAAGAGCGGATGGCCAAAAGTTGATAAGGGGTGAACGTCCAGATCCCAAGGCGCACAATTGGGAGACAGCAACTGCCTGATTTGGATTAGATCAGACTTACCAGAAGTAGAATAAATTATTTATTTAAGACCTTTTTTTTTTTGCACATTTACATTTACTCTCATCATTGCATACCACCATGACAATTTCTGCTCATCGCGAAAAGGGCCATATTGCAGTTGCAAAGACTCGTAGTAAAGTGCCTGTTAAATTGTACTATGAAAAGACAGGTAACGGCCCAAAGAAGCTTCTGCTCATTATGGGCCTCAATTCCCCTGGAAATGCATGGGAGCCTGTTGTAAGTTTCTGCATTACTGCTAAAATTCTTGCCATTCATGTCTATTGCGGTCCGGCTGAAATAATAATTTTCTTTTAACTGTTAATAATTAATTTCTTTTTTTCAGGTCGAGCACTTTGCAAAGAATCCTGAATACACTACCGTTTTCTTTGATAACCGGGGTGTTGGCCATTCTGATGCTCCCAGAGGTCTCTATGCGTAAGTCTTTTTTTTTTATCCATTTCGACTTGAGGTTTAAGACCATGTGACTAACGTTTTTGTCTCATTAAATATGAAAAAAAATGAAAACTAGAACGTCGCAAATGGCTCAAGATACCATTGATCTTATGGATGCCCTTGGATGGACTCAAGGCGTACATGTTGCTGGAGTCTCGATGGGAGGCATGATCGCGCTCGAGTTAGTCTTGGCGGATCCCAAACGTTTCTCTTCTTTGTTGCTTACGTCTACCAACGCAGGTCGATCACCTCCTCAGTTGGTGACAGTCTCTTTTCTTTCTCGAGTGGTCCTGCTCAGAGAGCCACACGCACGCATCAAGCTAATTTGCGAGACTCTTTATCCAACTGTAAGCAAAATTTTGTTTTCTTTGGCATGCTTTTTTTCCCATGATTTTCACCGGCTTCACGTGTTGCTCGGTTGGATATCCTCTCCTTTTCAACAATACTAAAACTTTTCAAAAACCCATCCATCTTTTGCGGCGTGATATTGATATCCTTAGAAATGGTTAGATTCGCCAGCTCCTAAAGACTCTGGCTATAAGACTAACCGTGAGATGTCAGCAGCAGTAAGTTCAGTTACCTCATTTTAATGTTCTGAAATGAAAGACTCTGGCTGAATATTTACCCATCAAGTTTCACCTGTGTCGTATCTGACTTTTTTATTTTTTATTTTATTTTATTTTATTTTATTTTACAAAGAGTTTGAAGAGGCGTTTTGCAAACACACCAGTGCAGCCTATCCATGGCAACATTGCTCAGTGCTGGGCGGCTCTCTTCCATCATGTGAATGCGAAACGGTTAGCGCAGATTCGTGAATCGGGTTTACCTGTTCTTGTGGTCACAGGCACAGAGGACAACTTTGTCAGACCTTCAGGATCATACCATCTGGCCAAGGAGATTGGCGCTCCTTTAGTGGTATTTGAAGGCTCAGGACATGCTCTTCCAATGGAACAGACCGAAACATACTGCAAATTCATCGAAGAGCTGGTGGATAACGGCAAGAATGGTGCCTTTGAGTTGGCCAAGGGGCAAGCCCTGTAATTAACGATAAGAATAATAAAAATATATCCTTTAAAAAAGAAAGATGTGGATGGCTTTATTATATACTATTTCTTTATTATACATGTCATTATGGATACACAAGGTATATTTTTAAAAATTCGCAAGGAACTTTGTCACTTGCCAATGAGCCGCAGTTTTGACTTCAAGCTCTTCTTTGGTTGGAGAGGATCTCGATGCAAAGATGATGGATCATCGCCACAGCAAGGGTGGTCCCACGGTCGACTCGCTAGAGCAACTGGCAGGATCCAGATCGCAGAGATGACTACACCCTTTCCCAAGTCTTCAGACTTAATAGCAGTCCACTGATATTCAACCCAAGAAGCGATGATATTGGCAATAGGGACAAGAACACTTAATGCCGGAATGCCAGCGATAGCACTCGTAAGGATATTAAAGAAGATTTGACTGGTATTGGAGACATGTTGAATAGTGATCATGCACTTGTGGGGAACATAGATCTCGAATCCCCACCAATAAGTGAAGGCGCTGACGGTACTGGTTGGAGGTGAGCCGAGCTGCAAGGCGAGAAGTTGGCGTGAAAATGAATTGATAGTCGCCACCAACGAGATTGGCGAAGATGCAGTAGCAGCGGCAGCAGCAACTGTTGTTGTTGTGGAAGAGGTGTTTTTAGAAGTGTTGGTTACTTTACAACCATCTGGGGTAGACTTTGATGTATGAAGCAGTGCTTTAAGTGGGCTTGTCTTGAGGTTAGGCATAGAGGATTGACGATGGAGGCCTGATGATGCCTTGGCGTTGGCATCTGCTTGGAGTTCCTTGGGTTTTGAGACAGCGGCTATTGCTAGAAGAGCAGCTGCAGCGAGAGCAATCTGCTCACCTGTGGAGAGGCCTTTCTTAATAGGCAGTGGAGGTGTAGGTTTGCTGGATTTTGTAATGAACCGAAGAGATCCGTATCCAGTTGAGTTTGTAGAGCTCTTTTTATCATCCTTAGAAGTGATAGTAGCTGTAGCCGTAGCTGTAGCCGTAGCTGTAGTAGCTGCAGGGATTGGCGATGAGGGAGTAGAAGTTGAGAACCACCATGCAGGCGATGTGATGCCGATACAGGACTGAGGATCGACCACACCTGTGGTTTGATCGTTACTCTTTTGAACTTCCCACGCCCACTTTTTATCAATCTTGTCCCATTCTTCCAATTCCTTGTCGAGATCGAGAGATTCTTGTGTCTTTTTCTTTTTCTTGCTATTGTTGGTATTATTGTTTTGATTATTCTCTTGTTTCGTTGTGGCGTTCTTATTGCCTGGTGTTGGTGCTGTTGCCGTCGTTGTTGTAGGAGCCATTGTGGTTGGGTCTGGCATAGCCTTCAAGAGAGCAATCACTTCATTGACCTTAGCAGGATCTGCATTTTGTAGCGCTTTGATAACTTTTTTCTTTTCGCGATTGTCTACAAGAGCTTCATGGTCAGCGCCCTGGAAGAATGTGTGGAGTGTGGGCGAGGATGTGGGCGCGGCCGTAGAAGATGTCAAGGAGTTAAACGCCGAGATGAGTCCTGCAAGGAAGAGAGGATATGGTGTAGATGCTGGCTTTCCATCCAGAGCAGGCAAGGAGGCAGATCTATGGTGCTGGTGCTGTTGCTGTTGTGAAAAGACATCTACTGCAGTCGGTCTTTTCCTCAGCGTGCTTGATGGTTCAGTGACCTTGACTGTCTTGTACTTTAGTGTTAAGATCGTTGACATGTTGATAAAGAGCAGAAGTTTTAAAGAAAAGTGAAGGGACGTGTTCTGCTTTTGTTATATTTATAGTACGTCTTCCCAGTTTCAAAATTGGGAAATTGCGCTGCTACTTTCCCGAGCCTTGGTATGCATTTCTTAGTCTTTTCTTGTAATTTTACTTGCTTCAAGGCCCCTTGTTTTTTTTCTTTTCTTTTTGTTATTACTGCATATCTGGGAAGAGGTGTGAAGTGATAGTGAGGCCACATGGTTAATTTTTTTCCATTTTAATTGCTCCCACAAACAGTGAGTGGCGAAGAAAGAAGTCCAGAGTACTTTCAATGAGTCAGAGAGAGTGAAGAACAGGTTGTCTCTTGTTCGAATTCATTGACCTACAACCATAGCATAGCAGAATAGAGCGTTGGGTCACAGGTCTTCTTTACTCTAATTTATTTACCGTCTCATTCTCAATCTCATGCATGTACTTACCCAGACAAAAGAGTATTGAGTCCAAATGAAAATGAATAAAGGAGATAGTGGTTATATCTCAGGCTATCATGAGGACGACGATGTGGAATGACTCCCAGCTGTTCAGAAAGAAGCGTCATAAAATGCCTACTCCTCAACACTATCTTATTAATACTAAGGCTATCATCTGTCTTGGTTGTTTGTGTTGTCGCATGCCTTTTTTATTTGTGTAGCTTGCTTCATTCTCCACCCCTACACTTTATTGGCCCTGTGTTGAGTCCTGCATCATCTGCATGCCGTATTTTGCGCTGTACAATGAATAAAGATTTTGACTTAATACATCCCATACAAAAGCATCCTAGTATGCATCACCGTAATTTTTTTTTTCTGAGCCATCTTTGAGCACCAGAGTCGTGTTTATTGTGAGTAAAAAGTCCTCATTATAGATTCTAAGGGTCTCCATCCGATATAGGCCTCCATATCAGCCTTATTAGGAATACCGTCATGATGGTAAGCGACCAACAGTGATGTCTTTTTCTTTCATAACAAGGCTCTCTAGGTCATGGAATTCCTCAACAGCGATGCCTTCTCGCATGCTGTAGCGCAAATTTCAAACACTGCACATGTTATTGACGTTATGTGAAACAGTGTCCTTTGAACCAGGACCATACATGTGTAATCTTATGAAATAAAGCTAAAATCTGCTCTGCTACCAAGCGGATCTGCATCTTCCTGATAGTGAACCTGGAGAGTACGTAACAAAAAAGGGGTGAGTATAAGGCGGGACAGAAATGGCCCTGTCTTGAAGGATAATAAGCTTAAGTCGTCATGACATTCGACTTGGCCAGCTAATGAGGAAGGTGACCGTAGTACTTGTGGCAAAAAAACACCAGCTTTTTTTTGTTCTTTCATTTCATTTTTTTTATATCACAGAGGTATGACCGACGTCGACCAAAGGAGTGGATGACGCTCTTTTACTCTTTGTTTTTACAGGCACGATAACCCGGGTTGTATTTGCTTAAGCGCCCTTCGTCCTTGCATTTTTTTCCCATATCCCCTTGAAAACATGAAGAAAGGTCCAATAAAACGATAATGAGAGCACGGATGACCATGTAAACAAATCTCATTTTCCTTATCTTTCAAAGAGCTCAAAAGAGTCAATGCACTGCAACAACAGCATTTTGGAGTTAACCACCAATGGGCATGAGGCTGCCTTTGCAAGCAGGAGCCTATAAGCATTTCCCAAACCTGTCGGATTAATTAATGAGTACTTTAACATATTTGTTGCTGTAACTATGGTTTCGTACATGTATAAAGTTATTTCATAAAAAGGCGGGTGGATGGATGATGCCTGTTGTTTTTCCTTTAGAGGAACCAAAATGGCACAAGTTTTTCATTATTAGAGTTAATATGAAGACAAAATATGGTTTTGTATACAAGAACGCGTTACTGCACACGCGATTTCCAGCATCCAATGAAACTCTTTGGACGCCCCATCGAACAATTGACTAAGATTCTGTTCCTGCATGTACAAGAAAACAAACTGGAGCTTTGGCTGTGCTCATTTGCAACCACACTCATCAACTCATGCATGTAAAAGAGCAAATATATATATATAAGAGGTTGTTCTAGTTGGTTCTAAGATCTTGTTCTATTTCGTCCTTCTCCTTCATGCTCGTCATTGATCGTTAAAGCTTTACCTTCCTTTAATTTTCCCCCTATCCATAAATTGCCACCATGCTTGAGGTCTACACAAAGCTTAGCTGAGGTACTGTCCTGCGCTACATCTCCTTAGCTGCTCTCTAATCTATCTTTTTTTTTTTTTTTTTTTTTTTTTTTGCAAGTGTGGAATTAATGCCACGTTTATATTGAAGCATTAACTTTTTTTCCTCGTATCTTTTCCTCTCCTCCTTTCCACGCTCTCGCCCACGCGCCGCGTGCTACTGCATCTCCTGCTTCTCTCCTTTTTTTTTTTTTTTTTTTTTTTTTTTTGGATAAGAACGCGCTTATTACACATGGAGGCCTATTCTCCATTCTTACCCAGATCGGTCATCATTTCATCTTCCTTCTGCCCCTTTTTGGAGCTCGACCTGCAGACAATTTATCCCATCCTATCCTGGAGAGCCAGGAAAAGACTAACAAGAAACCACGCGAAAAAAAAAAATAAACAAACGTTGCCTTCTTTTCTTAACCTATTGCCTATTGTCTCCTTTCTTGCCCTTTTTTCATGGAGATTTTTCTAATACCTTTCATCTTGCCCCCTCTCCGCTCCTTGCTTCTCATCCTTTCTTTCCCCTGCCCAGCTTGTCTTTTTTCCTTTTTAAATGGTATTTTAGAGATCATTGCAAATACAATCTCTTTCCCCCATACTTTGGTCTTACTGCATTGAAGTAACAGCGAGAGAGCTATTTCAATTATTTGGTATGAGATTCCCTGGCTTACTTGTCTACTTCTTTTCTTCTTTCCTTTCAAACGATTGCCTCAATACCACCGTATTGCCCTTCAATTCTCTGCTTCATCGCTTTCTCATTCCGGACAGTCTGTCTCATGTACATTGCGTCTCCATTTCCTTTCATTTAGTAATTCATTGTTACACCCTCGTTCATGAGTTGAGCTACATAATTTTTAATTTCTATTTGATTCATATTAACAAACTTAACGAGCTGATCGTTCCTGTTCTTGTGTCACTCATCACTAAAGACTAAAGCACCTGGAACCACTTTTCGGACTTCACGCGCCTTTTTATTTCCTCCTTCTCCTTTACGGGTAATGCCTGGCATACTCATCGATCTCCTCTGCTTTGGTTGCAGAGCATTCATTCATTCATTTCCTTTATCTTTATCTTTATTCTATACATCAGCAACCAACTACTTTCTGGTCCCTTTCGATCTACTGAATGGTTAATTCTGAGACTGAACAACTTTGGAAGACCCAAGATGCAAAGGCTGGTCTACAAGTGAGTTCTATACAAGATGGTCCTTCAGCTGCGGACACGAAGCTCTCAGAACCACCACGATTGTCCTGGTTACCTTTGGGTACTGTAGGGTATAATGCGTACGACAAAGAATTGGAGAATCTGGATGATCTGCAAGGCACCGCTGCCATGGCGCTGACAGCTCTATCATCAGGCATGGGAACAGCCCCGAGGCATGGGTCCGGATTAACAATGATTAAAGATGGGACATATTATGATGATATTCAACAAGATCAGAGCATAGTGACAGCGACACCAGAATGGAATTCCGTCAAATTATCGCAGGATGTTAATACAGTAACATCTATGGTCACAACATCGTCCCCAGCACCTCATTCCACGAGTGTAGCCTTAATGGTTCACGACGAACAGGGGCCCCGATCAGCTTCAGATCGTGAGAAGGCGAGTGCGGCGTCAGTCCCAAAAGCGCGCTCAGGAGACGTAGAAATAATAGCAGCGGCAGAAACACAGGTTGACTTTATTCCAATAGCGGGATCAATCCAGCCCAAGGAACATGATTTTAATCCTGCAACAACATCAGCGATGACAGCATACGCATCATCACCGCCGCCACCGATTGCCGTGGCGCCAACTTTCTCTAACGTCCCTAACGTGGCCATGTCATCACTTTCATCAAACATCTACGCGTCGGCGGTCCAAGCACCAGTAAAACGGACCCAATCTGTAAGTACAGTTATAAACTGGCTTTAAAAATTCGATTATTGAGTTGGGTTGCGCACCGAACTATGGCTCCTGACATTTTACTGAATTTTGTGCATCTTTACATGTGGTGTTTATGCAGCTATCGCATCTACTTGAGGATCGATTGTCGCTAGAACCAATGAAAGCAGGGCAGGTGAGAAAAATGTTTCATTCAGAACATGGATATTGGGCAGGCCATTCGTACAATGGCGGAGAACAAGTGAGTGTACGAACAGTGGATGAAAGATCACTCCAGGCCCAGATCAACAGTTCACGCACCAACCACCAACAGGACTTCCATAAAACATATTTGCATTCAACAAATATGGCTTACCACCAAAACGCTTCACCACTCAACCTCCGGCCTTTCACTAGGGGTGAGACTCAGTATGCTCAAGAATGGGACCTGGAGCGTCAGTCACAAAGACAGGAATCGTATCAACCATCCGTACAGCATGAGCAATCTCATCATTCAAAAGATATAGTCCTCACCCACCTGGTGCACCATTCTGCTCCTCTCGAAGCTGCAATCGTGAAACCGAAACGAAAGTACATTAAAAAACCATCGACTCTTCAGCTCATGGTGCAAACTTCCAGCCAAGCAAAAATCTCGCCTCTGGCAAAACAAGAGGATGACCCACTCTTGCAGTCTGACCGAGGATTAATCCTTAAGACTCAGATCCCAAAGAAAGGCAGGCCTATTTCGAAACATGCATCTACTTCTCAAGGCACGCCAGCAGTCCCCTCATTTGGAGCTACTCCCATGAGCCACTCCTCTTTTAATCCTAAAGCTAAAACCTCTGTGCCTGCCTCCGTCAATTCACCTAACACTAAGCAGCAGTTCGAGCTCAATTACCACTATCATCATCAGCAATCTCCCCCTATACCTGCTCTAGCTGGCGCTAAAATCCGTCTTCCTTCTGATGACTCTCATTTACTAGCTCCGTCTCCTGTTCGTTGCCGGCCAGGTCGACCGCCACTAGCCACAGTAGCTCGACATACACACTCTCAATCTCACTTAGGCCTACAGTCTGGCCTCCTTTCTATGTCTGATTCCGATTCTCATTTGCTATTGTCGAAACCATTCCCGACACCATCACCAGAAGATAGCGCTATTACCAGGCGCACAATAGCTAGCGATCATGATCCACACGATTGGCCACGGCCACCCCACAGTGCGCCATCGTCATTCTCTGCACAAAGAACACAGTGTTCTAGGCACAGTTATCCTAGTTCAGACAACCAGTATAACCATACCCTGGCTATCCAATACCATGATACACAGTCACTCATGGAGTCTGAACAATTACGAGGAGGTCGATTTATCCAAGAGCCCCATCAGAGCAGAGGTCCACCGTCATGGCAGCAACGTTCTTTTGGAGGAAAACCGATGCAGATGAACAGCCGAAAGAGAAATATTTACGGAGCAGAGAAGCAGCAGTTTATGAGCGAGCCATACAGTCCTGAAGATGAGAAAAGGGAGATGTGCTCCATCTATACCTTAGTTGATTATGACGAGAGTGGACGATTCAGGAAACGATCCTCAAGGTTGGATTTAAAGCCGCCAAACCCTGAATCAAACTTTCGAGAGCAAGATACTTTTCAAAGCTGGCCAAGCAATGACTCCAGCAAGCGACGTCCGCGACCTCAGTCGCTGGTGCTTCCTAGGACTTACAGTGACCCTTTGCACAGACAGTCGGCGATTACAATGGCACTAGAGAGAGGGTCAACGGAGCACTATATAAGTAAGGACATGGCAAGGATAGAAGACAGGGATCTGGCGATTTACGAATCACGAGTGCAGAGCTCACCTACTCTTCCTAGGCTATCATGCGCTCGGCTCCTTGGCGCTGATCGTTCGTCCCATACCAATGCACAGTCTTTGGATATTTCCATGCATCCACGTTTTGCTTCGAGTCAACCGTTGCGACAATATCAAGAACAGTATCCTTCCGGCCATGTTGTTCATTCCTTCCATGATATGCTTAATGAACAACTTGGCTACAGTCGCTCCAAAAGCTAGACTACCCATATTATCTCTCGCCCCCTTCCTGCTCTTACTTCTTCTGATCCGGCAAGGCTTCATCATTCAGTATCCAGAATTGGCAGCTGCGTGACGCTCTGTATCAACTGGTCCTTCTGTAATCCTCTATTCCGTAAAAAAAAGGTTTTCTCCTAGCATCCACAATACAGAGTCTGTTGATCTTATTACTCATTCTGCCACTCAATGGACTTTAATTATTACTTTGTATACTCTCTATAAAAGATATTATTCTGCTTTCTATCTCGTCTCACTTAATGCTTTTTATTTTTATTTATATATTTATTTGGAGAGAAGACATACGGTTACCTTCCCGCCACGCAGTTCGCTCGTTGTGTGGCCTTGGCTCATCACCATTGACAACTGGGGTGGTTGAGGCTGGTAGGTTTGTTCACGAGCGGTGATTTTCGTCGGTGGCATTTTTTTAAAAAAAGATTACTGTCTCCATTTATATTTTCTATTTACGCGTTTTCGCATCGCACTCGTTTTTAGGTTCGTCATCCTTTCTTTAATCGGCTGATATAACAATGACAGACATCAGCTCGGCGGCACGGACGCGAAATGTAGCCCTTATGATACACTAGCTCATAGTGTCGATGCTCTCCAAGGACAACTCTTCGAAAACATAGATTCCGTAACTAGTCAAGGGTCGGTGAATTTCCCTGTGATCGAGCTGGAGCATCTATACGTCAGGAAGGTTTACATGGACCTTTACCAAGAGGCCATAAAGAGACTTGACCATATAGAGACTACAGGGTGACCACAAAATATTGCTCGACGTCCTTCCTTTACAAGACTTTTTGAGGGGTTCAAAAAAAAGGAGTGGATTGGATCTAAAGAAATCTATGGCGAGTTCCAATTACAGAAGTTGCAAGGCCGCTGTCAAATACGAAGCAATACGTTTTGGGGGTTAATAATATGGGTTTACCTACCAGAAAATCCTCATGAAGGCGACAAATAATAAAAATTACTTATACATGTCACTCCAATACTTGTCAATTGTTCAGAGAATGGTAAAAAAAAGCTTGGCTTTATAATGGAGAGGATATACAAGGCTACAAATGCAATCAAAAAACAAGCTGGCAGATCCATGTCGAGTGGGAAGGGCGTACTTCATCTGGCACATCGGGCTGACAAATGAATGCGAGAAATCTTTTTTTTTTTTTTTTGCACCTGCATTTTATATTGGTTGACCACAGTTCTTCAGAATCAATGACAGTGTTACACTCTTCTCATCAGGATTGCCTTATTGACTGGTCCAGCTTGCGTGCAAAGCGGATGGAAGAGATTTGAAGATCGTTGTATTTATCAAGCGGGAAACAGTGGCACCCAAGGTGGAGTTTCTTCATGAAAGGAGCTGCCTATGAAACCAAAGTTGAAATTTCAAGACCTCTCATACCGATTTGGTTCGGTAAATTCAGTGAGTATCTTTCATGTTAATGAATAGGAGCATGGATCCAAGTTCCAACTGGGAATGCTTATGCCTAAATGGGTCATATTGTCAACTTTTAATGCCTTTAGAGAGACTCTAAGAGCTGAATTCTCTTAAAGAGAGCAGGCTCTGCAGGTTGTTGCGAACTTTTTTTTTTTTTTTTTTTTTTTTTGATAAAACGGCTCAATTGAGGGATAGTCTTGCCACAAATGTCATAACATGTGTTATTTTTTACCGGTTTCGGTCCTTTAAAATTAAATTCATTTCCCCTGTCTCTTTGAGACTAAGAGAAGAGGTCGTTGTCCCTTTCTCTCTTCATTGTTTCAATTTCAATTCCACAATTTGGTTCCTTCATTCACTTGACCCGACGCAAAATGAGCACCTATAATCTCAAAGACCCTTCCACGCCCGTAGTCTCAGGCCGTCTCTTGGCGGTCCTCACAAACGTCGTTGAGAATATTGGCGAGTCCACAGGTATTATCTCGCACCTATGCAAAGACGCTGGTTTATATAGTCTTCGTGAAATCAACTACAATGAACCTCCTACGACTATGCCTATTTGGCCCCCTGTTCAGGATATGGTCCAAGCTGCCATCCCTTCCAATGGCTCCACATTGAGTGCACACGACTTTCTCACCTCGCTTCAGCAGCGTGCTGATCACGAAGCTTCTCATGGAGCTCGATCGGCTACTGCTGTTGATAGTAATGAACAAAAATTCTTGACCTGTCGTGACTTTTATATCGCCTACAAATCAGGGAAAAGAAAACCAACTGAGGTAGTTATAGCTGTTACGAAGACGAGTGGAAGGTTGAAATCCTTACTCAATTTAACGCTTCATTATAAAAACATTTTTGAATTTCTTAGGTTGCAGAACAACTTTTGAATGCGATCAAGGCTTCAGATGAAGTCTCGCCAGCCTTGGGTGCTGTCTGGAACTATAATAGGGATGCCATCCTCAAGCAAGCTAAAGAATCAACAGACCGATATAACCAAGGCCGACCTTTAAGTATCGTCGACGGTGTTCCAGTTATCATCAAAGGTACCAAAAAAAAAAAAAAAAAAAAAAAGTGTGACTGCAAAGAAGCAAGCAAATCTAACTTTTTGTACAATGGGGTTTCAATCATCCTTTTATTTTCTTCAAGATGAGCTCGACATCAAAGGACTTGAAACTGGAGTTGGTACTAATTTCATCAACAAGGGTAACCCAGCAAAGGAAGATGCTCACCTGGTCTCCTTGCTCCGTTCCCACGGCGCTCTCATTATTGGCAAATCTGTTATGCACGAGATTGGTAAGCAAATGACCGATTGATTTTCTTAATTTGTTTGTGTACACATTAAGACAGAGCATCGGTATCTGACAAATAATCAAATTGACAGGTTTGGGTATCACCAACTTCAACCCCAGTACTAAAACTCCCCGGAATCCTTACCAGCCCGAACATTCAACAGGAGGAAGTTCAGGCGGATCAGGCGCCGCTGTAGCCTCTGGGTAAGTTGAACAGTATTCATGGTTACTTTTTAAAGCTACAATAGTACCTTTTTATTTTTGTTTTTTAATATTCATCACTTCTATTATCAAAATAGACTTTGTCCAATTGCAATTGGGTGTGATGGCGGTGGATCCGTCAGAATCCCTTCATCGTACTGCGGGATCTATGGTCTGAAACCCACCCAGGGCCGTATTTCAGGCCGGGGTGAATATCCATTGGCGCCGAGTGTAGCGACTAGCGGACCCATGTGCGCCACAATGGAGGACCTTGCGATCGTATACGCCATTATTGCCGGTCGAGATGTTAAGGTTTGTTGCTGCTAACATTAAAAGACACTTTGCACTTTGTGTGCATACTGGGCGCAATCCAAATGTGTTCTAATGAAACAAGGTTTGCATTCGTACATTTAATTTAGGATCCGAATTCACACTTTCAGCCTGCAGTAGTGTTACCAGCTCCGGGTGATGCGGCAATTGCTGCCTCCAGTGGTCAGCTTCAAGGCCTCCGCATTGGCATCTATCGCCGCTGGTTTGAAGACGTCACTCATCCTGAGATCTCCAAGATATGCTACAAGATGCTAGATCAACTCTGCAAGGATCATGGAGCTGTACTTGTTGATATTGAAATCCCTGAGCTGTTTGAATTGAACAAGGCACACAATATTGCGATTGTTGGAGAGATGATATCAGAAGTCTATGTAAGTTGAACAAAAAAAAAACTATTTGAATGCTTGCGAGCTACGAAGAAATATAATATGATATTTATTACTATTAACACTTATGCTTTCTTTTTGCTTTTCTTTCATTATTCCATGTCTTAATTAGAAAGATCGCAAGAAGTTTAATTATCAGACGAGGCTAGAATTGGCAATGATGAATAGTTTGAGGATGCAGGATTATGTTCGGGCACAAAAGCAGCGAACGCGTAATATCCGCTTCCTTGAGACTTTGTTTGGACATAAAGCAGATGACCAGCAGCACCAGGAACAATATCCATGCCTGAATGGTCAACAAGGCATCGTGGATGTGATTGTTACGCCGACGATCGCTAATCTGCCTCCACGTGTGAACGCCGGGGCGGAATCGCATGGAGAATCAAATTACGTGAACAATATAAAGGGGATGCAATACATGATGATGGCCAATTTGACGGGTATCCCCGGTATCACCGCAGTAGCAGGCTATACAAAGGAGCCCTATGTTCACTCGAATGGTGATCATTATTCCCCTGGATTCCCTATTGGGATCCAGTTCATGGGCCAGTGGTGGGACGAGAAACGACTGATTCATATAGCAACCGTATGTGAGCAAGTTCTGAAAACACGTCAGAAGCCCAAGATCTGGTTGGGTGACAATTACACATTATGAGCAAAAAAAAAACCTCCGGACCATATCTAGATTAATCATGCTGCCTAAATAAATAAATTAGAAGAAAAAGGATGAAGATTGAAGAAAGTAAAACGGAGAGAAGAAAGTAAGGGCTGTCAGGGATATAAATCTGAATGCTCAGAATGATGGTAGATGACTAATGATTGCACACGCGTGTACAGTCTACATGGCTATTACTCATTGCATACACACAGTGCATGCACAAGAACACGCACAATCCTTCACACCTGACTGACACTAACAGGAAATCCAAAAAAAATTCGCACGAAGAGAAGGAGTGAAACACATTTGTACTGTACACAAAGACGGCTTTGCTCACTTGAACAAGAGCCAAATTCAAAACAAACAGTCTTGTTTGTTGAGTTTATTGAATCATGCAAAAAACATTTGTTGAATCCATTCTTCCCTGTTCCTTACTTGCTTTTTGCCTTCTTTCCCCTTTCCAACCTTTTTTCCATTCTTAAAGGCTAATGGCGTCCACCAACATCTTTGACGTCCTCAACGACGACGCTCAGGATCAGGAGATCCGCGTCCCCGCCCCAAAGAAGGAGACTAAGCCTGCTGCAAAAACTGGTGCAAAGCCTGCTGCCGGTAATACCTCCAAGTCTGCTACTACTGACAACAGAGGTCCTCGCAAGGATGCTCCTCGCCCCAACAACAGACCAAGAGATAATGATGGTAGGTCTCTTGATACAAAAACCCTTTTGTATCGTATCGCTGTTTGATGATTAAACGGAGTGGAACACAATTCACGTATAGCTACCACAATCACGACGTTGCTATAAAAAAAAAAAAAACAAATGTGTGGTTGTTTCGAGCTTTCGATATCACTTTTCATTGATAAGACTTCCATCTCACAGAGACTGCAACATTGAAGTGATATCTGGACCGCTTTCTCGTCCTTCCAGACAGGATCAAAAAGTACGAATGGACGCGTGGTCATCGGTCAGATTATATTCCGCAAAGTCTTTTTTCTTTATATATATGTATTGGACATATCTGGATTCATGCGCTCTATTACAGGATCGACTCTTTTAAATACTTTGACATATTTCTTTTCTAAAATAACCGGCAGGTTATGTCTACTTAAAGCAAAAAAAAAAAAAAAAAAAAAAAAAAAAAAAAAGCCTGTGGAAGCAGGAATAACACAGCTTTATTGGCACTAATATAAAGTGCTGTAGTTGCAAATGTGTGTTTACATGGAGTACTTTCAACCTGAGGAAAGTGAAGCAAACAACTCAGGAATGTCATCGGATGTGGCTATCGTGTAAGCTCTACATCTTCATTTTACTGTGGACTGATGATTTTTTTTTTTTTTTTATTTTTTTTTATTTTTTATATAGCTCCTCGTGGACCTCGTTATGACCGTGCTCCTCGTGATGGAGAAGCCACACCCCGCCCACCTCGCGGATCTCGTGCCCCTCGTGGTGGCCGTGGTGGTCGTCATGGCGGCTATGACCGCCACTCTGGAACTGGCATTGTTGACAGTGAAAACAAAGAAAACAACCGTTTGGGCGATCCCACTTCTTCTTATCTCGAAGCTGAGCAAGATGCTGCTACTGTGTAAGTAATTCAAGCAATTATCTACTTTCACAATGGAGATTTAACTGTTGATTGCTATTATAACGGACCTATAGGAAGGATATGTTGGTCTTATGGAAATCTCATCTCATTATCACTCATGTATTATATCGATAGAGGCACTGATGAGGCTACTACCGATGCTCCCGAGCCTGCTGAGCCCGAGACTACCATCAAGACCCTTGATGACTTCTTGCAAGAGAAGGCTGCCAAGGCCGCCAAGATTGCTCTTCCCGAAGCCCGTGCTGCCAATGCCGGAGCGGATGAATCCAAGTGGAAGGACGCCAAGGTCCTTGAGATCCAGGAGGCTGAAGACTTCATCAAGATGGGAAAGGAGTCTGCGACCAAGTCCCGCAAGGGCAAGAAGGAGGGCAAGGTCTTGATTACGGATATTGATTTCAAGTTCACTGAACCTGCCCGTGAGCCTGCTCCCCGCAGCGCTTTCCGCGGTGGTCGTGGAGGTGATCGTGCGCCCCGTGGTGCTCGTGGCGGCAATAGCAGTCGCCCTCGCGGTGGTGCCGGTTCTCGTGGTGCTTCGGTCAATGTTGATGATCAGGAAGTCTTCCCAAGCCTCGGCTCCCAGTAAAGGCAATAGGCAAAGGAGGAACCTAGGAAGAATTGAATTTGGCTCTTTACGAGTCAGAGGGGATATTGTTAAAACTGTTTAATGAAGAGTTTGCCAACAATGTTTTTTTTTTGTCAGTATTCCGATGTCTGAATTGCCACCATCTCTGAAAAATGCTGGTCAAAGCGTTTTTTTTTCAGTAATCTGGAAAGGAGGAAATGTGTAAACAGTTTCAGTTTGAAAAATATACCATTCGGCATTTCAAGAGAACTTTAGAAGCAAGTCATCTTATAGATCTCTTGATACAGACAATTGCCCATTTCCGACGCCCAGTGCCTTGGGTTGCTGCATCCATGTCCCTGACTGACTTCGCCAACACATGTGTTGTCCTCTCACGCCGAAAGTTGAACAATGCGCTCAGACATAAACTTACCGTTCCCGTATGCAAAGATTGTAAAAAAAAAAAAGGAACGACATCATAAGAAATTACTCCTTGCGCCGTTCATCCCTTACCCTTTTTTCAGTTTCTTTCCGCCTTATTACATGTCTTTAGTTGTAAATCTTTTTTTTCTTTTTTCCCTTGTTCCCCTTTTCTTTTTTGTTATCAACATCTTCATAACTGGTCTGAGCTCTTTTCTTAATCACCCCTTTCTCTATTTCACCCCCTGTCATTATTTTATTGTCGAGTGATCCTCATCTTTGTCTCTTCTAAAGTGAGTTTTTCTGCTGACTTTTACTTTTTAATATTCTGTTCTTTTTCACCACCATTTATATTCAGTCCCCAAGCTATTTCCTCATAATTATTCACATTTCTAACCTAAAAAAAAGAAGACCTTGCAGTGACATTTTATAGCTACAATATAAAACAAGGTTTTGCAACAGAATAATAAGGTGCATTTAAAGAGCATTGGCAAAGAAATCAATGAGTGGCGCCTCTGGGCGCTATTATAAAAAAAAAAAAAAAAAAAAAAAAAACACGAAAATTGCGTGACACGCGCCACGAAGACGCGAAACGAGCGCGTCTGCAGTTTAGAACAGATTTAACATAAAGTGTAATGAGGATGAGATGGAAGGTTTTCCTGCATGCCATTTACATTTAAACCGTTACTTAACCCCTGAATGAGTCCGACTTCATGCATTTCTGACAATTGACAATCTATGATTCAGATGGTTTAGGAAGTCGTGGCTTTTTTTTTTTGTATAACGCGCATTGAGTGTGTGTGTGGTTCAATGTGTGATGATTGTATTTATGGTTGGTCTGTACTAAGAATGTTCTATTACTGATATTGTTTGTACCCTATACCTCTAATGTCAGTTACTGCTTGAATACTTCCATTTCGCTCATATCTGTCAACATGACTTTAAGAAAAGAATAATTCCTAAACTCACATTTTAAATTATGTAGGATTGTATTACATCCCTGTATTTGTGAATGCATCCTCCTGTCCTCCTTTTCCCCTCGTTCCCCCTCTCTTTCCTTCCTTATTTCTAAGCCCTACAAACAGACGCTTTTTTTTTTCTTCCTTCCTTCCCATCACCATCACTCTTGATATTTAAGTATCTCGTCAAAGTCATCCATCCTTCCTTCCCTTCCTCTTCCCTTTCCTTGCATCCTCTCAATATTCTTTTAGCCTTTCTTGCTCTACTGACTTTTTTATTTTATTTTATTTTATTTTTTATTTTTCCCTCCCTATTAAAGGACGTATATTGTAAATATATGTCTTAGATTCCGTGGATCAAAGTATTTCGAGTAAATAACCAGGTAGAGTAATAACCCCGAATATTACCCAATCCGTCAATCCCATCATGACGACCTCTATCATCTGCATTCTTTCCAGGACGGAAAGTATGCCTTGAGATGCGTTGCTTCGGCTCAACTCTTTTCCATACGATCTATTAACCACATACCGCTGCTTGCTTAATCATCATACTGAAGACAATCTACCAGGCCCTAATTTTTTTTAAACCTTTTTTTCAATATCTATCAAAACAACCCGTAACTTTCACGAAGATCAAGGACATCGCCCAATTGCTCTACTACTGCAAGTCTTTAGTGACATTAAAGACGGATGATGAGCAACGCCAAATTCGGGCTCACAGACCCTGCCGTCACTAATCAGCGAAATGTTCAGTTCCGAGTCCCGCCATCTCAACAACAACAACAGATGTATCCGCAGCAGCAACAGCAGCACTCACCAGTACATGAGGGGACCGGCCTGGCCAACATGGCACCCAAGTCCCAAATCCCTGATCCTGCCTATACACAGCAGTGTTCATCATCAGGCATGCCCATGTCCCAACAAGGGCATTCTACACATCCGCAGCAATATTCACATTCTTCACACTCTTCACACTCTTCACACTCACATTCACAATTCAGTTCGAATCCACAACAGCCGTCCCATCCTCATCAACATCAGCAGCAAAGACCGCCAATCCCACCCAATCATCGACTGCATCACAGCATCTCTGCAGGCAATATCTCCATGGCTGCAAACGCTACACGGTATGCAAACCTGAATGCCCCTGGCGGTGGCACAGCGCCACTAAAAAAGAAAGATCCGTATGCGACAGCTTGGAGAACGTACTCCAAAATTGCAGAAGAACTGCAGCTTCTTAATCCAGACGGGAGTCTTTATCCAATCTCTAAGGAAGCAATCTTGAAGTACCTGCATCACCAATCCAAGAGAATCAAATCAAGCAACCTTCACTGGTATGTGAATGGATTGAAGAAACACCAAGAGAACTTGGGTTTCCCATGGGACGATGTCCGATATGATGAGCAGGTCGTGAGCTTGCTGAAGGAGCTCACCCTACATCCTGTCATGGTGAGTGAGAATGGAGATGATGATGGGCATGGACACAATTATGGCTCACAGCCAAACCGACATCGACAGACCAACTCCGGCACGTATCCTCCAGGAAGGGTCAGCCATCACTATTCGTCGTCCTCTGTCGACACGACTAAGATTGCAAATCTTTTCATATCTCATCAATCGCAACCATCTCAATCCTCACAACAACAACAACAACAACAGCAACAACAGCAACAGCAACAGCAACAACAACAAACACAGCAGCAGCATCACCAAATCCAGCAAAAGCAGTCTATATCCCACAACCAATCCTATAACAATGGTCCAAAACCTAATCAAGGCCTGCCACAGTATCATCATCACCACCAACAGCAGATGCATTCACAGGCTCAACGAATTCAGCAAAATTCGCCACCAAAGCCATTCTACCAAGCCCCTTTACATCATGCACGGACACCCAGTTCACAGGAATTAACTCACCACAATGGCACCGGTAGTGGCGTAGGATATCAATCTTCACCACCCAGCGCTAACTTCATGCCGACAGATGTTGAAGCTTCACGATCAGATTCGATCATTAATGTTCCCAGCACATTGACGAAAAGGAAGCGAGATGGTTTTGCATTCAAGAAACGTAAGACACTGCAGTCTCTCTCTCTCTCTCTTTTTTTTTTTTTTTTTTTTTTTTAAAAAAAAAAAAAAAGTTTATTCAGAGCTCCTTTAAGCCTTTATTCGGGTTGTACTAATTATTATTATAATTATTTTTTATTTTGTAGGACGCGCGCCAGGAGAAGATAATGATGGCGATGACATGCAAGATGATGAACTCCGGGGTGGAGATTTCGATGAAGATAGACGAGGGCATGATTTAGATGACTTTGACGACATTGAAAACCCAAATGGATACCAGTCATTGAAGCGTCGTGCATCCACAGGAACATTACTGAGTCAAGCAAGAGCAACAGCTGTAAAGAATGTCTTTTTTGTTTAGTTTTGGTATTTATTTGCATTAACCAAACTATCGTCTCAAGAAATCCTTTTATTTATGCTTTTTTTTTTTTTTTTTTTTTTTTTTTTTTTTCAACCAGGATAAGCATGCTCTCGGACCATTTATGCCGGTTCAACATGAATCAAGTTCACATTTGTATCGACTGGGGCATGTCCATGAAACACCTCCAGGTAAAGTCAACACTATCCTTTCTCAGCAACGGGGAGATCAACTCCTTCGATCTCCTTCACCTGACCCACGAGATGACGATTTAAATGGCCAGCACCCGTCGAGTCAACTTACCCAAGGCTCTCCAGCAGACTTTATGCCTTCGAATTCATTTGCTGGTGGGCATCCCTTTGCTGAGGGTGAATTTCGACGGTATCACCATCGTCACCAGAGCAGTTCCGGTACAGTAACATCCCCTACAGGCTTTACTACGCCTCTACCATCCTCTCACAGCAATGCACCGACTGCAATACCGGCTCCTGGAGCCGCAACCAAGACAACCGTCCAGTTTTCAGAAGTGGTTGAATGTGCTCAGATGCTACAAGCAAAGTATGGAAACAAATGCAAGGACCATCCTTGGGGCTGTGTTCAGGCCACCGAAAGCCGACATCTGGAGTTGACCATTAAGATGTACATGGACTGGGCTGGTCTTGTGGTAAATAATATGGCTTTTTATTTTTTTATTTTTTAATTTTACGTTATTTTATTTTATTTATAAAAATCAATAAGCTTCTTCCTTCCCAATCACGAAAACTAATCAAATATGAGTTTGACCCATAATAGGCGAGTGGTCGGTTGACCATGGGTGAGATACCCGACCTTCCAGAGTTCCGTATCGCAAAGCCTCCCCATAGTGGTGCACTAAGGCGCATGGCCTCCACGCCTCTCACGTCATCCTTCCTGAATAATAGTTCAATGAGCACAGGAGCACCAGTGAATTTAACTGGTTCGTCCGCACGGCACATGGGCGCAAAAAATGCGCTTTCTGGCTCAGGACATGGCCTATTCGACCCTTACCGGTCACCATCCTCATCTCCCCAGCATTGTTACCATCACGATAAGGATCAGATAACAGAGAAAAGCGAGCTTTCGAGCAGAATTGACTCTTCGCCTCTACAACCGACCTCTGTACAGAGATCTGTCCTATCGTCACCTCCACCTTCAGGAGCGGACAGTTTCCCTAGCGATGATGTGCCTGCTGAAAGTACCAGTGGATCACTTGCTAACCAGGTCCGTACTGCTCGTAAGATGCCTAGTACGCCTAGTTTGGGCCAGCATATGCGAGAAGGACAAACTATATCTCATTTGGAGCATCAACAAAAACGTCACGTCGATAGATTTACGATGGGGCTTGCAAGAGGACATTTACATGCGACTGTTTCAAAATGGACTGGATCTTCACCACGGTCCGAAGGAGAGATGTCAGAGGACGAAGAGTTGGATGAAAGGAATGTTGACATTGATAGGGCAAATGAAGAAATTGATAATTATGCTTTGAGCCCATGGGCCACTGGCCCAAGTGCCCTTGCTGCTGCGAAGGCAGCTCAAAAGGCAGGTATCATTATAAGTGACGACACTAGTGGCGACACTAGTGATAAAAAGTTCAGTGATGAGGATATGGACAAGGTACAGTCAACAGCTGTTCAGAATGAACCGGTGCCACCGCAAGGGTTAGCAAGTACAGGAGCGTTTGCCTCTTCATCAACCATGATAGAAGATGATGCAGAGACTGCTGTGTCAGTAATCGGCACTATTTCTGACCCAACTCCTATGCAGCCGGCAGAAAGTGATGATGTGGTTAACGGCGGCGTCGATAGCGGTTCGGTGTATACAGCGACTAAAGAATTAAACTCATTGATGATTGGGTGTGCAGCAGAGCAAAAGGACAACGGAAAGAAGCAGAAGAAAGAAGGGGATGCTGTCGCTAAATCGCACAGCGATGAAGACACTGAAATGGCTGAGGCGACATGGGATATGCAAGATTAAAAAAAAAAAAAAAAACGCCAACGGCAAATATGCGCAAAAAAAAAAAAAAGATTGAATTCATTTGTTTGTACTTTCAATTTATTATTATTATTATTATTATTATTGTTGTTATTCCTACTAGTACTACTATTACTAACTACAAAATTATTATTATTGTTATAACTATTATTATTGATCAATAAAAAAATCCAGCGTAATGAGTATACACCACAAAGTTGATCTGCTCCTAAAATGACGGACATTGTCTGTAGTCCAAAGCACCATAACTCTAAATAAGAAACCACATTAAGACGGTGACAAAGATTGAATCTCAGCCAATGAGATCTCGAGGATCCAGGTTCTCACCAAAAGAAAAGAAAAAAAATATGCGTATGCTTTTATTCGTGATTTGAATCTTTTATTAGGGTTGTTCACAAGTTTGGCATGCTATACTATTTTACAGAGATATATTTACAAAAAAAAAAAACGCCCTTTCTCCCTATCCTCCCTACTCTCCTTACCCCCACACACAACAACACACACCTTTCGTGCTCTCGCATTCTCCTCCTTCTTTCTTTTCATTTTTCTTCATTTCTTCTCCTTTCTTTTCATCTTTCTCTTTGCTCCTTATGCTCAGATCGGTTTTTACTATGCTCCGCCTGCATGCCTATGTATGGAGGCCTATACCCGAATCTTGGCTTTGCTCTACATCACCACAAGATCCGATCGGTGGTGTCGTTGGTGTTGCTAAAACGCTAGCATTGGCACATGCTACTGCCGGAACCGTACCATGACCGGTAACGACGGTGGCGCCCGTACCCGTACCCGTGCTCATACCCGTACTTGTCATTGTACTAAATGACTTGCAGGCCTGTACACGAGCGATGAGTTCAGGTAACTTGATACGCTTTGCTGGATCGAGATGAAAGACGGCCTTGATGATCTCGTTCATCTCATCCGTCATGGGTAAGATGGTTTGTAAAATATCGGGATTCAGCACGAAGGACATAAACGTTTCGTCCTTGGCACATGCTTGCTTCCATGGATTACGACCGAACACAAGGTTGATCAAGATCACACCAAGGGACCAGACATCGTTCGCCGCGCTATCATAAAACTCGACGGCTTTGTTAAACCCTCCTTGGCACTCTATTGGAGGAGAAAGGAAAAAGGCCCAAAAACGGTGTTGTTGTTAGTAGTGGTAATAATAATAATAATAATAATAATAATAATAATAATAATAATAATAATAATAATAATAATAATAATAATAATAATAATAATAATAATAATAATAATAATAATAATAATAATAATAATAATAATAATAATAATAATAATAATAATAATAATAATAACAACAATAATAACAATAATAATAACAAAAAAAAAAAAAAAAAAAAAGCTGATTGAACATACCAGGGGACAAGTAAAAGGTAGAGCCACAGCCAAAATCACTGGAAATTCGTTCGGATGTGGCCAGACCGAAATCTACCAGTTTTACAGAGTTGCCGAACATTACAATGTTTTCTGGCTATAGATATGAAAAAAAATAAAATAAAATAAAATAAAAGTATAGATAAATATCCCTGAGGATTAGTACTTTATATTTTTCTATTGAAAAACTTTATCCCATATCACGTCTGAAGGTCATCGGGTAAAGCTCCTTTACTCCTCCTCCTCCTCCTCGTCCTCACCACCACCACCCCCCGTCCTTCCTCCCTTTATCCTCCCTCAGTATGGTCCGCTTATTTATTTACTTTATTGTATTTTATATTATTTTCTTTTTCCTGTTTCCTTTCTTTTTCCCCCCGTTTGATTGGCTACATAGAAAAACCAAGACACAAACATATGCCCCTTCCTACATGCAAGACACGCGTCTCTTTTTTTTTTTTTTTTTTTTTTTGAATGTTCAAATGTTCCACTTCGAGTTCATAAGGTCCATAACATTTACAAATGTAACAAGGTATAATAGACACTAAAACAATAATGTCATTCTTCACCAATTGGCCATCGCGTTCTCATTAATGGAAAGGAATTAAGAACTCGAGATACAGAATTCTAAAATGACCTTTCATTTCCCAAATAAAGGGGAAGAAGAAGAAAAAGTAAAGAATATCTTTTTCTTTTTTTTTTTTTTTTTTTTTTTTTTTACCTTGAGATCTCGATGAAATACGCCTTTTGAATGACAATATACGACCGCTTGTGCGATCTGACAGAATATTGACTTGATACGAGCATCCTCACCAAAGAAGCCTCCACGTTCAGTGATGGCATTAAAAAGATCACCCTCGTTTCCACAGTCAAGGACCATGTACAAAAGGTCCTCATCTTGAATGACACCATAGAGTGTTGCAATGTTAGGATGGCCAGAAACCTTTGCATGGAGTTCTACTTCTTGATATCCCAAGGTGAGGTGCATCTCGGGATTTCTCTTACTAAGACATTTGACCGCGCGCATCAGACCAGAGCGTATATCGATCGCTCTATGGACAGAGCCATATGCTCCAATACCAAGGACACCTTGGAGTATAAGTGAGTCATTGTCGATGGCTCGAGGAAGATGTAGAGATCGCGGTGGGATAATGGGATTAATAGGAACCATTTTGATTTTGATTTTGATTTTGATACTGAAATAATAATAATAATAATAAAGGATGAAATCCTTTGGAGGATGATTGCAAATAAGATGTATTCGAATGACAGAAGGTTCGAGAGGATAGTAGAGTGTTCAACAAGGTAATATATAGTAGTTTTTTCTTTTTCTATTTTTTTTTTTTTTTTTTTTTTTTTTTCCCCCACGGAGGCTTGTGACTTGTACGTGTAAAACCTCTTTGGTTAAAAAGAAGCGTGTATGCGGGATGGAAAATCAGAGTTGAGGAAAAAAAAAAAAAAAAAAAAAAAAAAAAAAAGGAATATAATGATTTCTGTATCGATATTGGGCTCGGATTTGGGTTTGGCTTTGGGCTAGGATTTTTTTGCTGTGCCTTTTTGCTGACGGATGTTATCTCTTGATTGGTGTGGTGCTTAAAGAAAAAAAAAAAAAAAAAAAAAAAAGGGCGATCCAAGGTATCGATTCTATTTAATACATGTAATGCATGTCCAAATATTTTGAATGTCAAGTTAGCGATATTTTTTTTAAAATAATGACGCCTAGCGTCTTGGCAAAAATGCAATCTCCCTTCTCCACACCTCCCTACCCACCCCCACCCCCACCCCCTCCTTCCTCATTGAACAATGCTGGTAATTATTCGGTAAGGCATATGTAAATAGGGAGGAGGGAAAAAATAAAAAAATAAAATAAAAATATAATAAAAAAGAAAGAGTGAAGGCGTGACAAGAAGGAGAACAAGGAGATAGGGGGGAGTAGAGAACAAAAATGATGAAAAACAGGCTAGAAAAGTAATAATAATAACAAAAAAAAAAAAAAAAAAAAAAATAGGAAAGTCCATCGCTGATCATTTCTCTGAACAATACTGGTAATTGTTTTGATGAGATGAGGCTAAACAAGAATGAAATAGGGAGGGAATTGAAAGGGGCGGGATAGGGACGAGCCTGAAAAAAAAAAAAAAAAAAAAAAAAAAAAGAGGTTCATTCCTGATCATTTCTGCGAACAAATCTGGTAATCGCTCAAAAAGAGAAAAAGGGGAAGGGGAAACCAGTAACGAACAAATATGCATTCCTGCAGAATGCAAAAAAAAAATAAAAAAGAAAAAAGAAAACATAATCAGAGCTACAGATGATTATAGTTTTATATTAGATGAAAGAACAAACCAAGCAAGATGGAGTAAAATTTGGGTGGGAGGGGGAGGAATGTACATCAGGAAAAAGCGATATACCCAACACTGTAATGAAATCAACGCGATATGTGATCAACATCACACCCTGGTCACAATGAAGAAACAGGGATCGAGAGAAGAGAGGCAGTAATTACAAGGTTCAGAGGATGTGGGGATGAGAGGATGAGGAGACAGAGATCATGATTACCATACACGTGCGTTCGAGTAAGAGGAATGTCGACAGCTTTGGCACATCCCCTGTGGCTTACCTTGATAGATCTCAGCTCAGGATCTGATGGTTATGTCAGATAAGGATGTAAGCGTGTATGTTAAAAATATAGAGTATGGCGTGATGAAATGTGTTTACAAATATTGTAGACGTTCGTGCTGAGAAACGAATAAAAAATAAAATAAAAATAAAAATAAAAATAAAAAAAAATAAAAAAAAAAAAAAGGTGCGTTCTTGGGCTGACGGGTTGTATTTATACGAGATTGAAGTGTATTAAAACTTTGTACTTGAAGGACTGAATGCTTGGATTCAATGTGGTCTAGATAGGGCGTATCAATGGTAGCCAACCGTTAACCGAGCCTCCTAAAATTACACGGAGAGAGAAATGCTGGCCGTAAAGAAGTCTTAGTGAGAGCATCAATCCAGATTGTCGATGGTGGATCTGTTCTTAATGAAGATGAGGGGGGTGTTTGAGCTGAACCACCGGCAATATGTCTAAATTTGTGAACGAGCAATTGACATTTTCAGAAATTGAGACCTGCATGTACACAGTCAATTGAATTCGAAAACTCTTTTTTTCTCGTGGTTTGTGCGACTATAATTAATTGACCCTTTGCTTTGATGGTAAGCATTGCCTGACAGAGCTTTGATTGGTATTGCTTTCAAAACCCACTATTCAGCTCACGAGCATAATACGATAAATAATATTTACTGACCACGCTAAAAAAATGCTTCTTTATTTCTATTTCCTGAATGCAAGAACGATAATTTGATCTGGATGTACCAGAACCAACTTTTTTTTTTTTTTTTTTTTTTTTCTTTTATTATATTATATATATATATTTTTTGCATATTTCTCCTAGCAACCAAAGACACAGTTATTTTTACCGCCTGATCATGAAAAATCTCCTCGAGATCTGTCTTACCTAACTATGCTGATCATCCCTTGAGCTGTTTGAAAGTAAATTATGGCCAATGTGAATAAGAGACATTAGTCCGGAAAAAAAGTCTTTTTTTTTTTTTCTGCATTGCATTGAATGCTTAATCAGGTCCCACAGCCGAGACAAAAAAGCGAACAAACGCGTCACGAACACCAATCTGCATATTGTCTTAGTTCAAATTAGAATGCGCTTATTCATATCATATCAGGCTCAAAAGTGCTTTTTTGCATGTAAAGGATGACAAGAACTACAATCTTGATAGTATTTGTCTCCACCTAGCATCGCAAAATAAAAAAAATTAATAATAAAAAAAAAAAACAAGAAAGCGGCGAATCTTGAAGGAGACCTGTTATCCAAAATGAAGATACATTTTTTGACATAAAAGCAAAAAAAAAAAAAAAAAAAAAAAAGCAAGGGGGGATGTAGAAACGCTTACAGGAGGCTGCATTAGCTCAAAGACTTGTCCAATTGCATCAACAGAATACGACCTGAGTTCTTATGGTTTGTACCTAAATCAGCATTGCTTTGATGATCTTTACTTGTTTTCGTATGTATGGATCAGGAAAAAGAAAAAGAAAACCTAAGCTGCTCACAAGATCTTTTGAGTACCTCTGAAATAGAAGCTTCTACTCCAACTATAATACGCGCATATGGATCGCAGGAAAGTAGTTGTATTGCCCGATTCGTTTGGTCGGGAATCCATGAAATTGATTCGATGGTATTTCACTCGTGATGGGCTTGGTTAACAAGCTAAACAATAAAATAATTGGCTTCCAATCCATTCAGTAGGATAGGATTTATCGTGATTGGCGAAATTACCGAATAGTGGGAATGATGTCACAACCTTGTTCCTATGACAACCTCAATCTATACTAACCTCACTCACCGTTGTCTTGCGTGTTTGAAAAAAAAAGAGAAAAGCCCATTGTCTTGTTCCTTTGCCTCAATTGGACGTGATCATACTTTACTTTTTTTTTTTTTTTGTTTTTGGGATCAGAGTCGATGTATATTCATACACGTATAGTACTTTTTTTTTTGCGTTTCACCAAATAGGAACTGGTCACCAATGCATTACGTTATCCAAGAAGACAATCTTCGTCGCGACTAAACAAAACTGGTTACAGTAGTCAATCGCATGAAACGTAGGACACAAGGATCCTGATGCTTGGTCAACTCCCTCCTTACCCATCTTGTTTTCAGCCTTTTGTTCTTTTGATCTTTTTTTGTTCATGAACGGCTGTTTCCAATGTCGTTTCTATTTTAGCAAACCTATTCTTTCAAATCCTAATCGATAGACTTCTCCTTTTGTCCCCTTTCTTTTCAAATTTCGAATGTAGTTTTGTTTTTTTTTTTTTTTTTTTTTTTTTTTTTTTTTTTGGGCAGTTCATATTATCCTTACATACACAAGAAAAAGAAATAATTGCTCATGGTCTGCATGCAGGATAGATTGAGGAGGGAGGTAGGGTGGGCGAAGGAGAGGGAGGCTGATAAAAAATAATAATATATATATATAATAGTAATAATAATAAAAAGAGATAGAATGGAAGAAACTTTTTCAAACAAGAAACCACAGCAAATATCGTCATTTACTCGCTTTCTTTTCTTTTCTTTGTTTTATTTTATTTTTTCAAGGGGACTCAGCAGACGACTGATAATGACATACATCATCGATTTCTATTTTTTATGTTTGGTTTTTTGGTTTTCTGTTGGGGCAATCAAGTTTTTTGTTTGTTTTTTTTTTTTGTTTGTTTTTTTTTTTTTTTTTTTTTCTTCCTGGACTCTATCTGCCTAGATTCAGAGTAAAAAAAAAAAAAAAAAAAAAAAAAATTTTTGTTGGTTTACTTTCCAAAGATGAAGAATATTTGATCAACGTTCACGCACAGACAAACCTTGTATTCGAGACAAAATGCATGAATTCGTTCTTGAAATGCAAAAGAAAAGAAAAAAATATATAAACACAGCTTTAGCCCCGTTGGCTCTCTTTTGGAGAACCAGTTTTGCTCATCTTCTATCTCGATTTCTTTTAGGAGTCTATCTCGAATGAATGCATTCTCCCTTTTTTTTTTTTTTTTTTTTTTTTTTTTTGCGATTCGTGCTTGTCAATTTCAAAGGGGAAGGGCAACAAGACATGCGCATAGCATGAATCAAATTCAAGTTGCAGTTCTGTTTTTATTTATTTTTTTTAAAGAAAAAAAAATGTATTGATGTCAATCAAATACTTGCGTGGTGCTATACGCCTCACACGTATCAACATTATATATATATATATATGTATTTTTATTATACTTAATTTTTATTTTACGTGGTTTTGTTCAACGCGTTTTGGGTTTACCGCACATTAAGGTTTGTGCAACAGAGTGTGGCAACCGAGACAATGAAAATCAGAAAAATCAAAAAAAAATAAAAAAAAAAAAGGGGGGGGGGAAGTGAGGTTCTAGAAGTGTGGGGAATAGTAGCCGAGCTTCTCATAGACAGTCCACCATCAAAACCCAGGACCACCAGAATCCGCCAGATATGAACTAGAAGTTGGTTCATAGAAGTTGTCTGGATTGTTATTGCCGATTGGTTTCAATTTCTGTATCTCATGGAATGCTCTGGTGAAGAAAGGACGAATCTCGTTGATCTCCATTAGTCCAATGTTATCCATCTAATAATAATGATAACAACTTTTAGTTAGCTATATCTTTCCAATTCACCCTTTTTTTTTTTCATCCTTTATCAATTTCCTCTCACCTGCAAATATGTTGATCCCAATGCTGCAACACCTTGTCGTGCTTTGCTCTGTCTGGTTTCTCGAAGATCTTTTATTAACGTTCTGACAGCGTCTGCTGATGGGATATCGTCACACGCACTTTACAAAAAAAAAAATAAAATAAAATAAAAAAAATTTTTTTAGGGGGACTAAAAGTTGAATGATGCGGAGGAAATCTTTTCCTTCTTTTAGTAACTTCCTCTATTTCCTTTACTCACTTTTCAAGAAGCAACTGTGCAATCTCCATGTAATGATATGGTAATGTACTAAACAGTTCCTCTTCTTGTTCTTCCTTTAACGTGCGCTGTAATGATTCTTGTCAATCACACCCCCCCCGAATTTTACAAAGAAAAGATTCGTTTAATAAGAAAACACTTTGTATAATAAATTCATTCTCGGACGGATAACAACAAAAAAAAAAAAAAAAAAAAAAAGTTTTTGTATAATATAACATCTGGTTTTTTTTTTTTTTTTTTTTATAGCATACCAACTGTCATCCATTTTGGGACCATAATGTTGCATTTCTGTTTCTTCTTGAGTGTTATTGCCATCCAGAGCGGGACTTTATTCAACTGTAAGGGCTTTAATGACGGTACTGAACCCTATCCTCGTTGGGATCATTAGAAGAAGAAAAAAAAAAAAATTGTCAAGTTTCTAAGGATCATTTGGTGGTGACTTTATCTTGATCGCAAACAGACAAAAAAAAAACTCTTTTTTTCATTATTACCGCAAGAAATTCTAAATCCTGTTTTGTGTCAATTGAAGCTGCAATCTCAATCATCTCATTCTCTGCCAAGAATTCAATCTCTAGAGGCGTCAATCCATTTTTAAGGTGTCGCGGCAAAGCCATTGTAAAAAAAAAAAAAAAAAAAAAAAAAGAAATAATAATATATAACAACAATAATAAAAATGATATTTAAAAACAAAGGCTCCTCCTCGTATACATATATTTATACTGATGAAGAAAAGTAGGCAAAAACGTGTTGAAGGAGTTCTTTTTTGGCGGCAAATAATTAAGCTTCTTAGCTGTGGCTTCTGATTCTCCGTTTTTCACAACATCATTCGCGCCTTGCTAACAAACGCGTAGTGAGTTTACTTTATGCATGTTCCTTAAAACAAATGCAACAAGTCATCCAATATACTTTAACAGTCATAATCCAGGACTCCCGAGTTTTTTTTTTTTTTTTTTTTTTTTTTTTTTTTTAATTTTTATTTTGTTAAAACAAGCGCAAAGAGGCGACTATTTTAAGCCTCAACGGGGGCGACAGGGGCGGCAGGGATAGCCTCCTCACGGGACTCAGAGACGGGGGCAAGGATAGGGGCCTCCTCCTTGGGCTCCATGATAGTGACCATGTCGGGAAGAGGGGTCTTGGGACCCATCTTGCCCTGAGGATCCCAAGGCAACATAATCTTGACCTTGACACCCAAAACTCCCTGGCGCAAGAGGACGTGACGAACTGCAGTGTCGACAAAGTCCTTGGTAGGCTGACCAGAGTGGATCATGAATCCGTCAACGAACTTCATGGCCTTGGCACGGGCACCACGGAGCTTACCGGAAACAACAACCTCGCAACCCTTGGCACCAGACTCCATAATGTAGCGGACAACACCATAGCAAGCACGGCGGACAGCAACGCCGTTGAGAAGCTTGTATTTGAGGGACTCGCACTGGGCAATAGCGCAGAGACCACGGAAAGAGACCTTCTCAGCGTACAACTCGACGGTGTTCTCGGGGAACTTGAAACGCTTCTGGACCAAAGAGGTCAACTCACGAATGCGGCGGCCCTGGAAACCAAGAATCTCCTGAGTCTGAGTAGCACGGATAATGATCTCAGTACGGGCGGGGGTGACGCGGACCTCAACGCCGGAGTAACCCTCGGCAGCGAGCTCACGCTGGAAGAACTCGTTCAACTCGGCGTAGAAAACACCATCGGCAATGAACTATTGGGAAAGACGCCCCCAGTAACAACAATGATAATGACAATAATAATATGCAACAATAAGGTAAGTAAATGTTTTCAAAGATCCTTGTTCGTACTTGTCCATTGATGAAGCTACAAGCTACAGAGCTTTCCATGTATATATCCCGCTACAAAAATGTTATTGTGTCGTGAATGCTCAATTGATAACATTGGAAACTGATGAGGTTGAATTAAACATTGAATGGATCAAGATGTTGTATTAATCTCGATATTGGTTGAAAAAAAATCAATTGAAACAGTTCACTCGGCAATGTCTCCTGTTTAAAAAACTCCCTTTGTTTGTCACTGCCATTGATCTGTACCAGCATCTTAGATCTGACATGAAAATTAATCATGAATCATGCTCCAATGCTCCCAAGTCGAGGATGTCAAGAATGCATCATAGGTCCTGTCTTTCCTTGTGGTTGTCGCGTATTTCTAGCACTTTAGTGCCTCCGTGCTACTGTAAGTGGCCATGAAAGGTAGGCAAGACCAAGAGCACTTGCCTTTCTCTTCTTGCTAATCTGAGCGGAGGCCATGTTGATCAAGTTTTAAAATGTAGAGGAAAGAGGAAGATTTTTATCTTGCAAGCTTATCTTGTTTATTTATCTACACTCCGTCCCATCTGGCTCAATCCACTCAAAAAATTTTCGGATTCAAATGTGGCTTGGTTTCCTTTTTTATTCTCCTAGGCTTTACTAACAGCTCTCCTCTCCCACTCTTTCACGTCTGGCTTCTGTCGGTATGATATATATTTTATTGTGCTGCAGCAAGAGCCTTCTGTGAGAAGAACTTGACATCGTTATCTTTATCTTCGCTTAATTTCAGCAAGGAAGGCTTGAGTTGTTGATCAACTAGCGGTTTCGTATCAGGGTTCTTCAAGAGAACAGGAATCAATGCTTCTATCGACTTTGCAACATTAAATCGGATGTTTGGAATAGGGTCTGAGACCAAGTTGGTAACAGTAGGCAAAATATAGTCCCGGATAACCTCAGGTGTCACTACAGGCGCCATGGCCTATACATTTAAGCAACAAGAAAACAATGATTAGTGGGATCACGATATTTCATGGGATAGTACACAACACAAACAGCAAGCTATTTTTTTTTCTTTGTCAAGTCATGCATACCGTGATGGCAAAAATAGTTGTCATTCTATACAGATAGTTGGGGTGGTTTCCCATGGCCAAGACCTTGGGGATGATAGTTTGTTTAGCCCAATCAACACCAAAGACTTCAGTGAGCTTACGCAAGTTGACTGTGGCTGCCTCACGAATCGAAAACACACTGTCACTTAGCCACGACATGCAAAGAGCACCCAATTTCTCATCAAAGAACTGAACCCCCAATTGGGTTGCTAGCAAAGGGATATAATCGATAATGGCTAAACGGACCCGCCATTGTTTATCTTCGGCCAACTCAACAATTGCAGGCAGAAGCGACTGTGAAAGAAGCTCGATTCCAATGACTTCATTGACTGTCTCAAGCTTAGAAATGATATTTAGGCGCACATCTGGGAACTCATCCTTGAGCAATTGTAAGAAAAGGGGAAGGAGATGCTCTGTTGTTGCCTCCTTGCCAAGAATGGGTGCCAGTCCGCTGATTTGCATAGCTAGTGCAGCACGGACATGTTGAGAAGTATCCGTCACCAAATCCTTGACACATGGAAGAATATAGTTCAAGATTGTTTCTTTGTCTATCAACTGCGCAAAACCTATGGATACCGATATTTGAGTTGCAGGAACAATTTAGTATTTCATGCTACCGAAGAAAGAACATAGCAAACACTCTAGTTAAAGATTATAAAAAAAAAAAAAAAAAAAAAAAGACGGTTGATCATACCAGGGACTTGTCCTGCAGCAGCTGTGCGAACTTCAGCCTCGTTGTCTTTCAAAAGTCGAACAAACGCCACGACCAAATCCTCACGAGTAATATCTTCACCGACAGCTTTACTTAACTTTAAAAATCCAGACGAAAGTTCAGTATTAGATTTGAGCCTTTGAGCATGGGAGTAGAAGAAAACGAGTACAAATATTAAAGGACATTTGTGTATCGAACCTTAACAAAATTATCAGCAATCATGTAACGGACTCTCCATGACCTATCAGCAACCATTGCTTTGAGTGGCTGCAAGAAGTAGGTCTTTGATTCTTCAGGCGAAAGTTCCTCCGCAATGGCCACAAGGTCAGTCACAGTCAAGAGCCTCACAGAATCCTGCTCGTCTTGGGCAAGCTTGTTGAAGAATGGAATAATGTCTGAGATAAGGTGCTCTTTACTGACCTTCTTGGCAAACGACTATAAAACACGATAAGCATATGCATGTAAATATCCTCATTTTTTTTTTTTTTTTTTTTTTTTTTTTTCCTTTGCAAAAGCTGTTGATATTAATATTCATCAATAATAACGTGTCCTTACACCAAGATGCGTTGCAGCAGCTCGGCGAACCATGGGGGTATCATCCATACAGAGCTGGCCAAACGATCTAAGGAATTGCAGAAAATTTTATATTAGACTGATCAAAATAATCCAAAAATGAAATCTCAATATTGCAAGATCACAAATCCTTTTCTTTTTTCCTAGCGTGATACATACTTGCGCATATCTTCTTGGGTTGCAGGTGAAGCCAGAGAGTATCCAGCAGCATAGAGACCTGTAGCACTAGTTCGGCTTGTGAACCAATCTCCCATTGAGAGACGCTTGACAAGAGGTACATAATGTTGCTCCAACTGCGATTGGTTTAAAACAGGGCAGATTTTGTTCAAGGATTCAACCGCCTAAAAATTGTGAGGGGAGTGAGAGAGGGATTTGAGTCTGTTTGTAGCAGAACGTGATGAGATACAGACCCCCTCTTCCCCTTGGCTTCGCATCCCTCGCGCCTGTTGCATATATCCATCCCGAAAAGCGCGTCCATTCATTAGGGCATCCTCTATGGTTGTTAATCATACCTTGTCGCGAACCATGGTCTCTTCCACGGCGGCCAGATTCTCCAATGGCTGCAAAAGAATATGCGCATACTGTGCGCCTCCGATATACTCCACAAAGTCACCCAATTCTCCTGCCAATGTCAATAGAACTTCATCCTCGTCATCAATAGATTCTAAAAGCAGGAACAATATAACAAAGTCGGTATTAATAACTGCAAACATTGTATAGATTTCAATCACATATTTATCCAACAGGTGGAATAAGATACCATCAAGGAAAGGAATCAGCTCATCCCTGGCACGTTGTGGTCCAAGTGCAAGTGCTATGGTGTTGAGTCGTTTGATGGCATTGAGTCTGAGACTGACATCGTCATGTCTGAGCTCATCAATCAGGATGGCGATGGGATACAGCTCAACTTCAGGATTCATTTTAACTGAATGTGTTTAGGAAGAAGAAAAGGGGGGGCCAACTTGAGTCCTTGGTATTCACGTGAGAACAGGGAGTATCCACACACGATATTTGGTGTGTATCAATGAATGTATTTAGGCAACCAAGAGGAAGAAGTTTTATTTTTTTTGGGTTCAACTGAAACACTGCGACCAAGAAATGGAGATTGGATGAATGTAAATTGAGACTCTGGGACTCTGGTGCGACATTGCTTAAAAAAAAAAAAAAAAAAAAGCACGATCAAGGGAACGTCACGTTAACCCCTGGTCACCTGCCATGCCAGCACAAAAAGAGTATGGCTCGCCTGCAGTGGAGACTGCTTGAGATTGACTTTTTTTTGATAAAGTTGCGGACGTGTTATGGAAATTCATGCTTTTCAACATGCCCAGAGTAAGAGCAATAAAAGTAAAGCAGAGCCAAGAAATAATATATAAATGTATAAAAAGACATATCTCGCTATTGTTCGCAAAAAATTATGTTGTAGCATGATCAAGATCATTTGGGTGGCCATGCCAGCTTTTTAGGATAAATAATGCAAATGCGGCATGGCCAGGCGCGTGCTGCCATGCCGTCATAACATGGAAAAACGTACAGTTATATTTCTAGGCCATTGGTTGGCTAAGAGCCTCTCGATTCAAAAAGATTATTCTAAACTAACCTCTCTATGTCAAACACTACAGAGGGCGGGCAGGTAAGTGGCTGGCAAGTGGGGAACATTGTAACTGAAGGAAGGGATTGCAATTGAGGGAAGGTGATGGCATTTTTTCCGTAAAATCGTTTAACGCTCGATTTATGTCTTAACATCTGCTAGAGATTCTCGGCTCGAGGAGATGACATCCCTGAATGCCAGTCTGGAAGATTTCCGACCCGACATCATCGCACGGGTAGATGACTTTCCAGTTCTCCTCGTAGAAGTGAAAAAACCTGGAATCAAGGCTGAGAAACTCTTATCGTTTGATTATCTCAAGCTGCTCTCCATGATGAAGCTATCTTTAAACAAGATGGTCCGGGGTAACATCAATAACCCAGTGGTTGCTGGTGTGCTTGTCCAAAGTAGGTTGCAGATATATATATATATATATATATATATTACGTATGTACATGTACATTTATATGTTTTATAACATTATAAAGCCAATGCGTTTTAGGTGCAGCATTGAGTTTTTACACGATGGAATTGAGGTCCGAGGCGCTATACATCCCGAAGGAAGTTGGTCAGATACTTTTGCCCACCGATAGAACAACTTCCACACGGATGTGTGGTGGGCTTGGGATTCTGGAAAACATGCAGGTATCCTTGTCGTCTTCGAGCTTTGATTCACATTGCATTATAACAGTAGATCTAATGATACATTAGATTAGAACGTTGTCTGGCGGTCAGGGCGGGACTTTAATAAAGGGTTCCCGCCTGGCAACAATAATAAAACTGCCTTCTTGGCTTCAAGACCACAAAATATCTAATAATTTGCTAGAACTCAATGATAGTCATGAGCCAATAACTATCATCTCGAATTAACCTGATATTAAGTTTGCGCCCATATAACTCTTTCATCCATGGAACGGGGCTGCTCAGAGCCATGGCAGCGACTTTGAGGATAATGACGAAAGTCTGAGCAGCACTCATACGAGAAGCCAAAAGAAGCCTCGCCATCGCCCTGACTACATGACAAGAATCGTGTTTCTAAGTTGGCTAGAGAGGTTTCAAGAATCAATTGCTACCCAAAATAAAGAGCGAAAAGTTGCGTTACTTGTTGATAATGCAGGCTGCCATAAGCTTCTGGATGAGGACAGGCGGCGCTTCCCTAACATCAAGGTTATTTTTTTACCAAACAACTCGACTTTTGTCACGCAGCCGCTTGATGCAGGAATCATATCTGTTTTTAAGCGATGCTATCAGAGCAATGTAAGAAATCAGACTCTGAGCATGCGTTTGGACCCTTTCAATGTAGATGGTAGGGAGGTGAATGCCATCTCTAACTATGATGCATGGAAAATCATTGCTGGATCATGGGACGAGGTCAAAAGTATGAGTATCAGGAACTGCTTTGGCCATGTCCCAATTTTTGGTAGGCGTCAAAAGAATGAGCTCTCAGGCGATGTCGCGCACGATCCAGATGTGCTTTGGGCCCTAGTGTGCGATAATGAAGTACAGGAAGCCGCAATCAACGATACTGGCAACACGACAACAGACATGGAGCGCAATTGCCTTCTTCTACCAAGTCCTAACCTTTCTGTACCAAGTTCTAACATCCCTCTACCAAGTCCAAGCTCCAAGGATCCTTTTGTGTGCACAGCTTACGGGGACCTTAAACGCACTGATCGAGAAGCGAGACTAAGGAATACGGTTGCATCATTTGCGAGGATCCTTGACGGAACACCCATCATATATCATGCCATCAATGAGTTGCTGGAAGAAGAAGGCTTAGTTACTGAGAGACTTCTGTCGTACCTTGCCCCAAGACCAAGCGCCGCCGAAATTATGGATGTAGATTGGCAGGAGTATGATGATGACGATGACGAGGATCACGAAGTATATGTCAGTGATGCAGAGGAATTGAGCGAATATGTCGCGATATCATAAGCCAGTAGGAGAGGCCCCTATGTCAGTCGTGTCCATATCCAACCCTCAGATGACGGTTCTTCTATGGATACTGACGGATCTGAAGAGCAAGCAGACTATGACGAGAGGGTCCAGAACATGTCTCCTGGTGCACGGCATGATGTTATGATGCTTGCTGCAGCAATAGCAAAAGGCAATGCTCGAAAGATCATCCAGTTGCATGCCGACAAATTGTTTCTTTCGGAGATCCCAGATTATGAAGATCCCAGTACCAAGTACGATAAGAACCAGTTTTTGGCCGACATCGACAGCGAAGAAATGCACGCAAAGATTATGGGTTTATTTCCAAATATACCCGCATCCCAACGCTGAGAATTCTGCATTAATACCATCAACACTGTACTATTTGTTGGGTGAACTTTCTTGAGTACCGATGCTACACTGCATAATGCACATCAATGCACGGTAAATGCTATCCATAGTGAAAAGTTTTAGAGTTGGTTTTTCACATACCCTGCTCCTCAAAAAAAAAAAAAAAAAAAAAAAAAAGCGAGCAAAACACAAAGCAATAAAGTGACAAATTGCCGATTTATTGGATTTTATTATATCAATGATGTGTATTTATCCATTTAGTATCAGCGAGTGAGTCGTGAGCGAACATTAAAGGTAAAGGTCCTTGTCTGCTATAATAAAACAATAATAATAATAATAGTAATAAAAATCAGAATCGGGAACTGGCAAGATGACTAGAAAATGTCATATCAGCTATTGGCTGAAAATGTTGGAGTGGTTATTATTATGGCAACTGCGAGCAAAAATGGTAGAGACGACAGTGGAAAGGAACGACTTGCTCCATCTCGAAGCAGACAGAAAACCAACTGCAGAGACAGCGCTGGTCACTAACAATCATCACCATGAAGATGGTGGGATTTTACCATCGCGAGGATGGTGGGATTTTACCATCGCGAGGATGGTGGTTAAGTTCTCTGCCCTAAGGTAGAGAGGTACCAATGCAGCTGCAGCTGTGTCTGTTGCTCGAGAGAGTGGCCGAGATCGTGAATAGAATGGACAAGGACAAGGAGAAGAGAGACTTGCTTGATGCTATGTGATTGAAAAAAAAGCTTACGCCATCACCTTCCCTCAGTTGCAATCTCTCATCCTTTAGCTACAATGTCCCTGTACCACGCTGCAATGTTTGACATAGAGAGGTTAGCTTAGAATAGTGTTTTTGAATTGAGAGACTCTTAGCCAACCAATGACCTAGAAATATAACAAATTTGAAATTTGTACAAAAGTGTACAATTATCGAGATTCCACTGTACTGTATTTTTGTCATTGTACCTGAATTTTTTATCCAGCAAGCCTCATAAACACTCCGTCAAAAAAAAACTTTTTTTTTTTTTTTTTTTGTGTTCGCTGTCACTCCACTCATTTGAATAATCTCGTGTTCACTCGCCCAGTGGCAACAAACAGGTAGCCCAGCTGGTGTATACCTTCTCAACACCTGCCTTTCCCTCCATTCATAATCCTCGCGTCCATTTCTTCATTCTCCCACATATACCCCCTCCCTCTTCCTTACTACATTCATATATACTTTCACAGCTCATTATGCTAGACCCAATACCCCGGAGTGTGTCCGAAATGACAGCACAGGAAGAGGAGCACGAACGCAACAACTTCTCACCCTTTAGTAAGTCACCCAATGGTCACCCAAAACAAAAAAGAAAAAAAAAAATGGATCAACCAAACAATAATAATCTTTGACAGCATTCATTCTTTTTTATGCTGATTTTGTTTTTAATTTTTTTTTTTTTTTTTTTTTTTTTTGCTCTTTATTTCTTTATTTCTAACCTTGCATTCAACTAACCTTCTTCACAAACATGACATTCACTCTCTTTGTCACCATTCATCAACAACTTTTACTCTACCACATTCACAGCAGAATACATTGATCATTCAAAACATGATCCAGAAAAGGTGGTCGAAGTCAGTCCCAATGGTCGATATGCCAAGGTATTCATAAAAAAAAAATCATTGTTTGCAAGTTTCTCTGGCCTTAAGACATGACTGAACATAATGATGCTGACCAGGGAGGGATCATGGAACACAAGAAATCAAGGATACGGGAACGCAAAAACTATAAAAAAAAAGGAAGGAAGAAACGAAAAAAGATTAATGTGGTTGTGTGTGAATTCTTCCAGGAAACTCGCCCAACTTTCAGGATGGTACATAAAAAAAATGTGTCCCTCTGCGGCCACGTTGTTTTTTGCTTTCATCAGCAGACAGTTGCTTTTTTTTTTATTTTTTTAACTCAACCAACTTGCATTCCCAGTTGATATTCAGGAACTACATTGGTAGGGCAAAAACAACAAGCATGGATATTCCATATTCTGCCCCGTTTTGGACATGCTCGGGACTAATTTGTCGAGTTCAGGGAAAACTGGGAAACTGAAAATCTAAAGAAACAAGAGAAAAGGAACTTTCATGCTCTTTTGTTGACCAAAAATGCACATTTATATATCACAATTCTTGTTCACTTTTTCCTTTAGCACAGAACAACACACAAAAAGAAAATGCCTCATACAAAGACAAGTCTAACCATAATTCTTTTTTTTTTTTTTTTTTTTTAAAAAAAAAAAATTCATGCTATATTACCATCGGGATTTTCCACCATCTTTCTCTCCTTTTTTTTTTTTTTTTTTTTTTTGTTGTTGTTATCCATTAACCCGATTCAGCTAAATTCAGTTCTCGGGAAGGGTGCATACAAGATTGTGTACAAGAGCATTGACCGCGAGGAAGGCTATGAGGTTGCCTGGAACTGCTTCCAGACCACGAAACAAGAATACGCTGAACTCTCGCAGGAAGTTGAGATTCTGAAACGTGTACGCCACCCCAATATCATTAATTTTCACGATTGTTGGTACAGCAACAATACAGAGTTCATTTTTATTACTGAGCTCATGACCTCTGGTACTTTGCGAGAGTAAGTCGTCATTTATTGAAGCTAAAAAAAAAAATTGACTAGTTAAAGCGCCATTTTTTTTTCTTTTTTTCTTTTAGGCTATTGTTGAGTCTAATCTTATTTGAATCCATTGCATACTTAAATATTAGATATATCCGTAAACTACAAACCCCAAATCTTAAAGTAATCAAACGCTGGTGTAGACAAATCCTCAAGGGGCTTATTTATCTCCACTCTTATGATCCCCCAATCATTCATCGTGACATCAAATGCGACAATATTTTTATCAATGGCGCCCATGGAGAAGTCAAGATCGGAGACATGGGTACCGCAAAGATGAAGATTGGCAAAAAATACACTGTCATTGGCACCCCTGAATTCATGGCACCAGAAATGTATGAGGAGAAGGGTTATAGTGAAAAGGTCGATATATATGCCTTTGGCATGTGCTTGCTAGAGATGGTAACCGGTGACTATCCCTACAACGAATGTAAAAACGCTGCACAAATCTACAAAAAGGTCACACAGGTAAGGAAGAAAAAAAAAAATTGCAACTTGATCATTTTGTTAGACTTTTATAGTCAGTAGAAATCTAAATTTCTTTGTATGCATGCATGTTTGTATGTTATTCCCTAATTTCGATAGGGACTCAAACCTGAATGTCTTAGTAGGATCATCGATCCTGAAGTCCTTAATTTAATACAACACTGTCTTGCTCCCGAAAACGAGAGGTATGGAGAAGTGCTATGCAGGAAAAAAAAAAAAAAAAAAAAAAAAAACGTTTGTCATCAACGTTGGACAATGATTCAATGATTTCTTTTTATCTGACATTTTTGAAGTACCTCTTTTTATTGTTTTGCACGCAAACATTAGATACTCGGCACAGGAGGCAATTGATGATGCTTTCTTAGGTGTGGAACCCGAGGTAGTCCTGTTATCCACTAATGAAGCTAAAAACCATTTGACGCTGCAGGTAGTTGTTAAGGGTATGGATAAACTTTCTGTAAAATTTGAGTTTAATGCCGATACGGATACGGCAGAAGAAGTCGTCAACGAAATGGTAAGAGGACACAAGAACCATTAAAATGTTGTAGTGGAGAGAGAGGGGGGGGGGGGGGGGGGGGGGGAAAAAATAACTATAACTCATACCTTTTCTTTTCCTACTTAGATCGAAGAGGATGTCCTACCACAAAAGTACCAGAGAATCATTACACATGATATCAATCGGATATTGCGCGAGCTGGCAGGGACAGGCGACAAAAAGGATAGTGCCGGTCTCACTCCTTCATCACCGATGCTGTATACAAATGGCCATAGCATCATTAATGGTATCTCGCATTTAACCCTCGATAATGGCTCCGGCAGTCCACATTCCTTTATAAGATCTACCAGTAACTTGTACCGTAAAACCTCAAATGCAGATTGGGCCACGACAGAAGAGGAGATTCCATTCAAAGGTAAAGAACATCTCTAGCTGAGCCAAACGCTATAAGGACGAACACATGATTCTCTGATACATTGTTTATTTATACTATGTCTCTCTCCCGACTCCTATAGAATATAGTATGGATGCTCCTATCGAGGATTTGGTCAACGACACTGCGATGGCGTACCACCGTGGACCGGATAAAGCAAATGAATGGCTTGCTAAACTCAAGAACCAAGATATTATGACAATTGGGGATCTTAAAGACCTACAGGATTCAGACTGGGCAGGATTTGATCTCACTGTCTTTGCATCTAGAGCACTTCGCAATCGATTGTTTGGCAAGCGACCTAACATTCTAACCCGGAGTTCCTCAAATGGCGTTTCGGATGATGGCAATCTTTAACCTCTATGAAGGATACACATTTTGCTTTCTAGGCCAATATCCTGGCACGACCTCTTTGTTTACCTTCTTGCTTCAGATAAATGTAGAGCACATGCCGTTCATGAAGAGTGACCCCCTCCAAAAAAAACAGCAACAATTATAATTTACTCTAAACTCAGTTTCAATAGATTTTACACCCCCACTCTTATTATTTTATTACAATGTACATATAAAAAAAAATACACATTAGTATTATTATTTTTCTAAAACAAGCAAACATTTGCACATTTATACACTTGCTGTAACAGTGTTGTTTTCTATCTGTTATGCTAACAGCTAATCGCTTTGCGACCACAAGTTGATTACACCGTTAATGGTCTCCTGTTGTTCCCGTCTCTGATACTCCATGACTGGCACGTAGGTTATGTCGGCGCTACTTCAAAGCTTCAGCTTCAGATGCAAGCGGGGTTGCGCGTGGGTTGTCAAAAGATAAAGGATAGGTTAAATCTTTTGACGACAGAGGAAATTCACGAGAAGAGGAGGGCGATGAAGGTGCTTTAAAGATCTGGTGCAGAGCGATGGGGGGTTCGAACTGAGCGCCATGAAGTAACTGGGGAGAGATAAGAACTAGGCCGTGAATTCCGATAATGATTAAAGCTTTCGGCCCTTTGTAGCGGCGGTAATGGGGAAGGGCTATTGTTACTATTTTAATATCATTTTATTAATCATGAGTCCTAATAATAAGTGAACGCTCTGATCATGTGCAATCTGGTCGAGCGTGGAGCGCATAATGTGAATGTGCGTGGTGAGTTAAGAATACGAGACGCTATGGTTGAACGTTGGAATGGCCTAGGTTGAATAGGCTGATTTCTGATTTGTCGGAAGAAAGGAGTCCTAGGATATCCTGGTTCGGCTTGGGTAGGAGTATGCACACCTTGTTGAGGCTCAGTGGGAGTTTTATTCAGAAGGAGTAGCCAGGTTGCATTCGAAGGGCTTGCTGTGTTCACCAACAAGCGTAAGTGTTCAACGCCCCTGCGGACTCAGCATGAGAATTTTCTTAAACATTGTTTTAGCAACTTAGCCCTAATACTCAAGACGGGCATCAGCAAGCCTTTTCAAATCGTTGGAAGTCAAGATGCCACCATTGAGCGCTAGGAAACGTTCAATCAACTCTAACTCAATATCTTTCTCAGGTCTAAGCAGCTCTTTTGCATTTACGATATAGAGGGTAAGCCATCCTTCAGCATATTCTCTTGCTGCCAAAAAAAATAGGAGTGAAAGCTCTTGCTAACACCAAGATTGTTCCTTTTTTCATCTCGTTCCAAAGCTCAAGCATTTGGTCCGTGACGAGAGTTTCAGAGTGTTGGCAGAATCTTGTAAAATCCTTTTGGGGATTGGCCCATGGATGGTATAGGGACCCACTTGCCAGGCTTCAGATCGCGTTTGAGATGATCAAATTCATTGCGTGGAGCAGGTTTGAGACTACTGCTTTCTAGTATATCAATCCAAACAGGCGGCAGCTCCACAAGGTTACCATCTGAAATAACTGATTCGTGAGCAGCCAAGAGCAAAAGGTACTGGAAGGCCGTGAGTGAGAATGCAGGTATTATTGTGATGAAGAAGAGTAAGAAAGTGAAGCGATGAGAAAGGAAGAAAGATGAAAATGTAGAAGATTGGCAATATAACGATGTCACTCACTGCGCTTATGAAGTTTTCTTTTTCTTTTTTTCTTTTTTTTTTTTTTTTTTTTACTTTTCTCTTTAATGGCTTGCTTTCGTTACTTGATTGAAGGACCCTTTGTTCTATGCTAAAAGCAGAATGTAAAAGACACTAAAAAGGTTAAATGGGTGGCAAAGTGAGTTGGTCAGAAAGTGCTGCGCACAGAAAAGAATCACACAAATTTTAACTTCCTTAATTTTAAAAAGAGTTAAAATCAAGCTATCAGAACTCATCTCGGATCCTAAGAATAAGGAAGAGAACGATAGAGGAATGCTTCGTGGCCATTTTTTAATTACTTTCTATTATCTTTAGCTTTGTCCTTGAGTTGCCATGTCTTTTTTCTTTTTTCTTTTTTTCTTTTTTCTTTTTTTTTTTGTCTATTCTTCGCTTTTTATAGAGGCAAAAACATGCCGTGAGCAGAGTAGGCCTCCATGTCCAAAAACAAGCATCAAATGCTCCTTTTATTAAATTTGTTAAAACACCAAAGTGGTAATCACAATGGGTCTATCTCGATCATTATCGTTTGACATATAGAGAAGAGGAGAATACAATGTGTTTGAAAAAGTAGTGAAGTTGCATAGTGGCGCATATGCCCTGGATCTTGGCAAAGTGACCATCATATTAAAATCCAGAACCAGAGCTGGAGAATTCTTTAATGTGCTGACCAGAGCAAGGCGTGTTTACGAACTGGATACCACATTCGACTGGAATTGGACCAAAGCTGACGTTGAAGCATTTGAGAAAGCACTAAAGAAATCAAGTGTATTGATCCCTCCATTTGAACTCGAAGAGTTTCAAAGGAAGAACCATTAGGGAATCTTTTTTAACATCCTTGAGATACGACAGTTGGAAGACAGAGTCTATCCTGTGTATGACCTTGGATCGATAATTGAACGCTATGGTTCGGATGATCCTGATGACCTAGTAGAGTAAAAAATGTGATATCGATGTGCTGATTTTTTTAAAAAAAAAAAAAAAAAAAAAAAAAACAAAAAAAACAGACATAGTTTGTAATTTGTATAGATGATATTCTATCTTATATCGTTTTTAGGCCCCATTCTAATTGATAAAATGTAAGCTGTGCCTACCATCAATTAGCCTCAAAGTTGGGATGTTGTGCATAACGTAATAAAAAGTGACATATTATACATATGTATTACAGCAAAGAACTTTTTAATGGGGAGGGAGGGAGGACGGTCTAGACTGAATTGAAATAGTTGAAACTACCTCTCGTGCTCATTTCATCCTTCATTAATTTGAAAAGAGTAAGGACATAGCTAAATATAAACTTGCAGCTGTCTCTCACGTCTTTCATTTCTCTTCTCAATTCTAAATTTCTAGTCACGTCCAACCTTCGGTATTTTAGCGTGCCATTTTCCAATGTAGATTCAACAAATACCCATTGGAATGAATCGGTTACGATTCCATAAGCCTTAAGGACTCTAGGGCAATCCCCATCATCCTTCTTAGTTCGTTTTCGTTCGCTATTGTGCAAGGCTACATCGAGCTGTACCATATTTTGTGCAAAGGCTTGAACATGACTGATCTTCACTACCGTAACGCCAAGAATTTGCGTTTGATTGATCCGGTCAATAACAGCAAAGTCCACATTTCCATAGCCGCGCGAGCCGCTTATAAACTCTTGCTGTGTAAGGAGCATATCGGATGCATAGAACTGCATTGCCCCAATCATGAATGCATCGACAATTGATGACCTTGTAGCCTCATTTGAATACATATCGAATGAATAAGCTTGGTGCTTGAGAATGCAGGCCTTCACAATATCTTCCAATGCTGCCTCTTCGAGCTCTGTCAATTCCTTGGGTTTAAGATCAAATTTTGGAAACAGTTCGAAGCGTCCAACATTATACGTCTCCTGACATCTTTTCCAGGTCCATGCCGAAAAATCAATGGCTGGGGTATCCAAAGATATAATGAGCCTCTTCCACTTTTTTGCTGAAATCTTGCCAAGATAGAACGAAATTGAATGTCGTCTGCCAACAACGAAAATGTCCTCGTTTCCTCATCGTACACAGATATTTGGACTTCCTCGAACTCATCAAACTCCAAATAAGGATCTTGAAGGTTTTCTCGCAGACTTTCTATAGTAGCTGTTTTAATCTCGGTGGAATATGTGCAAACAATCTCATCCCGATCTCTATTGTTCACGATGTTCAGTGCTAAAATTAACAATATAATCAGCTCTCTTTCACTATGGTTCTCTTTGACAACTTTCCATTCCACAGTTTCACTTATTGTCGATTATTACTTACTAATATATGTGTCCGCATGTAGTTGTTGCTTCAATTCGGCGTGTTCCTTTTGTGTCGTTTCTGAATATGTGTTCAAGTTGACGATTTCCTGGTTGGCCATTTCCTTTTGTAAATTTGCGTTCATCGTTTGTAGCCTTGCGATCATAGTTTCTAAATTTGCGTTCGTATGCAGCTGTTGCTTCAAGTCGGCGATTTCCTTTTGTAAATCTGCGTTCATCTTTTGTAGACTTGCGATTATAGGTTCGTTCTCTTCACGTTTAGCTTAGGAAAAAGGAATAAAAACAGAAAGTGCGCATGACTTGTTTAATCATAGTTAACTGTGGACAAAAAAAAAAAAGGTATACCAGTAGAGTGGAATAGTACCTGGTCGTTCAATAATGACATGGATGGTTTTTTTTGGTGGTACAGCGCCAAAAACCTCAGAGACCTCGTTAGTCGGATCTCCAAGCTTCTCTGGGTTTTTCTGCGCCTTCTGCTCGTCTGTAAGATTGCTTAATGTAATTGGTTTCTCGGAGATAGAAGAAATGGCGACATGCCAGAGAGTGAGCTTGCTTGCATCAATATCATGAAACTCTAGCTTCTTTTTCTTGATGGCATCTTTGAGATGGTCTATCGTTTTTGAAGAGGGGATATCCACAGGGAACACGGAGGAATCTCCATCGATAACGCAAAAGAGGGTTACTTCGGTGGTCATGGTGGTGTTATGAATGTTGTTTGTTTCAATTGTTTCAATGGAGCGAGTGTTTTAAAGGATGGCGATTGATTGCGCAAAGCTACAATGCGTCTTGCAAATAGGAAGAGAGCATTATCCATATTTGATTCTTATTTTAATGAATAACACCGCTGCAAATGGGTCAGACTACATCTGTGATTCGTATTCTTGCAAGGAACTCACCATACGAGAGTGATCCGGACAGGTAGATGATTGAGATGTCATGTGACAATATCTTCAAGTTCACAAAAAAAATTTGTGATCCTGTGCATGTTGCTGATGATGTAATACGGACGCCTTCCGATGGAAAGGATAATTATTATTAAAAATATTTGTATATTTGTCCTTGTTTATCATGTAGAGATGAAGGATGTATGTATAAATGGCAACTAAGCCTTCCATACTCTTGGCGTCTTCAATTGTTTATTGACCTTTGTTTACTCTCTCTACTCTCCGGCTTCAAGCAAAGATACTTCCACACTAAAGCAATACCCTGGTTACAAGTGTTACAAGTGAATTGTGGGAATATGAAGAAGAGTATATTGTGGTTGTACCAACGGTTGTGCAAAATAAAAAAAATAGATAAATGAAATATCTTTTTCCGCCCGTTTCATCCCTCTCCTTCTCTCTTTCTATCTCCTGTGTGTGTGGGCAACCAGGGGTGATCTTGGAGTACTTGTTTGTCCTCTTTCTTTCCTTCTCTCTCTCTCTCATTTTTTTTTCTTCCCCTATTCCTCTTACTTATTCTCACTCTCATTCTGTCTTTCAGCATATTCATACCCACACACGCTCTCACTTTCCTCTCAGCATTCGTAACACACACAACCCAGTCCTTACTTCCAATCGTTGTAATTACTGCTTATTCAGGCACCTTCAGTAATTTATATCCAGTCCTCATATCCCGAAACATCTTGGCGTCACTACTCCTAGCAGCACTCTCCATTTTTTCTTCAAGCTGTTATCTTCAGAGCGTTACTGCTGAAAAAAAAAAAAAAAAAAAAAATATACAGCCATCTATCTTGGTGTTTCAGGTACGAACCTTTTTTTTTTTTTTTTTTTTCCTTCTTCCGCAATACTTCATGACGATTGATTTGATCTACCTTTGTGGGAAAGAGTTAGAGTAGTAGAGAAAATTTTATACAGCCTTGCAGGTGGGGGCAATGGCAAAGATTAAAAAAAAAAAAAAAAAAAAAAAAACAAGGGTGATAGTAACCCAAGTTGTTCAGGTCCCCCCGGTCGCTCAGGCACAGCAGTTATTTTTAACTGGTAGCAATTGGTACACACATTCATTCACCTGATCTTTTGTCTTGGTTGTTTATTTGCAAATGGCTGTGCAGAGACGGGCGCAGAGAGACATGCTTCCATTTTAAGAAACAATGTTGGTGGCGAATGAGAAATAAGAGAGTTTTTATTTAAAAAAAAAAAAAGACGCTATTTCTTAATTGGTTTTATTATGATGCGTATTGTGTTATTGCGAAATAGCTATGGTATTTTTTTTTACGTTGGACATCGTCATGATCGTCATGATTTATATGTACTATGAACTATTATATCCTTTTCCCACTTTTCTTTTTCTTGACGTAGACACGCGGTCAGTTGGTTATACACTACTCACGACTGTAAACTCCTCAGGTCAGGTAGATCATGACCTAAGTCTTACACCCCCTTTTCTTTATGTCTACATTATCATTATCATTAACGACCTAAAGCCCGTTCATCAGAATGGGAGAGAGAAAGAGAAAGAGGGAGATGGGGGTGCAGGGACAACGAATGAGTGCATCTGCGTCCTTGTTGAACTACATTCCATGGAATTATTATGATCATTTTCCTCTTGATCTGCAGGACTTTGTTGCTCCATGACAATAACTCCTTTTAATGTTGCCAACACATGATTCCGTCCTACTGTCCTACTGTCCTACAAACTGTCCCCCCCCTCATTTCTCTCTCTCTCTCTCATACACCTCAGCTCCAGAAAGGGGAAAGGAGAAAAGACGACACAAAGTATTCAAAGTCAGAGTCGACTCAAGAGATGAAGAAGATTCACAAGAAGTTTGTCCCAAATGAAAGGGCGAAGAAAGGAATAGAAAAGAAATAGGCGATGCTGTAGTATAGACGTTTTTCTTTTCTTTTTTTTTTTATTGCTCTATTTTTATCAAAGCCTTACTTCATACCGTCTGCTTTGGTCTCGATCTTAGACCCAAAATTTCTAAAAATCCTGCTCCGAACAAGGGCGCATTGTCCACAATGCAATGATGAAGGAAAAGACCTATTGAGTGAACGGGAAAAGAGAGAAAAATGACAAAATAGAGAAAAAAATAATTGTCAATCCCATTGCAGTTGTTGCTAAAGGAATGATGCGGTCTGCCCTGTTTATCTTCCCTTACACCTGCACTTCACTACTTCACTTGCACTTTTTTTATTTTTAGGTAGCCAACAGCTCCAACTGACGCGTGCCTGATAATCACACACATCCTAAAGACCATTCACATTTTTTATTCTTATGTTATCGCTTTATACACATCGGACAGAGAATCAACAAACATCATCCGTCAGTCATAATCACTTGCCAAATCTTATTTAATTTATCTTATTTATTTATCTTACTTTTTATTTATTTACTTTTCTCTTCCCTCGCTTTTTTCTTTTTTTCCTCTTTTCTCTCTCTCCTCTCTCTCCTCTCTCTCCTCTCTCTCCTCTCTCTCCTCTCTCTCCTCTCTCCTCTTGTCTCTTCTCTTCTCTTTTTTTTTTCTCTCTTTTTTTTTTTTTTTTATATCTTCAATTGGATCCTCATCTTTCTTTTCCTCTCTCCATCTCCATTGATAGATCTCCTTTTCAATTCCACGCCTCCCTCTTGCCTTCTCTTCCTCTGAAAATCCTCGACAGTGCCACATAACCACAATTTGGTGATCAAGATGCGCCAACTTGACTCAATCCTTGCAGCTGACCCTGATGTTGATGCTCAACATAATCCATATCCAACACATCGATCCCGCAACCCCGGTTCTCCTAAACCAACCCCAAAACCAACCTCAAAACCGAAACCGAAACCAAAACCAAAACCAACCTCAAAACCTAGACCAAAGCCTAAACCCACACCAACTCGCCGGCATCGTCGCCCAAGGCCCTCACCCACAAAAACTAGAAGTCGTAATCCTTCCCGACCTACAAGGTCACCACGCCCCACTAGGTCGCCGCGTCCCACCCGATCTTCGATTCGTGAACCATCCACATCCAGTGTATACCCAACTAATACCTCATTACCACCATGTACATCATTTCCACAGCCAACGGCAACGCAATCCAGTATCTACCTTCCGCCACCACCAGGGCCTGTGCCCACCTCCGTTTCGAGCTCGCCTTCCATTACTTTTCCATTTCCATCACCTTCTGTACCCGTAATAACTAGTCCATCCAGTCCATCCAGTCCATCCAGTCCATCCAGTCCATCCAGTCCATCCAGTCCGTCCGATTCATCTAGCCCATCTATAATACCAACCGTGACATCTACTACAATCACCATTTCTACCTCCACCACCTCGTCAATCATCACCCCACCACCTTCAGGATCACCAGATCCAAATCCTTCTAAAATGTCGGGCGCATCTTCATCGTCCTTGGCTGCAATCTTGGGAGGAGTCGTAGGAGCGATTGTATTATTTAGTCTTATCGCCCTTGCGTTTTATCGGCATCATGAACGGAAGCGTGCTCGAATGGAGTACATGAACGTCGGGACCAGCGATGGCTCGTTCCATCCAGAGATGGAGGAAGGGCCCCGCACAGCGTTTAGACATGAATCGTTCATGGCACTCGTCCAGGATGCAGCCAAAGGATTCTATGCACCTACGATGGATATGGATCCTGCAGGTCCTTCAGGCACTTCTGGTGCTGCTGGAGCAGGAGCAGGAGCAGGAGTAGGTCCCTATAATGCTTACTACCCATCGGGTGGATTGGGTCATCAGGGCGAACAGCCCAGTTATGGTCAGGCAGTGCCCTATAAGGGCAATCGCCGCTCAGAGAGTGGACAGAGTTTACAATATTTAGAGATTGGTTCCGGATCACCATCATCTCCGCCTAATGCACATGTTCAGCCTCCCTATCGATATGATTAGATTTTTTATTTTATTTTTTTATGATGTTTTATACCTCCCCTTCTATTCAAAAAGAAATGTAGATAGCCCATTTTAATCTTTTTGTTGTTGTTAATAGCACAGCACAGCCCAAGCATTCTTTTTTTTTTTTAAAAAAAAATAAAAATAAAAAGCATTTTCATGGTGGGGCTTTAAGCCTTGATTCTAAATATTAATACATTCGCATCAAACATGTCAGTTTATCTCAATGGACAGTGAGAGTGAGAGAGAATGGAGAGAGTCCTCCCAGACGAGATATTGATGATATGTTGATATGTTGATATGTATAAATATAACATAATGCGGTGACGCCATGGTCCCATTATCTCGGGAAGGAGCATTTGAGAAAAATAAAAATAAAAAAAATAGTGAAATGTAAGACCGACGTTGAGAGGAACAATGTTCGTAAGGCAGATTGATCGTCATTGCATTTTTAGCATTTTTTAGCATTTTTTGGCATTTTTTTTTCTTGGGTATCTTTTAAAGTCATTCCAAAATCCTAAAATCAAGGGCGTCCATCAAAAAAGCGTTTCAAATAACCAGTTGGTTTCATCCAATGAGATGGGATATGATGACAATACGGGTTCAGACGCGGGTAGCTTATCAGATGAAATGTGAAAGGATCCCCCCCTTAGTTGGTCTGTGCCAAGGCTCTGTTGTGTTGGGTTTTTTCTAAATTGTTCAGAGCATTGAGGTAAAATGATCCTGCACGTTGCAGACAGTCAAATCGAAGAGTTTTTTTAGAACAACATTGCATCGTAGTGCATCATCTTTTTTTATCTTTTTTTCATCATTGGCCAAGTCGTTCCAGTAGCTACGTTTTTTTTTTTTTTTTTTTTTTTTTTTTCCCTAATGGCTATAGGTTAGACGCGATATTGTTATAAAGTTGATATGTTCATTACGCTAGAATTATAGTTTCTTGTTCCTTGTTCCTATCCGTGTGCGAATGCGAGCAGATGTAGATACCATCCCACTTTTTGTGTAATGGTCAGCACTTGATTTTGATCCAGATCCAGCTATTGGATCAACATGGAACATGTCAGCACGAGTGGGATGAGAACAGGCAGTTGGCTTTTTTTTTTTTTGTAGCCCCTTTTTTTTTTTTATAAAAAGGGTGCGCCCAAGTTCCTGAAGAGTAGAGAGAGAGAAGTGAAGAGAGAGAGAGGGGGACTAACAAGCCTCAGATGATACAAGCGACCATGCAACAAGTGTGTCATCTGCTTTTCTGTGCTTCGCTTCTATTTTCCAACATCCCGAAATTAACATCCATCCAACACAATCCATTGACGGCACACTTTTCCTCTTCCTTTTACTCCCTCCTCCCTCCCCTTCGCTCATTCACTCACTATTCATCTCTCTCCTTCCTTTCCTTTCCTTCCTTTTCTTTCTAAACGCAGAAATATATTGTACAAATCTATATTTTCTTTTTCTGTACCTTCCTTCCTTCCTTCTAAAGATTTTTTTTTTTTTTTTTTTTTTTGACGCTCATCTTTCTATATCGTAATCAGAGTGTTCACTTCTCCTTGTTCTACTGTTCATCTCTCTCTCTTTCTCTCCCTCACACACATAATCTCACACTCTCTTGGTTCTCCCGCCTACCTTTCCCACACGCACACACTTGTCTCCTTGAAGAGCCTGGATTGACTTCAGCCTCGCTTCTTAATCACAGCACTTTACATCCCATTCCCCTCTATTATGAGAAACTCACAATCATCATCAAGGAAACGAACTCTAGCACTTATCTTTCTCTTTGCATCACAAACTGTTAATGCAGCAGTGATCCCACCCGCACGATGGGGACATGTCTCCGTATGTCTATAAGCAAATATATATATATATATATCTTGCACGTTTTTTTTTTTCTTTTATGGATGTCTAAACCTTACCTTTTCGACCATGCTCTCTCACACAACTTTCTTGCTTTTTTTTCTTTATTTTATCTACCAATTATCCTTTACATATACTACTGCTTTATTCTTTATTTTGTGTTTTTTTTTTTTTTTTTTTGACAGATCTTGTGTGGTAACCAGCTATTTGTACATGGAGGACATACAGGAGTCAATCCTCTTACCGCACCCATTGGGTCCGACATCTATTCCCTTGATATCTCTAAAGCCTTCAACTCTTTCTCAGTACCATGGGTCCAACTCACGCCCGGACCCTACGCATCCTTTCATTCCATGGGCTTGACAGGTCCGGAGAATAGCCTTTTGGCCATCTATGGAGGGAACACATCGTTTTCTTCAGAGACCACAGCAAACTCACTTAATTTGTACAATACAGTCTCGGGGACCTGGATGTCCTCACCACTAAAAGATCCTCCGAGAAGGGAGCAGCAGGCTGCAGCATCTCGGTTGAGTGATGGAACTATTTTTGTATTCGGAGGGATGATTTTCTCTCCTTCTTCTTCTTCTTCTTCTTCTTCTTCGCCAGAAGGGTCAGCCACATCAGAATTGTGGTCATTGGGTGGATATATTGAAACTGGTCATGGAAGCACACCGTCCAATTCGTCCAGTGGTACTATAACACCAACAGCAACAGCGACAGCGGAAATAACGACGACTGCAGCTGCACAGCCAATACCTACAGGGATTACTGCAGGAGCTGCAGGGTGGCAGAAATTGGTCAGCCCACAGGTGGGCTCAACTATATCAACAACAGATCGATCTTTTCATACAGCAACGTTGATTCGGTCGAATGGGTTGTTGGTCATTATTGGTGGCGTCTCTGGAGGATCCTTAGTGTCAATGTCCGATATTTTGGTGTATGACACAAAAGCGGGGACATGGTCTGTTCAGACAGCCACAGGGGCGACTCCGCCTCTTCGAAGGAATCATGTTGCTGCAGCTAGTAAGTCCCAAAAAAAAAAAAAAAAAAAAAAATTCACTAGAATGATAGAAATCGATAGAATCGATATGATAACATGTATAAATAGTTACTAACATTTCAATTCATTTGCATGTATAATTTTGCACACATGTTGCGTCATATTTTTTATTTTATCATTCACCAACATCTAATTTTTGAACTTTCAGCCAGTAACGGTCAGATTTACATCCACGGAGGGACAGACTTGGGTGCCACGACCTACTTTTCTGACGTAGCTATCTTGGGTAAACAAAACAAAACAAAACAAACAAAACAAAAAAGAAAAAACAACTGTACCAAACAAAACAAAACAAATGCAAGACAAAGACAAAGACAAAGGGACAAAAGGAACAAAAAAAAAAAAAAAAGTTTACTTGCAATGTTCTCACCGATGACACTATTTTCTTCTTTTTTTCCCATTGCTTCGTGTGCCTAATATTTTTTTCTTATTAAGATACCACGTCATGGTCATGGAATCAACCAGCGATTGAAGGCACAGCCCCCACTGGACGATATTCTCATTCTGCTGTCATGGTCGGTAACAACATGATCGTGTCCTTTGGTAAGCAAAACGATTCATGCTAAATAAAGATATTTTTTACATCCTAACCTAATCACCTAGTAAGCTTATTGCTTACATCCTAACAAACTAATTTTTTTTTTTTTTTTTTTTTTTTTTTTTTCCCAGGTCTGACCGCAGGAGGAGCAACAAATAATATCTACGTCCTAGACACGAGCACAAACACATGGCAATCATCCTACACTCCCAGTAACCTTGCTGCGACTTCTACCAAACCACAGGATTGGCCCGGATATAAACCACCACCTGTTCCACCAATCATCACACCCGGTAAAAACGGGACTGACCAACCATCCACACCTCCAGAATCAGGAAAAAACAATGTTTTAAGCATTGGATCCATTGTTGGTGGTGTGATCGGAGTAATTGCACTCTCTGCAATCCTGTTTGTCGTCCTGCGACGCAACCGACGACGTCAACTCTTGGACAATCAGGCCAAAATCGCAAGCTTCTATGAATCTGGTTATGCAAACCAACGGGGCTATCAATTGCAGGAGACATATTATCAACCTACGGGCATGGCATTTGAAGAGTCCGCACCATCCTTTGGGAAACGAATGTATTGGCTATGGAACGGTCTGGGAGCTGCTGCATTCTGGCGTAAGAAAAACGAAAGGCTCGCTATCAACCGAACACTCCCTCACAAGCTCGAAAACCGAGAGGATGATCGCGAGAGCATGCGGAGCCTTCAAGTTGGACCGATAACCGATCAAGACATCTTTTTGGATGCAGTGCATCGAGCACGATCGAGGATCGATAGGCTCTCACCAGTGTTCACACCTTTACAGCAACCGATCCGGATGACATCACCCACATCCGACTCTGAATCACCTGGACCGGTCTCGACAGGGATCGGTAGTCCCCTCCGACAGAGCTGTGCCTATACTGATTTCAGTGGGTATTCAACCGGGGATAGCCCTATATCGGCACTTCCTCATGGACGGACATACTCGGATGGATTCGAAAACTCGATGCTGGAAATGGATGTACAGATGGTGGCAGTGCCTAGAGGACGGCTGTATGTTGTTAATCCATCGGATGAGGTTGTTCACGGTAGTGGTGGTGGGGAGCAGGATTCCTACCAGATCAGCCCACCAGATCAGTATGAAAACAACAGACCAACTCCATAAAGGAATAATAACGGGGATGGGTTGATTAAAATGTAAATAGTATATATATAAATGTATAAATGTATAAATGAACATTTACATAAAAAAAAACTAAATACCAACGCGTTTATTCCCAAATCACGCGTCTCATTTTGCAGATTGCAGCAAGCACACAAAAAGGGGATTGGTAAGCAAGTTACAGGTTATCATACAAGGTTGCAGTAAAGAGTGCACAGACAAAGAAAGGGGAAGAAAAGAAAAGGCTTTAAGGGGCAGCCATGTCAGTAATGTGTTATTTTTTTTTTTTATTTTTTAAAACAGCCATGAAGTAACTAGGACTTGACTCTCTGCCCTTTGTTGTTCGACACACCAGTTGGTCGATGCCCATTTAAAGACTCTCATTGTCCTTTTCTTCCTATTTTATTTCCATTCTTTATTTCCTTGGCTCGTCCTTCGCTATTCATTCTTCTTTTTCTTTTTCTTTTTCTTTTTCTTCTTCTTCTTCTTCTTCTTCTTCTTCTGTAAAGCACAGCTTTAACCTTACGACATTTTTTCTTAAAAAAAAAAAAGGGAAAATAAAAAGGAGAGAGAAAGAGAGAGAAAGAGAGAGAGAGAGAGAGAGTCATTGCCTCGCATTCTGCATAACTCTCGGACAGTCACGATGGACATGAGCCAGGCTCGACTAAAGCAGCGACAAGGACTCGAGCCCAACCAGGTGAGCGAATGAATGAATGACGATGAAACTGAAGAAAAGGAAAAAATGAGAAAAGTCTCGAGAACTTTATGCTTTATTCAGCTGTAGGAGTTTTTTTTTTTTTTATAAAAAAAAAAAAAAAAAAAAAAAAAGCGTTGTGGTTACATAAAAGAAAAAAAGCTCGTTAATGGAGGATTAAATCTTGAATGAAGAAATGAAGACATTGGCTTTTTTTTTTTTTTTTTTTTTTTTTTTTCTTTTTGCTTAAACAACAATGACCATAAGCATGTGAACAAAGGCAAGCAGCAGGACAAATCTATGCAGTTTCGGATAATCACAAGGAAACACCAAAAGAAAAAAAAAAAAAAAAAAAGCTTCAACAGAAGAAAAAGGATCCAGTATTTGCAACATTTACAGGCTCGCAATACAATTACAGGCTGTAGAATGCGTTCAATTGATAGCCTTACGACCATCATTTATCCCCTATTGCCTGGACTTGAGATATAATCAGTGCTGCTGAAGGTTTAGACTTCATAATCAACATCAGCCCCCATACGCTCCAGCTTTATTGGTCCTCATGGTAGGACAGAGGAGATATAGAGTTCAGGGTTGGACACGCTGTGAATGGAGGACAGGAGGACAGGAGGACAGGACGATAGGACGATAGGACGACAGGAGGGTGGGAAAAGAAACGCATTGTCATGGGATAGAAGCGAAACAGCTGAATGGCAAGAGCGTGATCTCACATAATAACCCTTCTTCATCTCCCATCTTAGCGTCGAATTCGCCATATCCATTGTATCCAGGCCAGAAACCTCACATTCACAAGGAATGCGAATCAGAAGACACTTGCCTCCGTGTTATGTCATTCTTCAGGTTCACAATACCAGTATGGTCTTTGTTCATGTCAGCTATTCAACTTTAAGCAGTATCGCAAGCAATAGTAATAACAATCATGTCTGTTTCAGCAGCGCATACCAACATACACTTTGTCATTATTAAACCCATACTAGATCAATTACATCTTCACTGGAGCCGCCATCCACCACGTCATCCCCGACAAAGAGCTATTTTAGACCTCCATGGAGAAGCTATCATCAGGGTATTCAAAAGGTCCGAGGACCAGGGTCAGATGCAGGATCAACCTCTGCTTCAGATTCAGGCAGGGCTTCATCCGTGATCAAAGAGCCAATCGCTCGCCTTTCCGCAGGAATCAAGGCTACCATGTTCAGTACTGGATACTCACATGAATCAGGATATACATTCGAGGCAGGGTCAACGCCAGGAGCCTCTTCATCAAAAACAAAAACAAGGTACAGGGCGTCTACAGATCTTTCGATTTCAAAATCCTTCTCGAATGATGGGCAGTACCGTTTTCAGCAACACTTGCGGCAAATACAACAAGGGGAGGATCCATCCTCCTTAAGGCGGGTCTCAACAGAGTGGACAGCTATTACAAATTCACCTTCTTCATTCACACCGTCAAAAGAACAGCACCTTTTCCACAGCAAAGACGCTCTTACACGTAATAACAAAGATTTCCAGAATCAGAGCGCTAGTCTTTCGCCTATAGGGAGTCAGTCAGTGCAACCCAATGCTGGTGCAGAGGAGAGCACTTGGCTGCCGCCTTTTGTAACGAAATTGAGCGAGAAACGTCGGCCCATTCTATTGGATACCTATTTCACGCTTCACAATATCACTAATGGTATATATCTTTAATCACAGCCGAATATCTGATCAAAAGGATTACAGGAGGAAAAAAAGATAATGAAGACTGATCTGGAAATAATGTATCTTTTTTTTTTTTTTTTTTTTTTTTTTTCTTTTTTCGCTGAATTATTATAAATCTCCTCTAGACGCCATCATCTATACCAGTGAAACTGTCATGGGCTCCAACGTAAGGATTATTTGGCTTGTTATTTACAGGTTACTTTTTACCACCAAAGTTTTGATCCAAAGGATTTTAAAATATCAGATGGTATTTTTCTTTGATGTTGTTGTTCTAGAATCCTAAATACAGCCCTCTCGAGGAACATCAGTTTACTGATCCAGCAAAACGGCGCTCCAATAACGTCACAATCCGGATATGGGCTGGTCATTGTGGATCGGATTTTTATCCTTTATTGGAGTGGCGGGTTGATCTTTGCTGTCTGCGCTTTATCGGGAAGGAACTACGCGACTTACCAACAAGTTTACCAAACAACACAATCCTATTTGGGTTTCATGATGGGTTCTATACTGCGCCGGATGAGGGTGACACAGTGGAACATGCTTTTCATGCCTCAGTCACGGCTGAACCAACGATTGTAATACTAGGATCAGGATCTGGTGGATTAGTTCAATCCTACTCGTATGATTCTGTGATGAGACTGAACAACCTGCATGAGTGTATCGCAGACACAAAGCGATCTAGAGATGAAGTCAAACATAATATCGAGCTAGCTTTAAACAAAGAGGATGCACCGATGACCATGGTAAGTCTTTGACTCTGGAATAGGAAAATGAAAATATTTTTTGATGGTGCTGACAAAGGTAATTAAAAATGTATGTCTCTTTATTAACTTTTATTTATTTATTCATAGCTAAAGCGCCGCAGCGAATATACGGAACGATTATGGCATTTGCAACGACAGGTGGGGCATGAGCTCAACGTTCTGGAACAAGGTATGTCAGAAAAAAAGTCATGCCAATCAGACAAAAAAAAAAAAAAAAAAAAAAAAAGGATCCTCTCATTTGTCTGTATACTCATCATTCATCCTTATATGGTTACTTACCCTGATGTGCTTAGCTCAGGACCGAGCAGCAGCTCTCAAAAAGGAACATTCCGAGCGACGGAAGGCACTTGAAGAATCCAGAGAACGTGGCCAAACACAGGAAATGTATCTGGAAGAGAATCTTGTCAATCTCGTAAACAGCAAGGAGAGTCTCTATCATACACTTAAAGAATACTCCACTAAACGGACAGAACTCATCGCCACATTATTTACGATATTTCCAATCACTGAGGCAAGTTATTCGGACACCATCCCCTTACTCGCCTCTGATCGACTTTTATTATTATTATTATTATTATTTTTTACCTTTATTTATAATGCTCCACCTATTAATATCTAACCATTTTGTTTTTTTTGCATACATTACAGTCAGAGACGAACCCCGGCCTTCTCAAAATTTGCAATGTGCCTTTACCCAACTCTGTATACACCGGTCAGGATGAGGACTTGATTTCAATAGGATTGGGATACACGTCTCATCTAGTCACTATGTTGGCCCACTACCTCTGTGTACCCCTGCGATACCCAATTACACCTATGGGATCAAGAGCATCAATATTCGACCCTGTTTCTCTTTTGATTGGACCTAAAGAGTATGTTAATAGAATATTGTCTGGGCTTGGCAATAAAAAAAAAAAAAAAAAAAAAAAAAAAAGCACAGAAAGATAGGCTATTATATTAACGGTATACGGGTTTTACGCCGTTCTTCATTAGATTTCCTCTATATGGGAAAGGACAGGAAAGGAATCGATTCGAATATGGCGTGTTTCTTTTAAACAAGAATATTGAGCAGTTGATGAATTCACAAGGACTACAGTTCATGGACCTTCGGCAGACCCTCCCTAATCTAAGATACCTTATGGAGATCCTACTTACTTCATCCCCTAGGTACAACCAATCGTTTCGCTATAACTTTTATGCTGTACATTTATCGTGTACTAGTTTTTCATTTTTCATTTTTCATTTTTCATCTTTTTTTTTTTTTTTTTTTTTTTTTTTAACCATTTTCTTTCCATGGATTTGCAATTGCTAGCCAGTCTACGCTATACAGATCCAAATATATTAATCGAAGGAAACAGGATCGCTCGGAGCAAAGCAGGCAGACAGATTTTATTGTGCTCCCGGTGGAACAACATGGCTACCAGTATACTAGTAGCTCTAATGTCCTACAGGATGGTTCAGTCAATAATGAAGATAACCAGCAAGGAGAAGGGTTGAGGCCGAGAGCACATACGCACGAACGTAATCCATCATTATCCAAACCTAACAGTACTAGCGATCGATCATCGTTAATACGGGAGTACGACCCCATCGAAGGCGACTACATGCTCGTTCTAGATAATGCCGCAACCAAATCCTCTCGTCGTAACCGAAAAGGAACCAATGGTAGCGAGATATCATCATCACACTCCATATCCACTGCAGAACATACTGATGTATTAAAACTAGACTGTTCATTAATGGCGCCAAAAGAAGGACATCACAGGATATCGGCGGGTATAAGCAGTACCATTCATCATCATCACCAGTTGCATCAGGACTACGCATTAAGTACTAGCTTCAGTGGAACTGAAGATGATAACGAGAGCACGGATGATCCAGCGTTCAGGGATTGGGCAAGCGAAGCACCACACATTTCTGTAGAGAAGACAGAGGAGGATGAACATAGTAATCCTGTCTTGACAACTCACCAAGATTTCAAAATGATCAATACGAATGAGCTATTCAGGACAGCCAAACCTGTGATTATTATGGACAACCCTGATATTGACTACTCTATCAGTGGTAAAAGTAGTCCTGCAACCATGAGTGAAAGTGAACATGAAAGCGATCATTCCCGACATGGTTTTGCGAAACAACAACAAGGAACACACAGCGGAGTCCTTGATACCACAGCACCACCACAGCCCATAGGATCAAACCCGACTAGTATACGGGATAGTGTCGATGAAATGAACAGGGACTCCACAACGAATTATCAAGACGTATCGCAATCATCGCCATCACAGTTACCATCAATAGCTGATGCTACTGTGCCTTCAAAAGATCGGAAACAATTTATAGCTTTCGGACGGAAGACCAGTGAGACGATGATCTCGGAAACATTAAAAGAGACGCAGATACCGAAATTTAGACGGTCCAAGGTCAATACGCCTCCGAGTACGATGGCGTATCAGAGTACTGGACGTTCTAATGTGAAGCATGAGAACGGTGGCAATGAAGAGGATAGCAGCATAGGTCATAATCGAAGCGATGAGGGCGATTGCGATCAGACGGACATTAAAGAGATGATGCATTCACACCGACCATCATCACCACCCGTTAACTCTGCGAGAACTATTACCTCTGGGATATTTGAGGCGAGTGGATAGAAAGAAAGAAAGAAAGAAAGAAGAGAAAAAAGAAAATGGTCTATCATCTTTTTTTTTTTTTTTTTTTTTTTTTTTTACAAATATATATATATATATTGGTCTAATATGGACGCAGACCTATTGTAAAACAAGAACAATAAATGCTGTATATGCTGTATCATACAAATCCTACATGGTTTAATTTTATTTGCCTTTTTTTATATTACTGTTGCAGTCTTCGGATGTCGTCTTGAACAAGGCGAATACGATCCATGATCTCGGTGTATGCATTTACAATCATATTGAATTCATCCCCTGCGCTTTGATATCTCTGAAGCAATATGGAATTTTGTTGAATTTGTTGTTCAAGTGATTGTTGTTTCCGATCAAGAATCTCACTGTTTGTCATTATTATTATTATTAAAAAAAAAAAAAAAAAAAAAAAAAATCAGGATATTTGTGAATGAGAATTTTTTTTCTTTAATTTAATTTTCTTTTCCCTGACTTACCGGACTTGGATCGCTTGGGTTACTGTATCTTTGTTATAAGTATGTTCTAGTGCAGACACTTTCAAGATTCTAGATATTTGAATAAACAAATAAAAAAACAACAAAGCAAATTAAATAAAAAAAGCTTGATTCAAAGTACGTGCTAAAATATCAATATACACACACATATATATATATATACATTTATACATTTTGTTCGTATCATGTTGGACATACTTCAATTTTAAAGTGACAGAGTCAATCATCTGTGAGAAATAATCCTTAAAGACTTTTTGCTCCTGCTCTAAATGATATTGGACCAAGTACTCGGTAATGATGTCCCAAAGGAGAACAATTGAGGAATGAAGCGTGTTGAAGAGTTCCTGAGCTTTGTTCTGGATCTCCTGATCTAAGGCAATACAGTCTTCTTTGGCCTTGTTTAAATGAAGGAGCTGCTGACGAGTGTTTGAGATCAAATCAGAAAGCGATAATTGGGATTGAGATTGAGATTGAGATTGAGATTGAGATTGAGACCCAGACGTCACTTTCGTAGATAATAGTGGTGACAACGATACATCCGTCAAGCCAGCGGGGGGAAAAGCCATAGGGGTGTTGTTACAATGGAGGGTGAGGACATCCTGACAGCGTTGTTGGATCGTTTGTTCAATGGTCTCGATCATGGGTTGAGAAAAGCCTTCAAGAGCTGTGAGATGGGGCTGTAGTAACTTGAATGTGAAGCCATCCAAATCCAGTTCGGAATCCAACCCCTGATTTAGATCATAGTTCATGTCCATGGACATATCTACATCCATATCCATCATATCTGTGCTGTATCCCTTTTGTACTCGAAGTTCTCTTTGAACTAATAGGTCCAATAAGGATGAAGAGAATGTTCCGGTAGCATCATTTTCGGATGGTGTCACGATATCAGTAGAGTCTCCAGAAAGCTGATCGCTGTTGGGTAATGGGATAGAGTTTGATCGAAGGCTGAGGTTAAAGCTATTGTTGAGGCTGGTGCTGGCGCTGCCTTTTGTTCTGTCTTCCTCTTTCCCTTGCTCTTTCTTGTTTTTGTTCCTGTTTGGAAGCTGAAGCCGCCGTACTTCTAGGATACTGATGATACGATCGACATGAGTGGCGATTTCTCTTTGAAGATCAGCAGCTTGAGGGGAAAGAGGTGGATCCTGACAGCTTTGATTATCCAGAGGTAAGAATCGGAGTCGTTCAAGAGGCTCATAGAGAGTTTTTGTCTCCAAGTAGGATTTCTTATGTTGAAGGTTGTAAGATGCCTTTAAACCAATTATTAATCGCGTCAAGCTGTGTCGTTTTCTCAAGTTTGGTCAAGAAGAGAGGAAAAGATATCAAGAAAAATTTTTTTTTTTTTTTTTTTTTTTTTTTGTTTAACGCTACCTCGTGTAGCTTTTGAGCATATTCACGACTAAGTCCAGAAGCAGTCAAGAAGCGAGAATTGATGTCGGAGATCAAGTCAGCAAGGTCTGAATCGGGTAGAGTTGTCTTTGAGGATTGCATGATGAATGGGACATTGCTTTTGAAAGTGGAACAGACAATGAGAAGAGCTGGCAAAATGTTTTCAACAGAATGACTTTCTTGTTGTCTGTTCTCTTTCCCCCGCCACACTCCCTTCCAAAAAGATTGATAGAAATGTGAACACGCAGCAGACGCGTTTTCTTTTTTTAATAAGGAAAAAAAGACGCAGTCCCAAAACCACTGTCCAGAGTGCGATGCCATTCTCTTACGCATGTCCCTCCCTCTTTCTCTCATTTACCTTTCTCGCGACTACCCCTCCTCCATCCTAGCTTGAGAAAACATTCCTCTCGATTCAATCTTATTCAAAAGGTATAAGAAATAAGCCCTCCAGCCTCATTTTTGAACTGATCCCAATCTGAAAAAAAGAGCCATGCAATGACGCGTGCCACTTCTAGTCTTTAAAGTTTCTGTAGCAGAAGCATGCTGCGCCAGACCTTGGACCTACTTATTCACTGCCTTGCGTGTATACTTTTTTTCTTCTTATTTCTAACAAACATTCTGTAGAATACATTCTTGAACACGACCACCGCCTCATTTCAACTAATACCCAACCCATACCATGAGTGACGATGATGATTTCATTATGGAGGAGGAAGAAGATGAGGATTATGACTTTGATTACGAGGACGAAGACGGTGACGAACCGGATGTGGACCTAGAAAATAAATACTACAATGCCAAAGGACATAAAGAGGACGAACCAGAGACAGCTCTCATCGAATTCCAGGGTGTTGTTGATGCAGAAACTGAGAAGGGCGATTGGTAAGGCCACGAATGATACAGTGCGAATATTTGACATTGCATTTTTTCCCCTCCCTATTGGAGCCATGAATATATCTGGGCTAACAAGTTGTATTGAATAATATCTCAAATCTAAAAAACAAAACAAACAAAAAAAAAAAAAAAAAAAAAAAAAAAACAAATGAAGGGGATTCAAAGCTTTGAAACAGATGGTCAAGTTGTCCTTCAAGATGGGAAATTATGACAAGGCAAGTGAGCTCATGGCTGTGCTTTTATTTTATTTTATTTTCCCTCTTTTTCCCATAATCATTTCATTATTTATGAATGTATGTGTGCTTATTCTGCTTTTTTTTTTTTTTTTTTTTTTTTGTCCATACTTTCACAATATAGACGCTTGAGTACTATCAACAATTATTGCCATACACAAAGTCTGCGGTCACAAGGAACTATAGTGAAAAGAGCATCAACAACATTCTGGACTGTATTTCTTCCTCTTCTGACATGGCGTTTATGGAGAAGTTCTACCAAACAACATTGAATGCTTTGAAAGAGTCAAATAACGAAGTAAGGAGAAAGGAGAGGGAAAAAAAAAAAAACTGTGAATACGGTTCGTTTGCTTGATCTATATCCATGTAAGCCAAATGTTGACAGTTATCCATTTTGCTAATTAGCGGCTGCTGGTCAAGACAAACCTAAAGTTGGCAAAGCTGTGGCTAGACAGAAAGGAATACGGTCGCTTGTCAAAGATTCTGCGCCAGTTGCACGCATCTTGCCAGGCAGATGACGGCACAGATGATCAGCGCAAGGGCACACATCTGCTCGAGATCTTTGCGCTCGAGATTCAAATGTACACAGCCACAAAGAACAGCAAAAAGCTGAAAGCGCTGTACCAACAATGTCTCTCTGTCAAGTCTGCAATCCCCCACCCTCGCATCATGGGCGTCATCCGTGAGTGTGGAGGCAAGATGCACATGAGTGAAAAGGAATGGGATCAAGCCCAGACAGACTTTTTCGAATCATTCCGCAACTATGATGAGGCTGGTAGCTTTCAGCGCATCCAGGTATTGAAATACCTTGTACTGGCCAACATGCTGATGGAATCACCAATCAACCCGTTCGATTCACAGGAGACTGGGCCCTACAAGAACGATCCTCAGATCGTGGCTATGACAAACCTAGTGAGCGCATATCAACGGAGGGACATTCGAGAGTTTGAGAAGATTCTAAGGGATAACCGTGCGACCATCATGGACGATCCATTTATCCGTTCTTATATTGATGATGTGCTCAAGAACATTCGGACACAGGTCTTGATCAGGTTGATCAAGCCCTATACTAGGATCGAGATCTCCTTCATCTCTCGCCAACTCAATATTCCTGCACAGGATGTTGAGGATCTGTTGGTTGGTTTGATTTTGGACAAGAAGATTGCAGGACATATCGACCAAGTGAATCAGCGGCTGGAGTTACAGAGACAGTAAGTTGTTGTTTTTTATTTTTAATTGTATAACTCTTTGAAGGTCTATAATTAATTCTTCAACATGAAATCGACGTTCATTATGATTCTTTCAACCCATAAATAGGACAACGGGTACACTGCGATACAATGCTATGGACAAGTGGTCTGCTAATCTAGTGACCATGTATACAGCCAACATTAATAAGGTCCGCTGAAGGAAAGAAGGGGCGTGTATGTGTTTAGATTAGTGTCTGAGAAATCGACCGATTGTCCAAAATAAAAATGTATCACAATATCCCGTGACACATCAATGTTGGAATGAAAGTTCCAAAAATTTATTGGACGAATTTGTGTGTCCAGAATTGAGAAACTTTCTTTTTTCATCGAAACAAAACATCAGCACCAGCGACTAGCACAGGACCATCATGACCGACTTTGTCAGCATCACCGTCGTCGTTGTGATCATTTTCATGGTCTTTCGATGGCTTTCAGGTACAGCAAACTCTACTCTCTCTCTCTCTCACACTCTCTTTCTGTAACAGCACCAGTAGACGTTGCTCATTCTCTAGATTGACCAGTGATTATTCACCCTTTTATTCTCTCATCACTGACTTTTTTTTTTTTTTTTATTTTTTTTATTAACATGTTTCCATACAGCCTCAGGAGATAATGCACAATCTAACAGACAAGCACAGAATAGAGGTAGAATCACTCCTCGAACTCAGACACGGCTCGTTAACCCAGAAATGGTATGGGCCCTAATTATACATTACTTTTTAATTTTTAATTATATTTTCTCCCTTTCATTTTGACTTCGCCAGCATTGTCTGACTAGCACAAAAAAAAAAAAAAAAAAAAAAAAAAGAAGCAAGCAAGCAAGGATTGGTTCTTGTGAAGATTGTGTGTGCGTGTGCGTGTGCGTGTGTGGAGGGGGGAGGAGACTTTTATTATTAGATCTACGATCAGTCAGTTCTCCTACATGACAGGCAGGCGAGCAGGCAGCTCTTGAGATTTTTTTTTTTTTTTTTTTTTTTTTTTCCTATTATTACGGATGGATTGACGAACAGACGGAAGTTGTATATCTTTACAGAATATGCCGACATACTAAACGATTACTTTCTATTTCATTTTTCATTTAGGTCGAACAAGTCAGGATGATGTTCCCTAATATCCCAACGGCGGCTATTCATTATGATCTTCAGAAGACTGGCTCAGTAGAGCAAACCTGCGATAATATTTTAAGAGATGGCGGCACCCTTCCAATGGTAATGACAGGAAGCGAAAAAAAAAAAAAAAAAAAAAAAAAAGGGGGGAGATATAACATATCCTATAATAGGCAAAAGATCGTTGATCTATTCGATCTATTCATATCTTTCTCACATAATGGAGTCCTTTTTTCTTAATATTATATATACTGTTATCACTATTATTATTTTTTTTTACTTAATAGCCACCTGTAGCACGGCCATCTACGCCTCCTGTCGCATCAACTTCATCAGCTCCGGCTTCGGGATCATCTTCAGGGGTAGCAACAAACCAATCTGTAAATGGCAATCTGGTTCAGCGCTTCAAATTGCAGGACGCTGTTGAGAAAAACTATGTGCCTGAAGAACCACAGAAGATCTGGGGAGATAATGCGGAGAAACGTCAGGAGGTTTTCAAGAGTCGAAAGGAGTATATGGTCCTGCAGGCTAGGAAGTAAGTCTTAATATATATATATATATATATATATATACATATATGTGTGTGTATGTATGTGTGTGTGTGTTACTCACTGATCATTTAACTTTATTTTGCTAACAATATTAATAAAAAATATTTATTTAATTTTTCCATAGACGATATCTGGAACAGCAAGCACGCAAGGCAAAGGAAGCTGAGGAGGCTAAAGCAAAGGAAGTCGAGTCAACTGCATGAGTTTTTGTTCAAAGATCTATTAATCTGATATGATCTGCTCTGCTCTGCTCTGCTCTTGCTTTTGTTGTGCTCTGACTTGCTTTGCTTTGCTCTGCACTATGTACGATTTGCTGACAGCGATGGACAAAGTGGTTCTGATTGTTATTCAGTTAAGATTTAACAAAAATAATTAAATAATTCTCATTTATTTAAAAAAAAAAAAAAAAAAAAAAAAAAAAAAAACAGCTTTTGGTGAAATAATATTAAAATAAGTATTAATAATATCTTCGACGCCAGTAAGAGAACTCTTTGTAACGAATAAGTGTAGTGAGTAAAAAAAAAAAAAAAAAAAAAAAAGAGTATCAATACTCGCGGCATAAACAGACTGCAATAACATGCTTTGCATGTGGACTTAACGCTTTAGTAACGGGGACCATTCGAGGAGGTATCGTTTCGATTAAGATACCCTTCTTTTATAACGATCCGAAACCTGGTTAGGATTGAGCGCTTTTGACAGTGTAATAACCCATTCTCTTCGAATCCCTCTCTGTCCTAAATCCAAAGATATCAAAGTCTTGTTAGTCTTGGGTGCCTCTGACAGCGCCAGCACGCCTTCATTGCCAATTGAGTTTGTCCCTCAAGTTCAAGGTGGTCAATACCGTGTCGGTTTTCAGTGTATTTGCGAGTACTTGAAGGTCATTGGCACCAGAGAGGCCGTCGAGGGCATCCTCATTTTAAGGAAAATGTAAAAGGATGAACACGTACTTTCCATACTTGCGAAAGAACTCTATGTTATTTCGGATGTCATATCCTTCATGTTTGGCAATATGGATCTAGTTCTGACTGCTATTGCTTGTTGTTGCAGTGTGCTCTCCACATTTGCATAAGAAATGAAGGCGTTCTTCCTTCTCCCACCGTCTTTAGCGCTGTGTGGTGTTGTCGGCAGCTGTTAGCCATTTTAACCGACGATATAAACTGTGTATTCTATGACTCTCGCATAGTTTCCACCCCATGCCCCTTTAGGTCAACGGTGTCATATCCAGTCATGGCAACTATTAAAACGCACTTTTCCAAAATTTCCTTGTCAATTCGAAGCACGTGAGAGCTGTGGCCCAGAAACGTAGTTCAGGCTATTTTTGTAACTGATCTGAAGAGCGTTGAATTACATTTCTGTTTCTCACAGGCACGGTCTCCCAAAAACCACTTTCTATACTTCATCAACAACACATCACCATGTACGCCACGCAACAGAGCACTAGCTTGTTCCTTGGTGGAGAGCGTACCTCAGGCCAGAACATTAGAGATCAGAATGGTAAGACATGGATTTCGAATAGAATGTAATACACGCGATTTATTTTTTGTTCATCATGGGGTGATCAATGTTTAGTCCTAGAAGGACGTTCAACGCCATATGATACTCTTTTTTTTTTTTTTTTTTTTTTTGTTTCATCCGAGTCGATGGATTAGAAGACTTGTACTTTTGAAAATCTTGAAATGGATACAAATTGCTTTGCGTGCATCGTCCTAACTTTTATCAACTTTGTGTCACAGTTCTTGCTACATCCTCGATCGCCAACATTGTCAAGTCTTCTCTTGGACCAGTTGGTCTCGACAAGATGATCGTGAATGAGATCGGAGTAAGCAAAATTGGAATGATGAGCAGTAACTAGATGATGAATTTATGAATAGCTCCCTTTGTCGCGCCATTTTTTTTTTTTTTTTTTTTTTTTCTTCTTCCTTCTCTTCTCTTCTCTTTTCGACACTTATTAGTGATCTATTCCTGATCTCCCTCTTTCCTTCAATACTATTGTCATTTTAGGATGTTACCATCACTAACGACGGCGCTACAATTCTCAATATGTTGGAGGTTGAACACCCAGCAGGAAAGATCCTCGTTGAGCTTGCACAACAGCAGGATAAAGAAGTCGGCGATGGAACTACTTCAGTCGTGATCATTGCTGCAGAGTTGTTGAAGAGAGCAAATGAGCTTGTCAAGAATAAAATCCATCCTACGACCATTATTACTGGATACAGAACAGCATCAAAAGAGGCCTGCAAATTCATTGCCGAACAAATGTCTATCAAGGTGGATTCTTTGGGTCGTGAATGTCTCGTAAACGCGGCCAAGACCAGCATGTCCAGCAAAATCATTGGATCGTAAGTTTTTTTTTTTTTTTGTGTGACAACAACAATGTATTTTTTCTTTTTCAAAGGGTTCCTTTTCCTGATCAAGTGGATCACTTTATTACCCATTCGTCCCATATTCATATGTTTTTATAGCCATGATGAATTCTTTTCCAACATGGCGGTAGATGCTATGCTCGCCGTAAAGACTACCAACAGCCGTGGTGATCACAAGTATCCAGTCAAGGCTGTTAATGTCCTGAAGGCTCATGGAAAGAGCGCAACCGAATCCATGCTTATTAAGGGATATGCTCTCAACTGCACAGTCGCCAGTCAGGCCATGAAGACAAAGATCACCAATGCAAAGATCGCTTGTTTGGACATTAACCTTCAAAAGGTCCGCATGAATTTGGGCGTACATATTCAGGTCGACGATCCTGATAAGCTGGAGGATATTCGCAAGAGGTAAGGAATGACACCTCCTTTTGATAGAAATGGTTATTGATATTTGAGTAGGACAGAGCTAACATTTAGCTAATCCATCACACACATCCTTCGATTTATGGCCATTAGGGAAAGTGACATCACCACAGAACGCATCAAGAAGATTTTGGATACTGGTGCAAATGTTATTTTGACAACCAAGGGAATTGATGACATGTGTCTGAAATTGTTTGTTGAGGCTGGAGCCATGGCAGTCCGACGCTGCAAAAAGGAGGATCTCCGCAGAATTGCCAAGGCAACTGGAGCAACTTTGATCTCAACATTGGCTAATTTGGAAGGAGAAGAGACCTTTGAGGAGTCATACTTGGGACATGCTGAAGAAGTTGCACAGGAGAAGATCTCCGACGATGAATGTATCCTGATTAGAGGTACCAAGGTTGAGAACTCAGCATCCATCATTCTTCGTGGAGCTAATGACTTTATGTTGGATGAGATGGAGCGCTCCTTGCATGACGCGCTTTGTGTTGTCAAGAGAACGCTCGAAAGCGGAAGTGTTGTTCCAGGAGGTGGAGCTGTAGAAACAGCTTTGAATATTCATCTTGAGAACTTTGCCACCACCTTGGTAAGTTTTTTTTTTTTTTTTTTTTTTTTTTTTTTTTTGGTGTCAATAGCATGTTTCCATAATACTACTAGTAATTCTAACCATGCTTTCTACTATATGACATAATTCAGGGTTCGCGCGAGCAATTAGCGATTGCAGAGTTCGCTAACGCTTTGCTAGTGATTCCAAAGACATTGGCTGTCAATGCTGCCAAGGATTCAACTGATCTAGTGGCAAACCTTCGTGTGAAGCATAATGCTTCACAGAGCGATGCTTCACAGCAGGCACTCAAGTGGTATGGTCTAGATCTGATTAAAGGCGAAGTCCGTGACAATGTCAAAGCTGGCGTTCTTGAGCCTGCGCTGTCCAAGATCCGTGCTTTGCGCTCGGCAACTGAGACAGCACTTTCGATCTTGCGTATTGATGACATGATCACAGTGGCACCTGAGCAACGTGAGCAGGATGATGGCCATGGACATTAAGTATAGTAAATAAAAAAAAAAAATAAAAAAATGCCTATTGATGGTGATATTATGGTTGTAGTATGCTGTGTCGATATGGTTAATGAATCTGACATCTAGTGGAAAAAAAAAAAAAAAAAAAAAAAAAAAAAAACGCCACCACCACCACCACTTTGAATGTCATTCTCTTTATGAACGGCCAAATTTCGACACCCTCTACAGTCTTTCTTGCATGCAAAATTAAATTATATAATAGCCGCCCTCAGTTCTAGCTCTTTCTGCTTATTAAATTGTAATAAATCCCACATTTACTTGCCCGTGATGGATGCCTTGTCTCGAATTTTATGTGTTTTCGTTGGAACATTGGTAAAATTTTATCAACGATGTACTACGGCCATATGCCCTCTGGTCCCAATGCTCGTGTCTTGGCCAAACGTGGAAGAAAGATCATGGATCAAGGACCAATTTCAAGTCAAGCGTGGCTTCTCTAGCCTACTTGGCCATATTGATAGGATAACCTTTCCGTTTCTACGAGCGTCTTCATATGACAAGGATGACTGGATTACAAGATATGGTGACTTTGTCATGGGAATTACTGTTGTATGTGACCTTTGCTCGGCATTTATATTTTGCGACGGAGTGTCCTGGAAGCTGTCATGATTCCTCGGCCTACAAGAGTACACAACTCTATACGCACAAAGACAGGTACTTTTCAGAAGGCGAATGCATCATCGGAGATGCGGCATATGGTCTTGCCCTGCCCTTATGATAGGATTAAAAGGCCAAAATCGAAGAGATGAGAAAAGGTTTAATGTGATGCTTAACTCGGCTAGGATATACATAGAGCATGGGATGATCAGCAGGATCCAAGCCCTTCAGCTCTTTGACGTCTCAAGATTTTCAATAGGCTAGAAAAACCGGCGAGCCTATATCATGATCAGCATGATCATAATGAGGAGGTACGTTACTGATATAGCGCAAGACTAGTTCTATAATCCCCATTGCCTAAAATATAATGAAATCACAACAGAACAAAACCAGCTCTGCAGATTTGCAAATCTTGACGTGATGGATGTGCTTGGAATTATGCCTATACGCTCGCTGTGGATTGACGCCTTTTTTGAGATGAAAGATACGTTCTTATCAGCAACAGGTAAACTATTCTAGGAATATATCCATTATTGCCTATTCTAACATCTTTTTTCGTCTATCGTCCTGTTGCATATTTCACAGCTAGAAAAATAGCTTAAGGTAAAAAAACATTGTCCAAGCAAGATTAATACGCTAAAAAAGATTAGCAGCAGAAATCAGTGGCAATAGCGCACCACACATAGACACGAGAAATCTTTGACATGAGGTTTTTAGAATGAGCCTTTGTCATCTTATAGATACGTTACCTAGTTGACTGGTACAAGTCAGTCCTTTTATCAGAAAATGAATAAATACCTCATGGATGTGGTGTGTGGGCCCACATCTTATTCTCACTTACTTTTCTACTGCTTACTATCTATCTACAGAATATTTTTTCACCTCCTCCTACATAAGAGCTTTATCTTGCCAGGTCTGCTACGCGAGCCGAATGTGATGGGAGCTGAAGAGAAGGAAGAAGCCATCGCTCAAACGTTCGAAGAGCGCAAAGAAGGACTTGTAGTCCTGTGGAAGGAGCTGAGGCATATATATGGTATGTAATAGACAGAGTATGGTGTAATGGATCCCATTATGTAATACCTTATCCTTTGCTAACCCTTATCAAGCGAAATGTGTAAGAAAAAAAAGAAAAAGAAAAGAGTTCTTTCCGCTTTGAAGACTAGGCCTCTGGTCGATACTCAGGACATGCACCGCACACCGTACTACCGCACTGTTCTGCTGGTACGCTGAAAATCTTGATGCCTGTCAGATTCATTACAGGTCGAAGGCATCCCAGTCAACGAATCAAGAGTCAGAGTCAGAGTCAGAGCCAGCGTTTGTGGTCCTTAAAGAGAGGCGAGAGAGAGTTGGACATTAGGCTCATGGCTGGGTTGTGATAGAGGTCGTGTGCTTAGCTTTAGCTTAGCTTGACCTTGCTCATGCACTGCTGCAACCAAAGGGCATCATTCGCCATTTGTTCTTTGTGAATTATTTATTGGTTTTATTATTATTATTTTTATTATTATTTTTAAAAAGAAAAAGAAAAAAAAAGATGACTAGGATGAATATGAGGCATATTTAAACAGGGACTTTTGTACATGTACTACAGCGGCTGGACATTGCTTCCCATAAGAGCTAAATACATACCTTGCTGTAGTAGCTCGACAAGGGCGTGAACGCGACCTTTTGATGTGCTCTTGGGAAAGTAAGTACTGAGCGTACTGAGCTCTTTATCGTCATCATCGAGCGACTCAAACTCATGTACGAATGGGTTTTGATATTTCACTCTCGGTTTGTCCCGAGTATCGACCAGAGGCTAAGCCTTCAGGGCAGATAGAGCTCTTTTTTTTTTCTTTTTTTCTTCTTTTCTTTTCTTTTTCTTTTTTTTCTTACACATTTCGCTTGATAAGGACCAGCAAAGGATAAGGCATTACATAATGGGATCCATTACACCATACTCTGTCTATTACATACCATATATATGCCTCAGCTCCTTCCACAGGACTACAAGTCCTTCTTTGCGCTCTTCGAACGTTTGAGCGATGGCTTCTTCCTTCTCTTCAGCTCCCATCACATTCGGCTCGCGTAGCAGACCTGGCAAGATAAAGCTCTTATGTAGGAGGAGGTGAAAAAATATTCTGTAGATAGATAGTAAGCAGTAGAAAAGTAAGTGAGAATAAGATGTGGGCCCACACACCACATCCATGAGGTATTTATTCATTTTCTGATAAAAGGACTGACTTGTACCAGTCAACTAGGTAACGTATCTATAAGATGACAAAGGCTCATTCTAAAAACCTCATGTCAAAGATTTCTCGTGTCTATGTGTGGTGCGTTATTGCCACTGATTTCTGCTGCTAATCTTTTTTAGCGTATTAATCTTGCTTGGACAATGTTTTTTTACCTTAAGCTTTTTTTCCAGCTGTGAAATATGCAACAAGATGAATTGGCAGGACGATAGGTATTAGAATAGGCAATAGTGGACATCTTCCTAGAATAATAATTTACCTGTTCCTGATTAAAATATATCTTTCATCTCAAAAAAGGCAGCGAATGTATATATATATCTGTATATATATGACGTTTAGAGTTCTACTGCATTTATTGCATTTCACATAAGCGATTACATAAAGTAACAAGGACCTATTTGTTCTCGAAAATCGTTGATTCGCTTCCAGTTTGACTAATACTTTGATCTCCTTGCTCACAGTGACAAATACCTGCTTTCATGGATCCATCTCTCGGTTTGCAAAGTCAGTTCGCTGGTGTGGTTAGAATAAAAGTGACGCTAACTCATTTTCTGGAAACATCTTCATCCTTTTCTTAAAATCTTCTTCATCCCCAAATCGTCGCTTCTTCCGCTCGTTCATGATTTCTTTACAGATTTTCTCCCCAACTGCAGGAATATGCTTGATATGGTGCTCAGGCGCTGAATTGATGTACAGTCTGGAAAAGGCTGTATAACATGATAATGATATTATTGAAACATCTAGAATATATAGAACAATTACAGGAAAAAAAAACTTATACGCTTACCTGAGAATTGTGCACGACCTGCAGACGTGTGTCCATAGTAATCCCGGAAGTTTCCTTTGTGTACCATGAATGTATGGGAGTGAAGCCCCATTCTTGAGGAAGACTCACATCGATTTGAAAAGATACCAAAGGCACATTCCAAGGATGGACATCGTTCCTTAAGAACTTCCTTCACTTCGACGACAATCTTTGTAATTTCCTCGTCAATTGTTGTTTGGTTGATAGGTCTAGACTCCTTTGAATCCTTCTCTTCGGCCCATTTCATTTGACAAAGCAGACACAAAGACGCAATGTCTCTTCTGTCCTGTAAACGCAATTGCATAAAGCCGTCAGCTGGGGCGCCTTTGCCATTAACAAATACCTTGTGAAACTCTTGAAGGAAGTCAGTATGCTCCATGCCGTCCACATCCTTTGCGATCTCGTGCTCAGGGAATGTTTCGAGCAATTGATGCACTGTAACATTGCGGTGGTCTGGAATTTCAACTTTAAGCTCTGGAAACTCGGGATCAAATTCAGCACCTGCAAAAAGTTCCTGCAGAGTCACAGTCTGTTTTCCGAGGTAAGAGAAAAGGCATAGACGTAGAGCCAAGAACTTCATATTGAAGTGTTCCCAGCCTGCCCAGGAGACATCTTGCTTTGGATCGATAAAAGTGGTCCAGTACTTCAAAGGCGACTCGGATTCACTCCTCGTGGAAGCTTTGACCAATAAAACCAGCCACAAATATGGGATACGTATATGGTACATGTCATACTCTTCAGCTCGTTCCAGATTTATTAGGCCAGTTGTCCTGAGATCTTTATAGGTCGTGCCACCTCCAATGGTATTATTCATTTTGACTGGGATACCAAGAATGGCCCTTGCCACTACAGGTGTCATGAACTCCACGTAGTCCCCAAAAGGATAAAGTGTGTCTAAACGAACTGCCAGGCTCTGCATAACGGCCATGATATCGACATTGCGCAGACATTCCGTAAGTTCCTCAGCCCTGTCAGGGATCTTCTTTAATTTCTTTAAGCGATTCACAAAGTGTTCATAGAAATGCTCCACAGCCCTTGCCACTCCACCGATGTCTGCAATACTACGGCGGAACAGTATATCATGCTTTAGGTAGTCTTCAGTCAGATGCAGAGCCTTACCGTCTATAGTCAGAGGAAGCCTACGGCCAATTTCGATCACGTCGTCGTCAGTAAGAAGAGGAAGAGGTAGGTGTAGGATACGATATGTTGATCCCATGACCATTTTTTCGATGGGTCCTTGGATTGTACCTGCCATAATAGGGATACAAAAAGGCTCTATGGTCCTCAAGCTCAGTTTCCCAATAGCATTCACAACTTCTCGAAGAGTACCTGGGTAAGCATTGTGTAAATGATTCACTTCGTCGATGCTGATGACCAGCACAATCGGATTGTTAGTGGGTGTGCCTCGTCTGATAATATCAGCATGAATAACCTCTATGGCTCTGCTCACGGAGAGTAGATTGATGCCTTGCTTTTGCAGAAAAAAGTCAACGGGTTTGCTATCGGAGTCTTTGTTACTGATAAAATATCCGTAGAGTAATCTAACGGCAATAGATGCATCGCCTCCAATTTTGTTATCGAACTGGCTGACCGCGGTATCATTGCCGTAGCAAATATTGATTGAGACCATATTGGAGAAGGCGCTTTCTTTTGATACTCTGGTCACCGCAAGAGTTGACCTTTTCACGAAGCATTCCTCCAATTTCTTGGAGGAACCTGCTTTTGCCTGTATCTGGCCCACAGGCAAGAAGTGGGATTGGATGTAGGCCCTTGTCGCTCTTCTTACGGTTTTTAAATCGCTCAAAGACGCCATTATAACAATCCCCATTCCATAATACGTCAAGAGTTTCCTCTCTGCGACAAAGTGGGAATTCCGAACCAAAAGATGTAACAAGCTATAACAAGTATAATAAAGAGTCAGCACAAAATCTTCCGTCTACTCATAACTTATAGCGATGTACACCCAAAATGTAAACACAATAGACAGCATACCGGAGCTTTTTTAGTGCCGATGGGTCGTTCATATTGCTTAACCCATGCAAGGATACTTGAGGTGTTTGTCTAGATGACAACTGTGATTAAAAAAAAAAAAAAAAAAAAAAAAAAAAATCAGAAAGATGAATGATATTTCGAAAATTGCTTCCTGATCAATGATGTCACACACAAAGCTTTAGCTAATCCCTTACCTTCCAACGACCGCTGGACGATGATGTGGATGGTTTTCTTTGGTGGCGCCGTTCCAAAGACTTCAAAGATCTCGCTTGTTCCTCTGGTGAGTGACTCTTTTGATTCAACATCGGTGATATTGACTGCAGTCCCCTCATCAAGAACAGAGACATGGTAAAGGTTGAGTGTGTTAGCGTCAATGCCTTGAAGAGCGTTTACTTTCTTTTTCTTGATGGCATTCTTGAGATGGCAGATAGTTCTTCGGGGATTAAAGTTCACTGGGAATGTAGTCGACTCTCCATCGAGAATGCAAACAAGTGAAATTTCGTCTGTCATTGGTGTGCTTATTAGACAAATAAAGTTAATAAGCTGGTGAAGAAGGAGAAAGGAAGCATCAAATACACGGTGGTTTGATGTGACTGGCTTTTCCAAATCTGCTGCGGAAGTTCAGCCAAAGTTGATAGAAATCTTTCAAATAGTGCCTCTCGCCATTTGTTCTGTTCTTTATTATCATTATTATTATTATTATTATTATTATTATTACTATAAAAAAAAAAAAAAAAAAAAAAGATAACTAGACAGTTATAGGATGAATATAAGGCATATTCAAACAGATATGGACTTTTGTACATGTTACATGTACTATAGCGGCTAGACATTACTTTCTCCAAAAAAAAAAAAAATAAAAAAGCGAGACGAGATGTGTTAATGTGTGTAAATTGACATGATGATATATATATATATATATTGAGATATACAGTTTAGATATGGGTATGAATGGGATGATGATAAAAAGTATACATTATGCAATGCCAAGTATCATCATGAAAGTAAGAAGAAGAAGAAGAAGAGGAAAAAGAGGGATATCAGAAACAAATCCACCAAGCTCCATCAATCATCAATAGCCAGCAAGCAATGCAACGAAACGAAACAATGCAACGATATAACGATATAAATAATGCAACGAATCGTCATCGCCATCTAAAGGCTATAGTAACGTACAATTTTTTTTTTAATTTTTTTATTTATTTCATTCAAAGATAAATGACCTTCATTAAACCATTGAATAGCAAAAGGAAAAGGAAAAGGAAAAGGAAAAGGAAAAGGAAGGGGGAGGAAGAGAAGAAGAGGAAGAGAAGAGAGTGGATGTGTGTGGCTTTGATTGGTTGTTATGCTTGAACAAAGGGATTGACGCGCTTTGAAGCCATTTTTTTTTTTTTTGTTTGTTTGTTTCGTTTGAAACATTGTTATTTATATAATTTGTCAAATAAACTAGAGTGGGATAAACAAGTTCGTTAGAGTTAGCAATACGAGTAAATAAAAAATGAATATTAGCAATTAACAATTAAAACAATTAACGATAGCTAAAAAAAATAAACAACAATAAAAGAACAATCGTCGTCATTGTTGAGCTACGCCCAAAGAAAAAGAAAAAAGAAAAAAATAGTTATATAATTTGCTGTGTGCTGTGTGTGTGCTGTGATGTGAATTGATGTGTACACGCATTCGTGTACATGCACAGTAATGCGCTGTCGAGTCATTTCATATCATTTACCCACCAAACAACCTTTCTTTTCTTTTCTTTTCATCCCATGGGAATAATTTTATGCGATTGACTCTGATTGCTTTCGACAGTGACGTCTTTAGTGTAACAATCCCCGTTTTATTTTGTTCGAGGAAAATATCCCAAAGAACATTTCTTTTTTTTTTTTTTTTTTTTTTTTTTGCTCACTGGATGAGTTTAACGTTAACCGTTTTATTAGAGTTTGGAGTAAGTGTGAAAAGATGTATTTTCTTGAAGAAATAAAATAATTATGTACGATTACAATGGGAGAGATTTCAGTGTCCCTCCTCCTCTCCGTTCACCTTTTCTCTTAAACTCCTTTTTTTTTTTTTTTTTGCCTTTACCTTTTTTAATAATAACCTCCCTTATCATTAGATATGGATATGCGCGATGCGCGAAATCTGACATTGATGCAATGCATTTTTGTTTAAAAGAGAGTTTTACAAGGGTCATAGGATGACGGTATGATGAACGAATCCTTCATTACCTTCTCGCCCACTTTCCTCACATTCCCCGATCTCTCGTCTCCTCTTCTTTCTTGTTATTCTTTTTATGATGTTGCAATGTAGCTGAACATTTGGCTCTTTTTTTTTTTTTTTTTTTTTTTTTTTTTTTTCCTTCTTCAACGTAAAGTCCAAATTGCAATAATGGACAACAATGTAGTGTAACAAGATGATAGAGAGAGAGAGAGAGAGAGGAGAGAGAAGAGGCTGTTTTTCAATTTCTTACTTCCCATTTATGGTCTTTACTGCTGACTAAGAATATTCTTTGATCAATTTACACCAACATCCCAAAGTCTCAAAGAGTAAGAGAGAGAGAGAGAGAGAGAGAGAGAGAGAGAGAGAGAGCCGAAAAGGAACTTTTTTTGCTTTTGGGATTGGTTTGTGAATTAGGATCCTTGGAAGTAAAATTAAGCAAGTAATACACTGAAGCAGATCGATCATTATGGCTGATTACAGTCGCCATTGGAGTTGTACGTGTTTGCATACAATACCATTAGTTTGTATAATGATGGATACACAATGTTTTATATTTATTAATCCACATGTGTAATATATATATATATATATATATATACCTATATTAAAATATGTGGATTGTATTAGCCTGGTAACTCGGTTCCCCCGGTCCGAGCAATTAGTTTGAGCTTTTTTTATTATTATTATTGTATTTTTTCGTTGATCAATAAAAAGGATTTTCAGGTTGGGTCGTCTGCAATCATTGTAACAACAATAACAGTAACAGTTAGCAATAGCAAATAGCAATGGCAAAATCTAGCATTAGCATTAACAATGGCAATAGCTTAAACAATAACAAGAGAAAAAAAAAAAAAAAAGAGCCACGAGAGCAATCCGTGATTAATGACGTGCATGATGAAATCAGGAATTTGTGTCACAAAAAATAAAAAAATAAAAAAAAAAAAATAAAAAAAAAGATGTTTATTTTGTTAATTTTGTAAACTATCGTCGGCGCTCTTTCCCTCCACTTCTCCTCCAAAAGAGTCTTCACAGCCCTACTTTATAATGCGCGTGAAAACATGAGATAAGAAAAGAGAGAGAGAGAGAGAGAGAAGACAATTAAGTGAGGGAGAGAAGGAAGAAGTTGGGGAAGGAGCCCACCCGTAGCGGAAAAGGAACGCCAGGAAATGAAAACAATTAAACATGTACTGTAGATATAAAATTAAAAGTAAAATAAAATAAAATAAAATAAACATCCGGGAATGATATCGATGCCGTCATTTGCATTTAAATTTTTTTTTTTTTGAACGTGGGACCCAAACCTTACAAGTTTTGTCCCAAGCAAAGGATATATACATGTACGCGTTTTTACAGGGGGGAAGAGGAGAAAGAGGGGAACTCCTTCGCTTGAAAAGAAAAAATAAAGTATAATGCAAATAACATGATCTAAACCCACCATCCCCACACCCTATTTTATTGTATTTATTCAACGAATATGCAAGATTTTATTTATTTTCTTTTTTCTTTTTCAAAGCATTTCATGACATCTGATTTGTCATTTGTTATGATGGCGCATATCAGCCTATGCTGTCATTGTTTCAACACAATTGAGGAGAGAACTAACGACTTTTTTTTTTTTTTTTTTTTTTTTTAAAAAAAAAAACCCCCGTACATGCACTCGAGTGTAGTTGTGCATATCAAGAGTTAGTGAAGAACAATAAAGGAATAAAAGAAAGAAAAAAAAAAAAAAAAAAACAATAACAATGGATTGAAAGCATGTTATTCGTTGAAAAAGCCTCATTGTCAAGTGCTCCTTCCCCTTCAACTTTTCCTTTCTTTCTCTCTCTCCTTACTCGGGTTTTTTTTTATGTATGTGTTGTGTGTGAGTATGTGTACTTGCGTATGATATATCAACGTATTGTGTTATGTCGTGCTGCCTTGGATCTTTCCTTCTAACCAAAGCTCGCCTAGTGCGGACCCATTTTTTTTTTTTTTTTTTTTTTTTTTTTTGCAAGAAGAAAAAGGCATGATAAACTCATGCACTTTTTCTTACATGTATTGTTTTGGCTTATCGTTACTACTGTACTATATGTTTCTAATCAATGATATTTAAACATTCAGAGTATGCATTTCTCTTTTATATATATATATATATACATGTGTATATATTTTACTATATACTGCTATACTACTAACCCTCAATGGCATTTGCCGACCTATCTATCAATCTATCTATCTATCTATAATATATATCTATGTATATATTTGCCTATCTATTGATCTATCCTGATTATTGAGACTTGCGGCAAATAATCAAAAAAAAAAAATAACAACAACAATAACAACAACAACAAATCGACCGGACCGCGTACCCTGCTCAAAAAAGTAGAAAAAGAGAGAGACAAATAAATAATAACCACTATAGTCATAGCTAGTTATAGTTGTAGCCACAGCCTGGCATAGTCACGAGAATAAAGGGAGCTATATATATATACCTTATAAGATGGTTCATCAAAGAGACGCAAAAGTGACTAATGAAAACTCTTTTAAACATTTCCTCCGCTTCAATATTCATCTTCAAAAAGCACGCGTAAATATAATTTTTCTTCATGGCGGCAAAGGTACCACATTGAAATAAAAAAATAAAGGAATTAAAAGAAAAAGAAAAAGAAAAAGAAAACAACTAGTATACAACTAGAGAGTTAGGTTTAGCAGAATTGAAAAGATTAAAAAAAAAAAAAGCTAATTGAAAAGAAAGAAAAGAAGCATTTTGGATAAAAAATAATATACATAGATAAAGTGCATTAAGCGGACTGAATGTTCTTTCTTTTTTTTTTTTTTTTTTTTTTTTGTCCGCTTCATGATTCTCCTTCTTCTGCTAGATGTGATTCCTGAAGGGAAAATAATGAAAAAAAAAAAAAAAAAAAAAGAAAGCATGTGTCTGCATAGTGCATAGAACTGAGAGAAAGATTGATAAAGTTACGTGTTAATTAATCTCGAACAAAGAATAAAAGGACAAACTAAATACAGTCGTACCACACAACAAATAACAACCCCTAGGACCCTGTTGTTTTTTTTTTTTTTTTTTTTTTTTTGCCCACTATAAGCATTTTCTTTTTGTTTTAACGTTGACGGATAAAGCAGACAGAGCAGAGTCAAAGTCGTAATTGATATTAATAATTCTCTTTTCCTTTTTTTTTTTCTTTTTTTCTTTTTTTTTTTGCTTTTGCTTTTGCTTTTGCTTTTCAAAGATTGTGAAGGACAAGAGGAGGACGTGAGAGAGAGCAAGTCCATATTTGTAAAGTATACAGTTTATGGAATAATAAGCTCTTTTTTTTTTTTTTTTTTTTTGCATCCCCTATAATACACGGACGAGAGTCTATACATAAACATCTATAAATACCAATAAAGATGGTTTATACATGCACTAAGAGCAGGGAGCCGGCCAGGGTTCTTATCTATTATGATGGTTTTGCTCACTTTATTTCTAAAGGCGATTTGAAATCATAAAAAAAAAAAAAAAAAAAAAAAGACAAATGTAAACGAGAGCAATAGGAGAATAAACTCTTGCCCTACAGCCAGCATATATATACGCTGTATCTATATACATTACTATACAATATTATGTGTATACAGTATATGTATAAATATATATATACTTTAAAAGGTGGGATAGAACGAAACAAACGTGCAGATTTTTTTTAATTGACCCTGCATCAAGCCTGCTTTATGAGAGCCATGTAAGGATCCTTTGTTTTTTTTTTTTACTGATTATTAGTATAAATGATTAGTTTATTAGCCAAAGTATATATTCACGCACAAAAAGAACAAAAAGAACAAAAGGATGTTTGAACCATTGATCAGCAACGATCCTTCTTTCTCTGGTTCTACTATGACTATATGACTATATGACTATATGACTATACGACTATATATATCTCTCTCTTTCTTCCTATATCTATTTCTATATCCATACTCACGTCCAAATCTATTTCTATATTTTTTTTTTTTTTTTTTTTACTTTATTTTTTACTCTTTTATAATAGAATAAACAAAAAAAAAAAAAAAAAAAAAAAAAAACAAAAACAAAAAAAAGAGAAGATCAAGAGCCCATTAAGAGAAGACGAAGGGACGTTGGTCAGAGCCATTCATCCCGTCAATCTTCAGAGCATTATAAAAGAAAAAGAAAGAAAAAAGAGTGGTGGATGGAGAAAAAAAAGGGGAGAAGAAAAAAAAACGTATAGTTTACAATAAACGTTGTTATGCAAGAGCTTTTTTTTTTTTTTCTCCCTTTTCTTTCAGGGACGACCTTCAAAGACACGGACGGAAGGGATAGGACATTTTGAGCCCTCTGGTTTGAGAGCCCAAGTCCTCACATCACATCGTCCATTAAAGATCTTCTTGTGTCCTGTGCAAAAAAAAAAAAAAAAAAAAAAAAGAATTGAGCCATCCTCATCCCTATCTTCATCCCCAGCCTCATCCTCATCCCTATCCGTGAGCGTGGAGCAGAATTGAAATTTGGATTCAGAGCAGTTGGGGAGTTGGGGTGGGAAGGAGATGGATATATATAAAGTTCTCAAAAAAGAAACCCGGCAAGCTGGTGCTTTCTCCTTTTCAAGAATGCTCAGAAAAGTAGGTGTAAAATATGCATTTTAAAGTGTTTTTTAAACCTCCAGTCGGGGAAATTGCAAAGCAAGATCCGTTTATACATGTACATGCTGGAGTCCAAACAACAATAACAAAAAAAAAAAGCAAGAATACCCTATTGTTTTATTTTTTTTTTTTTTTCTCTCGGATCAGATTATATATATATATATATATATATATATATATATATTGTATATGTGTATGTATATATCTTTCTATGGTAAAAAAAGATGGACTAGTAATTAGAGGGTAAAAAAAAAAAGGGTCCTTTTATATTAGACTAAAAAAAGACGCGTCCATTCTGTTCCAACATCGTTTAGTCTAAACTACAATGAAGGGAGAGAAAGAGAGAGAAGAGAGAGAGAGAGAGAGAGAAGAAGTTTCTTTCATGGTTTCATGTTGATAGTTTAGTGCCATATTGGACTTTATATTAAATATCTGATGATTGCTCCTTCCCCTTTTCCCTTTCCCAATTGCTGTGTCAAAGTACCTAAAAAATAAAAAAAGAGTCCCTGAGCTAGCAAAATAGGTTAGCCATGGCACACTAGAAGCAAGCACGTTTTTTTTATAGAGTCCATCATCTCAAACAATTGTCACATCGACTGTTCATCTGAATGATGAAGCATTTGAAGCATCGTTCATCATTGGAATGCAATGTAACTTTGAGTACATAGTCTTTTCTTTAAATTAAAGAAAGAGAAGGAAAAAGAAAAAAAAAAAAAAAAAATTTACGGGATCCCATCAGAATGGTGATGGGGCATGGAGGAAAGAGAAGATGATGACCAAAAAAATAAAAAATAAAAAAACGTTGTTGGACAGTGCAGATTGTAACTGTATTGACACACCACACAGATGCAACACGCACACACACAGACACATACACATCACACATACACATACACAAATATACATTTACACTATACACCATAGGGGGGGGGACAGGAGGAATGAATGGTTGCTCCATATTCCATATCTATTACAACTTTGAAGGTCTACAAGGCAAAAAGCAAAAGGAAAGCAATCAGGGTCATCACTTTACTGCTTACTCGCTTACTCTGTATCTCCATCTTTTTTTTTTTTTTTTTTTTTTTTTTCTGTTTTCTGTTTTCTTTTCTAAACGTGTATACATGTATAAATATATTCTGTTTCTTGTTACTTGTAAGTTTTATTAAATTAAAGCCTTTTAGAATAGTTAGAATAGCGAATAGAAGCCTATGTACTTGTACACTCTTGTTGTAAAGATCCGTCGTGAGGCGGGTATCATTCTTTGTTTATCCGTTGCAACCAGTCAGCGGCCGGCGTTCGGCACTCAACCAACCATTAATAAAAAAAAAAAAAAAAGAAGGAAAAAAAAAAATAAAAAAAAAAAGATAGATAAAAACAAGTTGGATGAAAGAACACCATCGATACATAGACAAGATGTATTGGTAGTGAAAAAAAAAAAAAAAAAAAAAAAAAGAAAGAAAAAGAAATTGTCTGTGCTCCATAGGACGATATTCTGATACCCCAGGTCTCTTTTGTCGATGCAATGCAGTCGTTACTGATGTGTGCAGATAACAATGATCATAATCATAATCGTAATCATCATAATAGTAATAACAATTGCAACAGACAGCAATAGTGATCATCCTTAGTCCTAGTCATAATAGCAATTAAAGTAAG